TATACTCTGTAGTGAGTAAGGAATTCATGCAGCATTTTCTGGTTGCTGTTATATATAGCAAGCTTGTTCATCTTGTATACTTTTCCAGTGCTACTGGTGGCTGCAGGGGTAGACTGCGCCTGCTGAGCTTGTTGAGCTAGCTGAGCTTGTTGAGCTAGCTGAGCCTGTTGGTTAGCGATGGTAGCGCTCTGGGCCTGCTGTTGTTTGCACAGGTTCTGAATATGCTGAGTGAGCTAGTATATCTGGTTGATTAGTTCCTTCTGAGTAGGGGCGTGCGAGAACGAAGGGATTCCTGGAGGAGCTATCGTATTCCGTATTGCTTAAGAGGTAATACTGAACCGTTCTTGAACAAGAGTTATTAAAATGTAATGAGCACTGCAGCAATCTGAAGATTTCTAAGTATATGAAGAGATTTATGCTAATAAAAGCAGTATTAAAGTATTAAGTTCTTAAATACGGAACTATACAAATTCTAATAAGCAATGCAAGTATTTACTGCCTTTGGAGCTACTCAGTATATGAAACTGAATACTTAGATTGATAACTGAAGAGCTATATACTGAATCTATCTAATGGTAATGAATGTGTTCTTATATATTCAGCTCTTCAGTATGAATTGTAAGAGTTGGTGGTTGATTGTTATGGTCTACTGCCTGGATTGTAAGGACTGATTGTTGACTGCTCCGGTCTCTTTCTGATTGGCTGTAACCTGTAATCCTAATCCTAGGTTACGTAATCCCTGTGTTGTTTGCCCGATGTTGAGTTGTGGCATCTGGTTTCTTGTTAGTGGAGCCTGTTCCGTGATCTGCATGTTGGATGGGTTATAACACCTTCTTATAACTAAGAAGTTTGCATTCTATCTGATTTTGCAGATAAAGAAGCAATATTAATATTATACTCAGATCTCGAATAATCTAAGCATATTAAATACTATAGATTATATCTTATTAAGTATCAGAAAGGCAAACAACTTGCTACTATACTCGTTTTTGAGTATAAGAGCTCATTTTGAGCTATTCTGCACTTTATTATAATCGAGAAGATTCCAACTAATATGCTAGAATAATCAAGAGCTATGATATTCAGATCTTGCGCATTGAATAATCTTTGTAATATACTCTAGAATATAGTATTCATAATTAATTCATCTAGTTCTATTGATTCTAATATTACGAACTGAGTAGATAAGCTTTTTCAGAGCATTAGCATTCAGATATTCTAATCTTAAATGCTAAAGATGCTCTAAATTACTTCTTTCAAACATCTTATCATATAAAAAACAAGAATGCTTGTTTCTTTTTAGAGTTGAGAATATAAGAATGCTAGCTCAGCTGTATAGCAGCGTAGCTGAAGCTCGAGAATAGAAAGAGTTTGCAAAAGGAATATATTTGAAGAAGACTAAGTTGAACTCTCTATATAGATTTGCAATTACTGCGCTCTGTTTAAGCATTCCTAAGCATAGTATGCTATCTTTGCTACAATATCAGATTTCTTTCTTATATAAGAAAGCTTTAGCAATTATATTAATATGAAAGCTATCTATAACTGCTATATAGTTAAGAACTAGATTCTCAGTATATTCTTCTTGCTTTCTATTTAGTATATTTTTGAAGCATTATTTCTCAAATCTTTATATTAGCAATAATAAGCTCTCTGCTTTCATAACTTCTGTATTCCTTAAGGAAGAAAAGATATTTAGCTTTAGAAGATTAATACTGTTAATGAGATATATAGCTTTGCAGTTATTCAGAATTGTGCTTTAGAAAAGAATATAAGATATCTGAAATGATATTAAGAAGACTGCTATACTTGCTTATAGCAATACTGCTTAATTAAAGAATTAAGAATTGAAGATAGCATTTATTTGAAGAAACTAAGAATGCCTTGTTTCAGGCTTAAGGAGTATTAGATCTAGCATTTTAACGTTATAATTGAAAGGTTCTAGCATTCAATAGTATCTGAATAGAGATTTCTGTTATTCTCTGTTCTCTGTAGAATTCTCTCTATTCAGCCTTGAGAAAGCTATTCAGTTCTAATAAGATCTGAATAGAGCTTCTGATAGTTTTTGCTAGCTAGCTTAGAGAGAATCTTCTTTCTTTGCTTGTTAGATGAAGCTTTGAAGATTGAGTCTGGCCTAACTCCAATACAAGCATATTTCAGCTTTTTGCAGCTCATCAAGCTCTATTTATGCTTCCTTTGATACAATTTGCAGGGATACTTATAATCTCTCTTTTTGCTCTAGCTGGAAGATCTATCTTGTTTCTTCCCAGATTTTGTGCCTGAGTTGCTGAATAGTAAGTTCTCTCCGCTTATAGTAGCGAATACTATTAAGCCTTTTTTCTGCTCAGGCTGAAGTTAGTAGATTAAAGCGAGATTTCATTAAAGCTGTTCAATAGTCTTGATAAGCAGATCATTATCAGATGCTATAGCAAGGAGATATTGTTGCATTTTAGCTTACTCTGTCTGAAAGCGAATTCTAATAGTAGCAAGAAAGTTATTAGAGCTCTGAAGTCTCTCAACTTTATTAATGCTATAAATCCAAGCTAGATTCAGAAGATCCTGATGCTGCTAGCACCAGTTTTGAAAATCAGTGCCTTATCTAGTAGCTAGCTCAAGGTAATAGCAGTACTGGAAGCGAACAACCTGTTTTATGCTTTTCTCGAACAAATAAAGATCTTTCTTCAGATTTCTGAGCATTTGTTGAATTGAGAAAGACTTCTTTTCTGAATAAGTATACATATAAGAAATAAGAACTAATGAAAGTACTATTTTCTGAATTCAGTTTTACATCCTCTATATATTCTGATAAGCATGCAACTGCTTGTTTTAATAAAGCTGAAAGTATTTCATCTCCTGATTATAGAGAATAGCTTGTTTCTGGATAGAAAGTAGCTTATAGTTCTCCGTTATAGTATTTTTGCACTCCTTCTCAAGATCTTAAGTAAACTTGAAGAACTCGAGATCGAAGTCTTCAGATTCGAGAGAGAGTACATCTGAGCTATCCGGATCTAGATACTCCTAAACATCCTTTTCCTTGCTCTGGAACTGCAAAATGCTGTACCAGGATGGAAAGGAGTAGGTATTGGTGCACTTTACTGAGAGCGTGAGATTATCAGGTTCGCGCTTCATTGTAGGCTTTGATAGAGCGTAAGTATGACTGTTTGGAACAAAAGATGTGTTCTGAAAGAATAAGAAGTGAACAGCTCAGTCTGTTTCAATAGATAAGGGGAAGATTAAATCCGATTCTTGCGAACCGGGCTCATAACTAAGGAGAAATGTATGAGCTGAGCACGTGGAAGTAGCTGAATGAGTGTTGAGATTGAATCTATCTAATACAAAAGGAAGATCTTCTAAGTAACTAAACCAGGCTCTGAGATGGTTTATGAGGAGACCAAAACAGAGGGTTAGGGTTAAATATGCCCCATTTTTCACATTATATTGTTGACTACGAAAAAGAAGTGGAGTAATTAGTAGATGATAAGAACAGGGCCCAGGACTTCATCTTTCCGGTTCAGTGCCTGCCGACATCAAAGCGTGAAGACAATGTTAATTGCTCAAGATGATTAAGGTTCCTGGCATTAGATAGCCTCATACGACGTACCTTGAGATTTGTTGCCGAGATAGGAAAATACGTTCCAGAGCACTTGAGCATATATGAACATGAAAGTACGGGACGGACCCCAACAAGAAGAGATGTAACGGTGCATCGAAAGAAATGGACCTGCATGTGACCCGTAAGAACCGACATCTTGAGGCAGTCACCCAATGCTGCAATCCAAGCATGGGTCCAACCTGCAGAAGTGACAGATAGATTGGCGACACTTGGGGGGTGGGGATGACAACTTGGGAGCAGATTGTGCGGGATGAATCGATCAGCCTTTTTCCCAATTCATTATTTATTAGCTAGTTGATAATGAATACAACTAGCTCATGTTTTATGATCATGTCAACAAGTCTGAAATCTTGAATAGGAATACAGACCCAATTGGGCCCCTAAGGCGTCGATGAATCCAGTATTAAGTCATTGACTCCTTCGCACATTACCCCATCTTGTTTGGTTCAATTAATTACAGCAGCCAACTGGTCTTGGCTGGCTTTAGTGCATGCGACTCGTCACTCCCGAGTGTCGACCGCGTCCACCTCTTCGTAAGCGACACAGCAGCGCCCGATGGATAACCCTTGACGTCTGGCCCATGCCACCAGAGCTCTCCTCTTCGCCACCACGAGACCGTAACAAAGGAGACGTTCAGCTCGCCAGGCCACCTGTGTGTGGCAATACCCGTGCGCGCACCACGGCGCGTGTACAATTGTGAGTATTGTGGGGTGCGAGCCGCGACGGCGAGCTGCGCACAACGGTCGGAGAGCTCCAATGGCACATCGGCTGCCTCGTCGGCGCTGGCCATGTACCCGTCGATCAGATCCTGGAGCTCGCTCCATGGCGACGAGACCTTGCGAGCATCAGCCTCGGAGCAGACCAGGGACCAGACGATATGGGGTCGTCCTTCTTGCGGCGCGGAGTGGAGCTCGCATATAATCGTAAAGCGGCTGTATGCCTTCTTCTTATTCGTTGTCGTCTTGGAGACTTTGGTGTTGAGGAGGCGTATGTGGACGACGGCGTGGTACCTGCGACCTGATTCGCAGATGAACGACTGGGTGGGGGAGTTCCAGATATTGGAGGGCTTGACCTTGACAGAGGCCAGCTGGAGGTGTTCAGGGAGGTCGAGGGTGAGCCTGACATACCAAAGCCGATGCTGGACTCGGATGGACTCCCTGGGGCTCACGTCTCTATGGATATATAGTGTAGCCGGCTCCGTCGTCTTGAGACACATGTTGTCGTCGTCGTCCTGCCTGAAAAAAAGTTCAGTGGGCAATCGTCTGTAGAAGCCCGAGGGTGTCTTTAACAAGCGGATGCCGATCTTCTTCGTTTCGAAACCCCTTCCCACAAGTTGAGATCCTATGAATAGAATGTAATCGCTTTCAGGCATCTCAATCAGAGATGTCTTGATCCGTAATCCAGAGTTTGTCAGGGCAGACTCCTTGTTCAGCTGCAGAGCATGATCCGGCATCACCTCCCGGCAGTTTACAAATTCCACCGGAGATCGAGCAAGTATGCCTCTGTACATCTGGCTCTTGCATCCTTTGGGTGTTAATGTGGAGGAAGGCTTTGACTGTTGTCCCTGCTTTTGACATGTCCAGGCGAATAGGGTCATGTCATTGGTCTTTTTTAATATCTCCTCCTGGAGGCGGGTGAAGGCCTTCCCCCGTTCCCCATAAATCAAACTCATGTTGACGTCGAAGATCCCCAACAAACAGTACGCCATGTCCTCCTCACGAGTAGTCTGGCGCAGGGCGGCCCACGACATTTTCCTGCCCACCGGCATACTCTTCAAAGAATTGATGTTTTCCAGGGCGGCCAGGTCGATGCCTGTGATCTTGGACACCTCTTCGCTCCGCATGCGCTTCCCTCCGTGGTCGTTCCACTCGCAATCATAAAAGTTTAGGTTCCTCGGAGCGATTAGCTCCTGCAGCGTCCATCCCCTCGTCCACCACCGGCACGCCGGGAGCAGTGGGTCCGGGAAGCTGGGCTCGTGAGCAGGCAGGTCGGATAGGTAAACCAAGCAGAAAGTCGCCTGCTGATACCAGGCAAACATGGAGTTGATGGCCTCGGTCAGTTCCGCACTGCTCTCTTTGTTGATGCAGCAGGTGTCGACCCAGGCATACTGGAGCCCTCGCTGCTTCGCAATGATGCACGTCTGTTCGATCTTTGCGAAGCCTTTCTTCTGACGGCGCACCTCGGGACCCAGATTCTCCCAGTCTTGGAAGGTTACCTCATCCTCGTCCCAAGTATGAGAGAGGATCGCGTAGGGATGCTCATCGTCCGCGCTCAGGAATTCTTCGAGCGCAAATGTCGTCGTATTGATAAGACGCATCTTGAGGCCGCCGGTGGCCCAGAAGACTGGGCGGGGCCTAGACGAGTTGGCGAATACTTGAGGGACATCTATCCTGAAGAGGAACGGCTTTCTGCGACGACGATGGACGGTGAGAAAGGAGGAGCAAAGTTGAACCCCTCGCCAATCCTCCACGAGAAAGCAGGAGGAAGGGTTACATTTTGGTGGTATAGTGCTGACAGTTGCACAGGCTAGCCAGATCCGCTTGCAATCGACGGGGTGCAGTGGCTGATCCTATGTGGAACCTTGAAGGGTACCTGCAGGGCATCCCAACGCCACCCTGTAACACAATGTGGGAGGGAACGATTACCGAGGATGATTTGCATTATGTATGAATGGGCTTACTTAGCAGCTTAGGTTAAGCATAACCTGTTGAGCTTCGATGCTGAGGCATGCTATAAAATCCAACACCAATTACACTCTTTTTTCTTTTCTTTCTTCCCTTGTGGTTTTTCCACCATTCTATTCAAGCTTGTATTATAAGTAGACTAGCTTGAAGTTAGACTATCGTTGTGTTGGAAGTTCGTAAAAAGTACCTGTGTCATTGGTCTGTCTCTTATGAGAAAGAGTGCTGGCCTTGTTGACTAATTATCGCAGCTTTAGGGTGTATGTTGCAGTATTTTGTACATACATCTTTCTGACTAGACAAGTACTTAATGGAATCTAGCAAGCAGTGGGAGAATGGTCGATAATCAATACAATGTCTCCTCAGTGCTGATCACAGAGGCTGTGCCGGTACGCTTGAGGTAATGAGTTTTAAGAAATCTATTAGTATTATTATTATGTAAGTAGTTGAACAAGAAATGTGAGATGCTGAGACAAACCCATAGACGACAATCAGCATTCTGTCAACAAAGCATAGTTATTGAATCTCAGTCAAGAAAAAGTGCTGAGGTTCAAGTTTAATGAATGTCTCTGGCGGTCTCCCTGCCAGTGTCCATATCCAGCCCCTCAGATTTCATTCTTTGCTAAAAGGAACCCTTTCTGCTAAGGTCTGTTGTATGTACGGGACTCGAGGTCCTTGGTGTGCTGCCTGTCGAGCTTTTGCAGGAGGTCTTGTTAGGCTTAGACATAAATTTTCTCCTCAACTTTCGACAACAAATTGTAAATCACGACAGGTAGTAGATTCTCTAAAATAGTACCGGCTGGTAGTCATACATGGACTCAACACGAATTGGATCCAGCCCAAGTCCTGAATGAGCCAGTACCTATCAACAGTCATATGTGAGAAGCAAAAGTTGATAAGTGATGAAGTGTAGAGGGGCTGTACCAACGAACAGTGGAGTAGGCCCAATATTGAATGAATATCTGCTAATCACAACAGTAGATGCATTGCTGGCATCCTTTTGAGAACGGTGTTGCTCTCTGCCTCATCCTAAGATCTCAGCTTTTGTAGTTAGTTCCCCTCTAATAACACTGTCACATTTTGCACTGAGACTCTTGATCGCAATTGTACAGCAAGTATGAGAATCTTCAGTATTGGATGTGTATGATACTGCAGACTGCGGTAAACAAGTCATGTCTTGATACACGTGCACTTCCTCCCCTTTCTGCTCGAAGAAGACTGACAAAATCATTGGAAGTCAAGATGTGTACATGTAGAAAGTTTCCCTCCTTTACTGATCAGGGTGTAAAAGTAAAACCTTTTTGAGACAATGCGATATTCGTTTACAACAAGATTCTGGTTTGGGTCAATCGGAAAGGGAGGGGGGAAGAGAAGAAACAAAGATCGAAGAAAATACTTGATTCCCCCCTCCCCCCTTTTGCAATTCTTCTGATATACACGGCTAACTGTTCCAGCAATTGAGGCCCGGCCCGCATCCCGCCAGCGGTGCCCACCCGTTATTTGGGGTTGGGAGTGGGGGGTTTTGCACAGCATCGTGGAGTGGCATTCGGCAAAAATGTGGCCGATGAACTCATGTGTGATAAGCGCGCCAGTCGGCGAGCCTGGTCTTAAAAAAAGAAAGAAAGAAGTATTATAGGACCTTGAGCAGCCTCACCCATCCATTGCATAGAATGGCGACTCTCAATGTCAGGAGAAGGCAGTAAACAGATGAGAGTTTCGGCAGCAACCTCGAGCCCTTCGCGCGCAAATAGCAATCTTGTTGAGCCTTGAACGAGTGGCTCGCGCAGCATCTTCCAGACGCTGAAAACACAGCGGCGGCAGCGGTACTACGGCAAGATTGCCAGACCATCCAAGACACTTGAGAGGCTTTATCAACTGTTAGTCGAGATCTCCTTGCCCCCAGATTTTGGGCCCGTTTCTTGGGGGAGGGGTTCCGGGTGGCTCTTCAGCGCTGTTCCCCTGGGCCCCAATCACCAATTTCGGTAGCTCCGCATTTCTAGGGTGAGAGGCTCCCGCCTCATAGCATAAGCTTGACAGAAAAAGAGCGGCAAAGTTCCGTGCAGCACAAGAGACTGGCTGACCAAAGACTTCGAACGAAATAGGCAAAAAAGGAAGAGAATAGCCAGAAGAAGAAAGAAAAAAGAGGTAAAAAAAGAGACCTCTCAAAAACACATCAACAGTTCACCACCTGGGACCGGAATTCAGAGAGAGACACAATCGTCTCACACGCACGCATACACACCCACCCACCCTGTAGCACGACGTCACACCTCTTCCCATCCCCATAATTAACACCAAGCTCACCCAAGATAAGGAAGGGACCAACACTCGTCACAACGCGATACCCTCACAATCTACACATCAAGATGCTCAGGTGGTAAGCATTGACCATGTTCACTAAGTTCCCCAACCCAATAGAATTGCACTGCTAACATGTCTTGACAGGTACCAAGCAAAACTGGCCAGCAGGCCCCTCCTCACCCAAGCTGTCACCACAGCTGTCCTCTTTGGTGCTGGCGATGTTATCGCCCAGCAGGCTGTCGACAAGAAGGGGATTGAGAAGCATGATCTTGCCAGGACTGGCCGCATGGCATTCTACGGTGGCTGTGAGTTTGTGCCATGCCTTGCTCTGCCCCCCGGGGGTCCTCCCCCCCCCCCCTCTTCAACCGCTTACCATCTCACTCAATAAACCCCGTCCTCACCCCCTCACAAAACCTGTAAGCTGAATCTCTTGCTAATTTTTTTTTTTAAAAATTAAAAGCCGTCTTTGGTCCTGCCGCCGCGACCTGGTTCAAGTTCCTCGCCCGCAACGTGAACCTCAAGTCCCCCAACGCGACGATCGCGGCACGCGTCGCGCTCGACCAGGGCGTCTTCGCCCCCTGCGCCATCGGCATGTTCCTGTCGAGCATGGCCGTGCTAGAGGGCGGCTCCGTCGGCGAGAAGCTCGACAAGAACTACACCAACGCGCTCACCACTAACTACATGGTGTGGCCGTTCGTGCAGGCCGTCAACTTCAAGATGGTCCCGCTGGAGCACCGCGTGCTATTCGTCAATGTCATCAGTATCGGGTGGAATTGCTACCTCAGCTACCTGAACAGCTCGTAGGCGAGGGAAAAGGGGGAGGGGGTTTGGCAATTGGAGCGGGGGACGCAGGGGACGGGGAAGGGGAGCTGGTGGGCACGGCATGCTGCGAGATGGCAGGGCCTGGATTCGCGAGTTCCTTTCCCAGGCGATGGACGTTGATGGACAGCGGAGTGCACCCGAAACCATGTGATTCTCCAGAAAGATGGTCAGGCGTTTACTAGCATTTGGTATTCATCGTCTTACGTTGGAGTCTTTTGACATGCCAGCGGTGCATAGAAGAAATACACTGAAGAAAGAGGCGTTGGTTAATTGCGTGGCAATAGACTACATGCCCTTTGCACAAAGATTGAAGAGACAGGATGCCAAGTGGTCCCGTCAAATTTTCGCCTTCCTCCTGGTCGACCCATGCGAGTAAAATTGAAGCGGCCTTAAACTGTATCGCGCCTCTTCACCAAAGACAGGCCGAGATACCAACCTGGTCTATACAGCAACATACGATTTGAGGCTATTGGAGGTCAAACTTTCCATCCGGTCCAGCACAATTTCTCAATGTTTTGTTCCTATTTTTGCTCTAGAATCGATTCGCTGCGTCGAGATATCTACCACGTCTTCTATCCATTTTGTCTTTCCTTTCTTTACAAGGAATTAAAGAGTCTCCAGGACCCCTACTGCTCTACTGGGTCGGCCACCACAGCTGGTGCAATAATCTCTTTACCCTTCAGGTGTCCGAGACCCTCGCCACCCTGGAAAAAGGTGTTAGTCGCTCATATGTTGGTTTTGGAGGGGTACAGTCATTTGCACTTACATAGCTCACAAGAGGAGACACCTCGATACCATCGCCCTCACCAGTCACGATCACACCCGCAGCCTCTGCCCACCTCTTACCCTGGCCCATGATATCCTTCTTGCTGGTATCAGGATCATCCTCACCCGTACCCCGCGCGTTCTTCAGCGGCGAGAACTCATCCTCGCGCTTCACCTCTAGACAAGCGAACTTGCTCAGCTCGAGCATGGGGAACACGTCAAACACGAACTGCTCCAGCTTGATGCCGTTGGGCTTCTCGGGCTTGACGGTCTCGCCGCTCTTCAGATCCGCATAGGGAATCTTCTTGCGCGCAACGTGGTGCGGCAGGTCCTTGGCCCAGCTGGGGATGGTCTCGAGGAAGCGGAAGCTGTAGTAGTGGTTGACGATGTTCGCGGCGCGGAACTTGAGCACGTCAGGCTGCTTGGTGTCCTTGGCCTCGGCGGTCTCCTTGTCAATTTCGCTGTACTCGACGACATCCGGGCGGCCGTTCTTCTGGAGAATCAGGCCCACGGACTCGGTGGCGTTACGCTTCCGCACCACCTTGGTGGCAATGTCGACGTTCTTGGACGCAGCGAAGCCGGTGAAGGTAGGGTCGGCAACCTTGACCAGGCAGTTGTCTACACAGTACGCGTGGATGTGCTCAATGCCTCGCTTGCGCATGTCGCCCAGCACGGGCGAGACGACCAGCGCCTGGTAGATGCCTCCGTTGCCGTCGGGGGCGACCGCCACCCTGCCCTTGCTCTCAAGCAGGATCTTGCCCTCGTTCGAGATGCAAGGCAGGACGCCCTGCTCGAAGATGATGACGTTCTCCTTGTCCAGACCAAAGTATTTGTGCTCCTCGAAGAAGGCCTCTGTCGGGCCCCGCGTGGGCCCACTGGTCATGACGTACCAGGGGACCACAACCTTCTTGTCCTGAGACAATCCTGCGTGCTTGTGTGCCAGGACCTCTAGCCTGCGGATCCTCTCCGCCTGGATCTGAAAGAGGGACTTGTGTGACGGTAGGCCGATGTCGAAGCAGCCCTTGGGCGCAGAGCTGCCCAGCCGTGTACCCTGCCCACCCGCCATCAGGACGACGGCCACCTTGTTCTTCGCCGTAAGGTCCAGGCCGGACTTGTACCACTTTTCGAGGTCTGCCGCATCAGAGTCCATGATACTCGCCGTGGCAGACTCGGGGAGAGGCTCGAGTTCTGCTTTCTTGTCATCGGCGGCAGGCGGGTGGAGGGCTTTCTGGGTGATGGTGTTGATATAATCGGGGTCGAAGCCGGCCAGCTGGTGGTACAGGCTGGCTTGCTCGTCTTCGGCAAGGGAGTCGTAGAAAGTGAAGACCTGCTCCTGGCCTGCCTTTTCATATTTCTCCTTGAGAGCTGAGACCTCATCCTTCGAAGGCACCCGTGGAGGGGCCTGCTTGGCGGTGGTGCCAATGTGCAGTGTCTGCTTGACGGCTTCCATTATGACGTCTGTGTTTCGTAGCTGTGGGACTTGGGATCGGGCTCCTGCTTAAAGAAAGGTTCGTGAGATGGAAATATGTAGAGAAGAGGAGCGAGAGAAGGTCGAAAAGAGGAGGAGGACAGATCAGCAGAACCAAATAGGCGGTGACAAGGACGAAAACCGTCAGCTTTGTTCCTCCCATAAATATATACACTATGCAGGATCACAGCTGAAGCTCGCACAAGCAAGCCACTGCTTGTACAGCAGCAGCGTGCCCCGCCAACCCCCTGATGGTAGGGAGGCCTATAGCCCCCCTGTATGCTTCCCGCGTTGGAGGGGCAGTACACCCAATTGGCCCGCTGCAAGGCGCCATGAGCGGTTAGCTTCTCTGGGTGGTCCAGGGGGCTGTCTAGGGTGTCCAGGGTGGGACGTCGGGACAGACTGTCAGCCACCAGTTGCTAATTTATCCACCGTATTCCACAAAGCTACCAAGGACACGAGCTTTGGTTTCCGTGGTGCTTGCCAACGCAGACAATACGAGCTTGGCGCTCGGATTCTCGCCTACGGATCAAGGATTACTACTACTGCTGATAACACACCACAGTAGAACAGCACAGGACAGGTCAGTCCAGGAGTCTGTACCTCTGAACCCACAATTGCCCTCATATGGATTGCTTGCCCTACACGGAACACTTTCTCTGACGGCAACGGTTGGACGTTATTAAAGAACGTACCCCAAATAGGGCAAGAACACTTTGCTTCACCCGCTCCAAGTGAATAACGCCCTAGGCTGACACCGCGATGAACAGGTTGCGTTGTCTAGGGTGTATTTCCTGGTGGCAGTTGAGACCCTACTGAAATTCCAGTTGTAAAATGGGCATTTGGGGATTTTGTTTTCTTGCAACTCTGTGTTATAATCGATTGCAAAGGCCACCCAAATGAGATCGTCACTGCCTACTACATAAGTAGTGGCAGCAATTAGAAAAAATCCAGGGGGACTTATCAACGGCCTTAACGGTGTGAGGTGAGCCTAGCTGTCGACTTAAATTCCAGCCTCTGTCACAATTGCAAACTCTATGCAGATCTCAGCTCACACTGTAAAGACGGTCCACCAATCTTCAGGATGGCAGAGGAGGCACCTGATAGCGAGGCTCATGGTCGAGCTTCGTCTCCTTTATCATCTTTCAGAGGTCGGTTGGACATGGACGCGTTCAAGTTCGAGACGGGAGAGTCACCACAGGAGATCTCGACAGCAGTCCGGCGAAGCAAACGGCTCTCATCTAGCATCACCATGTCCCTCACCGCAGCCACGACCTTTCCTGCAGCCCAACCTGGAGCAACAAAGAACGGGAAGAAGCGCAAAGCAGACGCCCTGGCCGACGCCACACCCCTAGGAGGCAATACTTTCCCGACCCTGCCCGACGGCTCAACTGAGACAGCCTCCTCAACGCCTCCTGCGCCGTCAGCTACCAAAAAGAAACGCAATCGCCCCAAAGCAGGCTACGCACCACCCTCTGTGTACGCACACCTCCCCTATCTCCCAGACGCCCTCGCGCCCAACCTCCTCGTCCTTTTCTGCGGGCTTAACCCTGGCGTGCGGACCGCCCAGACAGGCCACGCTTACAACCACCCTTCCAATCGCTTCTGGAAGCTCATGTACTCGTCTGGCGTGCTGCCCGTGCCCTGCACCGCAGAGGAGGACCGTACCCTACCGGAGCGGTTCAGCTTGGGCCTCACTAACATCGTGGCCCGGCCGAGCCGCAACGGGGCCGAGCTGAGCAAGGCTGAGATGGACCAGGGCGTGAGCATCCTGGAGGACAAAGTGCGGAGGTGGCGGCCCGAGGTGGTGTGTGTCGTGGGGAAGAGCATCTGGGAATCTGTGTGGAGAGTGCGGCACGGAGGGCGGAGCATTAAGAAGGATGAGTTCAGGTATGGATGGCAGGACGAGGGCGAGAACATGGGCGTTGGGGACGTCACTGCAGACGAGAAGATGGACGGTGTGGTGTATCAAGACGACTGGAATGGTGCGAGGGTGTTCGTGGCAACGTCCACAAGCGGACTTGCCGCCACGCTGAGGCCGGAGGAGAAAGAGAAAATCTGGCGGGAGCTGGGCGCGTGGGTTGAACAGCGGCGGGCTGAGAGAGACGCTCCTCCTTGAAGGCTAACAGTAAAGTGTCCTAGAGTTCGACAAGCTTCTGTTGTCGAGGTTATGCCACTCTTGTCAGAGTTCTTGCGGTGCAAACAGCATCTTGACCTTCGTCGTCTCCGACGTATTTGGTCATAGCGGTCTATTATCAGATACCAAGCATAAAAATAAAATCCTTTGCTGTACGCACGCAAAACTCACACCTTCAAATTGCTACCCATGCTCTAAGGGGTCCTGGATAATAATTATGAAGATCTGAAGGTTGTATTGAGTCAATGAAGATTCGAGGCCACAGCTTGAGGGTGTATTTGACATGTTCTCATATCCCAAGCGATGTTGCATGGATGGGTAGGTCGTTCAGATGGGTTGCCCTACCTAACCTCCCTCGCATCAAACTTCTCCCACTGGTGACCCCGCTCGTCGAATCCCGCCGCAGGCCCAACATGCATCTCCTTCCAGCACCGCGCACAATACACATCGCCATCACATCCAAGGCACCGCACCGTGGCATCCTCAAGGCAAACAAGACACCACATCTTGGCGTCGTCGTCCGTATATCCAAGTTTCTTGGAGACCCCTGCGACGGGCCTGTCCTCGGGCTGGAACGTCGGCGCTGCCGGCAGGCCGAAGTCGTCTGTGGCGATGGGTTTGTGCCCTGGGCCCTTGAGCGCGGCGAGGCGTGCTGCTATTGATGACTCGAAGGGGTCGCCTGCTTTCGACGGCGGCACAGGATCCTGGAGGATGCTGGGCACGGCGGGCAGCGAGAGTCCCGCCGAGGCGGTAGTGTCATGAGGAGTTGTGGGGAGGTCAGGGAGAGATTGTTCTTCCGTGGGTGTTTGAGGCACGGCGGGGAGGGCGAGGTCAGTGTCTTGGTGTTGGTCTGGCAGATGGCCACCGAACGCGCTGGTTTTGTCTGCCTGCGTTGTGGAGGCGGGGTCGGGCTCGTCTGGCTGGATGGGCTGACCGGGGCCGCCCTCGAGTTTGACTTCATCTAGTGTTTTGGAAAGCACGTCTTGTATCTGCCGCGACATCTCTTCTCCCTCCGAGTCGTCGTTGCCTTCGCCTCCTTCTGCATCAGGGGGAGATTTCCCGGTGGATGGCAATGGCTGCGCCCCTGCGTCTCGCCTTAGGCCGGCTAGTAATTCCTCCACCCTCTGTGAGGATTCTTCATCATCCTCAGAAACAGACCATTGATCATCTTCCAGCACGAGACTATCTAGTATCTCGTCAAGCGTCTTGCCGTTGTCATCGTCGTCATCATATGCGTGACCTTGCTCGGTCTCGTGTGTCACCTCTGCCCCAACCGTCTTGACAGGTGGTGATTTGGCAGGCGATGGTCCTGCCTGCGAGTGTAAAAATGAAACCGGGTCTTTGTCACCTGCAGTCTCTGCATATGGTGGAGGGGGGTCGCTGAGTGTACGAGATTCCGGAGTGGCATCCCGTTGGTTCCTCAGGATCTTGAGCCTCTCTGATAACACATCTTCCTTGGATGCTGGCTCGGTGGGTCTTTCTCCAGACAGGGGGATGTTCAAGGCGCTTTTGGACTCAGTGTCAGCCTGAGATCACATGGTTGAGCACCACGAATTCCGAGTTACTGACTTTGTGGAGGGGTCGAGCTGGACGCTCGTTGGCTTGAGGGCGTTGAGTCTGGCAAGGAGACTCTTGTCGTTAGGGTCAGCCATGACTCATTTTGTGATGAGGAACGTATTCTGTAAATTCGAATAGGTGACAGGATACCAGGTGCAGATCTTGAAGTGCCAAAGTTAATGATGAAGGGACTCAGCTTCTGAGTTAGATATTGCGAAGTCACTGAGCGGATGAGTGAGCGCGGGCGTGCGGGCTTGTCCACGGGCCCGCTCCCATCTGAGCAGTGCCTCATGTGGGGCCGCCTACTTACAGTAGTGGAGTGGATCACAGAACCCCCCCTGTCGCCTATCCATCCAAGTCCTCCAAGCCAGGGATCACAGGGTTGCACAAGTGTATGAACCAATCAAATTGCTGTCTTGACTGCTACCTGTGACTTTCAGGATGAATGCTTGTGTAACTCGAGATATGTCACCAAGGCTGAAAATTTCCCTCCTTTTCTCCTTGTTTCTGTTTTCCTCCCTATCACTCACATATCAAGGAACAGAACCATTTGGATATAATTGCCATGTGTTCAGGGAGGACCTACGCTTGGTGTTTACCTGAGCTATAATCAAGGTGTCCTACCTGGCGGAAGCATGGACATCGATGCTACTCATCATGATAAAGGCATGAGATTGGGTCATATTCCCCTGAATGTCATCTTGGATATGGAGAAGAGCAAAGAGCCTCCAGCTGTGCTCAAGGGAGAAGAAAGAAGGGCGGGATACATGGCTTTAGCTGAATAGATGATCAAGAGTATCAGCTTCGAGTGACCTAGGTCAGATGGATGGGAGATGGATTTTTCTCTAATTGCAGCTTTCACGCCTTAAATTTTTGGACTTTTGAAGGGAACACATGTCATGCTCACATCATACATTGCAAATTGGTGGGACTCGAACTATTAGAAGACTTCATAGACTCTAAGAGAGCTGGTACACAAATGGCATAAAAGTAGAGCCTACACTTAGCACTTCTTCCTCTTGCACATTGACAAGGAGATGAATAATTTAAGTATCGACTGAGAGGAACATACATGTTGTCCCACAACTTTTCCGTGGACGCGCTCAAGAAGGTTGAATATGTCATAATAGACGGAACAATAATATACTTACTCACTCCCCTTGATCACTGGAACAGATTTAGAATATCAAATTTCTCCCTACAAGGAACTTGGCAGTCATTACATAAACCACGGCTGTACCAGCATCACCATCTTGCATGCATGCCCCGGATATCATCTAGCACCAATCGATCCCATATCATCGTCATTCAGAACATGTGTCATTTCTGGTTACATTCATGTTTAAGGAAACTCATGGGAATTATTAGAAACTTGTCATTGAATATCGTCAGTTCTGAGTTAGAGCAGAGGCGATATCGACTGGATGCTGAATCTAAGAAAGAGATAACATGTTCCTGCTAGGAACCCAGAGTTTCTGAATACTTGTTTAGTTGAAAAACATTCACTCCATAAAGGTGATTTCATTTGAGTCAACTTACCCTCTCTCTAGGAGGGGCATTTTTTCCTTTGGTTTCTCTACCCCCCCCCCCCCGGGGCAAAAAAAAAACCATCACCAATACTTCCACCCTTCTCTCTCACCCAGTCTTGATGCTATGTTTTCCTTGTTTTCGGCCCGGCCTTCCTTACTTCTCGCTGCTGCTATCGTACTGTCGTATATGGTACTGTAACCGTGTGACGTTTTGTTACCTCTTACATTCGAGCGTATTGGTTCGACTTCTAGTGCCACCATAAACGGCTGCCTGTGTGACGTCCAGGTAGGCATGAATTGTGGAGCCACTGTAAGCTTATGTTTAACGCAGAAAGGCTCGCTAATGCGCGAACTGTTGTTTATAGTGCAGGGGCGGTGCAGATCCATGCAGTCAGGCAGGAATCAATTATATACTTGGTATGCAGTGCCCTCAGTAGGGAGACATTTTTGGAGGCCTTTTGGGGGCCTCAAAAACTTGAATCACCACTTCGACGGCATCACATTAGTGTACAGATGTAAAGTCACCAGGTCACAAGAGCCAAGAAAGCAAGTAAAAGCGATCATCAAACGCCGAGAAAGGGTTCAAATGGTTGGCTGCCCTTTTGTTAGCGGGTGGCACAGCAGGGCAAAATTAAAGACGGCGGAAATGATTGACAGGTTGCGCCTCATCCTAGTGGACTCTAGTCTTACTTAGTGGGAGGATGCGCAGTGACTAGGGCCTCTGACGTCGAGTATATGATGGCCGGTGAACGCCACCCGGATCATCATCATGTTTGAAAATGTCATGTTCACTAGATACTGGGTATCATCTTGGCGTTTCACTTTTTTGCCTGAAGTCGCCTCTCTCAATCTGGCGCTCTTCTAAAACCAAGCGCATCCTTTTTTTTCAGTCTGCGATCACATCACGAAAAGCATCAATAATTATTTGATGCCCAACCACCCATTCTTCTTGTTACCTTCTATTTATTCGTCTTTGTCGCCAGCTACCGCACCAGCGCGCGCGCAGACATACACACGCACACCATGAAGCTTAATCTCCTCCTCGCGGGTGTCGCCCTCTTGGACACAACTGTGTCGGCAGCCGCAATTCCCGATGGCTCCGATCTCACATCCTTTCACGCATCAGCACAAGCAAACACTCAGCGCGACGACGCAGCAGCAGCAGCAGCCCTCCCCTTCTTCTCGGACCTCTTCAAGCGCAGGGGCGGCGGCGGAAGTGGTTCTAAGGGTGGCTCAAGTGGAAGTTCGGATTCCGGCTCATCCTCATCCTCATCATCAGGCAAGACAGGTTCCTCCAGCAGCAGTTCCTCCTCCAGCAGCAGCTCCAAGGGTCTAGGCTCCTCGTCCTCTTCGACCGGCGGCAGAACCACCACAGGTTCCGGCGTCGCCGCCTCATACGGCGGTGGCAAGTACTATGGCGGCGGCACCACCGTGCCGTACCGGTCTGGCGCGCGGTCGACAGGCGGCCTCGTCGCCCTTCCCTTGCTCAGCACGGCCGCGCTGGTGGCATTCTGGCCCGGCGTGTGGTACCACCCGGCCTACCTCTATCCCTACTCGAACCCCTGGTACTTCCACAATGCGACTACGAATGCGAACGAGACGAAGCCCGTCCAGTGCGGCTGCGAAGAGTACCAGGAGTGTGGCTGCGACGAGAACAACAGCACGGACTATGTCAACAGCATCCTGGGCAATGGAAGCTACAACCAGCTGAACCAGAGCCTGGTCACCGTGGCGAATGTCAACGGTACCGATACCATCCTGCTGAACGGGACGCTACCCAACGGCACGACGGCCAGCGGTGGCACAGACTCGCCCAGTGCTGCTGCGGGCTTCAGGCATCTGGCGGAGACGGCTGGGTACTGGCCCGTCGTGGTGACTGTGCTGGCTTTGGTGTTCTTTGGCTAAGAATATATTCCTGATTTGAGTGAGCGCTCGTCCCCTGATTACGATGCGTTGCCTCTTGCTTGGTATCTTCGACTTTGGCGAATGAATGACGATTGGTGATACTCTGGGATTGGACTGGCGCATGACGGTTTATGGAGAGAGAAATGGCGTTGGGCGTCTTTTCGCCGGAGTCTCACAGCGAGGTCGGATATTTGGCTAGGCATAACAATTTTAGCTGTTTCCCCTAATTCCGAGGTCTTGTATGCATGAGTGTTCTTCGGACCAATGTGCGAGCCAATCTTTGTCACAAGGATGGTGACAGTTCTCGTAGATGCTGCAGGAGAGAATTTCTCCTCTGCGGAAGGGGCTGAGACGCCGTCTTCTCCGTCTGTGACCATGCTTGCCTCGGAATTGAGAGGTGGAAGCACCTAAAAGCAACCTTGGAATTCCTAGCCCTCCTCGCAATCCGTCCTACTGCTTTGACTTCCCCTCTTTTAGTTGCTCGTGAAGGGCATTTGGCATTTGTAGCTCACGTTCTTCTCTTCCGATCCCGTGGCGGCAATTGTGGCTCCGAAACTACAGTCCAGGTAGGAGGTACAAATTTGCTACAGTGGCATACTAAGGATGCCGCCCACAAGCAATACATTGACATTTTTACTTCGAAGACGCTCAGATTTTTTCCCAAAGAATTTCCTGGCAGTCAACCCCCGCATTTTTATTTGAGGTTCTCGAAAAGGAAGTAGGAAGAGAAAAGTAAGTAAGTAAACCACCTTAGTCGACCCCCGTGAAGAAATGCGCGCTCAAACAAACAAAAGAGGTGCGTGTTTGCCCACCCAGGTTAACGCAGCATGTCCCTGATTACGCCCGTTCCGATATGCTGAACTCATGTGCCTCCCTCCGTGCTGTATCATACTATCCCGTAGTCATTTGTCGTTATACAATCTGGTGTCCTTCCACGTCAGTAGTCGTTGAACGGCGACGACCACTAGTTTGTTCCGTAGCCACGGTCTGAGCTACCTCCTCCGCTGCGACCTGTGACGTCCTGCCAGGTAGCTTGGAACCGCCTGCCTGTGCTCGCCAGAAGGCCCTCTTCCTCATCCTCCTCTGCTTCCTCATCGATCTCTGCGTAGTTCAATTTGGGGGCGCGGAACAGGCTCGTCACGAAAACGATGAGGAAGACGCCAAGGAAGGCAAATTGCGCCCAGAAATCGATGGCGCCGAAGACCGGCCAGTTAAGTGCCACGCGGTTCAAGAAAGTCGACATCACGGAGGGCGTGCACACCGTGTGCGCGGCCTGGCTGTCTGCCAGCTCGGAACAAGGCTTGATCAAGTCGCGCAGGCCAGAACAATCAGGTTGATCACCTGGGTGGCGGGGTGGGTTGTCGCAAAAGACTTGGGTGCCATAGGTTGAGTATTGAGGTGCAACCATGGCGAAAATCGAATAGTTGATGGCGAGGATGATGAGCGCCAGCATGACGGTTGCAATCAGGAGGGCTTGCGGAAGGGTCCTACCCTTCTTAATCTGGAAAATACGGATCCATAGAAACCGAATGCCGATAGCCGCGAGGCCATTGATTGAACTGCCAAAGAAAAACAAGATGAGTAGGGCCATGAGGATGTAGTCGACCGGGAAGGCCTTGGCTGTCTGCACAAAGACCCAGTTGATGGGTTGGAAGACATTGATCTTCCCCAAGATGTAGCCGCAGTGTGATTTGCAGATGGAGTTGGCGGCCTTGTCTATGCCAGTTATGAGCATAGAGATCCAGATCAGGACCGAAAGAAGCAGTAGTAGGATGCCTCCAATAAGCTTCAGAGGCCGGAAGACAGCCTCAACCTTCAGCCAGGCCTTGTATATCCAGCTCTGTCCCTCGCCACGGGCCTCAGAAGCGAGCCTCTGTCGTCGTACCAAGGTCTGCTCTTCGCGGACGAGCAGCTCCATCTCGCGCTGGTCTTTGGCCGACATACCCTCAGGGTTTCCCGCGTTGCGCATGTCCAGTTGGTGTTGGCGCTCCCTGTTGCTCTCCAGCTGAGACTCTGTCGTTTCCGACAGCTGTGGGGCAGAGATGGACGGAGCTGACTTGATCCATGATACCGGCAGCAGAGCTAAACCAGCGCCAGTATACAGAATATAAATCAGCGTTCCCAGAGTCACCAAAAGGCCCAATCCAAAAGTCAGGGCCTTCTCTCCTTTATTCTCGGACAGCAGCTTCTTGAAGTAGTCGAGGTCGAGATGGCGGTCTACCCTATTTCCAGCAGCCGGTACGAAGAAGCCGACCAGGAAGAGGATCACCACGAGAAAGATGAAGGCCACTGTGTATTTGAAGGCTCCCCAGAACTTGGCACCGAAGCCCCTGGTGCCCTCCTCTTCCTCAACCTCATCGTATTCCTCATACCAGAAATACGAGAATGGGATGATGACGAGACACAGCAGAGCATCGAAGCTGTACAGTGAGTAGTAGACGACTTTTAGGGTGTAGAGGATGTTATTGACGCGCTGGGGAGTCGCCCAATCCTTCTTCGCACCGAGCGAGGTCGAGGTCGTTGCAGAAATCAAGGCGATGTCTACTGGAAGAAGCAGAACCGTCGCGAGGAGGGAGGTAAGACTGATGATGGCGACGATGGTCACGATCGCAGATCTTTCACGAGGGGCCTGCCAGATGAGGGTCGTGACGGTGGCAGCGATGAGGGCGAGCGCGACCGCGACCGCATACGCCACCCAGATCAGACTGACCTGCAAGTAGCCTGCAGAAGCCATTGTTGTGTCGCGTTGTGCTGGCTGCCGTGCTGTGGTATTGTCGTGTAGATTGTCAAACTTTGGATTGTCGAATTGATTTTGTTGACTTTTATCAAGTCAAGTTGCTGGTGTTGACTCTCATGCCACCCCACAACATTTGGGTATGATGACGGAGGAACAGTTGGAATGTGAAAGGAGACTTTCCATGAAAAGGTCAGGAGGTTCGTATTCTAGTCCAAGCTGCAAGGCAGCATCATGCACAACTGTATTTGCCTTACAGTGACGTCGAGGTCTGCACTGGAGCCACTGACTCTAGGTGCGACAGGGAGCTTGGGCCTCTTTTCATGCGCCTACAGGGGTGTTTGTGGGGTCAAAACGGCAGGGGCTGGGGATCCCGGCGTGAGCCTGGGCCATCTCCAATTCTGGTAGCTGTGCAAGGCTCAAAGTTGTCGCAAAGGTCCCTTTCTCACCACTACAACACATCCTTCTCCCCCAGCATTTGCAATTCCACAACAAGAACAGCACTGGTGCTTGTCAGCAGCCTCCCTTCTGTGGCTCTTTTTGTGTCTTGTTCTTCAATTCACTAGGAACAATACTGAGCTGTTAGCTGTCCTTTCATGGACAACATCTAGCATGACCGGACAGGATTCACGATGCAGTGCTATACTGAGTTGACGCCTCCCACGGCTATCACCCACTCTCTCGATATACCCTTCCTGTCAGCCCAGAGTAACAATCTCATTGTTGCAAGGTCATCTCTCCTCCAGATCTTCAACACAAAGACCATTACTGCCGAGATCGACAACTCCCAGTCCTCGACCCTCCACTCGACCAAGGCAACTGCACAATACGACAGCCGGATCAACGACGACGATGGACTCGAGTCCTCCTTCCTGGGTGGCGACGCAGCCTTCCAGAAATCCGACCGCACGAACAATACGAAGCTCGTTCTCGTCACCGAGATTAGCCTCTCGGGAACGGTGACGGGGCTGGCGAGGATCAAGACACAGAACACGCTGTCTGGCGGCGAAGCTCTGCTGGTCCAGTTTAAAGACGCAAAGTTGAGTCTGCTGGAGTGGGACCCCGCGCGATACACCGTGACAACCATATCAATCCACTATTATGAGCAAGAGGAACACCAGGGCAGCCCTTGGGCTCCTGCGCTGAATGACTGTGTCAACTTCCTCGTCGCAGACCCTGGGAGCAGATGCGCCGCCCTCAAATTTGGCTCCAGGAACTTGGCCATCTTGCCCTTCAAGCAGGCCGACGAGGAAGACATTGCAATGGATGATTGGGATCCAGATCTAGATGGGCCCAAACCTGCCAAGCAGGAAAATACATCCTCAGCCGTTGTAAATGGAACTAGCAACATAGAAGACACACCATATTCACCATCATTTGTCCTTCGACTTTCCATACTCGATCCCAACCTCATCTATCCTGTTGACCTCGCGTTTCTCTACGAGTATAGAGAGCCCACATTCGGCATTCTATCCTCCAAGCTGGGGCCGTCTGCTGCGATAGGTCGAAAAGACCACCTGTTCTTCATGGTGTTTACGCTAGACCTACAACAGAAAGCTTCCACTACTATTCTTTCTGTCGGCGGTCTTCCCCATGACTTGTTCAAGGTCATCGCGCTGCCTGCACCTGTTGGTGGTGCTCTGCTTGTTGGCGCCAACGAGCTAATCCACATCGATCAGTCGGGTGCCTCTAACGGAGTGGCAGTAAATCCCTTCACCAAGCAATGCACGGACTTCAGTCTCACAGACCAGTCTGATCTTGGCCTCCGCCTGGAGGGCTGTACTCTCAACTTCCTCTCGCCAGAGAATGGCCAAATGCTGATCGTTCTGTCTGACGGCCGTCTTGCAACCCTGGACTTTCTCATTGACGGGCGTAGAGTTTCCGGCCTCACCATCAAGCTTGTGGCTCCTGCGTCCGGGGGAAATATCATTTCAGGCAGGATATCATCACTCAGTCGTCTAGGCAGGAACACCCTGTTCGCAGGGAGTGAGAGCGGGGACTCAGTCGTTTTCGGCTGGATACGCAAGAACAGCCAGACGTCAAAGAAGAAGTCTCATATGCAAGAGTCTCTTGACTTCGAGGACTTCGATGAGGATGATGTGGAAGATGAGGATGACCTCTATGCAGATACGACCACAGCCACGCAAGCAAGTAGTGGTGCCGCAGCCGCGAAAGCAGGAGAGCTGGTGTTTCGGATCCACGACACGCTCACGAATATTGCGCCGATACAAGACATTACGTACGGGAAACCGCCTGCAGAAGCCGACGTGAAGGTACAGCAGAACTTGCTTGGCGTGCAGAGTGACTTGCAACTTGTGGCTGCCGTGGGTGTTGGGAAAGCTGGCTCTCTTGCAATTATGAACCGTGAGATACAACCCAAGGTTATTGGCCGCTTCGACTTTCCCGAAGCTCGGGGTCTATGGACCATGAATGTTCAGAAACCTATGCCAAAGGTCCTGCAAGAGGGGAAGGGGAGCCAGGCTATGGGTGATGATTACGACTTGTCTGCGCAGTACGACAAGTTTATGATCGTTGCGAAGATCGACCTAGATAATTACGAGACATCTGATGTCTACGCGTTGACATCAGCTGGCTTCGAATCTTTGACGGGAACAGAATTCGAGCCTGCAGCAGGCTTCACGGTAGAAGCAGGGACGATGGCAAACCATCGCCGGGTGATCCAGGTGTTGAAGTCGGAGGTCCGCGTTTACGATGGAGGTAAGAGTACTGACATTTACTGATTCTGATTTATTATACTGACTTCGTTCAGATCTTGGTTTGGATATGATCCTTCCCATGCAAGACGAGGAAACTGGTGCCGAGCCACGAGTTTTGAGCGCCAGTATCTGCGACCCCTACCTCCTACTCATCAGAGATGACTCGAGTGCATTTGTCGCTCAAATGAACTCAGACGATGAGCTAGAGGAGGTCGACAAGACCGACAGCGGGTTAACGTCCACAAAGTGGGTATCGGGCTGCTTATACGCTGATACGACTGGGGCTTTCGGCGCGGCACAGGGAGAGACAGGCTCACGCAATACTTTCATGTTCTTGCTCAGCAACACTGGTGCACTCCAGGTCAGTGGCCTTTCAGAATACTGCGTATAAGAAGATCAACTGACGTTACATAGGTTTATGCCCTTCCAGACCTGTCCAAGCCGGTATACACGGCTGCGGGACTGAGTCACATCCCCCCCATTCTCACGCCTGAGTGGGTTGCCAGACGTGGCACTTCCAAGGAATCTATCAGCGAGATTCTTGTGACAGATCTTGGGGATATAGTCGCAAAATCGCCACATCTAATTGTAAGCTTTCTCGCCTCTCTCTTCAGTGCCACATATAAGCTGACTTTCTGATAGCTGCGGCATGCCAATGATGATTTGACTATCTATGAGCCCCATACAAACCCGAACGCCACCTCAAAAAATCTTATGTCCTCACTATTCTTCCGTAAACTACCTAATAATGCGTTCGCCAAGTCTATTGAAGAGCCAGCAGAAGATGACGACACGGCTGATGAGGTCCGAACAATGCCACTGCGCGCCTGCGTCAACATTGCTGGGTACAGTTCTGTTTTCCTTCCAGGACCAACACCAAGCTTCATCATCAAGTCAGCCAGGTCCACGCCAAAGGTAATCGGGCTCCAAGGGGCTGGCGTCAGAACCCTGAGCTCATTCCATACTGAAGGCTGCGAGCGAGGCTTCATATATGCGGATGCCGAAGGCATAGCTCGTGTCACGCAGCTACCAGCAGAGTGCAGCTACTCAATCGGCATGTCCCTCAGGAAGGTCCCGCTGGATGTGGACGTTAATTCTGTGGCATATCATTCCGCCGCTGCAGTGTACACCATAGGCTGCAACATCGAAGAGGAGTTTGAACTTCCCAAAGATGAGGACAGTAATCCACAGCAGGCACCCTTCTGGACGAAAGAGAAGATCACCTTCAAACCGGTATCGGAGCGCGGTATTTTGAAGCTCGTCAGCCCACAAAACTGGAGCGTCATTGACAGTGTTGACATGGAGGCATGCGAGATCATCCTATGTATCAAGAGCCTCAACCTTGAGGTCTCCGAGTCTACGCACGAGCGTCGCGAGCTGATTGTCGTCGGTACTGCTATCTCAAGGGGCGAGGACCTCCCCATTCGGGGTCGCATCCATGTCTACGACCTGGCGACCGTCATTCCTGAGCCCGGCCGGCCGGAGACGAACAAGAAGTTCAAGCTTGTAGCCAAGGAAGACATACCAAGAGGTGGTGTCACAGCAATCTCGGGTGTCGGCACACAAGGCTTTGTGCTCGTTGCTCACGGTCAAAAATGCACAGTCCGCGGTCTTAAGGAGGATGGAACTTTATTGCCTGTCGCTTTTATGGATATGTCCAACTACGTCACAAGCGTCAAAGAAGTTCCCGGCACAGGTCTGTGCGTCATGTCGGACGCCTTCAAGGGCGTGTGGTTTACTGGCTATACCGAGGAGCCATACAAAATGTTGCTATTTGGGAAGAGCAACACCAGGTTAGAGGTGCTGAATGTTGACTTCCTGCCTGATGGCAAGGAGCTCTTCATTGTGGCAGCCGATGCGGACGGGAACATGCATGTGCTCCAGTTCGACCCAGAACGTAAGTTCCTCATGCCTCTCCAAGAGCCGTACCTTTAAGCACTGTTAACAATATACCCTCAGATCCCAAATCTCTTCAAGGCCATCTGCTCTTGCACCGTACTACCTTCAACACTGGTGCGAACCTCCCCACAAAGTCAATGATGCTTCCGCGCGTCCCCCTGCCGCCCTTGCGTGGGCAAGAGAACGGCGCAGACCTCAAGAACGGTGATGCAAAATCACAACCCGGATCACTGCCAACACAGATCCTCCTCTTTGCCTCGCCCACTGGCTCTCTCGCGGCTCTCAATCCGCTGTCTGAGGCGTCATACCGACGCCTCTCATCCCTGACATCGCAGCTCATCAACACCCTACCTCAACCGGCGGGTCTCAACCCGAAGGCTTACCGTATGCCGCCATCAGCGACGCAGACGACCGCCAAGATGGGACCCGGAATCGATTCTGGTGTCGGCACGAACATTGTAGACGGCGCGATACTTGCCAGGTGGAATGAGCTGGCCAGTGGTAGACGGGGAGAGATTGCTGGGCGGGCTGGATACTCCGAAACAGAGGAAGTCAGAGCGGAGCTAGAAGGGCTGCTCGGTTGGGGAGGACTGAGCTATTTCTAGAGGGTGAGCGAGCGGTGCGGTGCATGCAAAGATGCATTATGGTCTTCTGGGTCTGTTGGTCATAGGAGCCTCGACAAGGTCAGGACAGGAGGCTTTCGAGGATGTAAAAAAAGAACGCATCAGTAGACGAGCGAAAGGCTTGGCCGTTCAGTGGGTGATGAGTCTTTACCTCAAAAATTTCTGTATATCTAAGTAGATACCAATTAAGTCATCAGGCATGCCGGGCTTGTTTCTCGTCGCATACCTCCACCAGTTGCATTGCTTCTTGAGAGACTGACTTGGTCTGCCCGCGTCGGCTGAACTTTACATGCTGGCCAACGAATAAGAACTTACTCATTGGCAGCCAAACGAGCGACGAAAGAGAAAAGAAATGAGATGTCCATGAAGGAAGAGAAGAAAACCTATGCAGCATGCACTAGGTGAAGCACTAAGAGGTCCACCTGCAACCGTAATGAGATGGGTGTACCGAGGCGAGACACACCTTCGATACTACACTCCCAGCGTGGTGGCCTTAACGTTGTTTGCTTTGCAGGCATGACAAGATCAAAAGCATAAATTCAGGTGCATAACTCGGTTGGTCATCAGCTGTCTCACCGCCAAAACCATAAACTAATAATCACAAGAAATCAAAAACAAGAAAGAAATGCAAAAGTGTGCGCAAACCCGGAATCGAACCGGGGGCCCATCGATGGCAACGATGGATTTTACCACTAAACCATTTGCGCAACTCGTAATATGGTTGAAGGTTGCCAAATTTCAAAAACTTATAGCCCTAGCACAAGCTGTGGCTCCAGAAGGGGTTTCAGCAGGTGTGGGGCAGGGCAACTCGAGATGTGCTAGCGGACCACTACGGAACCTCGAAATCATATTCGAGAATACTCAACCTGGGGGTTGCCATTGATATCTGAATCGTCCGATCCAGGAGCTGACGGAGTCGTTGGGCCACAATATGAAGATAAGTTATGAGTGTGATAATACGATTCTGCGACCTAGGCGGACTTGCTAGGCCACTTATGTTCGACCATGGCCTTGGTATACTTGATCTTATCACATTGCTAAACAGGGACATCTTCGAGGTCGAAGTCAACGGCCCCAACATGGCAGACTCTCTGTGCCAATGGACCAGGGATAGATGACATACCAAGCCTCAATTTGATGCCTTCGCAGAACATGCACAGGTCTTCGAGCTATGATATCCTTGAGGGAGTGGAGAGGGGTTCTGTATGCATCTATACTTCTCAAGTGCCCTGCATGCGACACAGAACGAAAGAAGGAAAAGCTGGCCGCTTATCACCCAAGACGTATGTCTACAAAGTCGCCATCCTTACGTTTCTCTATCGGCCTTAGATTCCACAGGGACATCCACCATCAGCTGCAGTAGCGACCACCCAACCTGCGCCGCTGCCAGAAGCGTGGTCTCTCCAGGATTGTCATAGATAGGAGCCACCTCGACCACATCCCCTCCAACCACCTTAAGCCCGCTCAGGCCGTCCAGGATGGTGAGGAGCTCACGACTGGTCCAGCCGCCAGGCTCGGCTGTGCCAGTGGCTAGGGAGATAGTCCATCAGCCAATTTTCCAACAGAGGGAAGAGAAATTACTCCGGGTTCGAACCCACTCACCTGGAGCGTATGCCGGATCGAGAACATCAATGTCCACGCTGATGTAGACATTCGAGTCTCCCACGCGCTTCTTGATTTGATCTATGATCCCGTCCGGACCGATCTTATCAATGGCTCTCGCGGTGATGAGATCGAAGCCGCAGCGTACGTCATTGCGGATGTCATCCTTGGGTCTCATCACGGGGGCTCGGATACCGGCGTGAATAGACGTGTTCCTGATAAGGCCCTACAACAAGTTGGAGGTTAAGCGAAGCCACTCAGGTCGGCCGGGGGTCACCTAGATAGTAGATGGGGGGTGACATACCTCCTCGTGAGCAATATGCAGGAATGTGCCATGGTTGATGCCACTTGAAAAAGAGTGTCAGCTCAGACAGTCGTCCTCCATGTTTGAAGAGAGGGGGTATCACACACGCGTAGTCTGACAGGCCACCTCCTAGCACGGACGGATCCCAAGTATCTGCGGATGCGTTGTTCAGCCCATGGTCGCTCCTGACAGCAAGACAAGCGCGAACTCTTTTACTCACCAATATGGCTATCGAAATGGATGACCGAGACGTCGCCCCACTTCTCAGCGGTAGATCTCAGCGCGCTCAGCGTGGTCGTGTGGTCACCACCCAGCGTCAGGATTCGAGGTGTCTTAGACACGCTTGAGTTCGCAGCTGGCCGACCAGAGATGACCTTTTTCATTCAACCTCATTAGCATACACGGCTTTCAAATTTCACGTGGCTTTTTCCTCTTTTCTGTTTCTCGCCACCACCACAGGTCTGTGCCAAAGAGAAGACTCCCCCCCCCCCTTTTCCCCACCCAGAGGAAAAGAATGATCACGCACTCTATGAGCCTTGTCCAGCTGCCTCAGCGCAATGGTGTTGTCAAACCACGTCAGCCCGACATCACCGCAGTCCACGACCTTGGCCCACTGGTTTAGCGTGCCCTCGCCCGTGTAGACAGAGATGGAGTCAGGAAACATGCGCTGGCTGCCCGTCCTGATCCCGCTCGGCCCAAAGCGGGCGCCGGGTCTCCCAGATGTCGCTGTATCGAAGGGGGCCCCGAAGATGGCAATGTCGTACCTGTTGTCCCCGGCCTCCTCGTCCGAGAGGGCGTTCACGTAGGGCAGGTTGGCAAAGGTCTTGAGACCGCGGAACTGCGAGCCCGTCACAATGTCGATGTCGCTGTCATCCTCGGGTATAGAGCCCAGAGGGCGCTGTTGTTGCACCCAGAAGGGCTGTTGGTTTGCGTTGGGGAGCTGCCATGCCCTCGCTGATGCTGCGAGTGTGACGCCCGCTTCAAGCAGTGTCGTGGATCTCATCGTGAATTTGAGGCTCTCTTGCGTAGGAGATCTGGACGGGGTTCCCGTGCACGGTGGGAAAAGCAGATACTATGTATTCACTTCACAGCTAAAAAGTTGCTCACCCAAGTTCTGTTCTATTCTATTACCACTTGGTCATAATCATGGCAAGTCTGACGCAACTTGCCGGATGCATTGCCTATCATTCTCCCACAAGTGCGGCGGTCCGAAATGCGGGTCCGGCCGGTGTGAAGGTCGAGCGCGGATTAAATAGCTAGCTGCGTCCGACCTCAGCTGTTCTCCCTTTTCTCTTCCCCGTTTCACTTGCTCTTGACTTGAAGGATTTTCAGAGCTCAAAGGGTGGATGATATCTCATCAAGTAAGTAATGGTTTCGTGCTGTGAATGAGGTCACTAAGGACTTGAGTGCGCTGCGCCTTAAAGGACTGGTTCTTTGTTGCTGGCGCCTGCATGCCTGCACGCCTGCAATAAACAATGTAGTCAGCGGCGTCACTTGTTGGCAGGAAGGCACAGTCAGCAGGGTCGGTAGTGCTTACAGGAGATTTCTCCGAAGCCAGCTAGCACTAGAGGACTTCCCTCAACTTCATCCAACATCAATGACTTCATTTCATTTACACAATCCAGGTTTCACTGCAGTTGGTGGACGGGGTTCTTTGGGGTTGCATCCGCCCGGGTAAATCCAATGCCTTTCGGCTCAAATCTAGCCGCACGTGCCGCAGTATTGCCGAGGCAATAACTTTGTCCGCAGTGCAGCAACGATTCAGGGATGGCCTCGAATAAGGTTTCCCAGCGTTTGAGATGCCCCCCCCCCCCTTTTCTCTGTCCACAAGCATCTTGATTGCTTGGCGCTTGCTGAATACTAAGCAAACAACTATGACTGTCTCCTTTGTCGTGAACAGAGTCAACTTACTCTAGTTCTTTCCATCGACATGCAGACGTACGCATGAGTCCAACGTCGCCGTCATGGATCATCACCACTCCTCGCATGCAGGCTCTAGCAAGATCAGAAGACGAGCCAACAAGGCATGTTTAGCCTGCCGAGCCCGCAAGGTCCGATGCGATGTGTCTCAGCGGGGCCGGCCGTGCATGAATTGTTTTCTGGACGGCGAGGCTTGTGTTGTGATCGGTCGAGCTTCAAGACGGTTCGTATCGTCGAGCCTGAGAAAGGAGTACTTGCCAGGCTGACACTAGCCTACAGTCGGGCGTCGAATAACACCAACACAGGGAGTGGCGACAGATCAGCCGAAAATGCAGCCCACAGGGACCCACAAGCTCAGGAGCAGCTTGAGGGAGGGCGTGTCGAGACCCCGGCACAGCCTTCGCACGCTGAAGCCGTTGCAGACATGCTGTCAGATCATGGCAGTGAAAATTCGGACAGTGGCATCAACTCTCTGTCTAAGGTCACTGCTGGCAGTACTCTAGACTCAGAAAGAGAATTCAGCTTGAGAGGTCCGGAGGAGGACTCGTATCGAGGACTACCTCCGGCACGGCATGGTCCACGGCATGAGTCACTGCAAGAGCTGCTGCATCAGCACGCACACTCGTCGACAAGAGCGAGGATCCAGCAGCTTGAGTGGGTGGGTGAGCAGAGCATGAGGTTCGGATCTGACGTGACATACTCCTACTATCCATTCCTTGAGGTCAACAACCTACCAAGTATCTTGCCGCAAGATGTCAGTTATCTCGAGATGCAGGGCTGCCTACGCGTACCCGCCAAGCCAATACTGGACGATTTTGTCAAGCAATACTACCTTCATGTTCATCCCATCATGCCGCTTGTGGACGAGGGTATTTTCTGGGAAATGTACGGCTCTCAGCCGGGTGCGATCTCTCCCAAGGAGCGGTTGTCGTTGCTTGTGCTGCAGGCAATGCTCTTCGCCGCATGTAGTGTAAGTTCAAACTCACGTCACTCTTGGCCAAGTGACGACTGACGTGAGTCTAGTATGTCCCACGGAAAAGTCTTCAGACACTCGGATTTGTAAATGTCAAGTCCGCCAAAGAGGCATTGTATCGTCAAACGAAGGTGAATTGATCGGTCTCTATATTCTGAATACCGGGGACAGAACTAATTTGATACTACCTACAGCTGCTGTTTGACTTTGGAGCCGAAGCCTCGCCCATTGCCAGCGCGCAAGCCGCTCTTCTTCTCTCAGCTTGGTCCCCACTCACCACGAGTGAATGTGCACACGCTAGCAGCTATTGGCTCAGCGTCGCAATTCAGCAAGCTAAGAGGGCTGGAGCACATCGTAAAGACCACATGCCCGATACAGGGGTTCCTCCCCACCGCCGCGTCTCTCTCAAAATGCTATGGTCTTGTATAATTTTACAAGACCGACTCCTTTCTCTCTGCTCTCGGAGGCCGATCCAGCTGTCCAAGGCCCATTATGATACCGACGACGAATGGTTTGCCGCTTGTGAGCCTGGGTTGCTGTGGAATGAAGCCAAACGCGGCCGAGCCTATAATGTCAGAACGAAGGCGACCTTGAATGCCATCTTCTCGCTCATGGTGAGCCTCGCATTGGTCCTCACGGACCTTCTCACTGAAGTTTGGCCGTTAAATGACGAGCCACTCTGGGAGGCACGTCGTGATCAAGAGGTTATGCAAAGCATCGGAAGCTGCAAGGCGCGTCTGAATGGCTGGTATCAAAAAGCCACTGCAGCACTTTCCAAGTCGCAACATCACCGAGTTTCCACGGATACTATCTTTGGGGACGATTCTCATGATGAGTTTCAACACGAATCCGTGACCCTTTACAGCAACTACATGTACATGCTCTATCAGTCAGTTGCCCTCAGTCCGTAAGTCCACTGCCCTTTACGGAATCTGAAGCTAATTCACTTGTGGCATGTAGTTCTGCCCTGACAAGACTCTGCCACCATGAGGGCCTGTATTTGATACGCAAGTTTCACTCGACCCAAGAGAATAGCATGAGTCTCCGAGAAAGAGCGTTACTTGCCGACAGCCGCCGCGAGATGGAACAAGCAGCTTGGGCAGGCTCCCAATGCCTCAAAGTCCTCGTGACGCATCGACTGTCGAGATGGGCACCAACAACTTCGTACGCATTTTCTCGTCCCACTCTCCGAGATTCATTGACCTGATGTAGTTCCAGCATTACTTGCATATCAATGCCGCTGCTTCTTTGTATTACCAAAGCCAAATCGTTGCCCACTCCGAGTGTCGAGTATCATCGACTTTGCGACCTGAGTGAGGCCATCAAGAAGTACCAACCGCAGCCAGACGTTGAAGACCATTTGTACGAAGCCACCCAGAGCATCCTTGACGTAGCACTGCTTGATGACGACCCTACACCTGCAGCTCCCTCATCTGCTGTGGCTAGAGAGAGCGCGGCGGCAGGGGGCGACTACAACGATACAATCTCAGAGTTGAGCTTGCATCCTGCTATGTGCCTCCGCATCGCCTTGGTCTCTGGCACAAGCCGTTTCGCTGGTGGTAAGGAAGATCCTGCTAGCCTCCTGAGGTTATTTACCGCCAAGAACCTCCATCACATTCCGTCCCTCCTAAGACACGGTCTATCAGGGGAGGTCAAGTCTTCAGGTGCAACCTCAGGACGGAGGTCGCCATCAGCATCAAAGTCCATAGAAGAAGCCCTGCGACAGACTGTAGCAAGATGGACACAAGAGGACCAGGCTGTCAGCTTTGGTGTGCAGCTGGGCATCGTCTCAGCCCAGGCGGGAGGTGAAGATGGCGTCAGCGAGGGGGGCCCTGAGGGTAAGAGCATACAGAGCGTTCTGGGCCAGGTTTTTTCTGAGGCTGCAGATACTCTAGAGGGTAATTTGTTGAGTGCTTGTGTCCTCAGTCCTCAAATAGCAAGAGCAGAGGAAGGCTTGTGATGGACAGCATCATGCCAAGACAATTTGATTATCTCCTCCTGAATTTGTCTTCTATCCCCCTCCGTCCCTCCTTTTCTTTCCGCTGTCTAATTCTTAAGGTAAGCCATTGACTTTGTCACCTCTGTCCCCTTTTTAGGTTTTGGAAAAGTGGAAGGGGGGAAGGGACGAGGAGCCCCCCCCCCCCCGTTCGGTTGCATAGCACGGACCCTTCCTACATAGTAGCAATATTGATTGCCTCAGCCGATGATTCGTCTCCTCTTTGTCCCCTCACCAAATACAATGCAAGCCATTTCGAGTCCCAATTCATCTGCCACATACCCTCCGACGACCGATGACATATATCTTCAAAAGAAATGCCGGCACTATGAGCAAGTTCACATGCTGACATCAACCTGGAAAGCCGACACGGACCGAACGGCAAACTCGTCAAAACATGTCCAAGGCACCCCAAAACCTTGCTGCATATCAGCTGCGCGCCCCACTTATCACACAGCATAACATGCCACGCCTGTTGACAAGGTGTTTAAAAAAGGTGCTGACAGGGTGATGGGATCCGGAGGGAAGGGGGAGAGGCACCAAGTCATGGCGCATCTCGTTGATACAACCTTAGCGGCTCGGTCTGTGCCGCACTCGGGGCTCCTCAATCTTGACGGCCGGGCGCTTCGAAATCGCGACGAGGATCTGCTTAGGTGGCACAGGAAGAGCTCCCGGGCCCACCGCCTCGCATCCCGGCAACATCATGTGAGTTTGATGAGCTCAAGAGGAGAGCAAAATGCATTGTCAATCCGAGAGAGGGAACATTGCTTGTGCTCGATTTGGATTCCTCGTGTGGGCCAATCTCCTTCCTACCCCGGGCCCATTTAATTGGAATGTCATACAAGAAGACCGCCTGGCCAAGAGGACGAAGTCCACCAATCAACAACCTGTCTTTGGTACATTACCAAGTCTCATTGCTGCCCCAGATCCCCCACTCTACAGCATGTCACACGCCCATGCACCGGTATGCCCGGTACCTTTTTTCACGCTCCTCCTTATGGGCCCAAGGCTGAATTAGTCTAACAGGAAAAAAGACATCTCGATGGCCTGGAACACCTTCCATCATGTCATAACAGACACGCAATATCTCGGTTTCATCTGTTGCAACTGGCATGTCTGGACAGGACAGTACCCTGACGGCTGTCCATGGACCAACATGCGTGGCTTGCCATGGCCGACCGAACTCATCACCAAAGCATGAGAGTGTAGGCATGCTACAAGAGGGGGGGCGCTTCTGTCGTCCTGGGGATCTTGCTCGACGAGTGTCCATGCCACGATGGCAGCATGCACCTGTGCCCACAGGCGCGTGGACCCTCAATGCGACTGGGGAGATCCATGCCCGTCAGCTTATCTTGTCCAATCAAATTCTAGTCTCACCAGTCCACAGCGTTGCTGTCACCACACGCCTTACCTGGAGTAGCCTAGACCGTCCCGACAGTCTGGTAAAGGTCAACATGATTGCCTCTTTTCTACAGGGGGGCCTGCCTGGATGGATCCTGCGCACTTCGCAGGCCACTCTGGCGCCCTCGGGTCCTGGTACAGACGATGGTACTGTTCTTTGGTACTTTTTTTTCCATCCCTCCCTGCCTCCCGAGCATAGATCCCTCCCGACCTGCCCGAGATGGCGCAAGAGGCATATGCCGGTCGGAACTTCATGGATCTCTGGACGGGCCCCTGGACAGGTCACCGCCTCGACAGAGCAGACCTGATACAATGAGCTCGTCGCCCTGAACAGGAAGGGGTGCCACAAGAAGGCCAACCGACTCCTGGACACGACATGATCCTCCTGTGTTGTGGGCTAGGCATGTGAGCACCTAATCGTCAGGATTGTATTATGATGGCTCGTGCTGAGCTGCCGAGAAGGATGATGCCTCAAACTCACGCTTTGATAGTACATCCAAGATAGGCACGGCTTATGGAGACATTGTCCTACAGAGCCTTTTCTTACCGACTCTCACGCCATGGCCAAGTGTATGAATGGTCCAGCCGGACTGGAGTCCCAAGAGGAGCCCTCACACCCGGACGGTGTATCCGGTAACCTCGCGATGCTCAATCTGGACAGCAAATCCCCACCTCGCCGTTCTCTGATCCACCTCTCTAGAGCAGCAACCCTTGTATGCTTGTTCCTCCTGCGCGGAAAATGGTTTGGGCTTCAAGAGAAGAGTGGGCTGGGCTACCTTGTCGTCTTGCTTGACGACAGCTGGCGCCAGAAGCGTTGGGTCTTGTTGCAGGGCTGTGTCTACTAAAATTCTGCGGGGTATCCTGCTTGTACCCTGTCCGTGGAGGGAGGGGAGGGGGAGGGGGGTGTGGGAATGCGCTGTCATGTACAGGCCGTGGCCGTGACCAGCGCATACTCGACAGAACACACCCTCCCTTCTTGAGGCGGACGGGCTGGAAATACAGCTCGCTAGAGTGGGCGAGCAGCACCGTGCCAGCTTGGTTGCAAGAACGCAACTGCGCCTACACACCAACCGCAGGTGAATGTACCCAACTTCTAACCCCCCCTCCCCCGGCAGGTCAGGAGTCTATACAGCAATGCAGCCGCCGCGGAGGGGACAAGCCATAAGGGACCTTGCATTTGCGAGCGCACGTAGCTGTTCCTTCTGGACCATCCTCCAATGGTACCACGTCTGCTGTCCCGACTCTCTGGAAACCAGTAGAAAAAGTCTGCGAAAGGCGCTTCGCCCTAAATAGTTCAGATCCTCAATGGCTAACAAACCAACATTCGATGTCGCATGGTGGAGGCAGGGAACTCCAGGCCCACCCCTACTGCATCAATGTTACCAACATGCGTTGTGTCCTGAACGGGCGAGGGACATCTGCTGAAATATGTGGTAGCCAATTGCGAAAACTGTCTGTGGTCAACAGGTTGCATTTCTCTGAGAGATAGTGCCTCTCCTCCTTCTCCACTCAACCCCCATATTATAAGACCACCAGTCAACAACTACAAAGGAAGAAGAAAAGGAAAACTCTCCTATATCGCTAATGATCTCAATTACGACAACTTTGTGGGCCTGAGTCGACTTACTTGCGATGCACTCCTGAGTTGCCGGGCTACAAGGAAGGCCAGACGAATCAAACGACTGAAGAAAACGTCTCTCTCACACACCAGAGTCTCAGACGTTCGGCGTCCGTAGCCCTGCGCTGACCAAGGAAGGAAAAGAATTTCCCCCTATAATCATGGCTTCTCGGTGTCAGAGTACTTCTCAGGCTTCTGCACCTCATACTCCCACCACCCTCCCTACTCTGCCACCTGTCAGCCGCATACTTCCTCCCCCCGTTCAGGACTCGCGATGCTCGACTTTCACGGATCCTATACACCATTTTAGCGATTTAGAAGGAAGATATTGGCACGTCCGCAACGCATCAACTTGCTCGTCCGCCACCAGTGACCAACGCCCATCCAAAGGCCGTTCAGGACAGAGACGATGGCCTGGCGACCCAAAGAGGGATGCCAGTACACCAAGGGTTCTAGCCGAGGATTCAAGTCCGAGACACTCCAGGGACAACGAAAGCGGAGGTCAAGAGCCTGAGTACCTAGAGCAGTCGCTGAAGCGATGCAAAATTAACGATAGCGATTGGATCAGCAAAGCGCTGAGTCAAGGACAAGAGCAGTGGGCGCGGCGTGGAGTGCCCGATCCACGACCCTTTCCCCTGCAGACGCCACCGCCAGAACAATTGGAATCGCCCTTGCCACATCCTCATTCACGACAAAGCACGCCCACACAACAGCATCGTCACCGGACCTCCCGCTTCCTCAGCCCGTCTAACCTTGCCCGGTCATCTGGTCTACACTCCGCAGCGGGTTCACGGCGATCATCATACATCTCCTCAAGCACTGCGCCATCTCCCAGCCCAGTTCCCAGCCATACTACTGTCGCCTCGACGAGCCGACCGGACGAAGCTTCACCTCCAGACACCTCAACCGTTGCGACAGCCTTCTCCGACATGGAGCTCTCCGTCCCAGAGCATCCAGTAGCTCCTGTTGAGATAGACTTGACCGGGACCTTTGAGCAGATACACGGCATGCCAAAGGTCAACTTGAGATGGCGCACGCCGATGGAAGAGCCGACCTCGAGAATAGAGTCCCTCCCACAACAATTGTTCATGCGCATCATGATGTACTGCGGGTACAGAGAACAGACTCTGCTAAAGGAATGCAGCCACAGGCTCTACCGTATGGTAGATCTCGAAGCAATCCCCTGGGAGGTCAAGACCGAGGCTATCCTCTGCGAAGAACGCGATAATCCCAAGAACTTCCCCAAGAAAGAGCCGAGAGCACAGAACAAGAATGAGCCCAACGAGGATGGCGGGAATGCAGAAGCTGCCTCCTCTGATACAGAAACAACTTCACGGACAAGCGCTGTCGACAGCAAGAAGAACAATGACAAGACAGCCTCGGACGGACGGAAGCCGGCAAAGGGCAGATCAAAGCAGACCAACAGCAAGTCCAAGTCCAAGCAAGCAGCCGACAGACCCAAAGCCCACCCGGACACGTATGGAAAATGGGGCTGCTATTGTTGCTATAAAGTCCTGCCGGCACATTACTTCGAGGGCCAGCTGCTGGAAGACAAGGAGAGTCGGGTCGCGAAAAACCAAGATGCAACGAGGGCGAACGCTGACGAGGCCGACAAGAAGGTCGACATGCGGGTCGAATACGTCCAGATTCTCGGTGTTGTTCCTGGTGGGAAGCTGCCGGACTGGCTTACAACAGATATGCGCACAGTACAAACAAACAATATGGATGACTACGTGCGGCAAAGGATGGAGAGAGGAGTAAACCAAGACGACCTCAGGGCCTACTACAGAGACATCAACAGGGAGAAGCACCTTGTCGCACCGCTCCGGAGCGTCAACCCAACATTCACCATCTTGCCAAACAGTTCTCCGAAGTTGAATCAAGAGCATCTTGGGCACCTAATCAACAACGACAAGAAGTCGAGAAACGCAATTGACTCGACTGGCGGCAACAATATCAACAACCCAACAAAAGCCACTGCTTTCACCGAGAACATTGGCTCTGGGTTTGATGCGGGATCCCGCAGGCCGCTCTATAAGCTGCCAGCTAACAAGGCTGCTCGAGGAGGGCTCGAGGCTGGAGGTTACACATACGAGCTCTTTGCCCCCCGGGGCAAGCTTCAAGATGAAAGATACTACGAGGAGCCGACCATGCCAGATACCAAGCAGGTCGGCCACATTTGTCTTCCGCAGAAGAGTTCTGAAGACGAGAAGTTGGGTATACCTTTGGGACCTCAGGTTGGAGATGTGGTCTCGCTACGTCGGGTGTGTATTCCTTGTGGCACCAAGTTTGCGGTCTACAGGAGGGATTGCAATCGCAAGATTATCAGCAAGACCCAGGAGGCCTGGTGGGTCTGTGACTGTAAGCAGGTCAGACTTGCTGGAATGAGCGATGGCTGCAAGGCATGTGGCAGCAAGGTCATCTACTAGTCATGGGATGATATAAAAAACGGTGGGCTCGGGCCAAGTTGTGCTCCTTTTAACAACAATGAAGCTGGTTAGACTACGCTTCTTTGGTCTCTACACTACTATAGACAACATTGCCTCGTGGCCTTGATACCTTTTAGAGTCGAACCAATCTTCAAAATAAGAGAGAGGAAGAGAATTAGACTTGTACCAAGCTTGCTCGCCCATGATAGCAGATGGCCAAAAGTCTAGCTGCTGTGTTTCTTGTCAAACACCTCAGGTAGAGAAGTCACCTAAAGTGGTACGACACACTCTCCAAATTGGTTGCCGAGTATCTGTTTTCTCCCTTTCCAACCACAGAAACTAGGCCAGGCTTCCGTTACATCCAAAAGAGGGGGTTCATCAACCAACAGCATTCAGATCGACAAAGAACAAATCCAGGAAAGCGGGCCGGAGGTACGCAGCAGAATTGGGTAGCAAGTCGGCCGCCCAAAACACACACACACACACACACACACACACACACCCCACCCACCTCCCCCTCGTCTATAGTCGGCAGCCCAGTCCACCCAGGCGCCGTGGTGGGTTCCATCTCTGTCCTCTTTTGGTATCAGCTACAGGACACGAAGTGCGCCGCCAACCCTTTTTTAGTCTTCTTCTTTTTTTTCCCGGGTTGCGGCCGCTGAGGTTGACTAGGCCGAGCAAATCCATCTGCACCAGACTTGAAAAACTGAGCCCCCCTCCCCTTCTCTCAGACAATGCGACAACCTCGGATGTGAAAACGTTAGGTTCCCTACAGGCCGCCTTGGCTGAAGTGTGTTTCTGTTATTATAGACATTGGATGAAGCACATATTGACTATAATTCCTGTCCACCCAATCGCGTCTATTTTCGACTCGAAAGCCTTGGATCTCCTCCTGTAATTTTATCCTCGCTCGTCTACAGTTGCAGAGCTCAGAGCAAAGTCCCATCCCCCCCGGCCTGGCGTGTTTCCACCTGCGCCTTGCCTCTTTGTTTACCGCACTACTTGCATTTTTCATGCATCTAGGTCCCGGCGTTCTGGTTCACCTAATCAAATCACGTCTACAAGTCGTATGACCTTAGGCAAGAAGGCAGTTAAGTCCTATGCCCTGTTTATGAAGAGTTATTGTGTGGACCCTCCTGGGGAGTTACACTAGCTAGTGCTCACGGCTCAACCCCCTTCTTTCGTCGCGAGATTGCGTGAAGGGGCCCGGGGGGGGGGGGCAGAAGGAGAAGGCGATCAGTGCGATGCACTATGCCCTACACCGCAGCAGCACCGCAACGGCGAGCATTGACGGATTGGTAAAGCAAAATTTTGAGTTGTGGGGGTGCGACAATTGTTTCGTATGGGTGTTCTGATGGCGCCATGGGACGGAAAGGGTTGTGTCTCTGTGCAGCGAAAAGACAGCGAATCCAAGGCCGATAGTGAGACGACACCCACACCCACCCACGCGCACACACAAAAGAAGGAATAACAGAACGAGTTAATAATGACATGCCAATTTATCGATACTCCCAACGGCTTATGCTTGATGTTTTTGGGGGGCCGGGAGGAGGGGGGCTACCAAGTCATCTCTACTATACTGCGACAATTATCACATCAACAAGGCGCGCATTCAGTGTCTCCTAACCAAAGAAACACCCCAGCTCGATGTCCCTCATACGATCTACTCTCAGAATACTAGCAACTTAGCATTACTTCCGCGGAGACAAGAATACAAGCCCAGCCTCTGAAAACGTTCTCAAGCCTTCAAAGCCCTACATGAACGTCTTGACGAATCTCTCTCTGTCTTGTCGTGCTCTCACTAGCAGGGAATCACCGGCGCCTAATTTGTCCAGGGAAGCGCTTGTGCCATGCGTTATAACAGTGATAGGATCTATCCCACCTGCATGGACTAGGACAGGTGTCTCTGGCATGGAGGGAGGGTAGCTTTAACGGTTGATGCCGGCACTGTGCGAGATGAACTGTAGTCCCTCGAGGTCACCGATTCATGACTGCATACACATGTACATCAAGTGAGCCTGTCTCTATTTCTGCTTTGCCGAACTTGGCGAGCCTCCCAACGTGCATCTTAGCCTTGCGACTTTTCTCATCACGGTACTTGAAGGAAGAAGAAGAACCAGACAATCGGTCTTGTCGGCACGCCGAGCGCGCGGTAGTCTCAGAACCAACGGTCAAGAATCCTTGCCACGTGGTGTCTTGGACCTTTGAAGGCATCCGCCTTGCTTTCATTTCATGAACAGACTAGCATCATGTACTCCATCATCATCGGGCTGGATATGAATGGAAAGGCGGATCAACAGAAGCTTGAGTCCCCTTGTGCCTTGTGTTTTCTCCTGAGGGAATATTGGCTCCGTGTTGGTCTCACTTCCTAATTATGAGTTTCTCATTATGCCATCGTATATGTTAGCTGTACACAAGTGTAGATATACTCATCGCGCCTGGGAGGTCTTGGCCAACATTGAAGCATATAATATACCAGGTGTCTGTAATGGTCGATGCTGCCCAATGTCCTCCCATCGTCACATACGCACAAATGCATCACATCCCACTCTCCATGTCACCCTCCATTTCCTTTATTTGTAGAAGAGGCTTTAGACATAATCAGCCGAGATCCCGACGGATGCGTGGAATAGAAGAAGAAAAAACGCGCGCCTGACGCCCCTCCTTCTGCCTAGGTACACATCTGCAAGTCCCGAGATGTGGCTCCTGCTCGATCCAGGGATCCGCATGCTGACGCTTGACACCCTCACCAACTTACCACTAGCCAGTCAGGTAAGTATCTTAAACGACTGTTGGTACTTAGCGTCGTCACGATAACCAATCAACCAGTCAGGCAATCACTCGGCGCCTCCTCCAGAGATTATCGGTAAGGCTGTCTGTCAACAAGACCGACCGAACCTGGTAGATCATTCAACACTAGCATGGGGGTGTTCATTATAATGTCGGCAAACAGAAATCGTCTCTCAGGATTTTCAAGTAGAAAGACAAGTCGTCCAGCACTAGTAGATCTCGGCCCGCTGGCCCTTGTGGCAAAGTTATCTCTTAGGTCGCAGTAAATGAGCAGAGCTAGGGCAAGCAACGGGTGCCTTAATCCAGATCGTGGCCTGGTTCGTTCTGTGCGTTTTTCCCCCTTCCTTTTCTTCTTCAAACTTCCAGGCTGCTTGGAAGGAGTTTCCTTCTACTCAGGATCGCCCTTGTGCACCGCCTACGCAAGAGCCGGCTATACCCAGACCGTGGTGTTCCAAGGTCTCGGACTACTTTCATGATAGTGCTGTGCATTTGGGTAGTTTCATGAGGTTGCTGGTTTAAGCCGCCGACAGTGTCATGGTGTGAAGCCTTGTTTTACCTGCCTCAATACTTGCGGAGCGCCAGCCGTTTCTCCGTTCATTGGTTGCCCTCGTGCCACATCCGTCATATACTCGTATCTGACACGAAGTCTTCTTTTTTTTTTTTTGACGAGCTTCCTGTCTAGGGACTTGAAAGTTCCAACAGGTGTCTAGTAGAACAATAGATGCAGATGGACGGCGGTCTGAGACAGGGCAGACATCTTCTTCTGGTTGGAACAGGGCTTGGAGCCCATTGAAGGTGCCCCTCCCGCTTGTGACCTGTAACGAGTCGGTGCATCTTGATATGAAAATCCATTACACAAGTACCTTATTCAAGCGAAAAAAGAATTGCCACCTGGCCAAGACCTCACTCACATCTTAGCAAACCTTGGAACGGTAGCGCTCGCGAATACTTCTCAACTCATCGCCTGCAGCTTAGAAAAGTCAGTCTGTTCTACCTGGGTCAAATCGATGTCTCGTTCCAGTTGTACAAGTGCGAGATTGATCTGCCTGTGGCTGACACCCGCGCGCATTAGATTTTCTTGACGTATGCTTTGCCACGCTCTGAGGAGCAAATCTCACATGAGATGAGCTCCGCTCAGCTCAGAATACTGCCGAACACTGTCAGCAAAACGTTGCCTGTGTCACCGTGTATATCTCACGTATAACATCTATGTTTATGTTAGTAGGCAAGTGAAAAGCTTTATGCCATGCTAATTCGTAGCTGAGAGAGTAAGCGATGGCCCGTCCTTCTGGCCTGCTGACTTGTACAGCCGTACCTGTTCTCAACCTATAGTATCCTATTTCTCGAATCAGAAAGTAATTTTTTCTTCTTTAATTAATCCTTCATTGGTGATCTTCTCTACCATCATTGCCAGCAATCAGAACTGGCCTGCGAGAGGAGATCCACATATACCATTTCATCTCAAAAAAAAAAAAAAAACCCCCCAAAAAAAACCCAGTAATCTATGGAGCTGGCTTGCTTCCCATATTCATTGCCCATATTTAATCTTCAAAGGCAATCTTTATGTGTTACCTCTAATATAGCAGACGTTTAGTCAGGCACGCCACAAGTAAGAAGAGCAGAAGGTCGCTCCACTGCTGAACTTGTGGATGAACGTGACACGGAGCCTGCGATCGTGATGGTGATTGTTATCCTTGTTGAGTAGCTCGTGAAAGCCCTGGTCCTCTCTTCAGTAGCCAAGGGCGCGCATGTGATTGATATCAGAGTCGCTGAGCAGATCTCCAAAGATCTAAAAAGGACTTAGAGCATGTACACTTAGATTCTGAGTTCTCCCTTACTGAGCTTTCTGGCACATGTCCAAGTCATAACCTGTATGGAAATTTGTCATGTTCATGGCTCAAACGTGAAGTGAAAGGAGTGGTGTGAGGTGCACCAAAGCCGTAAATTTTTGGTGTTATAGAAAAGAGAGTGACTGATGCTGTCCTGTCTCTCGCTGTCTGTTACTAGCTAACACATTTCATATGGTCCATTGCCTCACTCCGGTCGTGCCATGTAGGCAGTTCCTCGCAGCACACTCTTGGAGTTTATCATTGCTACTGCGGGTACCAGGCTTGAAGACCTTCCCATCTTTGAGGGCTGAAGCTTGTCCCGTGGCAGCTGTATTGAGGGAAGCCACTGCAGCAATATGACTACAGAACTTCATAATACAGCAGTTTCTGGCTCCAATATAGGTGCATAGATTGGAGAATGTAGATTACTTGAATAGATCCATGTCTGTGCTGAGACCTGAGCAGCTCTCTCTGCGCATCTTCTCTTGATAGCCCCTTTATCTCTCAATTCAGGGTGATTGTATTCTTGATGAGACCTACGAGAGCCAACAGATTGAGATGCTCCACGCGATCCAGCTGCTGCTTTCATTGTTAAGTGTCTAGATTGGATGCACCACAAGATCTTAGCGGTGACAGTGTTGGCTTCAAGTCCATCCTTGGACACAACCCCGTGACTGGACATACTTGCATGGCGTGTGTGGACGATCTCACATCCAGGTCTCGGAACTATGTGGTTCACTGCAACTTCCTAACACCATTATGCATAATGTAACCCTGTGTTTCTTTTGCTAAATTTATGTGAGTTCTGTGCTCTGATACTACGATAGGGACTCCCTGATTGTTGCCTGCTTGTAGGTATGCTGTAAGTTATGGCTATGAGAAACGCAGAAACTTGGTCTATGATGCAAAGTGATGAGTCCAAGTGAAATAGCTCCTTGCTAAAGTTTTGATAAAGTCTCTCACTCATACGAGGATGATGTTGAAAGAGATAAACATTACTCAGCAAAATATTCCAGCTTAGTTAGAGAAAAACCCTGATGATCTTAGTATGGACTTCATCACATTGGACAAAATCATACAAAATCTATAAAGATCAAGCTGCAAACTAACATACTTTTACCTGATAATATCATTTATTCTTCCCTAAAGAGAAGTTTGCTTATCAGATTCTCTGGTTTAGTAATTTGGCGTTCATTAATATGCTAGATCATAAGCTGCTTCTGTCTGATTTAAAGTGTTATCTGCACTCGTTTGTTATTCACTTTGACCTCATCCAAGCTTCAGCATCAAATATCCAGAAAGTGAAGCATGGAAAGGATAAATCAGATGGCTTGACAATAGGAAATATTCAGAATATTGACTTGATCTCTTGATTCGCATGTTGACAAGTTCGATAGGGTTCGAAAAGATTTTGAAAAGTGTCGATGCACATGTGAATATTTTCCAATCCATGCCACATCTGAGAATGGAAACTTTCTTGTATGCTCATATGCATCGATACCTGAATTCATCCCATCACGTATCAAGAAGTTTCGAGAACAAGGGAAGTCTGCTCCATTCACCAGGTAAATACTGGAATGTGGTAGCCCCTTCCTTCTGGAGCCTCAGTGCCCCGCTTCCCTGCTATATTGCACCTGCTTCATCTTGTTAATTGTCTGAGAAGCTGAATACTTTGATCTTCTCAACAATTCCAGCAGCTTCGATCATGGCTCTCGCACCCCAGCACTAAGTATTTAACTCCAGTTCCTTTTTCCTTTGGCATCCGTTCTTCTTCCTCTTCCTGTTCTGTCCCTGCTTTTTCTTTTCTTTTCTCCCCAACAATCATTAAATTTTTTCAAGATGGCAAAGCCAACAACAGAGGAACTTATCCAGCGAATGTCCCAAAACGGGGCGGGTACTGGTGAGAAGCGCACGGAAGCGGTCGAAGACCCTGCTATGTTGCGCGCAAGGCTTATTGAAGCCTTGAAGAAAGCGCGACTGATAGAGCGGGAGGAGGACCTGCTTCCTTGTGCTTCTCAACCTGATCCTGCCCGCCCACCGGCCCCTTCTTCCCTCCCTGCCCAGTCCGTCTCGCCTCAATCCATATCTCCATCATCCAATTCGACCTTGACTGCGGCCGATCAAGAATCGCCGGCTTCTTCCTCGTCCTCCGAGCTTTCACACGACTCGTCAGACGAGGAATCACAGGAATCGACAATGTGTTCACCAAAGACAGCAAAAGAGCTGTCATTATCGACTGGCCAATACCATGCCGTCACCAGTGACCACCAAAGCGGTCAGGAGCCGGATGATGAGCCCCAAGCACCAGGACTTGTGCTTGGAGGCTACGTCAGCGGAAAACCTGTATACTTCGCGACTAAGGAGTACGTTTTTCCTTTTTTCCCTTTCGCAAAGACCCTACCTCAAAGAGGCAGGGGAGGTTGAGAGACACAGAGAGTGAAAGGGAGAAAACAGAATCGGCTTTGCTTACGTTTGCAACAGAACTTCGGAGCCCAAAGCGATCGAGACCAAGACGGCCATTGGCCTGCGACACGTACAACAGCCTATAGAGACCTGCTTTGGACAGACGCCTACCGATGTGCTGGCTGGCGCTGAATCGAACCAGCCAAGCCTCCCCTCAATGCCACCCAATCGCACCTTCTCCAACGACTGGTTCGCTGTTGGCAAGTCCTCCTTGGGCGGCTATGGCATCTCTGCCGCCGTCGATATCCCGAAGCATACACACTTCCTTGTCGAGAAACCATTCATCCGCCTCAAGAAGTATTGCGAGCTCCCAGGCAAATATGCAAAGCTGTCTCAGGAAGAGAAGCTCGTCTTCGACAATTTGCACGAGTTCGACAAGCAGGACAGAGCGCCTGTCTTCAAGAAGTGGAACGCGAACAGGTTCGTGCTTGGGAACGATAATAAACAAGTCTCGCAGGACAGAGTGAATACTGATTTTGTACTCCAGCTTCGTCCTCGGCCAAGGCGAGGGCTGCTTTGCTATTGCTTCCAATTTCAACCACGCCTGCCACTCGAAGCGCAATGCGCAGTACTGCTGGGACGGAAAGCGGCGCGTGATGACTTTCACCTCGATACGCGAGATCGCGAAGGGAGAGGAGATCTTCATCTCGTATGGCTCGGTCTGGGAGTTGCTCTTGGAGAAGTTCGGCTTCGCCTGTGAGTGTGGAGGGTGCGAGGGCTATGGCTGGAAGATACCAGCCAAACCCTGGTATGCGGAGTAATAGAAGGCCATTGGAGGGAGCAGGCGGTATTGCAATTATTTCTCTTCACCGAAAAACTTGCCCAGGGGAAGAGAGTCGTTCTGGGGGAGGCATAACAGAGCCTGGGGGAGGAAGTTGAGATCGGGATGGTGGATATCTTTTCCACTCGGAAAGGACTACTTTGCGCATTTGCTGCACCTTCGGGGCGTTTGCGGAGTAATCAAGTCTGATCAATGCATACATACGACAGTTGGGAGGGATGAGGACTGCATTTGATAGAGATCAATATATTTGCGTTACTACTTTGCACGAATGAAGAACATTGGCACCGTCGATGAATGACCGCCCTCGTCCTTATATTGATATGGTGCCGGACTTAGGCGATGCCTCGCCAGTGACAGCCAGGCCCTCTCAAACGGTCTCCCCTGATATTGTTCCCTCCAAAATCGAAGCAGCCGTCTGATTTCATGCTGTCTAAGAACCGGAGTCGCAATCGATAACAATGATGAAGCATTTATTCCTGGCTGAAGGGCACAAGAATGGGAAACAATCTCGCGGGATCATCAATTGTGTCGGGTGACCAAAGGAAACAAAAACATGCTCATCTGCTTTGAAATCATGCAGGACACCAACAGAAAAAACTCGCCCGTGTCTACTGGTAGTTACTCAGAGGATGTAGAGGCCCTACTGCTCTAAGGACATGTAACCCCCTCTTCTCCCTCAAGCGGCCCTGATTATTGCCCTTCTCCTTACATAACAAATTGGCCTCGAATTATTATTAGTCGCAATTGCGCACCATCAACGCCAGTGTCTTTGGGGGGGGGGGGGGAGGGCAGGTCTGCTTGTTGATTACTCAACTACGAGGAATATCCGAGTTGTATATGTCAGCAAGTAGACGCCTTGCCAGCGACTTGGGTGTGCGTACTTTCTTTTCTTCCGAGGTGGAGGAGGGGGGGTGGGGGCCGGACCGTATAACGCAGTGAGCAGCATCTTGCCGTGGCTTTAGCGGCTCAGCTTTCCAGACAAGACACCAAGTCAACCATTCAAGGGCCTTGAAGAATATCCCCGAGGGCCTTAAACGCCCAAAGAAGGGTCGCTAGTCCTTTCGTCCCCCAAAAGTCCCTCGCGTCTTCGGCTTTTTCCGTGTATTCGTGCTTGCCGGGGGCCTGGCGATGATAGGACTATGTAATAAAAGGACACCGCCCGAGTGGACATCCTACGATAGCTGGCCACCATTGCTTCATCTTTTGACTATTTGTTGCAATCATGCTGACCGATTTCGTGGAAGCTTTGCATCGCACAAACCTGTTGGAGGCTGATGTCTTATAAAAAGACAGTTCCAGGCGGTCTGGTCCCACTTAAAAAGGGGACAAGACGTTCTTTCGTATTCATTCATACGTGCGGGACCTGATTGGACGCTCACTCACCGACCTTACATCATTGAGTTCATTTTTGTTTGCTTTACTTTTCAAGGTGCTTGTGTTCAATCTGTGATACTCAAAATGGGCACAGAGATGGAGTATTCGTCTCCAACCTCCGACTCGGAAAAGCCAGAGGTCTCGGATCGGGAGAATGAGGTGCAGTATTGCGAGGCGGCCTCCGAGAAAGACGATACTGGCCCAGCCACGGCTTCACAAACCGCCACGGCCCCGGCCACCTATGTACGATCTCAGCTGCCGGCTTCAGCAGCACCAGACGCGAACTCGTCTGGGCACGGCCCCATACCGAACGGCGGACTGCAGGCCTGGCTGCAAGTGCTGGGCTCATGGGTGGTCCTCGTGGCCACATGGGGCTTGGTCAACACGTTTGGTGTCTTCCAGACCTACTACGAGACGGAACTCCTCAGCACCTCGTCATCAGCGTCCATTTCCTGGATTGGCTCGATCCAGGCGTGCCTGCTCATGCTGGTCGGAGTGGTGGCCGGGCCGCTCTACGACGCGGGCTTCTTCCGGTACCTGCTCTCCACAGGGCTGTTGCTCATCATCTTTGGCCAGTTCATGATCTCCCTCGGCACGGCGTACTGGCACATCCTCCTCGCACAGGGTGTGTGCGTCGGCATCGGCATGGGTCTGATCATGTTGCCTTCTACAGCCATCCTGGCACAGTACTTCACTACGAGACGGGCGCTGGCGATCGGGATCGCGAGCTCAGGCAGCCCCATCGCAGGAATCGTGTTCCCCATCGTGTTCAGCAACCTCGTGAACAGGGTGGGGTTCGGGTGGGCGACGCGTGTCATCGCCTTCATCCTGCTTGGGCTGAGTGCGATCCCCGTCGTGTTCATGCGCACGCGGGTGCCGCCGTCAGGCAGGAAACGTGCCCTCATCGACACCGACGCGCTGCGGGACCCAGCCTTCGTCTTGTTCGTGAGCGCGAGCTTCTTCTTGTTCCTGTGCCTGTACACGGCCTTCTTCTACCTGCAGCTGTTTGACGAGTTGCACGGTCTGTCGAGCCTCGCATTTGCGCCGTACACGGTCACCCTGCTCAACGTGGGCAGCGTCTTCGGGCGGCTGCTTCCCAACTACTTCGCTGATAAGGTAGGCAGCGTCAACACCTGCCTCGCCTGCGCGGCCGTCTCGGCGGTTCTTCTGCTCGGCTGGCTGGGTATCCACAACCTGGGCGGGCTGGTAGTGTTTGCCCTGCTGTACGGCTTGTTCTCGGGCGGGATCGTCTCGGTGACGCCCAGCGCGGTCATGAGCATGTCCCCAGACATGTCGCGCGTCGGCACGCGGATGGGCATGACATTTATGCTCGCGGGCTTCTCCATCTTGCTTGGTACACCCATCGCGGGTTGGATCCTGGGTGGATTCAGTGAGAGCGAATGGAAGGGCGTCATTGGGTATTCGGCGGCTGGCGTGACGGTGGGAACGTGTTTGTATGCGGGCTCGAGGTTGGTGTTGTACAGGCGGAATGGTAAATTGGTGGCATGAGATTATAGAGGTTGACAACCTTTCCAAGACATTGCGTACAAATACATTATATGCTATACCTGGCAGCATATACAGCATGGAGTACAGGGATGGGTAGCCTCTTATACTGTATCATTAGGTTTGCATGGCAGAAATACAGATGAGTGTACATTGTAAAAGATTTGAGTTTTTTATTGCAGCACCCGTTGTAAAGCATCTGGGTTGCTCCTGCAGTGCTAGGTCTATTGGAAAGTTCAAACCTGGACAGGTAAGATACCATTGGCAAAGTGATACCTGATATGCGCTTTTTCGCTTACCTATTGGACGGCTGGGTCCAGGGCTGTTCGGGGTTTCCCTTAGCCCACCTCCTCCAGCCTTACCATATTTCTTTCCATTGCTTTTCTATTGGCACAGCATCCTTAATCACCTCACATCAGTAAGATGCCCATCAGAGAGCATATAGTGCGGCTCAAAAGCTGATGACATGTCCTTCCATATGGTGAAACGTCCTTGAATACTACGTAGTCTTCAACTACCCCCCTCCCCCCCATTATTGACCCTGCTCTCTATAAGGGCCATCAGTGATTTCTGATCAGTTCATGACTCAACTTACTTGTATGAAGGAGTTACTAATATTTCTCTGCATCAACATGCTCTTGCAGAGTGTGATGCTGGAATACTGGTTTGGTGCTGTCAAGATATCCACTAACTAGAAGATATACAGAGAGAACTACCATAGTCTTATAGTCTGGTGTGCAGGTGAGAAGTGAGAGGGGAAAGGGAGGTGGAGGAGACATGCTGACCTGCAGCTCAAAAAATTCAAAGTTGCCAACAACACGACACACCCCTGCATGCCGTCAGAGAGAAGATAGTTGTGCACCAGTCTGTCTGAAGAAGAAAAAGCAGAATCATATCATTTTGCCCTCATTCTATTCCCTCCACCAAAGCTGAAAGTTCCAGATCATCGGTCTCCTGTATGTTTTGTCAGTTTTTGTCAGACCGGACAAATCCACCACTGGGTCCAGTGGTGCTGTACAGGTCAGCCCTTATTCAGCGACATCCCCCACCATTTCCGCCTCTAGCAGGGTCAGGGTGCATTGTGCTAGGCTTGGCTTGGGCATATGGGCCCCGCGTGCCTGGAGGGTCGGTGTTATGGTATGACAGATCATGATGTAAATTAGTACCAACAGAAAGTAGCATTTCTGCAAACAGCATCACCGTTGCTGGAGAGCTATATCATAGTACCTTCCCAGCTATTACCAATGCAGACAAATCCATTACTACACAGCACACGCATGGTTAGCAGAGACAATGGGAGACAGAAATGTACCCTCTCTCTCCTTCCTTTTTGAGGAGGGAGGAAGGAGGGAGGGGTGAATCCGAGATCCCAATCCCGAGGAAAGAGAGGAGGGGAAGTCGAGGAGAGGGGGAGGGAAAGAGGGTGGATCTGCACCTAGAGGACTCACCCTGGTAAAGAAAGCTTGGCAAGGTACTACCCGCCCACCACAGCACTGTGTAGAGTAAGCATTCTGATCATGGACTGAGACAAAGACAGAAATCAACAGTTCCAGGGTGCCTGGGTGCCAATCGTCCATAACGGCACAAGGGCTACGAATCCGATGGAACCAACAGTTGTACAGTAGTGGATCCTGCTGCTCTCATCAGCAATAGTCTCAAACCCAAAGACTGTGTCCTGCATTTGTGGGACCCTTTCCCCTCCCCACCCAGCCGAGCATGCCATATCTGGGACCCTGGCCTCATCATGTCAAAGAATGCACCAGCTTTCCTTGTCAGGATGACACTATGTAATATAAAGATCCCCTCATTCTCCCACCTTGCCCCTCTTCCCACTGGACTTTCTTTATTCAATTGACTCTTGTACACCTTCTAGAACCCACCTTTTGCTATCTCAACAGACTTCCAAACCCACAGTCATAATGGCTCCCAAGATTGCTGTTGTTTATGTAAGTAGCTATATCAACAGCTTCCTCGAGTGCTTGCTTATCTCTTGACAGCTTAGGTGAACAAAACAGCTAACCCATGTTGTCCTCTCCCATTAGTACTCCATGTATGGCCATGTCAAGACCATTGCTGAGGCTGAGATCAAGGGCATCGAGGCTGCTGGTGGTTCTGCCGACCTCTTCCAGTATGTATACTGTTCCTACAAGATACCATTTTCCCGTCTTCCTCTCTTCTTTCCCCTTCCATCTGCCCCCCCCCCCCCCAATATATTTCCAGCTTCACCTAGGAATCTATGAATGGCAAAACTGACGCAGGCCCTGTCTGCCTTGTCCTTTAGAATCCCAGAGACCCTCTCCGAGGAGGTCCTGGCCAAGATGCACGCCCCGCCTAAGCCCACCGACGTGAAGACGCTCACGGACCCGGCCACGCTCGTTGAGTACGATGCCTTCCTCCTCGGCATCCCCACACGCTACGGAAATTTCCCCGCCCAGTGGAAGGCGTTCTGGGACCACACGGGCGCCCAGTGGCAGACGGGTGCCTTTGCCGGCAAGCTGGCTGGCCTCTTCATCTCCACCGCCTCTCTCGGTGGCGGCCAGGAGTCGACCGCCATCGCTGCCATGTCCACCCTCGCCCACCACGGCATCGTCTACGTCCCATTGGGCTACTCCAAGACCTTTGCCCAGCTCACCAACCTCTCCGAGGTCCACGGCGGCTCCCCCTGGGGCGCTGGTACCTTTGCCGGCCCCGACGGCTCCCGCCAGCCCAGCGCGCTGGAGCTCGAGGTTGCTGAGATCCAGGGCAAGGCCTTCTATGAGACCGTGAGCAAGTTCTCCGGCTGACTACATGGAAGTGATGAAAAGAAGAAGGAGGGGCAGGATGGGCAGCCTGCTGCCACCACTGCTGCGGCCAAGAAGCCCGACGTTAAGGCGACCGGGAACAATGGGCCAGCTAAGGAAGAGAAGAAGGAGAGTGAGGGGCCGTGTGGACTGCCCAAGAAGTGTGCGCTCATGTGAATGTGATACCTCGGGCGAGTAGAATTAAACTTCAAAGAAAAAAAAAATACAATAAAAGATTTCGAAGAAAGAAAAGAAAAAAAGGATGAATTATGTTTACCCAAATATGCATGCATATGATGTACTCGTCAAGGAAGCTGCTTACGACCTTGGATTCTGCTTTACGCCAGACTCGACAAGCTCAGAGCTTTGCCTTGTCACCGCCCTCGTTAGGCGCCTTCGACAACACATCCTCCCACCAAGGCCACACGCTCGGCCCGTCCTGGGGCATCGTGCCCTCCATCACCGGATCCCTCTTCTCCACGAACCCCTTGACGCCCTCGACAAAGTCCGGCTTGCTGAACAGGTCGAACAGCACCTTGCTCTCCAGCAGGTGCGCCTCCTCAGGCGACGCCGGCCCGCGGTAGATCATATCCCGCATGACCACGGCACTCACCACGCTCGCGCTCCGCACCACGTCCTCGGCGATGGCCAGCGCCCGGGGCAACACAGCCGCCGGGTCCTCGACGAGGGTGAACAGCCCGTCCAGCAGCGGGGCGTCGGCGCGGCACACGGCGCCCGTGGTGGCGAGGTGCACGGCGCGCGAGGCGCCCAGCAGCCGCGGCAGGAAGAAGGAGCTGCAGCCCTCGAGCACGAGCCCGCGCCGCGCAAAGACGAAGCCGATGCGGGCCCGGCGGTGCGTCACGCGCACGGCGCACGGCAGCGTCATGGTCGCGCCCACCCCGACCGCGCTGCCGTTCACCGCCGCCACCACGGGCTTGTGGCACCGGAAGATGGCGAGGGACGCCCGCCCGCCGCCGTCGCGGTGCGTGTCGCGCGTGGCGCTTGAGAGGCGGTCTGCCTCGACGGATGCTGGCGACGCGGTTAGGTCCATGCCGGCGCAGAAGATCTGGTTGGTCGGGTCGGAGCCTGTGAGGACGATGCAGCGCACGCGGGGGTCGGCGGAGAGGAGGTGAAAGGCGTGCTCTAGAGAGGTCATCATTGCTGTGTTGAAGGCATTTCTGGCGGCTGGGCGGTCGAGGATCACGAGGATGATGGGGGTTACCATGGGGGAGGAAGGAGGGTGGTGAGAGAATCTGATAGTAGGGAGCTTGAGGGTTTCATAGGAGGAGGGGAGGTCGGCCATCTTGGAGATTCTGGCCCCCCTAGAGGAGACTGTGTGCTTTTGAATTGTGTATATGTCAAGGTAAAGAATGAAACCAAAATATATCAACTAAGGCCTTTCTAGGAGATGAAATTTTTATCTGGGTTTCCGGGATTTTATTGCAGTTCGTGAGGGGAAGGCATAGTTACAAGTAAAGCATTACCGTATAAGTTAGACGCTCCCACAAGGGAATAATGCCGAGGTCAAATCTGCTCAGGCGAGGAGGAGCGTTGAACAAAATTCATAGTACATATTATACTAAATATGAAATCGAACCTGTAATAAACTGAGTTCATACTTTACTAAAATAGTCGTTCTGATGATGAATTGTATTAGACCCTTCCCTCTTATTCATGTAAAGGGGTGCTAATAGATCACTTTCTCTGAGAGGCCTTCAAAAATTGAAAGCCTCGGTTGCCAGGACGCCGTTAAATATCCATATCAGAATCAGTTCAATTCGTGATTTGAAAAAAGAAAGACAGACAGAAAACCAATGGTGGCAATCGTTCGTTACCGCCTCTCCGGGAGTGGGAGTGAGTACGGCTAAGTGCAATGACAACAATTGTGAACACATGACAATCTGAGCAATGCTGCTTTGGCTTTCATTCTACCTTTCAAACTCTCTATCACTTCCTTTCCCGCAGGCAGGAGGAGTCCAGCAGGGTTTTTACATAAACTTGCTCGCCAAGCTCATCAGGCCACCGCTGCTCCCGCCCTGGCTCTTAAGATACATCTTGAACGCCATCTCGCCAGCCTGCTGCACGGCGCTCTCCTTGGACGCGCCGGAGCTCACGCGGCCCGACGAGGCCTGCGAGTCGAACAGCTTGCTCGCCTCGCTCATGGCCAGCCCGATGAACTCGCTCTGCGAGCCGCCGCTGCTGCCGCCGCTACCACCGGCGAACATCTTGAGCGCCTGCATGGCGGCCGCGTTGCCCATGGACCCAGAGTCGGCCTCGCTGCCGTCGTCTTCGCCGCCAAAGAACTTCTTGTGATGGGCGACAGCCGCTGTAGCACTGGGTCAGTATCTTCTTTCCTTGTTTTTTCAGGGGGCCCCTGTATCCCCGCCTTCTCCTTCTTTTTCTTTCTACTGTTCCTTCTCTTTATGTGTCTTTTGTCTTTCTTTTCTTCCTTTTCCCCCCACACACTCTCTGTATGTATACATCCTTTTCGAAAATCGAAGTGATAAAGGGAAATTCGCAAACGTACCCTGCTCGTCAACGTCTTCGTTCGCAAGCTGGGTCTTCTTGCCCATGAACTGACCCATGATGCCCGAGAAAAAGTCGGAACCGCCCGAGTCGCCAGCATTGCGAGCGGCGTGCTCGGCCGCGCGCTGGTGGAAGCCCTCTTCCTCGCTGTCATCACGGGGCGCGTATCCGCGGTTGGGCACTAGAAGGAGAGGAGGGATGTATGTTAGTTCAGTGATGTTTTTTTCTCTTGTGGCCACAAATTAAAGCAGACATCTGAGCATTCAAGGAGAAGATATCGAGGAGATATCTGTATGGTTATGAGATGGGCAGACTTACTCCTCTCGCCCTCGTAGCCACCGCCGCCACCACCGCCACCACCACCATAGGCACCACCTGTCTCTAGGTTAGTATCTGTGGTCCTCGTCAAGTTGATTCCTAGAAAAGGTTGCCCTTACTGCCGAATTCTGTATTTCAAGATATGATCAATTAGCATGTACTCCCTCCAAAATCTTCAATAGTATTGCTCATTAGGAGCCATAGGAGCTTCCGCAACATCTGACACGGGCGGCTGCCCCTGATGACGAGGATGGCGGGGTAGCTCCGGCAATAGCTCGCTTGGGGTACTCACCGGGCTGCTCTCGTCCGTAAGACATTTTGAAAGTTTTCGTTCTCTTTGGGGGGTTTGATATCCAGCAAAAGCGGGCTTGTATTTTGTTCAGTCGTCACAAGTCAATAGACCTAGGCAAAAATGATGATGGCACAGGGTGGTTGTCGTGGTTTCTGACGTTGACCAAGAAAGCTTGGTGGTGCGCAGGGGCTCTTGGCTATACTATATAGAAGCCACTACAAGCTTGCATTGTATGGGGATAATAGGGTGGGGTTGGGGGGGCTTTCAGTGACTGGCTAGGGCTGCCTCGCCCCCTCCCCTGGAAGAGGGGTTGCATCACTGCATAACAACCTCACTACATCACTGCACCTACCTCTAGAGGAGGCGCAGCGGACCCCACATCATGAGCTGTGAGGTGACGTTGGTGGGTACCTACCTGCTGAAACCTGAAAAGAAGAGCCCCCGACCGCTATTTCTCTTTGGCTTGTTGTCCAATCCAGCTCTTTAAGCATGAGCATGACCTTGACAAGATGATGCTACAATGGTACGAGGAATGAGTTAGAAAGAAAAATCAGGGCTGGGTTACCTTCGCAAAGGTGACTCTTCATCCTGTCTCTATTTTCAGCTTACGAGCTGCTCGTGGTATTCCAGTTCAGCAGCAAGTTTTCTGCATGAACAAATCCTACAAAACTCTGCTTACCCTGTCCGCACACCAGTGGCAGTGAGAGGCCTCAATAAGAGACTTAGAATCTCTACACAATTAACAAAGCCCCTTCGTCTGAACTCCCTCAACTCGTATACAGCAGGAGCATTATACACAACCAAGATATCATAGGCTCGTGAAAGCAGTATTGTCCCTCCATCCAAGACGCCATCTGGCCGGATTCTATCCGTGATCAACGGCGACTGATACACCACGATGCTATTCCTAAAACGCCGCTGTGCGTACGCGCATGTGCACGCCACCAAAAAGAGAGAAAAAGAGAGAAGAATGGAAGACGGGTCGTGAACGAAGGATCAGGCCTGGCCCGGGTCCATGACGGGCAGTCCACCCATCCCCCCTGGTCCAGGACCTGGTGTGTCGATATTGTTCCCGCCCTGGGTCTTCTTCTTCTCTTTCTTGGCCCACCGGAGTCCGCAGGCGTTGCAGAGAGTCTTAGGCCCTGCAGGTCCTTTTCGCCATTCGGGTGAATCGAGGGTTCCTAAAGCGGGGAAAGACAGAGGGTCGTCAGTTACAAGGGCAATAGTGATGATGAAATGTTGAGAATAAACCTACCGCAATCCGTGCAGACGTATTCCTCCGCGACCTTGAGCTTCTTCTTCTTCTCGCCTGTCCTGGGGTCCCGATCTATTGGTATGGCAATGCCCGCATCTCCCTTGATGAGTGTGGGGCTGCGTGCGCCTGTCGAGACGCCCTTTGCCCGCTCGCCATCCTGGTACCGTAGACCTGTGAGCATCTCGATGGTGTTGATCCCTTCGTACCGAGCCATCTTATCCCTGATCGAGTCGGGTCCGTTCCCTGCCGTGACGCCCTCTAGGTTCTCCCTCGTCAGTGCAATGTTGAGCGGGTTCGGTCTCTCTGGCGGTGGCATGGCGGCCGAGTCGGCATTGCGGTAGGAGCTGCCCGTGACGCTGGTCTTGGTCCCGTCTTCTGAGGATGCGACAACGCTCCGGCCGTCTTGGCTCTGCCGCCAGCTTCGTGTGGCCTCTTCCGCCTCTGCCGCCTCTTCTCTCTTCAGCTCCGTGATCCTCCTCTTGAGCCTCTCGTTCTCCATCTTGTGTTCAAGAAACGAGTCTAGGAGCTGCGCGTTCGCAGCTGGGTACAGCCGCGACATCATGAATACGGCCTGGCAAAAGGGGCTCTGGTTGTTTGGGTTGGGTGCGAAGCGGGCCGCAGCAATGTGTGCATGGCCCATGCACTCGAAGATGGCATACGCCCCGTCCTTTTTCCTCAGCCTGTAGAATAGCCGCAGGGTATTGCCCGTGGCGATGCACTCGTTGAACTCGGATAGAAACAGTGCAGAGTCGTCGGGGTGGAGAAACTCGCGCAGGAGCCGCTCGTTGAACTCGTCGGCCTTGTAACCTGTGAGGGCGCTGACGCTGGGGGAGCAGTGCCTGATGCGGCCGTCCTGGTCGAGGATCATCAGCAGGTCCTTGAGCTCCTCGACGACCTTGGCAGGCCAATTCCGCCGCTTGGTGAACTCGGTCAGCGTCGACGCGCCCGGCACTTGGGTGTGCTGCGACATGCTAAAGCTAGGTATGGGAGCGGGGCCTGCGCCTGGGACATTCTCTTCGGCGGCAGCGGCGGCCTGGAATCGCTGCACATCCATCGCACTGGACTGTGGCAGGGCACCCTGTGGGGTCGGGTCGGTGGTTTCCGAACTGTAGGCAGCGGAGGACATGGCGGCCTCGTCCGGGTTATCGAGGCTCATGGGCATGGAGGAGGTATCGAAGAAGACATTGTTCTCCATGGACGAGGGGTCGCCGAGAAGGACCATCATGTCCTGGCTGTCGGTCATCTGTCGAAAACGTGGATTTACTGGTCAGCCCAAAACAACTGCGGAGGCGGAGGCGAGAAAAGGTCCTAGCGATGCAGCCTCGGCTGGAGCTGCAAGGTGCTCGGAAAAGACAACCTGCCACCCCTGAGGGGAGCCAGCTTGTGTGATTTGCGCGTGAGGGCGGCAGCATGCATGGGGCCCTAAGCCAAGCAAGGGAGGGGAGAGGGTTGCAAAACTTACTCCCACCCCGTTCATGTCGGGCATGGCCATCTGGCTGTAAGAAAACATGTTGCCTGGAAGGGGCGGCGGCGGCGGGCCGCGAGACATCGCGGGCAAGGCTGGGCGGGTTGCCTTCCGATCGAAGCTGTTGAGCCTATCGCTGGACAGATGAGAAAACGAGTTCGGCCGTAGCAATTACTTCTGCTGATGCGTGATCGTGTCGGTAACGGGCGCCGCACCCGGGGCAGCATAGAGAATTTTCTTCTTTTCCCTCCCCTCCTTTCTTTGTGTTTCTTCTTTTTTTTCTTTCTTGTTTTTATCAGATCTGGCTTGTCGTCCAGAGTCTTTCGCTTTGATTAGGGTGGTGCTAAGGAGTTATAATTCCGCAGAGCCTTCCAGCCTCGCATGACATTGGTCGTCGTAAATTCTCTTGTGGTTGCCCTCGTCAGGCCGGGATCTGATATTGAAAAGGCCCGACGATAGTATTTTGGGCGTAAACGGGCAGCGTAGACGAGGCAGCCGAAAAGAAGCCGCTCGTCAAAATCCTTGGGTAGGAACAATGTCTGTGTGCGAGTCCGCGTGCGAGTGTGCGTGTGTACGTATGTGCAACATGCAGAAAGTGTGCGGATATGAGCATAGGAGCGTAGTTGATCAGCAAGGAGGGAGCATAGAGACTGTACGCAGTACGATTGGAAAACAAGGGTGGGCTGTCTAGAATGACGCCCTGAGCGCGAGCCTCCAAGAGATAAGGAACGTGAAATATAATACTGTTAGAGGGCGGGAGGTAGAGTCTTCCAAAAATCTTGCCAGGCCTCTCTTTTCGTCGATATGAGAAGTGGAGGGGAGAGAACATGGGATTGTAATTCATTAGGATGGGGAATTGCACAATCGCAGTCTCTGGCTCTCTGGACCCCACTCCCACCCTTCTTCCCCCCAAAAGCTTCTGCTCATGGGCCGTTATGGGATCTGACCAGGTGTGAGTTGCAGCTAGGACCCGGGTTGCATGGCCTCCCTGATAGCCTTGGCGCAACTGAATCGTCAACTAGCTAAAGTCTCCTTCCCGGCAGCCAACTATCTATTGGTGTCCGAGGAAGAAAGAAATAGCGCATAATGAAGAGGGAGAGTCAGTTACACATACACGCATGCACACATGCATACACATGACAAGAGACACAGTTCATCTCATACACCAGATACCACATACAACACTTTGGCATTAAGTGCTTATGCAGGGTATCCATCACCTCGAGATCAGTTCGACAGAGTGGGTCGTTGGGGTTTGAGACATGTCTTTCGAGTCGTAGGGACAAGAAGCAAGACGCGGGGTCATGACTTGCTGCTGCATGCGTTCAGGAACATCTGTGTAGCACTACCTCAGTGTTACCCCTTTGCCTGCCTCTACTACCAGAGGTACATTGTACCACCAGAGTACAGTGCAACAATTATCCGTTGCTTTCCCATACCCTGCAATAATTCAGCTCTTTTTGTGTCTTTTCCAATAACTTGACCTAGGAACAGGTTGCAACACGTATAATCGTTACAGACCCGGAGCTTTTGCTCCTTTGCAGCGGTTTCCACTGCTGATCACTCCAAGCAGTGGAACGACCAGACCTTGCCCTGGACTTGCCCTAATTCATATAACCACATCAAAGCCCACAGACTATACTATATTTATAAGAAAAGAGAGGATGAATGGCCTTGGGAGACAGGAGGTCTTGTTGAAGAATGCAACTGACAAAGTACAGCAATAACCGCAGGGTCTTTGCCTCTCAGGTCCCCTGATCATCCAACTAGCTCCGAGAGAAACTACCAACGAGCTGCGCAGCGCAAGCTATGGTTCTCGCGTATCTAAGTCAAGAGCGAAGAATAGGACGCAGACTCCTGAGATATAGCCTGAAGCACATTTTGCCAGGCTTGGTTTAGATTTTGCTCTCGATAGCACCGGAATCACGTCGATTTTGGCCATGAAGATTTGGCCCAGAAAGGCTCTGGAGAAAGCTTGGGCCATTTTGAGAGGTGAGGCAGCAGTGCACGTGGGAGCGCGACACAGGCTCTCTAGGCGCTCCCCACTTGGCCCCTGCCCATCTAGGCAACCAACGCGCCCCGCCTTACTTTGTTAATTGACGACGCGAACGTGCCTCTCGTTTGTTTGATTTTGAGCCCTCAACCCAACTCCTTTTATTGTGTTAGCCGTCCTGCGCGTTGTCGGCCCTTAGACATACCGCACGCGAGGACGTCAACGAGCGCATGCCCTATTTTCCCATCTCTTCTGTTTTCCTGTCATCCTGCCTTTCCGAGGACACACAAAAGCTGCTCTGACGCGCACCGCCAACCTCTGGCGCCATGTCACGCATAGAGGGTCTGTCAGTCCAGGGCATACGATCTTTTGCCCCTGATCACCGTGAAGCCATCAGCCTCTACACCCCGCTGACGCTCATCGTTGGGTATAATGGCTCGGGCAAGACAACCATCATCGAATGTCTCAAGTATGCCACTACGGGCGAACTGCCACCCAACAGCAAGGGTGGCGCCTTCGTTCATGACCCCAAGGTATATTTAGAGTCAAGGTGATCTCTCGGTTCAATTCTTCTCTCACGTGCTGACTTAGACTGCTCTTCCTAGCTTTGCAACGAGAAAACGGTCTTCGCCAATGTCGGTCTCAAGTTCACCTCCCTCAATGGAACCCAGCACAACCTCCACCGACGGCTTCAGGTCACCCTGAGCAAGGGTGGTGCTCGCGCGTTTAAAACTCTCGAGTCTAGCTGGAAGGTCGACGGAGAAGAGAGGCACACGTCTTCCAAGAAGGTTACTGCCGTTGACGAGGAGATCACCACCGAGCTTGGCGTCTCGCCGGCTATCCTGGATTCGGTCATCTTCTGCCACCAGGACGAGTCTCTCTGGCCTATGAGTGAGCCTTCCGCCCTCAAGAAAAAATTCGACGAGATATTTGAGGCCCAAAAATACACCAAAGCCATCGAACAGCTGAAGATCGTCCGGAAGAAGCAAGGCGAGTCCTTGCGCAACGCACAGATGGAACTGAAACAGCAGGAGAGCGATAAGAAGATGGCATCCGAGAACAGCAGACAAATTCAGGAGCTGACTGCGGAACTGGAGGCACTGGACAGGGAAATGAAGGAGTTGGAGGAGAGGATCAGAGAGGCCCACGAGAAGGCGAAGGCCAAACGGGACGACTCCATCCAATTCCACAGCATCCTGGTCGATTTGAAAAACCTGCAAGATCAATACACATTCAGACAGGACGCTGTCACAGAGCTCCGAGACTCCATCGACATGATGCCTGAGAGCGATGATGAGCTGAAACGCGCTCTGGACCAGTATGAGGCCCGCCTAGACCGGCTCAGAGGGAAGATCGACGAGGACACGGCCCAGTATTACGGCCTCGAGGAGAAAGTAAACGCCACTCGAGCGGACCTAAATGCAAAGCTGGGCGAGAAGGGTCGCCTCGAGTCCGACAAGGAAAAGTACGAACGTCAGCTCCAGACTCGTATCGAAATGACAAAGGAGGCCGCAGCCAAGCATGGCATACGGGGATTTAACCACGCCCTCGATGAAGACCAAGTCCATGCTTTCAACGAGAAGATTCGTGCAATATTCAATAGCAAGAAAAAGGAGCATGAGAAGCTTCAAAACGAGCTGACCAGAGCGGCTGACGAGGCCGGCGTGAAAATATCTGCTTTGGAAGGCAAGAAGAGCTCTTTGGGCTCAGAACGAGCATTCTCCAAGCAGAATAAGATGGAAAATGATCGCAAAGTCAAGCGTCTTCAGACAGAAGCCGACTCCATTGATTGTGATGAAGGTCACGTCAACATCCTGGAGAAAACCACAGCAGCACTCCGAGAACGCTACCAGAACGCACAAAACGACTTCAGCCAAAGCGACTGGGAGAGCAAGATCCGGGGTGCGAAGACGGAGCTGAGTGATCTCGAGAAGAGAAGTGAAGAGTTAAACACCGAGCTTGTGAACTGCACCCGACTCTCTAGCGAGCGCGCACAATTAGATCTTCGCAAGAAGGAAATGAAAGAGCGCGAAGGCAATCTTGAGAGCTTGGTGGCCACCTACAGCGGGCGGATCTCCAGCTTACTGAAGCATGATTTCGATCTCAACTCATTAGGATCGAATTATAGGACGGCGATCAACGAGCAGGATGCCGTCGTGAAGCAGGCAAAGGCGAAATGTGATTCTCTCCAGAAGGAGTTGGACCAGCGAGACTTCGAGCTCGCTGAGGCACACAAGCGGCAGGCGACCTCGCAGCAAGCCAGGGCAAAGTACGAGCAATCTGTCATCAAGGTCCTCAAGAAGGTAGCAGAATCCCCAGACGCCGTTACTGTGGACGACTTCAACGAGGAGATCGAGTCGCTTGAGGAGGCCAAATCCGTGGCGGAAAAGGATCTGGCCCTCTTTGATGAGATGAAGGCATATTACGTTCAGGCGGAGACAGTCTTGAACACTAAGAACAGGTGCCATCTTTGCGACCGTAGCTTTGATGACGATAGGTCCAAGTCCAAGCTCCTGAAGAAGATTGCTAAAGCTCTCAGCGAGCAAGAAAAAGAGAGTATACAGCAGGATTTCAAGGACGTCAGTGAGAAAGTTGCCCGTTTGACCGCTGTCCGTTCTGATTACGACGGCCTCTTGCGACTGAGAACAGAATCAGCGAAGCTTAAGAGAGACATCGATGAGGCGCAAGGCAGGCGAGAGGAGAAGCTCCGGCAGCTGGAAGCCGCCGCGGACCAGCACAGCAAAGTGGCGGACTTGCTGAACGAGATTGAGTCTGTCTCCAAGAATGTCTCAGAGATAACACAGCTCCACAACCAGATCCAGGAGTCGAAGGAACAGATCGGGAGGCTTCAGTCACAGTCACAGATGAGCGGCACCGGCCGCAGTGCTGACGAGATTCAGCATGCTCAATCAGTGAACTCGGACAAGCTGAGGGAGGTCAAGAAGGATTTGGAGAATCTGACCCGGGACCGCCAGCGCAGTCTCGACCTCATCAGTAACCTCGAGCTTGAGCAAAGCGAGACCAAGAACAAGCTCAACCAGGCAAAGCAGCAGATGGAGAAGAAGTCATCACTGTCGAAAGGTATCAAGGCTCTGCGGGAAGAAAACCAGAGACAAGATGAAATGGTATCCAAGTTTGACGAGGAGCTCAAGACGCTTCAGCCTCGTATTGATGCTGCCAGAGGCCAGCGTGACGCTGAACTTGAGAGGAGTCGTGAGAAGGCCAAAATCGTCGCCGATGAGCGGGACGCTATCGCGAATACCCTCAGCAGGCTCAAACTTATCGAAGACGACATTCAGGACTATATCGATCATGGCAAAGCATCCTCTCTTGCCTCCGTCGAACGGGCCATTGTGGTTCTCCAACAGCAACACGAACAGCTCAAGGTCGAAATGACTGAGCTCACAACACGCATCAATGGCCAGAAGGGGGAGCTAGCCCAAGGCGACCGCAGGAAGAAGAACATCAATGACAACTTGCGGTACCGCGAACACTGCCGGACCCTTGACAAACTGGATGTGAAAATCAAACAGCTTGAGGCTCACGATGCACAAGAGGACTACAACCGGCTTGTGGCGGAGGCTCAGGAGTTGGAAGACGAAGTGAGCCGTCTCACGGCTCGTGTCAATACAATCGCTGGTGAGAGTGGTGCCAAGGACGATAGCCTGAAGAAGCGATTGAAGACGCACCAAACTTTCTACGCAGGCGTTGAGGAGAGTTACAAGGAGACCAAGATAAAGGTGGACACCAAAAAGCTTGCCATCGAGGACATTCAGACCTATAGCGATGCTGTCGACAATGCCATCATGCAGTTTCACGCATTGAAGATGGAAGAGGTGAACCGCATTGCGGGCGAACTGTGGCGCGCAACATACCAAGGCACGGACATTGACACCATTGCCATCCGGTCTGAGAGCGAAAAGGTGACAGCCAAATCGTCTTCGACACGCCGCTGCTATAACTATCGCGTGACGATGGTCAAGCAGGACACGGAGATGGATATGCGAGGTCGTTGCTCTGCTGGACAAAAGGTACTGGCGTCTATTATCATCCGTCTGGCCCTGGCCGAGTCCTTTGGCGTCAACTGTGGCCTCATCGCGCTGGACGAGCCAACGACGAACCTCGACAGCGACAACATTCGCTCGCTGGCCGTGAGCCTGCACGGCATCATCAAAGCACGTCAGGCACAAGCGAACTTCCAGCTTATCGTCATCACGCACGATGAGGAGTTCCTACGCCACATGAGGTGCAACGACTTTTGCGACAAGTTCTACCGCGTCAAGAGGGATGTGAACCAGTGCAGTGTCATTAAGAAGGAGGACATCTCAATGATTATAGAGTGACGCTGGCCTCCTTGGCATGGGTTGAACGGGAATGTACACCACGGACTGCGGGAATTGACTGGCGGTTTACTTCATAGGCATCTGCGGGATTGGCATTTTGCTAACATTTGCGCAAATGGGGAGGTTGAGCATTGTTTTTTTTTTTTTTCTTTTTTTCCTTCAACTTTTTTCTTAACCCCCCTTTAGATTTTGCAGTCATGTGCCAAGCAGCCATCTGAGTTGCTCAACCTGCGAATGACAAGACGCATCCAATGAGATGACTTCTACTATGATGAGCGCAGAAAGCGAATGCACTCTTCATGTGGACCTTATATCTAGAGAAGTTTTGGGGCCCATCATCACCATCAGCGGCCAATTGAGTGCCTACTGTCACATTAATAGTATCCACAAACTGTTTGAAATCGACGCCGGACCCCCTTTCTCGAAACCCGTTCCCCTTAGCCCTAAACCAAAGCGTCGCAAAGATCGAACATAACACATACAATATGACAGCCCAAGACGTATCATGAATAGCACGGTTGAGAAGAAGAAGCAGAAAAAACCACCGAAGAGATTTTGGTATCTGGTTGCTTTCCTACCAGTCCGCCTCGCCAAAACCACCACTGCCGGAATCATCGCTGTCAGTGCCTCGCCACCGCCTCGAGTTGTCTCGGCTCGGGCGCATGGGAAAGGGACGACATTGTCTGGATCAGCCTCGGGCACCTTCCCTAGTTTGCCTCCTCAGTGGTAGATTCTGCTGCGTCGTCTTTCCCTTCCTCCTTCTTCTCCTCCTCTGGGACCTCAGCTGTGCCCTTCTGCTTGTCGGCCGCGGCCGCAGAGCTTAGCCCAGCAGACCCGGCGTCTGCCTTGGCGGGTTGGTCAAGGGGCTCGACGTCACCCTCAACCTCCTTGCCCTGTGTTCTGTCACCAGAGCCGCCGGCCTCCTCCTCCCCGGACGAGCCCTTCAGTCGCTTCGAATCCAACTCGTCGATATCTTCCTCAGCCTCGCGCTTGCCTGGTGCAGGACTTGGCAAGGCTGACATGGTGGCCGAAGAGGGCTCAGTATACAAGCCATCAGATGACTGCGCGCCCTCTGTTTGTGGTGCCGGCTCTCCGGCACTGGCCTCGTTCGGTTTCTCACCCTCGCTGGCTTTGATACCTTCTCCTTCGCCTTGGGTTGCAGCGGGCCTTTCAGTAGAATCTGTTGACGGCGGTGTCATGACAGCGTCGTCACTGGTCTCGGAATGCGTCGTAGTAGCGCCCTCGTCGTCGGCAGTGGGAGCCTGAGCCTCGTGCTTCCGCCCCACGGCGGCCTCGACATCGATCCTGCGTACCTCGACATTGCCTCCGCTGCTGATTCTGAAGGTGGATGAGGTTGGCGTCTGAGGGCCCATATCCGCCGCACCAATGATGTCTGGCCCACGAGCATGTGGCGTCTCGTCTTCGTCTGCCATGTCCTCATCTGATTTTTCGCTGTTGTTGTCCCTTGGTACTCCGTCCTCGCCCTCGCCCTCGCCTTCCGCCATCGTCGTGTCGGCACCCTCCTCCCCTGCCGTCGTTGTCGATGCGGCGGCCGCAGATGGAGAGCTGGCCACCACTGGGCCGGACCTCGCAAGCTGGCTGACCGGGACGACACCCGCTTTCTGCTCCTGGCGGATGAGCTCGCCTTGTGTAATGACCCTCTGCTGCTGCGCGGCGCTCATCGATGAGATGCCATTGATCGACACCGTCACGGTCTCGATGCTCCCCACGCCGTTGGGCCCCTCGATCGTCTCCGTGCTCTCTGTCCGCACCTGCGGCTCGAATTGCCGCCCTTGGCCCTGGCCCTGGCCCTGGCCCTGGCCCTGGCCCTGACCTTGACCCTGCCTCTGCTGTGACGCCGACGGGCCCTGGCTTGGGGGCGCCGTTGCCGCCGCACCGAGAGGAGACGGGCCACCCTCAGAGCCCAGCGTGGACGACTCGCCCGACTCCGATCCCGTGTCCCCGCCTCCCGCAACCCGCCGCGCGAGCCACGGGATAGGTGTGAGCAGCGCACCGCCCAGCGCCTCGTCGCTACCGACCAGCGCGCCGGTGCTGCTGGTGCTGCTGCCGGTGCTGATGCTGCGAGGGGTGGCGAACGGGGCGGCGGAGCCAGCCTCGCCTTCCACACTGCCACCCTCCTCATGGTTGTCGTCCGCGGTGCCGTTGATCGACAGGTGCGACATGTCCGACACGGCGGGTGGCAACGGATAGATGTTGTTGCCGCTCGTGACGTGTACCACCCTGTCGACAGCGTGCAGGTACGAGGGCAGGGAGCGGTAGTGCCGCCGCGGCTCGAGTATCAGCTCGGCCAGGCGTTGGATTGTATGTGGTGGATAGGTGTGGAAGGTCTCGCACAACACGCCGGTGATCTCAGAGACCATGGCTATGATTTGGGGCGGGAGGCTGCCGGGTTCGAGCTCGGCGGCTGCTGGTGCTAGTGGTTGCTGTGGTCCAGAGGGCCGTGATGCTGCTGCTGCCGGCGGAGAGGCGGGGGCGGCGTTCTCCTTGTTGGTCTCTTGGGATGACGAGGCCGCGGAGCTGTTGCTGCCGCTACCATCGGCGCCAGCAGTGGCCCCATCTTCGGGAGCCGGGTTCGGGGGCTCGGCGGCGTCTGAGGAAGGCAAGGGCACGAGAAAAGGTCGTTCTGGACCGGGAGGAAGGCCGTTCATGGCGGACTCGGGGATGCGCGGGATGGGGAAGTCATTGCGCGCGATCTGCAGTACCAAACACGTCAGCACCACACGGCACATCTGAGGGCTCCAAGATACAAAGACAATCAATCAATCACCTTCTCGATGCGCGATACAAGCGTGGTGAGCAGGAGGGGCCAGGACGAGCTGCGAAGATGGGTCACATGTCAGCCCGCCAGTCGTCCACCTCGAGAACCTGTCGCGGTGGTAGGGAAACTTGCTAGTCCATGGTGCCGCCCGCGGCGAGCTTACGCAGGGTCTCCTCGTCGCCGCCATCTAGGTCCATGATGGCTACTATCTCTGTATGGGTGATGAGGGATGCGGCTATGTGAGGATGCGATCCGAGCTCACAGCCTCGCGATACAAAAAAAAAGTTGAGCCGCGCGGGGGATGATTGCATGGGCGTTGGGCCGCGTTCAATCTAGCGGCTCCTACCTCCTGCTATGACAACACACTATTAGGGGACCCTACCGGTTCTGTGCTCTGCTGCAGGCGCTAGAGGGTAGTAGGTCTAGCGCCCGGTGGCTGGAGTGGTCTTTCCCCAGCTTCAACCCTGGCCTGGGTCTGCAAGAGATCCACTGAACATGCGCTATAGCCTATGACAGCACATCAACTACAATGTCGGACAAGAACCACGACCATGGTCAAGTATGGCTCCAGATGCGACTGTTCTTGGAATGGAACAATGGAAATCGAAAGAGAGAGAGAGAGAGTGAGACTGCCAAAATTATACTGATCATCTTTCTTTCTTTCTCTTCCTTTCCCTTCGAAACATACTGCCCTCTTGTGTGTATGCGCCCCATCCAGGCAAGTTTTTTGAATTCTGACCAGCTGTGGCTGAGGAGAGTATATCTTCTTTTACTCGAAAGTGGCCGTTCTCGGACTGAAGTATCATCTTCTTTTTTCTTGTTTTTTTCCAAGAAAAAAAAAAGAAGAAAAAAAGAGGACTCGCTAGAGATGGACTTTCGGTGGATCGGGAAACGAGGAAGAGAGGGGGGAATCAGCATTACTGGCCCGTATCCTGAGGCCCATGGTTCCATGAAGACGAGCAAGGAAACCAGGTTTGTTGTCTATGGTCAATTCACTGCCGAGGGACCGGCCGGCAAGTATTCTTGTCTTCTTCTTTCTCTTTTCCTATCTTTCTTCTCGGGAATAATCCTGCGTCGCCATAGCCTTGCATCAGCCTCAGAGCAAGTAGTATTTCCTCAGCCCAACATCTGTGACGTGTGGATGAACCTCTTCTGGCTGATGAGACACGGGGGTTTGGACGGGCAAGGCGGGTGAGACAGTTCTGAAGGCTACACAGCCCGCTCGCTATATGCTGAGGTATTATAGCAGAGCCGATCCAGCATGAACACCACAGCAGGATTGTTCAGCTGAAATTTGCCCTGTGGTTGCATCTGCTCGTGAATCAACAGACTCTACGTCAGGCTAGACCGTCCAACGAGCTTGTGATTGGCTTACAGAACAAGCAGTGACTGCTCCGATCGACGACTCTCTACTATTTTTGGTTTGCAGCATTCTTGATTCTGGGTTCTTACGTATTAATCTTGTCTACATATGACATCGACCAGCTTATACCTGCGCAGGTTGATTTGCGCTAGCTGTGGAGTAAGGGAATGCAGCATGGCGTCTTGATCAACGGTTCCTGGGTACTACTATGGAATAAAACCGTACGGTAGGTGCGTGTGTTGTAAAGATACAGTGCTATTTATAGCGACTTGTCCTGTATGTTTGTGAGTGCATTGTGTACGTGAACGATGTGCTAGAACGTCTCTAGATAGGGCGAAACATGAGACGGTGATATTTGTTGGACATATGGGTTTGAGATTGCCCGACGGTGTGGCCGAGATAATGAGGGCCTCTCGCTACTCATCTGTTGTTGTGAAGATGGAGTATCAGGCCTGGACTCATGAGCCTGGCTCTCTTGGTCATGTCGTTTAGGTATTGCCTTGCGAGATCTTGGCTGGGACGGCCATAGATCGCGTATCTGCACGTTCCGTCAATCGCGAAATGCATACGTCAGCGGGATTGTCCGCCGCAACCCGGGACCCGTAGCCTCATGTGTTGAAGAGTTGGTTCGTCCATTCGAGGTCTTAGTCGACGTATCCGAGTATCTAATATGGGCATATAGGAAATGAGGTACGCGCATGCCCCGGGGGGAGAAAGCAGGACAGAAAAAAAAATTGATTAAAGGTGGATCAGAGATAGTGTAAATGCCGGCTCGATGAGCCGACCCGGCTTGGCTTGTCTTCACTCAGCAGTACCACGCTGGATGAACAGGCAGATCTCGGTGGGTGAAACGAGACCGCATCGATTGCTCGTCAGAAACGTGGGGTGACCATGGGAAGACCAGGCGGTCGGTCCTCCGTCGTTTCCTGGCGGCCGTTGAATGGGCGGCCTCGAGATGTAGCGGAGACACAAAGTATGACGACAGTCTCGACAAGATTCAAAAACGGTGTTGCTTGAGAGAAAGAACAATGTCTAGGATGGCTGGTAAAGGGAAGGGAGAGATAAAACGACCTCCTGAAAACAGTAGGGGGCTATGCTATGTAGAGGCTCAGCCCCCAAATAGACAGTGGAGGTAGCTCTCCAGCTCCCGTTAGGAGGTTGTGTCTGGTCCTGGCAGTTGACGCTATGAGCAGCTATTCTTCCGCTAGACCCCGAGATTGGACCGGGAAGGCCTTCCCGCGTGCACAGCCCTACTAATATATCCTGCTTCAGCACATCTGTATGTAATAGACTCTTGGCAGAACCAGGGCCACGGGTTTTGAGGGTGTACAACTGCACAAAGGCTGTGCTATCCGTATCGACTGCATTTTATATTTCATGTAGATTGAAATCGTTCGATTTGGGTAAGAAAGGGTGGGAGCTGATATTCCACATAGACCTCAGACCGCGCATCTGTGCTGAGGGCTACAAGGAGATATACTTTCTGCTGCAGCAGAGTATGTCGTAGTAATCGCCCAGGAAGGATTTTCTGGTCTGTCAAGGCTCCTCCCTGCTGTGATTTGGTGGGGGGGGGGGGTTCGCCTCGTGTCTTCCAAGACCGTCAAGAAATCCATCAGCTTTCTCCCCTCTCCACAAATTGGATCACAAATTGGATCAAGGTTGTCTGTCCGCCTGCCTTTTGGACTGCAAGAAATCTTCAATCGCCAGATGTGATCGTCGCTCTCGTTCATGCCGTATACGTAGATTTTCTGTTTAAACTTTTATGGCCCTCTTTTCCGTTGTCTGTGTCTTGCATAAACGAGACTTTCCAATTTCGATCTCGGCTGTGGTGGATTGCAGACTGCATGCATGTGCATAGTATTTTTGTTGCTGGAGTTAAAGGGCTCTCTCTGTAGGGTTTGAAAAACGGTTGGGTCAGCAGGTTTGCAGCAGCAAGTGTCTGGGTATTCTTTGCTCCCTACACTCCCACACTGAAGAGGCCCCCCTGACGCCCCAAAACTGACCCCTTCGTGCTATCTTTTTTTCATCCTGTCATTGGCGTGTTTCACCTCAAAGGTCCGTCATAGTCTCTCCCTCTTTCTCTCCCCAGGTCGTGCCTGACCTGCCCGGTTTCCCTCTTTCCCTCCCTCCCTCCCAACATTCAGTGTCATCTGCACCTGTACAAACCATTACAATTCAACCATCCTCAAGTCTCGACTGGCTGACGGCCCTTTGTGCCCACACGCCCTCACCTCGTGAGTACAGTCGGTGCTCAAACCTGCCAAGCAGCATTTCAATGTCGCGTGGGGACTGACCCTGTCCTGATCTGCAGAAACGAGCCCCATCAAGACCCGCCCTATTACCTCGACCCTTCCCAGGCTTACCCCTTGGCCTGTGCCACCCACCCACCACACCCACACCTACCCTGGAACCTTTTGTGGGCCGACTGTGTGGGCTGTGGACCTTTTCCTTCTTGCCTAGGACTCAGCCGTCCGAGGGTTTCTTTTTGTGCAGGACCAGCAGCATCAGAGCCCGCCACCAGCAGTAAATGTCCCGCCAGGAGCGCCCATCACTTCTCCTCTCTTTCTGCCTTGTCAATCTGTCAGACTAAGCCCTGGGGTTACGGAGCATACCCTCTGCAAAAAGAACATCCCTGGCCTGGACTGACCTAACGGTAGCACCTCTTGAGACTTTTCATCAAGAAGAGATCCGCACCCTGCACTGTCGCCCCCGACTTTCCACTTGCATTCTAATTCGATATACCAACGACACCCACCCGCCAAAAGAGGTCCACAGGGGAGCAAGCAAAAGGAAAAGACGGAGTCACGAGAAAGCAAAGCGTTTATTGCCCTTTTTTTTTTTTTTTTTTTTTTTTTTTTAATACAGCATTTCCATCGTTCACCAACCTGGCGCTAGTGATCATCAATTGATCCCTTTGAACCAGTCTCGCAACGGTTCCTTCTCACGACCCGCCGCCTGCGCCGCCTGACAGTCTTTCGCTCGTCATCTCGTTCATGACCGACCGTGTGACTTCGTAATTCCTCCTTTCGCTGGACTCGACCAACAGCCAACGACCAACGCCCATCCCGAGAGGCTGGACTGATCCTCGGACACTTACCAGCCAACCCACTACTGCCTGCGCAGTCCTACCAACCATCGCCTTCGACAGTCGACCGCCCTCACAGTGTCTCCACCTCAGCTCAGCTGTTTGCTGCGACAGATCCGTCCACCCCCCATCTCGACACCGACAATCCTTATTACGGCTTACGGCACAACATCATCGTCGGCGCGCCCTCTCCATCGCCTTTCCCACATCTCCCCTCATCCCCGACACTCTTATTCTTGCCGACGCCTCGACCGCGGTTTTCAATCGGCTCCTCCCTTCAGGAGTCGATCCCAACTCGCCCGCCCTGGCTTTACGCGATACTCGGCGGTCTCTCCTCTCGGCCGACCCTGCAGCCTTCTATCGGCTCGACGACGGGAGCTCAGAAGGAGGCTTCTTCCACAGAGAGGGTCTTGCCCCTACCTCCCGAGAGCGCGCCAGCATGAATCGGAATAGTCTCAACTTCATGGACGGGCCATGGCCCAAGGCGTTCTTCGCCGCCATGTCTATACAAGCCATAATATGTATGGCCTTCGAAATGTAAGAAGAGAGAAGAAAGAACCCGCCTTTTCATTCAAAAAGACTCGACGCTTTGATCGCCGATATTGTCCCTCACTGACGCATCGCTGTTGCCCTTAATCCAGATACACGTTCGCTATGTTCCAAACCCATCTCTCAGCGACCAGCCAACCCGCCGATAGTAATACGACTGCCCAGTACAAAACCATTCCGACCTTCCTGACGCTCTTCATCTTCGGATTCCTGTACGAGCTAGTGCTCACCTGGGACGCCTTGCGCCTGAAGAACACGATTCAGATCATCGGCCTCTGCATTGCAAACCTCGCATTATTAGTCTATACCGCGATTCAGATCGATCAGATTAACACGGCTATCAACGATCTGGGCAATGCCGACGCCCTCTCCGGTGCCTACACGAATTCAAAGGGCGTCCAGGTCACAGCAGCACAATCACTCTGGAGTGAAGTACAGGGCTTCCTCATTGCCATTCCCATCATCTTGGCAGTCTTCACCATCATCCTATCTTACGTTGCCTGGAAATTGTATCAGGTCTTTGCTTGGGATATCCTCAAGCAGATTGGAGCAGACTACAGGATGAAGAAGAGGTTCCTGCACTACCAGGTAAGCCAAAGCTACGGCGGCTCCTGTGGACTGCGACCCCGACTGACATGCTTTATATTAGGTCTACATCGCCCTGCTCAAGTTCGATTTCTTCTTCTTCCTAGGATTCACCGTACAATTCGTGGTCGTCGTCGGTGGCTATGGAAAGGCTGAATATTATCTCACCATAGCCGCCATGCCGGTCACCATCTTCATCCTTCTGGCCGCTGCCTACTTCACTCGTCATGAGAACAAGGTCGGATCTTTCAGCGTCGTCGTCCTCTATTTTGGAGGACTCGCATATTTCATCTTCAAACTCTTCCGAATCTACCAGCACGCCATGCAATACATGCCCGTGCGCAAGAGTTTGACCGCTTTTGCGGTTCTAGCGATCATGCTGTTGATCTGCACCATCGTCAATGCCTTCTACTGTATGAACAACTACGGCAACGGACTAAAGGGTCACCTCCTCAAGCCCAAGACTGTCCCAGAGAAGAGTGACGATGGCAGTGTCGACATGCATCACTTGAAGCCGACGGCACCGACCAGGATGACGATCGACTAAGAAACCTTTCTGTTTCCCGGCTACCAGGATATGAGAGGTACTAGATATACGCCGGATGACGGATCACGACGTAATGACCAACTCGTTCGTCTTCAGAGAAGATTCCATCCCGCCAGACCTTAGCACCAAGATTACGGGAACGGCCTCGTGCCACCCAATTGCGAAAGCAGGATGACGAACCACGAATCTGAATTTATACCACATAAATATTTGAATAGGACATCCCGCAATTTTCTGGGCTTTTCCTCTTTTTTTATACCGGCGTTTTTGAAGGGCTATTTATCCTCAATGGATAAGGGAGGGGCCGGGGGGCGTTCAGCTGGAATTTCAAAGCGTCAGTTCTGCTCTCCCTAGACGAGGCGAGCAAGCACTGCGTGTATGGGGCTTTTTCGGGAGAAGGGGGACGAGGGGCGTGTGTTCAAAGAAACCAAAATCCGAAGAGTTGTGGAGGTTGGCTGCGACGAAAGGTGTCGGTGACGGATGCCTTCCCTTTTTCTCGCAGAGCCCTGAGCATTTACAGCGTGATATACTTTTGTTTCCGTTTTCTTTCTTCTTTATTTCCTCTGTCCTTTTTCCTTAGTCTGTTTCTACTTCCGAGTGATACGCCTGATTTATTTTTTTGATACCTATCTGGGAAGGGGAGATGACCTCACCCACCATCGGCTCGATCAATGGAGCAAGAATTATTTCTGTTCTCGTTCATCACTTGACTTCGGAGTGTCTGCTCCGTCAACAAAAGGGTTGAGGTGAGCTGAGGTAGTACAGTCGAAGGTGTAGAGTCCATCTATTGAGTATGGGCGCCGTGAGGAGGCTTGAGACGAGGTTTGAGGCTGCCGAAAACTGACAATAGTTGCCACGTCTGGGCTGAGAGGTAGTCAATGTGAAATGAGTAGCTCTGACTTGTAAGAGACTCGTTCCGACGGTCGACCAGGCACTTCGAAAAGAGCAAAATGATGCGTGAAGCACGAGAAAAAGACAGATAGTATGCTCATAATCGCTTGGACTCATCACTGCGCTGAAATATCTAAATACCATACGTAGGTACGAACCCTCTCTCCACGTGTCCTGTGGCCGTATCGCTGTCTGCGCTGTTTCGTTATGTGCTTTGGAGAGAATTTGCATTATACCTGCACGTTCTTCCTGTACCGACTGTGCGATGTCAGGAAAGCGCCCCCTCCCCAGGTATTCACTCACGTGATCAATGAGCCGTTCCAGTGTGTCTGAGGGGTGAAGGGAGCCTGTAATGATGACTGGGTACCGATATTGGTGTTTCATTTTGTTGCCTTCCCTTCTTTTTTTTCTCTCTCACGCGCTGCCCTTTAGCTGGCGATTCGGGGAAAGTCAAACAGGTCTGACCAGAAGTTCATATCCAGGGGAAGAAAATGCCCTGGTGAGATGGGTCTGGTATGCTCTGCGATAGCTCTCCAGTTCCTAGAGCATCCCATATTGTGGACGAGATGACTTCCAACTCTCCGTTCTACAGAATAATCTGCCTCGCCTCGCGTAGCTGACCCTCTACGGGGCAATAAGGGCATTTGAACCGGGAATGGCTCCTGACCAGGTTTCGGAGTGACTCTTTCGCTAGGACGTGTCCACACGGAAGCATCATGGGCGGGTTCTCGTCGGTGGTTTGCTCCTTCGAGACGGGGCAGACGAAAATGCTGTGGTAAATCATGCTCCTCGGTAGGGGCGTCTCGAAGGCGAGCTCACTGGCGGTGGTCCACGAAGCGCGTGCCGCCGTCATCTGCTCGACGTATTTCATGAGCCGAGGCAGCGAGATAGCCCCAGCCGTGGCGGCCACATAGAGTGGCGACTCAGCTGAGAGCCCGAGCAGTGAGCAAAACTCCCGCGTGAAGGACGCGGCGATGTCGTCGAAGCTCCTGTCGCTCGCAGGATCCGACGACGAGAAAAGGGCAGCGTACGGCGAATCGATCAGGTTCGACTGGAACACGAGCGCGGAGGCCAGCTGTGCGATCTCCTTGGCATGCCGATCGGCGAAGCGCGGGAAGTTGGACTGCGCGTAGTGCATAGCTGCCGAGACCCCGCCTCCATGCCCGCCGTTGCCCCTGGACTGCTGCTGGATGAGATAAATGTATTGCCGCTTGCACAGCTCAAATTCGAGGTCGGACCCACGGGCCTCGAGCTCACGGGTGTTCTGGTGGGCCCACCCGATCGCGGGCAGGAGGTTTTGGTTCTTGAGCTCGGATAAAATCGCATACATTGTCGCGAATTTCTCCTGTAGCTCGTGAGACTGGAGCTCGGGGGCTTGGGACATGCGGCCGAAGCCTCCACTAGACACGTTGTCCTCCGGAGTTTGCGACCCATCTATGATATGTATGTATTCTTCGTCATCCTCGTCAACGCCATCTCCCTCATCCTCTGCGTCCATGTCTTTGTCGTCGCTGGGTGGTAAGGGCGTGTATTGGTGTCCATGAGACGGCGCAGCCTGGCCATCGCGTGCTGGCTTCTGCCCCTGCATTTGACCAGTCTGTTGGGATTCTTGTATGAAGGTCGACGCAACATTGAACTGGCCCTCGCGCAGCAGGTGCCAGGTGATGGCGCGATTGATGAGCCCGGCATTCTTGGTCATGGCATTATCGTCGGTGGGGAGAGCTCGGGAAGGAAAGGTCCTATTGAGAACCTTGACAGAGTCCTTGCGGACTTTGTCGACTTTTCTCAAGTCCTCATTGATGGCATCGAACCCTTCTCTTACGGGATTCTGAAGCTTGGTGAGGATGAGGCTTGCGGTATGGGGGTCGGAAGCTTCAAGTTCGGCGTCAAGTCAGTAACTGGCCAGGCCTTGTGATGGCGAAGAGCTGGCTGGACTGCGCACCTTCAGCTATCTGCTCCTGTGCCTGCGTCAGGATCTCAATTATCTTGTCGACATCCTCGACGGCGGCTGTGAGGCGCTCGGTGGTGCCGTTGGCCAGATGGTCGAGCTCGTTGAGAAGGCCGGGTATATCTGTTTCCATAATATTACTAATGAGGAAGATCGTCAGGTAAGAGGAACGGGAGACAGGTTGAAAGTGTATGTGTTTGTAAGGGTTCTATTTCGGAGCGTTGATGAGCGGTGCTCTTTTGGGGGATGTAGTGGAAAGGTGGAAAATGATACGGGCTCCAGTGTGTGAGATGAAGTCACTCAGCGGGGACGGCTGTACTATAGCTACTAGGGTGGCTTGGTATTCCTCGTACTTCCTCAAGTACGCTTTCAGCACAGCAACTCGATGCAAGTTAACATACCTCAACATGAAATAACGAATTTTCTCCTTTCCACAAATATGTTTCGTGATAAATCCAGCCTTGAGAATGTATGTATGCGTTTCCAGCGAGATTGACTTAGTCTGATCGCAAAACAATAGGTCTGCGAGTTGCAGTCATTGTACTCCTTGCCCTTTTGTACAGCACAGCAGCTCCCCCCCCACCCCCGGAAATCAGCACTGTCCCTCCTGTGCTGCTCCCAGTTTACCCCACCTAGAGGCGTTGTGTCCCACTATAACGGCCCGCGCTCGCAGCCCCTTATTTTTAAGTCTCGCTGCCCTCAGTTCAAGTGACGACGAGTGACTTTTGGAGAACTGCCGTCACATGTCATTCAAACCTTCCCAGCAACGCAACGCAACTTGTAGAAAAGGTTCCCCGATGATAGGGCACGACTCACGCGATTCCCCCTTGCTGAGCAAAATCAAAGACATGATACTCTCATACTGAAGCTGATACACCTTCTGTTGTCGTTCCAATATGCGTTCAAGCCTCCTGATCGGTGGCTGGATGCAGAAACACCCGTCGCACGCGAGGATATAGTGACGGCTTGAACCCCAGGGAAAGCCAGCAGACATGTCTTCCAAGGTGGCTCCTCCCGATGGACGAGCCCATGGCGAAGATGAGGCCGCTCAGGTGGGACTTATAGCCCATCAAAACCCAGGACGCACCAGCGCAACGCCCCTAGCCGGCGACTCCAAGTTCGATAGCACACTCTCCTCAGAGGCTCCCTCGCCTGCTCTTTCGCCAGATCCGAATCGCCGCAACTTTGCCCTGGCAGATCCTGTTGCCTTTAGGTATGCGGCTTGCCTCCAAGTGCCGTCGCTCTAGATCCTGTGACTGATGATGTTCCGTGTGAATAGATATCTCGCCGAAGATCCTTCGGTCAAGGTTCTCAAGAGTCGTGTCGAACTCGAGGGGTACGAATTATACCTAGTCGAACAATGGGCATGCTCGCGTCAGTCGCCGACCCTCGTCATTGTCACATATACCGGAGACAGAAAACATTCGGTGGTAGTGGGCGTGTTATCTGTGCCAGCAGACGAAAGCCTTTGGACGCCGCGGCTGAAGGTCTACTTCAAAGCAATACAACAGTATCATGCGAGGCCGAGGGAGACGAAGTTCGGCGATCTAATGGTCACCAACCTGAGCAATTTTCCGTCTGCTCTGACGGTGATCATTGTCCCAGACGGCGATATCAAGGCACACAGGAAGGCGTTCATCGTGAACGAGGACCTAAAGCGCATGGGTTGTTCCGGCAGGTCAGGCATGAGCTTGGCAGACCCAACATCAGCCACACAAGCCAAGTTCTACTCGACATACAAGATTCATGAGAAAGTCCCGCTCCTCGAAGCTGTCACGGACTTGGTCATCCTGTGTCAGGTCGCACTCTTTCTCTTCGGCATGTTGGAGCAAGCATACATCGATGGCCTGCTTTGTGATGTGACCGAGACTGCCATTGGCAACTGGTGGACAGAGGTCGGGTCTGAGTACTACAACATGGAACCAACAGACGGTATCTTGGGTCCTACCACTGTGGCAGCCCTGCTGGGCAAACTCATGGGCGCAAGGAATCGGCTGAGCTCCTACGGTGCCCCTGTGACCAAGGATGTGTTCGACATTGAGCACACCAAGCGGGCCATCGGCCATTTTCAGAAATCGCAGAAGCTTGAGAAGACCAGGAGGCTGGACAGGCAGACGTTGCGTCAATTGCACAATGTCACTGCCAAGGCGGCGGCAGGCGAGGAATGGGGCGTGCAGAAAGCCATCAACTCGACCGTCTCCCAGTTTGGCAAGAGAGGGGAGATTCTGAGCGGTGTCATCGGCACACGCGAGAAAGCTGGCATCAGCGAAATTGAGACTGTCGATATTGACAAGTTCAAGGAGTTGGTCCATGGCGAGCGAGGGAAGTGGCTCTGGCGTGGAAAACCCCGAAGGGTGGCTCCGGACAATCATGATCGGTCCCTTCCCGACATGACCAACATCCTCTTTGGTAAAGAGGAGGAAAAGGAAAGAGAAAGGGAGAAGGAGCAACAGAAAGAGAAGGAGAAGGAGAAGGAAAAGGAGAAGGAATCCACGGGGCCAAGCCGCAAGATCTCTCTCCCGCCCGACGAGGCGGACCTGTCCCTGAAGACCAGAGAGACAATGACCAGCATGTACTCCTTGCCCACGCCAGGCCCGACCTTTAATGTGACGGACAGTCCCGCAGACGGAGCCATTCATAAGCAGATGTTCAAGAGCGTTGCGGACCGAGTCAGCGACGCGCGCTCTGGACTCGGCCGCATCAGAGATGCTGTGGGCGGAGGTCTCAAGGGCCACAGCAGTCGTCCATCGAAAGACGAGTCCTTTGAGGCCTCCGCGTTCAGTCCGAGCATAGGGAGCTTGGTGCAATCCACGAGCCTCATCTCGAGTCCAGTGGCATCGAGTTCAGGAAAAGTATTCACATGGCAGAACAAGCCTCAGGAGTATATGAATGCATTCCAGAGGAAGCATCCAGATAACGTGCAGGCTGTGAACGAAGCCACGCAGACATCCCGGACGACCTCTGCAGCAATTCTGTCCCCTCCGCAAGAATCTGCACACAACATTTCGGCTGTGGACGGAGACCTTGATGTACGCAGAGATCTGACTGTCGATGTCTCAGCCGCGCCGTCTACCGTCGATGAAGGCGATCTTCTCGGGCCGTTCTTACAGGCCGAGCGCAACGGAGACCCATCATATTCGGCACTACAGAGACGGCACAGCGTGGCAACACCAGAAGCTCCCCTAGAACGCCCCCTGAACGAAAACCGCTGGCCGCGCCGGCTCTCGTTCAGCGCCGCCTCGGAGGCCGTCTTATGCTGGGACGAGCTTGTTGACCTGAACGAACAGCCCGCCACCTTGGAGGAACAGTTAGCTGCGGCAGAACTCACACAGTCTCTCTACAGCCACATCCTCACACTCCAGACCTCCCTGTCACCATGGGTTACCTCTAAAGTGAACGACGTGGAAGCATTGAAGGAAGCTTACAAGACCCAAGACGAGAGTCTGCAACAGGCCTACTATGCCTTCAGCGACGAGCACCAGCGGATCAAGCAGAACTCGGCGGAGATGATTGCCGAGGAAAGGGGCAGGGTGACCATGGCGGTTAAGGACGTCGAGGTGCAGGTCGCGAAGCTGGAGTACGAGATTAACGCACTGCTATCGAAAGTGCAGGACGTGGAAGATGGGGTGGCTGGCTTTGAGGCCACTGTTCTCGAAGTGGAGCAGCAGGCCGAGGAGCTGAAGAAGCAGCTCGAGACGGAGAGTTTCTTGCACTGGCTGATGAGGACGCTTACGGGGATAGGCACAGGACCGGATACCACGCGAGAGGATTAGATTGCGCAATGTGGCCAAAGCGCTTGGTGGTTTGTTTTATTGGTGTTCTTGAGCTGGAATGGCTGGGCTATGCTACTGGATCGGGTGCATACAAAGCGACACACAACTTTTTCTTCAGCATTCTTCAAGCCTCGGAGAACGGAGTTGGGCGATTTCTATTCCACACCCGGGTTGGGAACTAGAATATATCTGTCATGGTATGCAAGCCGCGGACATATTTGATTTCTTTTTTTCTTCTTCTTCTTTTTTTAAACTGTCTTTCGATGAGGGGGAATGTCTATAATACAATATCACATACCCATGGGGTATCAAGCCAAGCCTAACAATGCACGCATGTGAATCCACAACATGGACCGTTTTCCCTAGCCCACTCATAATCCGCATCGAAGTCCCTGGTCGAAGCCCAATTCCTCATTGAATTTGAGAGTCAAACCCATCTCCCTTGGAAGGGAAAGTCGTGGTCGAGCTTCTCCATGACAACTCTTCGACGCATTCATAAGGTATAATCAGAGAGCTGTGCGCTGTCCATCCTCCGGCAGCTCAGAAGCATCTCCAGCTCCAAGCGAAGCTCTATCGGCCCCAGCCAGCACCACCGCCGGCGCCACCCATCTGCCTCTGCTGCTCGCTCTGCATGATATCCGAGACCTTCATATGGACGTCGAAAAACTTGGCAGCGCAGCGGTCCAGGCAGACGCTCTCGCCCTTGTTGAGCTCGCCCTCGCGGTAGTCGCTGGGAATGCACTTTTGCTGGCACATCTTGTTCAGACTGCACGAGGTGAGATGTCAGCAACGTCATCAAAGCATAGCCCTAGAAGGCGATCGAGTGTGCGTATAAGGCGTACCGGTTCTGCATGTCGAAAACAATCTTCATCTCGTTCTCGACGGCGGCGATCTTCTCAGCCGACGAGGGCTGAGGACGGCCGAATCCAAGGAAGGACATCTTGATCTTGGCTGTGTGGGGACGTGGGACGTATGTTGAGGTCTCGTACAGAGGTTGACAGGAAGAAATCCAATCTGTCAAGAGGTCGGAGCTGATGTGAGGTCGAGCGCGAGTCTGAAGTCGAATGCTGCCAAAAATTGAGTCTGATTACAGGCAAGTGACGTCGAGACGTGGGGCCGCTGCTGTGGCTGCCATTGGACAATTTTCTGTAGGGACCCGCCCCTGGACCCTGCGCTGAGGTTCAGCATCTCTAGCTGCAAAATTTCCATAGCTTGCATCGTCAAATGCGCGCCAGACAACACCACCTTACGATTTCGACCAGTGCGCGTTTCTTTATGCACCTGCCTTGGAGGGCACAATGGTGACTTTTTGAAAAGACTGTAGGTTATTTCACCTTTTGTATCTTCGAGATGCTATCACTACATTTTTTTTTCTATGATGACACCGCATAAACCTTAGAACCGTTGCGACTGACACGGCCTCGGTCGTGCGTGATCAAACTTGCCTACTCTCTGAATATACTCCTCTTCTACAACAATGTGTAATTTTTCTTCAGAAGATCATGCGACCAGCTTGCTGACTCGTTACCGTTAAAGGTCCTCCCTTCAGGTAGTGTCACCGTCAAGATGGTACCTCGCCTCCGCTTCCTCCGTCCGTACTCTGTTCAACCGCTCCCTACGGGGACACCCTCAGGATGTTCCGCGTACCTGCGGTTTTACGAGCTCGCCAGGACGGATGCTCTCTTTGCCTGTCGGAGGCAAAAGTCTACTACAAGCCCTGCGCAGGATGATGGAAATTACAGCGCTGAAGAGCGCAGCGCACTCATGGCCGCTCGGCTAAAGGAGCTGCGGCCTGCCGGCGGACTGGAATACCCCAGGCTCACGAAGAAGGGAAAATCAAGAAGTGTTCGTGCGTTTCAAGCTGAGTTCGGGACCCGCGCTGCCACGGACCTTGCGAGTGTATCGGAACAATACACGCTTTGCGGTGCGCTCTCAAGACCAATCCCGTCGGCGCAGCCTATAACTGATCCTTCCCAGGACGTGTTCTACATGTCCGACGGTTCGGCGCCAAATTCTACATCATCAAGATTCAGGAGAATGGCTCTTCCACTCAGGCCCTGGTGAATCTTGGCAAGTTGACCGACGGCACCGACTCCAAGCATTTCAAGGCATTGTCTATGTTGCTCAAGAGGGGAGATCATATCTGTGAGTCTGGTCCTGCTTGTGGACCTAGGGGGTGCGGACTGTCGCTAACAGTCTTCATAACAAAGCTGTGACTGGTCGGCCAGCAAGATCGGACTCGATGGAGCTGTCCATCGAGGCCTTGCATAGCCCGCAGCTGCTCTCTCCCAGCATAGCGCCGCTGCCATTCCAGATCCCACAAGAATCGAGAATGCATAATCGGCACATGGACCTGCTGTTGAACCGCTCAGCCAGGGACACCTTGCTCGTGCGCGCATTCATCATTCACCACCTCAGAGAACATCTGCACAAGACGCTCAAGTGCGTCGAGGTTCAGACTCCCATCTTGGCTGCCAACGCTGGAGGAGCGGTGGCCCGGCCCTTCTCCACCTACGCGACTGAATTCGTGCACAAGGATATGGCACTGCGCATTGCCCCCGAATTATGGCTGAAACGACTCATTGTTGGTGGTCTTGATAGAATTTTCGAGATTGGCCCGTCTTTTAGGAATGAAGGCGTGGACGCTACTCATAACCCCGAGTTCACCACGTGCGAGTTCTATCTGGCCTATACCAACCTCGATTCCTTGCTCCACATCACCGAGAACCTCATGGCCACACTCGCAAAGGGCGTCAGTGCTTTTCTTGCCAAGAACGAACTTCAAGTGGAGGCCCCAGATCCCAAGATCTTCGAGAAACGCTTTGAGCGGGTTGAATTCATCCCGGCTCTCGAAGAGGCTCTGGGCCAGCCTTTGCCAAACTTAGACTCTCCCAGGGCTGTCACTGACATCCTGAAACTCTTGGAAGACGCAGGCAAGGAATGGCATAAATCCCTGCCGCCCAACCCTTCCCTTCCGAAGCTTCTTGACCACATGGCCGCGGCGGTCATCGAGCCAAAGTCCAGCGACCGACCGCTGTACATCATCAATCACCCAGTCTGCATGTCGCCGCTGGCCAAGTCCTTCACCTGTCCCACGACGGGTCAACAGGTTGCGGCCCGCGCGGAGCTCTTTTTCGGGGGCAATGAGTTGGCCAACATGTACGAGGAGGAGAACGACCCTTTCAAGCAAAAGCGCAAGTTTGTGAACCAGGCCAAAGCGAAACTGGACCAGCAGGGCGTAGCGGTGGCAGACCAGGACGATGATCCGGCCCATGTCATCGACGAGCAGTACATCTCGGTCCTGGAGTCTGGTCTCCCGCCCACCGGTGGCTGGGGGTGCGGGGTCGACAGGCTTGTTATGCTGTTCACGGGGTCGAAAAGGATCAGCGAGGTTCTGCCCTTTGGGAACCTGCGGAATGTTGTTGGGTTAGCATCTGGCGGCCCGCAGAATCCGCGGGAGACGCTCAGTCGGGAGACAGCGGCTGCGGAGGCGCAAGACGAGCAGGCAGGGCTGAAGAAGACATCCAAGATGAGCTGCGAGGGTGACACGAAGCAGGCGCCTCTCTACATGGGGTTTGATGCTTTCTCTGCTGCTTCATTCCTAAACATAGCGGAGGACATACACGAGACGAACACTGATGACGACATATCTGAAAAGGTGTACAAGAGATACGTGCCTAAGATTATTGAGGACGATCCTGCATCTGAGGGTTCTGCTGCGGGGCGGAAGTCACCTGAAGCAAAGAATTCCTAGGATGAAGCTGGAAGTCCAGAGCAGAGGAGACGGCGGCGTCCCATGGTCTCGTGGCATTGAGGAGAGCCTTTGGAGGACATGGGCGAGATGTTTCTAAAGATAGGGTGAGCTGATGATGAATAATACCCTGCCGATGACACATAAAACAGACAGCAACCCCTACATATGAGCATTCGAATTATCCATGTCCATTTTGAGATGCAATTTGCTCAAACCCTTCTCTCCTGCACCTCTTACGAACGACAACTATGGCATGTTCCCCCACCATCTATCTACCTTCTTGGGGTCGTTGGAGACGGCGCTCACAGTACATGAATATGATGCGACCAATTTTTGAAAAGGCGGGATTGATAATTGGTATTGTGCCACAGTCCAGAAACGCCCCTGGTATCCTTAACAACCTCCAAAAGAAATTATGTCCAGCTCAAAATAATAATATATAGAAAAGTTTTGTTGGGAATCCTGCCTCGCTCACTCGGGAAAAAGCCAGCAGGCTACTCCTTACAAGTCCGCATTCTTCCTCCATTCAGAAGACAAATCACGCGCCAAGGGCTCACTTTGGACGTGGAGGCCCAGCCTATCCTTCCTTGTTTCTCTCTCTCTCTCTCTCTCTCTCTTCCACCACCACCCATCTTTGCCTCCTCAGTCCCCGCGTAGGGGCAGTTTTCGTTCCAGCGTCTGGAAAGCCTGCGTCCTCGGGGTGAAGGCCGTCTGCTGGTGTTGCTGCGGCGGCGGCGGGTACTGGTACTGCTGAGGATGCGCCGGGGACATTAATGGCTGTGGGGGGACCATCTCGAACATAACCTTGTCGACGGGGGTCATGCGGCCGCCGGACGAGGCATCGTCGGCCTTCATGGCCTTGCGGGTCTTGATTTCTTCTTTTTCTTCGGCGGTTGGGATCATGTTGTAGACTGCGTAGCCTAGGCAGAGGAGGTAGATGAACCTGGAAAGACAGAGAGACACAGGTCAGTTTACTTTTAATGTTGAGACTTCCTTTCCTCGTCCGTTCTTTTTCTTCTGTCTTCGTTCCTCCCACAAGGGGGTCTTTTTCTCTTCACACAAAAAAACTTACAGTAGATAGACGGTGACCGAGTAGGTGCCCACGGCCATATGACAGCTTCCCACAGCGTTGTTGGGGAAATTGACAGCGGGCCAGCAGCCGTAGCGGATGTACCAGGCGATGGGGCTAGGGTGGGCCGGGTCGTAGTAGTCGGGGCCCATCTGGCCGTAGACGCTGACGGTGTACATGACGGACAGGGAAAGGCTGAAGAAGACGCCTAGGATCGGGGTCCAGACGCGCATGATGAAGCCGACCAGCTTGGCGAGGAGGACGAAGAGGGAGAGGACGGAGATGCCGACGTTGTAATCGGTGAGGCTGTTGGGTGCATATTGTCAGTGTGTGCTTCTTCTCTCTGATTTTATGATAGAATCTCTTCTTTCCGAAGTTCTTGTCTTCTTCTTCTTTCCTTGTCTTTATTTCTTCCCCTCTGTTCTTCCAGGGGTGCAGAGCATGAGAGGAGTTACATTGGGGAGAGAAACAGAAGCAGAAGAGATTTGGTTAGACTCACTTCAGGGACCACACAAAGGGCACGTTCGGGTGAGGCTTGTGGTTGGCCTCTGCGAGCAGGATGATGTCCGGGTTCGAGTTGAAGCCCCAGACGTAGCCGACCTCCCACAGCTGGGTGCGAAACAGGTCCGGCTGGGCGATGGCGAAGAGGACCAGCAGGCAGACGGTCCCCGCCAGCTCAAAGGGCATGATCCAGAACATGGGCGCGCGCTTCCTCCACTTGCGGTTGAAGGGCTTGTAGCTCCAGTTGCGCTCTGGGTTCCAGCGCTTCAGTGCCTCCTGCATGTTGGGCGATATGTTGGAATTATTATGAGGTGGTGGTGGTATAAAGTGTAAAGTGGTGAGGTGCTTTGTGGTGCGTGCTGTTTTATGGACGACGATAACCTGCGTCACTGTCCCTTGCAACTACTGCTTGCTCCCCCAGCAGAAAGTTAATTGCTGTGCAAACAACCAATTCGTCTCGTAGTGTTGTTGTTCTTGGTGGTGGTGGTCGTGCTCTGTGAACGGATCTATTTGTTGCTGACTGAGCAGCGGTCACAACAGGCTCTCACATCGAAGCCCTCGGGGAGTGGTGGTATCCGTCGCAAAAGCAATCGATGGCCCGTGTTGATTTTCACGCACCTCGTCCCTCGTCGACGATGGCACGGACAACTCTGCTGACGATGGGTGAAAATTGGAGATGGCACTTGTACAGCTTGGCAAGAAAGGAGGAGAAGAAGAAAAGAAGACCAGCTCTGGACGCGCGGAAGAGGAGATCTTCAATGGCTGTCCCCCTCCCCATGATTATAAGCGACCACACACACACAGCTTTTCCACATCCGAACCTATCAGGTGAACTCCCCCGGTCTGGCTCTCGTTCGCTATAGGTTGTCACACTGGACAGGCGCCGAACGACCCTCATTTGGGGCCCTGCCAGTGCCTGCAGTGCCAGACCACTCAGCCAGGCCCCATGCCCGTGATGCGACCTGCATGTGCAGAACCACGAATAGACAGACAGAGTGGGGGGGGAGGGGTATCCAATCGGAGTGTGAGGCAACTCAGATAGCCGCCGAGGCGATGGCTTTGTGGAGGCGGGATTGGTTGGCCTGGGCGGGTGGTGCAGCCAATTGAATGGGTTCATAGCATGGGGGCCATTTCTTTGGGGAAGTTGGGAGCTGGGCGCTTGGAAGAGACGGATAGAGAGAGGGCCGTGATGGGTGGAAAACCCTCCTCGAGTGGGTCTTTTGCATATGTACATGGTGTGGTATTTCTTCACTTCTCATGTGATAAATACATCACTGAAGTGCAGTCGCCCGAAGATACAAGCAATTCTGGAAGTTCATGAACATGAGTATGTATGCATACTATACTTGATCTGGATCGAGAAGTCATCCTGGAATGTGACTGCAGCCAGCCTCTCGCCCTTTTTCACGGGAAACGGTGCCACTACGATGAAGACAAATCCCTCGTCACGTCTGACTTCTCTTATCATGTTAGCATGTACAATATACATACAAGCAATGCCGTTCTGGAATGGAGACGACTTGGTTTCATTTATTGTTTTGGTTGTCGACAACAACTTCTTCTCCTTCTTTTTTCCTCGTCGAAAACTGGGCGAACCATGTCAGACCAAGCAGAGATCATTCCAGTGAGCATGACTTGCATTGAGACAAATACCACCCACACCATGTCATCCACTCACTGCCCGAGTGTGTATGCCCCGGATGGGCCTCCCGTCCGGTCGCCAACGGGTCCTGCGACCCCAAGGCCGGGTCGGGCTTGAGAGGACCCGCCGCGCCCTACCCGATGAACGGGGGCGGCAGTCACTTGATTACGTACATTATATGTACACGGGAAACCGAAATTCTTCATGTCTCTGTCTGTGCTTTCGTTTGTGTCTCTCTCTTTGCTCCGGCAATTCCATGATTCTGTCTCTCATTCTCTTGCTCCGGCAAGTCCATGAGAACATCAAGTCTCAGGCCCAAGCGCTGCTCCTTAGGATCGGGTGTTCAGCCGGTCCTCGCGAGACACAAACGCACACACACACACACACACACACACACGAACCAAAGTGGCTTGCGGCAAAGGCCAGTATGTGGAGAGACAAACCTCTCATCACCACTGGTGCTGGCTTACACAACAGACACCCATTTGTCGCCATTACTCTGTTCCGATTCGGTACGCCAGTATTCATAAATTGCTATTGGTTTAGGAAGGGGCGTGGTTCATTGCCGCGTGTGCCTACAATGCTATTCGGCAGGCATTGCATACATGCCGCGAAATGTTATAAAAAAGTACAAGTACAGTAAGTAGCTGTCTTAGATCGCTCGAAGCCCAAGATATTGATTCAGCCACGACATGCCCCGTGCTTGGAGTGTCTGGGAGAGAGGGTGGGACGGAGAGGGGCAGTCCGGCCTTCACTCCCATCACACGGACCATCACATTCTTTTCTTTCCTTTTCTTTCCTGAAAGAAAGGGTATACGAGAAACGAGCTCGCGACCATTCGGAGGAGAAAGTAAACTTGCGCTGTGCTGCATTGTTCCAGAGGTGTGTGTGTGCGTGTAAAAGGAGGGGGGAGGATGGATGAAACAAGCGTTGATAACCCATCATTCACCGCCCCCAGTTGCGGATGGTGGGTTCTATGCCTTTGTTTCTTTTTGGAAGAGACAAGTGCACTCCCTACTGATCGAAAGGATGTTGGTGCTTGAGAGAGACAGAGAAGATTGGATGGCCAGGTTGACTTGATCACATCTGATTGGCTTTCCTTTTCTTCGTTTCTTCTCTTGTATAACACACGCACAGACACGCGCAAACACACATAGGCAAAATGCGGGCGGGCCGTCAGAGGGCCGAGGCCTCTTTTCTCAATAAACAGCCTGGCAGTGATGGGGATCTTTATTCAAGGATGGTGCAGAGGTCAACGGAGACCCCAAATGAGTTTAGTAGCAAGACCTCCTGTCGGTACTGGTAACGTACATTTTACCATGAGTATTCCTATGGAGTATCTTCCCAGCTCCCCTCCGTCTTTTCATTTTTCTTTCTTCCTCTTCTTTCTTTTGGCCTTCTTGCCCCGTGAATCTTCGGGGGTGAGGACCCCCCAGTCTCTCTGACTCTCCCTCCTAAGGCTAAAATATGCTCGGCGCTGCAGAGACCCACACAAGCCCAGCTCTGTCTCCACAAGCCTTGCAATCTCAAGCTTACACCAAGCCGGCATAGACCGCTCTAGGCCTGGGGGATCGGCAACGGGTGGGCATCGAACATGGTACAGGCGGCACAGCTGGAAGAAAAGAAATAACAAATAAAAACAAATACCGTAGTGAAATCAAGGGAAAAGGGCAAAAGAGCATGAAGCTCAATCCCTGGTTGGCACGGTCGAACGAAAATCCTCATGCGATGATCAGCGACGGTGGGTCTCTTTTACTATGATACTTGCAAGCTACTAATGGTACGTACAGACATGTATTCTGGAGAAGTACAATGAGTTGATGCGTGGTATCCATATTAAATAGTAACGACTATTGTGTGGCTTTCTTCCAGGCACATGGAAATAAACAAATCCGTCACGCACGTGGAGTTTTCTTTCCTCCCCCTCTATTAAATAGCCCAGAAGGCTTCAGCCGCAAAGCAAGCAAGCCCCCTCCTCAACCCCCGCCCTCTTCGTGTGCATGTGTCAATTGACTGACTCGCCCATTCATGTATCCCGTAATGATGTAATGAATTCACTGATCCAGATCGGTTTTTGGGGGCCGGGATGGAGCTTTGAAGATTGCCGCCTTCTTTCTAGCGCTGGACCGACATCGCCTTGGCTTGGACATGCTGCCCTAGACGCGCCCGAGGCAACGGTTTTTGGTCGTGTTCCGGCTGGCGCTTGAATGTGTCCTCAAGAAGTCGTTCTCCCTTCCCTCGGGTGTTGTGTGTACATCTTGACGTGGAGCAAGATCTCTGCTAAGTTATTGGTACTTCCACGTACTATCACATGTAGCAGGTACTAATTTCAGCTGTACGGATACGGAATAATGCACCGAGTAAGGCTAAGTACTTAAGTAGTCAGAGATGTGGCTTCGAGACTGGCTGGCTGGCTGCATACCTGGCTTGCTTCTTCTGTTTCCTCATGGACTTTTGTGTATGCAGGAATCTCGTCATGCTCATTATTCAGGTCATGCATCCAGATAGCCTCCTCCAGCATGCAGACAGCTAGATACATACTTAAGATAGATGCTTGGTACATGACTAAATTTCCGCCTTTTTACTTTTCCCCAGCTCCTTCTCCTCCAACACACATTCCCACCGCGACACATATCGAAGAACTTACTCATCACATCTGAGTGTACTTTATTTACTGTCCAGATTCCCCTGGTAAGCACACACAGACACACTCCACATGGTCCCGACAACCCGTTCTAGACTGCTGTAGACCTCCTCGTGACCCCCTGCTCTCACTCGGTCAGCATGTACTCCCTCGACGTGCATGCATGCAGACAGTCAGTTTTCTCGCATACACTCGCCCAATCTTCTTTTGGATCTTGAGCTTGTCTGATGGTCGTCGTCTCCTCGTATCGGCCTCGCAATCTATACCAAAAACTGCTTTCTCCCCCTCGCTCGCTTTCTCGTTTTCTACTTCCTGTTTCTTTCTTTTTCCAACAAGCCTTTGATAGCTAATACACGGCCTCTTTCCCATGCCCTTCTCTCACAGGCTTTCCCCTCCCAAAAAGACAGGAAACCCGATTTCGAGGGACCGATTGATCCACACTTGCTCGACCTACGCGCGCCGGCCTTGCACTATTGCACGGGAGAGACTGCGGGCAACAGCAGCAGCAGCAGCAGCAGCAGCAGCAACGGCTTCTAGGTTTGCCTAATCTATCCGTTTCTCCGTCCGCCTGTCAAGGAACGAACAAGAACAAGAACAAGAACAAGGGCCAAACCTTTGGGGCAAGGGCTAGTTTCTATCGGGTCTTCCGCTTCCGCCGGGGGACCACGTCCAGATACGCACGCTTGCGTATTATACTATAGTACTACTACTTACAGCTACTCACCTCTCTCCCACTGTCTTTTGCTCTCTTGTCTCTCTCCAGGCTTCTTGTAGGTCGGCTCCGAACTCCCACCCCCGGGCACCTAGGTTCAGGCCTTGTAGCCTGCTCTCCCCATCCCACTTGGACCGGTGGCTAACAATCCATTCTGGGCTTGGCAGAGGGGGCCCATGAGCGAAGCATCCAGCAAGGTGGGGATCTTCTTCGTCATCCTGTGGTCAATCCGGCGTTGTGTGTCTTTTCTAGGTTTCGTCCAGAGTACAGTACCGATCTGGAAGAAAAGAAAGGCACTCTCATACCCACGATCACCTCAGTCAGTCAGTCAGCAACTCTTTTCAAGGGAAGCAGCACCGATCCGTGAAAGGGAACTTTCTTAAACAGCGTGTCTCCTGCCACCCCCCCCCCCTCTTCTTCGTCCTATGCAGTAACCTCCATCTCGTCTGGAAGAGAAGAAGAAAAAAAACGGTTCAAGAGAAGAAGATCGTCGTCTTCCTCGTCCCGCTTTGTCCCGGATGTTGCATGACATTCACTGCACCAAACACGATTTATCATAAACAGGAGAGAAAGAGAGGGAAAAGGCAAAAAAGAAGAAGTCGGAAAGGAAGAGAGAAAGTGAAGGAAGAAAAAAAACCCCCACCCCAAGCCCATCCTCATGCCCTGGACCAAGTAAACCAACCACCCACCCCCCCCCCCCCGGCCTGGTTTCTACGATCAATCGATCGTGCCAACGGCTTTTAGTTTTGCACCTGGGCTAGCCAGATCGACGCCCTGCCAGTGTATCGGTTTCCCCAGGCGTTACCGCTGTTCACAAGGGCCCCTTAACCATCCTCTTTTTTTGCTCTCTTTTTTCTCTCTACCCTACCCTATTCCCACTTCTGCCGTAACATGCGAGAAGGACCCGTTGTTGACTGACACACTGTCGGGTTGACAATTCCTCCTCGGCCGCTCGTTCGTTACCCTTCATGAATCTAGAGAAACGCCAAAAGTCGCCACATGAATACGACTTTGACCTCAGCGGTCGGGCTGCCAACAGTGTCCATTCTTCTTCTGCTTTTTCTTTGACAACTACAACTACATCCACTACTCCAAGCGGCGAGAATTTGACTTGTCTGTTAAGAAGTCCTTCGCTAACCTCGGTTTCCTCGTCCACCTCGCCTCGGGCCGCTCCTTCCTCCTCTTCGTCCTCCTCCCCCGCCTCCTTCTCAGCCGCGCATCTTGTCTTCCCTGCTGCTGGCGATTTCCACTTTTCTCCTCCTCTTCTCCAGCCTGGACCTAGCTGCTACAGGAATATCGCACCACAGCCATCCGACGACGCCGTCAGGCTCGCCGCGCAGCTAAACAGGCAACGCGATCGGCAGTTTGGACAGTATGGTTTGACAGCTGCCACCGGCGTTTGCAATCACTTGGCCGTGGGCGCTGCCTCTCCTCTCCTTCTCCCTCCTTCTCCTCCTCTTGCTGGTGCTGCTGGTCCTGGGCCTGGTCCTGGTGTTGGTGGTGGTGCTGGTGCTGCTTCAAGCCGAGTCTGCTGCTCAGCCCCAGCAACAACAACAACAACAACAACAACAACAACAACAACAACAACAGCGACAACGACGCTGCCAGAACATTCAAACCTCTGGGCCGTGGACCCCCACGTCGCCAAACCCACGCACGCCTGGAAACCACCCGAGAGCAGCAGCTTAGAGCCTTCTTCTCCTCCTCCTCCACCTCCAAGGGCCGCCAAGCGATCCATCAGCGCAGGCAATCTCGATTCATCCGCCTTCTTCCACCCCCCGCCGCCGGCCAAGAAGCCTCGCCTGCTTCCCCCCGGCAAAATTGATCTCACAAGACTCTCCCGCCCTCGGACCTTTGAGGAGCTGGCCCTCCCCAACCTCTCGCCACTGTTCTTCTCGTCCAGCTCACACGCGCGCCGGCCACACATGACCGGTCGCCCCGTCGGCTTCCCCAGTACAGAGCCCTCCGCGGCGATGTTGAACCGCCTCCGCGAGGAGCAGAATGTCGTCCGCACCGTCAAGCTGCCCAAGGGCCCCGCCAGCTCTGCGACTCCTTCGAAGGGCAGCCACGGCCTGAGTACGCCCGGCAGCGTCGCGGAGGACAGCTACTCGTCGTCAAGGAGCGGAGGTGGCAGTAGTGGCGGGGAGAATCGTCTTTTACCGGCCGAATTGCGAGGTCTCCAAGGGCTGAGCATCCTTGACCTGCTCGAGGCGGACGAGAGGCCGTCGTTTATCATCGACATCACAAACCGCGCCAACTTCATCGCGGACGCGCCGCTGAAGCTGCTGTTCGTAAACGCCTCGCTGAGGGCGTCGCAGAGTGTCTATGGGCTCATCTCGCAGAGCGCAGAGAACAACAGCGAGTTCTCAAGGTTCAAGGCCTGGGTTGTCAGCTTTGTCAAGGACAACAGGTCCATGGACGTGTCTCTCCCTTCTCTCTCCTATGGCGGCGTCAGCTGGACCTGCTCCACATTGGCCAACAGATACCGATTCGTCAGCGGCAATGCGTCGGCCGTGTCCATCACACCCACGTCCCCCGTCCCTCCGGCCAGGGCGAGCACTGTCCTGGACCAACGAGCCAGAGGGCCGACACCCTTGAAGGACACACCAGCCCTAGGCAGAGATAGGGCCCTCAGCGAGACGGACTACTTTGGGGATGCTTCGCCTAACCACAGCGACGCGCTCGGGCGTCGCGCCTACTCAGAACCGCGGGACCTAGCGGACTTAAGACCGGATACGCCACAGGTGCAGACTGAAGAGGTACACAACCCTGATCCGAGCACTGCGGATGTCGATCTCATACAAACTTTTGACTGGACGAGGATTGTGGACACCAGTTGTAAGTTTTGGCCGTCTTTCTATAAATATCTCCAGTCTTCAGTAACAAGGGGGCAATTTTTTTTTTACTGTTTTATTTTATGTCGTCCGTCCCCACTTGAACAAGCAATTAACGATTTCCCTGGTTTTCTTTCTCTTTTCTAGTACTTTCACCTCATCTGCAATTTGCACGATCAGTAAGATGGGAAGATACACCCTTGGGACCGATCGAGGACTGGCCAGGGGACCTGCGCACCATGTCGAATATGGTCATGGGGAGCCCGCACCCCGCTGCTATGTACTGGGGCCCCGAATACATCGCCATCTATAACGAGGCTTACCTTAGCCTGGCCGGCAAGAAGCACCCGAAGCTCATGGGCCAGAGCTATATCGAGGCCTGGGCCGAGATCTGGGATGAATTGAAGCCCGTCTTCGACGCTGCCTGGCATGGCGGGCAGGCCACCATGAAGCACGACGATAGGCTCTTCATGTCCCGGAACGGCTTCCTCGAGGAAACCTTTTTCAACTGGTCCATCGTGCCCATGGTCGGTGCGGACGGATCTGTCGTCGCCCTCTACAACCCGGCTTTCGAGAACACCCGGCGAAAGGTTAACGAGCGGAGGATGTTCACGCTGCGCGAGGTGGGCGAGAGGACATCCCTTGCGCGGGACGTCCAGCAGTTCTGGAAGCAGGTTGTCAGAGGTCTCGAGTACAACGAGGCCGATATCCCGTTCGCCCTGATATACGGCATTGCGGACGATTCGGACAGCGACATGTCCTCGATGCATTCCGGCAGCGTGACCAATCCTCCTCGGATCCAACTCGCAGGATCTCTTGGTGTGCCTGCTGGCCACTTCTACAGCGAGATGTCGACCATCGACTTACGAACGAGTAGCGATTGCTTTGCGCCCTACATGAGGATGTCCATGTCACAGCCTTCCGTTCCTGTCGTTCTGAGCAAAGAGGACGGGACGCTTCCACAGAGCCTCATTGAGGGAATCGAGTGGAGAGGCTTTGGAGACCCCTCCAGGACTGTTGTTGTGTTCCCAGTGCACCCAACAACTGGCGAGGGCGTGGTCGGCTTTATCGTCTTGGGCGTGAACCCACGGAGGCCGTACAACGACGACTACCGCTTGTTTATCAATCTCCTCTCCAGACAGCTGGCAACGTCGATGGCCTCTGTTGTGTTGTTTGAAGAGGAGATCAAGCGCGGCCAGCAGGCGGCACGGATTGCTGCGCTGGATCGCCAGCAGCTCTCACAGGAACTCCGCCTGCGCACGCAAGAGGCCGTGGAAAGCGAATACAAGTTTACCCGCATGGCCGAGTTTGCGCCGGTGGGTATCTTTATCACGAATGCACAGGGCCATATCAACTTCTGCAACGACTCGTGGTGGGAAATTTCGAGGCACCCTCGGGCAATTGACTCGTTCGACTCGTGGATGGACAGCATCCTGCCCGCGGACAGGCCCGCCGTCGAGGAGGCGTGGAGGACGCTGATCGACGACACGGTGTCCATCACGCTCGAGTTTCGGTTCAAGGCAACGCGCGAGGCCAACGGGCACCCGATTGAGACTTGGGCCCTGATGAGCGCATACCCGGAACAGGACGCAGCCGGGACGACAAAGGCCATCTTTGGCTGCATCACGGACATCAGTCAGCAGAAGTGGGCAGAGGCATTTCAAAAGCAGCGGCGGGAAGAGGCCCTCGAGCTCAAGCGCCAGCAGGAAAACTTCATCGACATGACCAGCCACGAGATGCGAAACCCGCTGAGCGCGCTGTGCCAGTGCGCTGACGAGATCGTCGGCAGCATCACGGCGTACCGCAGGACGCAGCCCGCCGACATGCCAGACAGCCTCCGGTCGACACTCGAATCCTGCTACGAGGCTGCGAATACCATCTCGCTGTGTGCCAACCATCAAAAGAAGATCATCAACGACGTGCTGACGCTCTCGAGGCTCGACTCGCGCATGCTCGAGGTGACGCCTACCATCACCAAGCCTGTCGAGGTGATTGAGACCAGCCTCAAGATGTTCGACGTCGAGCTCGTGTCCAACAACATCAAGGCCGAGTTCCGCATCGACCAGTCCTACTACGACATGGGCATCACCCTTGCCAGGCTCGATCCGGCACGTTTGCAGCAGGTCCTCATCAACCTCCTGACCAACGCCATCAAGTTCACCCAGAAGCAGGAACAACGCTCCATCATCGTCACCCTGGGCGCTTCCCGGGACGTCTCCCAGGCACAGGTAGCCGGGATTGAGTTCTTCCAGGGCGATATTGAGCCAGGTGAGGATATCACGGACAAGGCCGAGTGGGGCGATGGCGAAAAGTTCAACCTGCACCTGTCTGTGTCTGATACAGGACCAGGGCTCACCGACGAAGAGCGCAACATGCTGTTTCAGCGATTCCGCCAGACCTCACCCCGAACTCACGTTGAATACGGCGGCTCGGGTCTGGGCTTGTTCATCTCGCGCATGCTCACGGAGCTCCAGGGCGGACAGATTGGCGTGCTCTCGCAAAAGGGCGCAGGCAGCACCTTTGCCTTTTACATCAAGAGCCGGAAGTGCATGGAGGAGCCCCAGCCGCCGCCACCACCCACTACATGTGCCTCTCATGACATGCTGGTCAGTCCGCCAACGGCGGCGGCGGCGGCGGACTCACCAATGCTCCCGATTCTGCCCGTCATCGACCCGGCTACCGTCGACGTACTTGTAGTAGAGGATAACGAGGTCAACCAGAAGGTCCTCGGCCGCCTGCTCAAGAGGTACGGCTTCAAGGCGCATCTAGCCAACCACGGCGGTGAGGCCATAGAGAAGTTGCAGAGGTCGAGGCACTGGAACCACCAAGCTGCTGCGGCAGAGGGCATCGACCCACCACCACCAGTCGTGCTGCGCGAGGGCGAGGAGGAGGATATAATCAATGTGTCTATCATTCTGATGGACCTGGAGATGCCCGTCATGGACGGCATGACTTGCGCCCGGAGAATCAGGGAGCTGGAGAGCCGGGGTATCATCATGGCACGAATTCCGATCATTGCTGTTACGGCATATGTGAGGCCTGAGCAGATCGGGGAAGCCAGAGCCTCTGGGATGGTATGTTTCTTCCAAAAACGTCTTGGTGGTGGATTATCACAATTGGTTAAGGCCAAAAACCAAGCTGACTTTTTTTTTTCTTCCCTTGGAACAGGACGACATTGTATCGAAACCATTTCGTGCACCCGAGCTGACACCCAAAATCTCCAAATTGCTCCTGGACCCGCCCACGGGTAACACGCCAGCCGCCTCGCCCATGTCTCTAGCTTCTCCCACGTCTGAGCGACCGAGTGCATTTCCATTTTCCTCTTGAAAGTTGTCACCTCTGGAATAGAAGAAATTTCACGATACCCCCAAGGGATAAGAAAGAAAGATGGGGAGAAAAGCAAACAGAAGAAGGGCGATATATTATTATACTTAGATCCCTTCTTCTTGTTTTTTTCTTTTCGACGATGCTGATGAGACTTCTCTATCCGAGAGCCTCTCAACTTGGACCCACGCCATACACTAGACGGGGGCTTTTGTCCTAGAAAGTCTCGTCAATGAGAACCCTTTTTTACGACCAAACATAGCTTGGAGTTTTGAGGAAGCCAGTCTTATGTTTTCCTGGGGCGTTTTTGTTAGATATGGCAGGGCAACTCGAGGCGGGTTGGACCGAGAAGGTTGAAGGGAAAGAAAAATTACGAAAAGGGAGGGAGGGTACACGGTTGGCAAAGGAAGGAAGGGTATCAGTCAAGAATACATGTCTACAAGGACAGGGGAAGGGAAAGGCTTATACATCTGTTCTGTTGTCATTTCTTATTTATTTTGGAAACCTGGTTGCCAATGCTCTAGGACCTTCTTTGGAGGGGGTTGGCGGCTTTGGCTCTGCGTTTGAATGGGGCTGACCTAGGGTTTTCACAATCTCGTCATGTCGATGCCCAACATATAGATGACATTTTTATAATGGCGAACAAGAGACACTTCGCCGCGCTGGAGCTTTGATCCATTTTTGTGGTTGTGTACTCTGCTTGTGAGTCATCTCGTGATGGAATATTAGTAGCCATGACAATGAATATATGGGGGTAACTTCTCAGGCTGTACAGTTTTTATGGTGTATCTGCTTCGTGACAGTACCAATCTTTACTCTTTTGGGCCGATTTCAAACTCCAAGCCGTTGTTAAAGCACAGCTGCAAATAAGCAATACATGAGTTCACTGTCGTTCCTGAAGGTCGATAATCTGGTACAGCTGTGTACGAAACATGAGGGCGAATTCTCGTCCCTGAATATTGTAATGAGAATAGCATGTCGTTATGACTAATTTTTACCCCCTTCCACTTTTATATCGCCCCTGCAAATGACCTGCCTGTCTACCCCTCTAGCTCTACAGGGGCTGGCTCATGCCGCCAAATGTGACCATCTTTGTGACCTGAACCAGTAAGTTAGCATGTGGATCGAAGAGTGTCCAAAAGGGATTCGTTGTGGTGTTTGTGCTTACCATGTACTCCTCCACTCCATATTTGGATCCCTCCCGACCAAAACCAGACTCCTTGACACCACCGAACGGCGCGGCCGGATCAGAGATGAGCCCCGTGTTGACACCCACCATGCCAACATCTAGGGCCTCCGCGACGCGGTACACCCTCTGCAGATCCCGAGAGAAGAAGTATCCAGCTAAGCCCACCGGTGTCGAGTTGGCAATCTTGATGACCTCCTCTTCATTCTCAAAGGGGAACAGCCCCGCCACAGGACCGAACGTCTCCTCGCTGGCGATGGCCATCTCCGAGGTTAGGCCCGTGATGACGGTCGGCTGGTAGAAGTTGGCACCGAGGTCCGGCAGCTTTTGGCCGCCTGCGATGACCTTGCCGCCCTTCTTCTCGGCGTCGCGGACGTGCGCGTCGACCTTGTCGATAGCACGGTCGTGGATCAGGGGGCCGTGCGTGGTGCCGTCGGTGAAACCATTGCCGACTTTGAAGTTCTTCACCTTGGCCGCGAAAGCGGTGGCAAAGGCGTCGTAGATGCCCTTTTGCACAAAAATACGGTTTGCGCAGACGCAGGTCTGGCCGGATGAGCGGAACTTGGAAGCAATTGCTCCAGCGACTAGTGAAAGAAATCGTGAGTACTCATTAAACTTTACAGAGAGTGCCAGTAGCCCTGTTTTGGGGGGGGGGGGGGGGGCAGGAGAGGGGAGTGCTTACCAGCGGTATCCAGGTCAGCATCATCAAAGACAATGAAAGGGGCGTTTCCGCCAAGCTCAAAGGACAGCTTCTTCAGTGTGCTCGAGGCCTGCTTCATGAGCAGCTTGCCGACGCCGGTAGACCCGGTGAACGAAACCTTGCGGACGATGGGGTTTGTCGTGAGCTCAGAGCCAACCTCTGGGGTGTTCTTCAGGGTAGTGATCACGTTGACGACGCCCTTTGGGATGCCAGCCCGGTGAGCCAGCTCAGCCAAGGCCAGAGAGGTAAAAGGGGTCTCGCCGGGTGCCTTGGTGACGGTCGTGCAGCCCACAGCCAGCGCTGGCCCCGCCTTGCGCGTGATCATGGCAGCAGGGAAGTTCCACGGTGTGATCAGGCCACAGACACCCACGGGCTCCTTGATGGTCATGACGCGGTTCCCAGGCACGGTGGCGGGGATGGTCTCGCCGTATAACCTGGGGGCCTCCTCGCTGAACCACTCAAAAAAGTTGGCGGCGTAGGCCACCTCACCCTTGGCGTCAGCCAGCGGCTTGCCGTTCTCCCAGGTGATCAGGGTCGCCAGGTCCTCGGCGTTCTCCTGCATGAGCTCGTACCACCTCCGCAGCAGCTTGGAGCGCTGTCGGCCGGTCTGCGTGCGGAAGGAGACGAAGGCAGCCTGGGCAGCCTCGATGGCCTTTGCCGTGTCCTTGGCGTCGAACTCTGGGCAGGTTCCGACCAGCTCGCCAGTGGCCGGGTCGTGCACCTCAAAGGTCTTGCCCGAGGCGGCCTTGACCCATTCGCCATTGACGTAACAGACGTCCGTCTTGAGGAGGGAAGGGTCTTTGAGCTGTCGATTCGTTTGGTTGTGTCAGCAGCACCTTCTTCCCTCACCCGTCACGATACGGCGAGAAACATACCTTGGGAGCCATTGTAGATGCTAATCGATGTGTGGCGAGTGAAATGACAGGAAGGGTGCTTCTCTGAAAACGGGCAAATCTGGGCACGAGCCTGTAGGCAGGCAGAAGCGACATGGACATGTTGTTGCGAAAAGGAGCTTCTTCGCCAGCAGCCACGGGATCGCGGGAGCTAGTGGTGCACCTTAAGTATTCTTCTACTTGTCACTCGAGAGAGGAGAAAAGACCCGATGAAGATGGAGTTGAGGTCTGTGATAGGCTGTGCAAAGTCGAAATGCGAACCCGGCCCGGTTGTCTCATGAATCAATTACCCAATTGACGCTTGCTGTCCGGGAACTCACGATCTCTTCCGAAGGCCGGCCTCTCAAAGTGTGGGGCTTCCTGGCTCCCAGTGACGATGATTTATTTTCAAACCAAAGATGGAAATGGAAAACAGAAGGTGAAAAGATGGTGTGCAGGTCTGCAGAATGTATCTTGTAGAGTTATGACGTCTCGACTGAAAACGGTCTGGTCCTGTGGGTGCTGTGTGTTGGAGAACAACCCTTCAAGAGGACGAATGGTCTTGGAGTTGTTGGAGAGTTGGAGAACAAGAAGCTCTTCTGTATCCCCTCCACGGTGGCGGTCGCCCCTCCCTCGACAGCTCTGATAGTGGGCAGAGACGGCTTGTAGTTACAGGGAACCTAGCTGCCCAGCAATGGCAGTCGCATCTACATGCCGTATCAAGTTAGTCAAATTATTATCTTATCAGAGATAGGACCAGTGTACCTAGCACATGCTATGATACATTTCTCACTAGATTTAGTATGTGCTGACTCACCCATCAAGCCCTTAACTGAAAAATGAATGGGTAATGACTTATGCTCAAAGGCAGCTCTGAATGTCACTTTCGGCTATGTCCTCTTATCCTCTGTCCATGAGACCGTAAAGTTCTGTAACGTAGTGGCACGGTATGCTTTGAGATCATGTATGGTTTACGTGCAGTTCTCACACTTTTCCCTCCTCATTTCCTCTTGGAGGAACATGAAATTGGTCTTTAATGGTGCATACAAGTTCTTGGGGAGTACTACAGTAATTATAGAGTGGTAAACATGACCAGAGCTGAACCAGCCAGTAGAATTCAGAGTGCGATACACATCTTGCGGAATTATATTGTTAAAGTATGGTTGTGAGGTTAAAACTTAAATGTGCACCATCTTATTCTTCATCAGTTCCGCGATTATTTAATCATGACATTTCCAGTAGCTAGGTATCTCATTCACAATGCGCACCTTATGAGCTGATGTCGCTTCAAATTTCGTTCGCAGCAACTGCTTCCGCATGAGGTGTACCTCCCAAGAGCTCGGGCAATCTACGTGTATGATGCCTCCAATGCTACATCAGCCGCGCGTAAGCAGGAAGTTCTTATTAGGTAGCTCTGAAAGCAATCCACTGCTACCAAAGCACATAAATACATTGAGAGAGTAAAAGAACACAGATACAGGTGCCGATGGGTCCTTATACCATTTTTGTCGAAGTCCTCCTCCCTCGCCCTGCTCATGGATGATGCGAGAACCTCCGGATGAAGGTGGATATTCAGAACACAAGATGTCAAAGTTGCATGCATATCAGATGAATGCTAATATTGACATGAGTGCTGCTATGGGCGTCCACGCATCTGGTGTTTAACTTCGAATGTGAATGTTACGTCGGGGCTTTTACGCGAATATCGTGTGAACTATCAATCCTCGGCATCATATTGGAAGTGGTTTGTGACTGTGAATGGTCGAGAAATACTCATGATACCTGGCGATCCATTTTTAAGGTGAGAGACATTGGAAAATGGTACTTGTCCGTAATAGCATCCAGTCTGCATTCGTGGCTGCATTGTTTTTTTTTATTTTGTTTTTTTTATCTGTGATTAGCCCGCCTGATATTCATCTGGTGTACTGGAATAAACCTACAGCTTAAACGCATCCGTGCCCATACTTAATATGTTTCGGCCTTTTTTCCCTCATGCATTTGATCAAACTTCAATTTACACTGGCCTGACTGCTTCTCATTGCACCTGCGGGTAGATAGTTAGGACATCATTCTACTGTTGATAAAGATGAGATCTGACAACGTGAAGTGTATACTGGAGTACTTTCATCAGCTCCACTCCGAATAGATGAGGTGGTTGGGGTCTCATTGTAATATCAAGCGGTTCTTCCGCTCGGTTCCACAAAGCACCAGGCTGTTCGTCTCCGCCAGGACCGAAGGCATGCATGCGCATCTATGGTCTCGCAAGTTATAGTGGCGTTTTCATAAGGGGTGTCACCCTCGCAGGGATGCCAAAACACTCGTAGATACTGATGGGCCCCCAAGCTGGCGAACTTGCCAATTAGGGAGTCTGCCTCTCCTCTATGGAGTCTCCTTCCACTATGTGTCTGCACAGAAATGATGCCGAGCCAGAACGGCCCGAGATCAAGGTCGCAGGCATGCACACGCATATTTGCGGGGAAGCTGGTCCCTGTCGGTGTAAATACCATGGTAGTAATTTTGACCCTGGCGCGTGACGCCATCTCCAGCCAAATGCAGCCCCAACCCCCCAAAAGGCGGAGTTTTGAGTGTGTCGTCTGGGGTAGTGGTGAATTATTGTCATTGGCTCCTCACGCACTACTTACATGCAAGAATAATTGGAGTTATCACTGTTCGGTAGTGAATGTCTAGCTTGAAACGAAACAATCGGACCCTGTTGGTGCGAATGAATAATACCACTTCACCTGGCCCCCCGCTTCAAGCTCGTGGTCTTTGTGGCATGTGAGGCAGGCGCTTGATATTTCTTTTTTCAGTCGTACATCATAATTTACAGTTAGACCACAAGAACTCTTGCGGTCGAGCTTGTTGTTACAAACCTGCCTCGGGTGCCAGCAGCCTCACTTCCTGATCTTCCGAACACGAGAATCCACACAGATCAAAAGATGAGGCTCCAAAACATTTGCCTGCTCGTTGCTGCGGCAGGGTCTCGAGCTGCCCGGTACAGCCTCAATGATGCTCTCGTCACTGCCAACGAACCGTTTCCCGAGGCATTTGTCAGCTACTCGATCGAGTTCTCCTCGTTCCCTGACTTTGCTGGTGAGCTCTCATCTTCAAATCAGGATGTGTGTATGTGGCAACTAATTCCAGTATAGGCAACGACTCCAAGCCCAACACGTTTTCGGACAACCTTCTCAACAACATTGGCAACCTGACCGGTACCAAGCCTTGTCAGTAACCATTTTTATTACCTGCTGCGACACGCTTTGCAGCCTTTCTTTTTCAAGGCGATTGGGATCTGACACGAAACAGATATTCGCGTGGGCGGCAACACGCAGGACTACGCCCTGTATAACGCCTCCCTCCCCTACGCGTTAAACGGCACCTTCGACTACGCCAAGTCTTCTGATTACCCCACCACCATCTTCATCGGTCCCTCATACTTTGAGTCGTACGCACAGTGGCCCGGTGTGAAGTTCTCCCACGGATTCAACCTGGCCCTCGGCGGCAACAACTCTGCCGGCTGGCAAACGCTGCTTGACACGGTCCCGCTGGCATGCCAGGCCCTGAGCAATGGCAAGCTAAACATGTGGGAGTACGGAAACGAGCCTGACCTCTACTCGACCTCGTCCCAGGGTGCCGTCCGTCCGGCTGGGTGGAATGAGAGCTGGTACGTCGCCGAATGGCTCAATGGGACGCTTCAGATTAGGGCCTCGCTTGAGGAGAGCTGCCCTGACCTTCTGGAGAATGACACCTATGGGTACTTTGCGCCCTCGTTTGCTGGGGTCAACAATACCCTCAAACTGCCTGCGACCTGGGCGGCTGGACTGGACACAGACGAAGACATCAAGCTTGTCTCGACTCACAAGTAAGTGATCTAAAAAAAACTTGCTTGAGTAGTCATAAGTCGATTGCTCTCATTTAAACCCCCCCCCCCCCTCAAAAAAAAAAAACCCATCCAGAACTTCAGACTTAGACTGACTCTTGTTGGGAAAAATTAGCTACATCTCGGGCGCAACCACACCCGGTGTGACCCTTCAAGGAACACTCCTGAATCACTCAGTGACTGCGGCATCAGTCGACGCCCACATCGCTGAATACGATCAGATCTGGGCGAACGGCAGTGGTGTACCGCTGATCTTTGGCGAGACTAACTCTCTTTATAATGAAGGAAAGCCTGGCTTGTCCAACACGTTTGGCGCTGCTCTCTGGGGGGTGGATTTCAACCTGTATTCCGCATCGGTAGGAATCAAGCGTGTACACATGCACATGGGCACAAACTACAGAGTAAGGCAGATTCTCTCTGCGCTATTTTTCTTGTCTTTTCTCTTCTCCCTTTCTCCCATAAAAAATTAGGATCATGTTCTGACACGTCACCACCACCAGTACGCCTCCTGGCAGCCAATAGAGACCGTCAACGCCACAATTGGGACCAAGCCGCCATACTACGGAAACATAGCTGTTGCTGCATTCCTAGGAAATACCCTTGAGAACCCCGTGTCCATCGCCAACGTGCCACTCTCCGACAACGCCGAAGCCGCCTACACAGCTTACTCCACCGCCGACTCCAGCCTCATCCGTGCCATGATCATCAACATGAACACCTACAACACCACCGTGAACGGCACGGGACTCGGTGTGGCCGCCAACATCACCACACGGACCTCTCGAATATACACCTTTGACGTGTCCGGCGGGAGCCTCCAGCCGGGCGACCCAGTCGGGGTGCAGAGGCTCAGCGCCAACGGCAGCGACGCCATCAGCGGGATCACGTGGGATGGGTATAGCTACAACTACGAGCTGGACGAGGGCAGGCCTGTGAGGCTGGAAAATGTCACCGTGGGCGAGTACGTGGTTGTCAGCGAGAACTCGACGGTTGCGGTGAGCGTGCCGGACTCGAGTGCTGCCGTGTTGAACTTTGTGGGAAACGTCAGTACGGTGATCAACGTGACTCATAGCAGCAGCCCATAAGTTTGCATTATGAGCGTGTACATATTGTCCTTCTAGGTAATATGAGGAGCAATGAAGGTCTTGTCATCACACCGTATTCACGGCAGCTTGGATCTTGCAGGCTGATATTGTTTACTCAATAAATTTTACAACCAGTTTGATGCTGCGCTTTTATGTATGTAGAGACAAAGACAATACAGGGAAAATGAGACAACTGTTCTTATGAAACTATCAAGTTCTGCCCACAGTTCTCCTGGCTCGAGTCGTTTATGTAGCGGTAGTTGTGAACTGAGACTGTTATAATGTTGGCTACAATTTTGACTCTTGTTTCTTTGGATCGGCATTCAGCTCTCACTCCTCGCTAATCAAGGTAAGCAAAAGAGTAAAGTCGGCGATAGTACTCTGGCCAACCAAAAAATCCAAAAGGATATCATGAGCCCATTCACGGACCTGGATGATCGGTTCCCGTAGCAGACTTAATAGTGGGGGCGGGTTAGGATCAGGAGCCGTAATCAGCAGCGTGGGTGTGCCGAGGCACGCTTCACATCCGACGTCATCCGTTGGACTTTATTCACCTGCTACAACAAACGACAACCCCAAGTGAAACGCATACCAGACAGTATTAAAGGCGGAGAAAGAAGCCCTCTGTAGCCGGAGGTGTGGAATCTGTTACGTTGGGTCGAGGTGCTGCGCAATCTCAGTCTCGGCTGGTCTTTTGGTGCAAAAGAAGAACTGGTGCTCCTTTCCTACTCACCATCTGAGGCTGTCCATGACACTATTGGGGGCTGTGGAATAACTGTTTCAAGGATGACAGCTTCAGAGCAGGAAGTCTGGTATGTTTCTTCATTCCTGGCCCGTATATGCGTTCGTACAAAGAGAGAACGAGAGAGAGAAAGCAGAGCTCGTTGTCCTAACATGATCTCATCAGGGACAAGCTGCCCCTCGTCGCCGACGTCCTCAAGCACCCAGCCTTCCCAACGGCAACATGGAACTTGGAGCCTACCAAAAGTGGCCGTCTGCCCGTGGCTGAAGGCCGTGGTGGCCCGCTGAAGATCGCATGGGAGGTTCACGGCTCTGGGCCGGTGAGGCTCGTCGTAAGTGATCATGTCTCCTCCCTCCATCATGTTCCTTCACCCCTTTTGAACGCACCACTGTCTGACATATGTCTTGACCCAATGTCTTTCAAGTTCTTGATGGGTCTTGGGTCCTTCAAGTCCGCCTGGCAGCGACAAACTCTTCACTTCGGCCACGAGCGTGAGCAGACCTACTCAGTCCTCTGCCTCGACAACCGCGGCATGGGCGACAGCGACGTGCCCCTGATGCGCTACTCCACCTCCGAGATGGCCCGCGACGCCATCGAGGTCCTGCAGCACATAGACTGGCTGCCCCGCAACGCCCTCTCGCCCTCTTCCTCCTCCCCACCACCAGAGCGCACCCTCCACGTCCTCGGCATCTCCATGGGCGGCATGATCGCGCAGGAGCTCGCCTGTCTCGTGCCAGGCTACCTCTCCACCCTCTCCCTGCTCTGCACCGCCGCGAACGTCGAGAACACCACCACCTTCTGGGAGAACATGGTGCAGCGCGCCCAGATGCTCATCCCCAAGTCCCTCGAGGCGTCCGTCCGCAGCGGAGGGCGTAACCTCTTCCCCTTGTCGTACTTTGTCAGCCCTGACTACGTGCACCTCCCGGACCCCAAGACAACGCCCAAGGTGCTGCCCCCGTCGGACGAGAGCGGCGGCGGCGAGTACCTGCGCTTCAACAACAACTACGAGCGGTTCGTGGCAGGCGAGCTGCACAAGCGGCTGGACGAGAAGCGGTTCACGACCAAGGGGTTCCTGCTGCAGCTCATCGCTGCCGGGTGGCACCACAAGAGCCCCCAGCAGCTGGCCGACATGGCGGACCGCGTGGGCCGCGAGAGAATCCTTCTTCTGCACGGCACCGCCGACAAGATGATCACTGTGCCGCATGGCTATAAGCTGAAGGAGTACCTCGGGGGGGACGACAGCGGGTTGACGGCTATCATCGAGCAGGACATGGGCCACGTCCCGCCGCTGGAGCGATATGAGTGGTTCCATGAGTTGGTGGAAAAGAGATTCAGGATTGGGGAGCAGCTAGACGGGCGGAAGTGGCCTTCAGCGTGAACAGAATAAGGCGGCAGGCGGTTTTTGGGTATCTAGGATGCATCATGGTAGACGTAGAAAGGGGGCGCCTTTGATATTATGTATTTTTATATCCGCAAGAGATAGATAGACTTTACTGTAATTCACCAATTTCGAGAAGCTGTAGTAGAAGTTGTCCTCTCAGCATTGCGTAGCTTTGACCCTGTGCATTCTATCCGCTATGCAAGTGAAATACGAAGTATGCACGTTGGCTCTCCCAGCTCGCAAGCCCCCTCCCCCCAACAAAACAAATTGTAGCGAGGTAGATAGCCCTCCTGCCTAGAAACGCAAGGCATGGATCGCCAGCTGATTGCATATCGAAAGTCTGCATTGGATGCGAATTCAATCCAAGCGCTTCTACATCATCACGAGGCCCACTCCGCTCAGGTTCTCTTCGTCTGCCATGTTTCTCTTGTTTACACCACCGGCGATCGGGTTCGCGCGATAGTTGAACAGGTAATAATGCAATGATCCATCACCCGGACCAAACTTCTGCTGCTCTAGGAACAGAGTGTTGTCGGCGAGCGACAGGGCGTTGAAGACGTCAAAGTTGTTCTTCTTGGCGATGATGAGAGCGTCCAAGATGAGCTTGTTTAGGCGGTCTTTTAGGGCTGCCTTGTCAAACGGTGTGGCCAGGCCAGTCTCGGAGCCGTAGTAGAACAGGTAGGCCACCTTGAGAACCTTGTGGCGAGGGTTGTTGATCACGGTCGACTCGAGGTTATAGAAGGAGAAGAAGTCGGTAATATTCTTGTGTTCATCCTAGAACAAATAATGGTAAGTTGTTGGTCACAAAATGGACTGGCAAAGAAAATCTGTTGTTCTTACCTCGACGACGTATGTCCAGACGGCCTGCTCCTCTCCCTCACCACGAGGCTGCAGGAGCCAGTGTGCAGCCTCCTCCTCAGTCCACTCGGGGACCATGTCGAATCGGCTCTCATACCGCCTCATCAGGCTTTGCACAGCAGGTACATCCTTCTTCTGCATCTCTCGCAGGCCTTGAATGTTTGTGCGGTCGGGTAATGCATACTTCCGGATTTGCCACTCAGGCTTGCTGTTGGGCGGCAGCGGGCTGAATCCGATCTCGTAGAGCTTCTTCCAGTTGAGGGAGCGGTGGTAGTACCGACAGGTACTGACGGGCTTGGGCAGGACAATGCCGCCCGTGTAGATGCCCTGCCATATTCCGTGCAGGTTGGAGCGGCGGGTGATCTCCTTGATGAGGATGGGCGCGAGTCGTTTGCCGCGGAGCTTCTTGTGCACACACAGGAAGTTGACCTCAGAAGCGACAAAGCTCTTGTTCCTCACGCGAATTGTCATCGGCACGGCAGAGATGAAAGCGACAAGCGGCCTGCGGTCCGGAAGGCGGCAGTCGCGGATGCCAACGTGCCAATCCTTCCTCCAGCCCGGTGCCATGAGCGACCATTTCAGGATAGGGGTACCGTAGTTGAAGCGAAACATAGCTTCGTCGTCCTCCACGTAGTGCCCATTCAGTAGCTGGTAGACCTCCTTCATCTGCGCCTCTTCCAAAAGATCCATGGTGACCCACTCGAACCCGTCAATCAGCTTCTGGGGCTCCTTGGGCACATCGTCCACGGTCTTGACCTCCAGAGGGCCCTCCTCGATTGGCTTGTCGGAGATCGCCTCGTCAAACTTCGGGACCGGCTGTGTCTTCCAAAACTTGTAACTTCCCATGTCCTTTGCGTTCTTTCCATTCAGAGCCAGACCCGTCAGCACATCGTTGAGGGAGAGCGACTTGAAGGCCTCGGCGGCCTTGGCAGGGTCTGATCCGTAGTCCTTGACCAGCTCGGGATTCCGTTTGACGATTTCTTGGATCTCGTTCTCGGGGAGCTTGTTGAGCAAAGCCTTGATCTTGTCTGCAGGGTCCTCGGGTTGGGTGTTGCCAGTTAAGGCAGCCTTGATCTTCTTCCTCTTGGACTTCTTCTTCTTCTTCTTGGCACCAGCCTCGCCTGTTGTGGCATCACCAGCACCAGTACCATCTGCCTCTCCTCCATCATCTCCACCCTCGACATCCTCGACCTCGTCCTCATCGTCAGATGCGACAGCAGGTTGTTTGCCCTTGTCCTGCTGCTGCTGCTGCTGCTGCTCCTCCTCCAGCTTGGCAGCGATCTTGGAAGGGTCTACCTCTTTGGACTCTGCTCCCGACATGTTGTATCCTGGTGATACTGTCCTTGGTTGGCGGTATGAACCTGGGTGGGAGAGGGTGTAGGAGAGTAGGAACTGTCAACCTCGGCGATGCAGGTTTGGGCTGCCGCTTAGCTTGACTCAAAGTTGGAGGGGTTGGTTGGAGGGGTTGAAAGCCTAATACCCGAGGGGCTGACACCTGTCACTGCAGTCAAGGGCAGTCAGTTAGCGAGGTACTGGTTTGTTATCGATAAGGACAGTGTCATTTTATTCACTGCAGACCCTCCAGATTACACGCGACAAACCATTCATTGGGTGGTGGCTTGAACCGAGTAATCAAGTTAAAATTTAGTATTTATCGATATCTTTGGTTGTAAGTTAGTCAAGGTTGTCACACTACAAATAAGGTCCGAGGGAGGTCAGAGGATAGGCTGGGAGTGAGTGCGAATTGGAAGGCACAGCCACTTCTTTAGTTGTACAGCAAACAGGATCCCTCTCTTCTCTCCTCACAGCAGTCAGCCTTACAAAAGGTCAATCACCCACTGCTCCTCTTGAATTCATCTGTTAATCACCTTTCCTCTTGATCTTTTTCCTCCATCATCCTCTATCTTGTAGCACATCACATCCTGTGCTGAAACACTGAACAACATGGGCAAACCCACCCCACCTCCTACTGCGTCAGGAGATGCTGTGTCTCTTCACACTCAACCAGGTGATCGATACTATGACAATGACGCCCCTGAGCTCCCTCACCTGGATCAAGCCGATGATCTTCCTCCTCTGTACGATGAGGCTGCTGAGGCTAGCAATAGTGCCAGTGCGCCTCTATTGCCCACTGAAGGCCGTGCTCGACACTCTCTGCCAAACCTCGCTCCGGGCCCTGTGTCCATCCCAGCATTTCGCACCGACGAGACCATCGCATACTACCTCAGCAGCAGACTTGACACTGACGCCGACTACCTCGAGGAGAATGTCCGTCGCTGGGCCGCCATCCCGCCGCGTCCTCATGTTCGCATCCGCGGGACCCACCGTGAGAAGCGCCGCGGTCACAACGGCAAGGATGAGAACAAAGATATCACAGACTTCGACGTCTCTGTCGAGCTGACGCCGTATCTGCTTCCCAACGGCCGGGTGGAGCGGGGTATCCGCACGCTGATGACTGCCGAGGACAGTGAGAAGGTCCGACGTGGGGGCGTCTGCCGAAGGCGAGCATCGCGGAGGCCCGAAGGGGGCAGTGTGGAGCTCGGGCTGAGGGGGAAGCCGACCCTGACGGAGTGGTGCCATATGTATTGTGCCAACCACTCCGGACTGAAGACATTCCAACTCAAGAGGCGCTTCGCTGGGTTTGACCAGGATCGCGTCAAGCAGCACCTCGAGAACATGGTGCGGCGAACCAACTACAAGGGCAATATCTACATAACATTTCCGCTGCGGGACGAAAAAGTCGAGGTGTGGAGTCAATGTCGGACGAATCGGTGGCGTTTGACACACAGCGTCTACGTTGTGTTCTGTCTCAGTTTCCTTTGGATTTTGACTTGGCCGTACCTGTTCCTCCGAACCAAGAAATTTGAGACGGTTAGCTCGGTGTGGTGGTACTCAAGGTCTGATGAGGAGGGCAGGAAGCGATATGCCACGCTCAGCGAAGACCAGTGGTACAACTTATGGGGCAGAGCTATCGCCAAGGCGGTTCTGGCCAAGAGACAGGGCACACTGGATCAACAGGATTTGCTGGCCGCTGATGGTGCGCCTCCGGCCTTCAACATGGATAACCCGGCGGCCGAGAGCGCGTTTGATCTGGTGAGCGCGGGCGTCAATGCCATGAACGAGGTCAATCGTCAGCTGGGCTGGGGAGGTCATGAGTGCTGAGGCACTAGCCATTCGACAAGTGGACAGAGTACTTTTATTGAAACATGTGTACTGAAGAGACGGAAATTGATCATGACTTTCACCAACACGCATAGAAGTGTAGCGCTTTTGAAAGATGATATATGGTCATTTCACAATGACCATCCTGACAAAAGTGTTGTACCGAGTTGCCCCCTTGTATCTCGCTTTCCAGGGCTGCTGCACAGGAATAGACGTGCGGCCTCCTCATCAGGCCTTCAATTCAGGCAGGTATCTCTTCATGGTCAATTGATAGAGATGGGCCCGGCTGTGCCTGATACCGATGTATAAGCCAGCGTGCTGAAGGGCCAAAAATTGGGCGAAACCCCATGTGGTCCATTAGGAATGTTGCCGATAGACCTCGTATAGCATTGGGGGCCATAGGCACCGGTCAATGGGATCCACCGCCCAACCCATTAAGTCGTCTATCGTCTTCAATTTAATGAGACCCAAAGGCCCAGAGCCCCCAGAGCATTCTTTGCACCTTCACGGTTTTTTTTTCTGCTTTCATCTTTCTCGTTCTCTTGATGTCCATTACATTGGCGAGGCAATCATCAGCCATGCAATCTCGTCTCTTTCCGCTAAAGCTCCTTCTTCTGGCGGCAATATCAAGATCGGCAGGCGGCACAGCATCCTGCTACAATCTAGACGGCACTGAGGGCTCGGGTTCGACACCTTGCGCATCGACAGGGGAGTCTCAGTGCTGTCAGGTCACGGGAGGTATCTGCCTTTCGAATGGCTACTGTTTGCACTACTCGCAGCCTATGGGGCTGTACAGAGGATTTTGTACGGATGAGACGTGGAACTCGTCAGCATGTCCACAAGAGTGTCGGCAGTGTAAGTAATTTCAGTGTTCAAAGTCATCGTGCGAAGGGCCTTCTGTATCTCTAGACACACACACACACACACAAAGGGTCACACAATACTCCCATTCACTATTGGCTCTTGTGGTATCAGGAGACCTACACACAGAGCAATATCCGCACCATACGTATAGCAATTGCTAGCATGTCCTAATTAGGGCGATCTGGTTCTCAAATCAATCCCAAACTGACATTCCAAGCCAGATACTTCGACAACGGTCATGCTCAGCATCTGGCAGCCCAATAGTACGACAATAATGTACTGCTGTGGGAATGTGAACAGTGGTGCCACAAGCCAGACTGACGCATGCCTTGACGGAAACCCCCCTTTTGTGTTGCCTGACGCAACACCGATGATGGGATTCGCCGGTCTGGCAAACGACGAGACAATCCCTTCGTCCACACCCGTATCCTCTCCAACCTCTCTGTCACCGTCAAGTATTGGCAATGCTTTGACAACCACGTTAGCGGTGATGACCACGAGCTCGGCAACGATTTCTGCCAACTCTAGCTTGGCAGCATGCCACCGACAGGATGTAGAGACGCTCACCATCGGCGTGGCCATCATTGCATCTCTCGGGACCATGTCAGTATCGCTCCTAGGATGGGGCCTCTGGGAACGCAAGAAGCGGTTGCGCTCTCCGCACCTCGACAGCAAAGGAAATGATAGTCCAGCCTTGGAGAAAAAGGCCAACTCGAGTCATGCGGCAGATGGCCAATCCTACAACCGACGTCTCCACACATGTGACAGCCGCAGCAAAAAGGGACCCAAGTCCGAGGGTGTGAGGCATCCACTGGGTGAATTGCCAGACGCGGTTCCAGCAGCTGCGGAAATGGCAGATTTTCGAAGCACTCAGGCTGTTGAGTATCGCCAGGTGGAGATCTGATAGAATCTTTGTGCTGGTGGTGGTTGAATGTAATTTGATCTATTTCCACACTTCACTTTGAATATCGATATTTGATGAACATATAGGGTCCTGCGTTAAGCGATTGACGCCTGAGGATGATATACGGGTACCCGGGTTAAAGCAAGTCCCCGGGTTTAAGTTGGCAATGTTGGAAGTTGCTTACCGGTTGAACAGTCGGTCCATGATTATCAAGCACTTGGGTTTCTACCTAGGTAGTTGTGAAGAAACATGAATCGATTCCTCCGCAAGGATGAATTAGACAGTCCGTTGATCACACCAGCTGGCGTGTCAAAACAGATAGTAAGACATTGCTTTTTCCGCCAGTCACTGCATAAATATAACAATCAAACTTCAAACACACTCTTCGATCTCGTACCCAAGAAAGCAAAGTATCGCAAAAGTGAAGCCGGACAAAGAATTGCTATATTCAACGACATCAAATCATTATATCAACTCTATCTGATAACGTCGAGATCATCATTGATATTGAGCAGATTCAACATGTCAACTTCTTCAGTCCCGCGGATCCTCCTTGTTGGAGCCACCGGTTATGTGAGCAGCCTCATTGATCATTGCCTCAGTCGCTACATACTCTAAGTCCAATTGTTTTTGGAACATTGTACTAGCAGCCCTTAAGAGGAACAATGTTGAAGAGTGCTAACTTGGATGGTCAGATTGGATCAAATGCCTTGGATCACATCTTGAAGTCCACTCATCCGGGCTTGAGCAAGAGCACCATCTCTGTGCTGGTCCGCGGCGAAGATCGCGCCAAGAAGCTCAAAGAAGGCTACGGCGACCGCATCAATCCTATTGTCTACAGCGGGGTAGACGACACCGAACACGTCGCCTCTGTCGCAGCTGAGCATGATATCGTCCTCAATATCGGCGTGGGTTACCACCCCCCTAGCGCCGTGGCAATGGTCCAAGGTCTCGCGAGACGGCTGGCCGACAAGGGAAACAAAACACCCTGGATAATTCAAATCAGTGGCATCACCAACATCTCCGACTCTCCGCTGCAAGGCGACAATCATCCGGAACGGGTCCATGACGACGCTGATTCTCTGGCTATATACGAGTTCGAGAAGGCAGCGGATGCAAAGTCGCCATATTTGCCGCGGACGACGGAGCTGGCTGTCCTGGACGCAGCTGTCGAGACGGGCGTGAATGCCCTCTGTGTTCAGGCACCAGTCATCTGGGGCAAGGGCTCCGGGTTGCTCCCTACTCAGGGAACTGTCTTACCGTGTAAGGTCCAATCCACAAGACCATGAGCACTGCACGAGGATGAAGCTATTTCTATCCCGTTGTTTTCCCACTCATAAGGACAAAATATGATGCATGTCGATCATATCCTAACCCACCGACTGCCTTACTAACTTTGTATCCTTGGCAGTGTTCTTCCGCTTCATCCTCGACAAAGGATACGCTTTCCAGCTGGCTGACGAGGACGCACGTGCTGCCGTTGTACATATCGAGGACCTCTCGGAGTTATTCACCATGCTAACCGAAAAGCTGTTGGACGATGGTGGCAAGGACCTCCCAAGGGGCAAGAAGGGTATCATGTTCGCTCAGGCCGGACTCATAGCCCATCGTGAGGTGACTCGGCTCTGCCTCGACGCCGCGTTCCGTAACGGTGTCTTGCCCAAGTCCGACGGTCCTCAGCAAAAGGAGATCCGGGTCGTCCCTGTGGACGAAGTGCTCCCGTATTTCGGTGTGGGGAATTTTAGCATGGCCGTCACAAGCCGTGCTGGCGCTGGACACATGAATACGGTTGATACTACGGTGAGACGGCTTGGCTGGAAGCCCCGGCACTCTATAGAGGACCTGAAGTCGGGGGCTCATTTCGACGAAGCGCTGAAGACTTTACTGTCCCAAGAGGCGGCATCGGCCAAGACAGTGTAATTAATTTGAAAAGGGAGCACTGGACTTGTGAAGCTCTGATAGTTATTTCTTGTGCGTTTCCTTTGCGTTTGTGACTTTATGTCACTTTTTTTTCTAGTCAGAATTCAATATGACAGGCATAGGCATCGCGCATTTCTGTTGCCACAAGGCAGAATGAGAATTTCCCCTTTTCATTGTCAACTCGTATGAACGCGTCATCCTACTGTTTGTTAGAGCTTCCATCTGCAAGCGCAATTGATTCAGCCATCAACGCATGCAAGGCTGCTAGGTTATTGTCAGTCTTAGCGTCACAAGCTGAGAACAATGATATCACCACTTGTGGGCGGTCGGAGGCTTCTAAAACTAATGGAAAAGTTGAGGTGAGGTTTTCAAAATTTACCATACTTCCTCTTAGTGAAATCTACAGTGGTAGAAAACCAAAACATGTTCACGACGAAATTGTGTTGGGCTCCTCTAAGGTCGGCTGCTCGAAGACAACATTCAAGAAACATCGCCATGGACTCAATCAAGTCCGCAATCCATGAGAACCTGGGCAAAAGGTGAGTAAGATAGAGATATTCATAGGAACTGACAATTTGCTGATATTTGAAAGTCATTTTCTTGCTTCAGAAGATGAGAAATTCGCTCTGGATCACATTCCTGACCTCAAGGGACGCGTCGCTGTGGTCACAGGAGGCTCTCAGGGCATAGGATATGGATGCACGCATAGCCTTCTCAAGAACAACATATCCAAGCTTTTCATCCTTTCACAATCTAGCGACGTCGTCTCAGATGCTCTGAACTCCATCAGGACGGAGATGGGCGATGAGGCCTCTTCGAAAGTGGAATGGATCCAGTGCGACTTGGCAGACTGGGAGGCCGTGGCACGCAGCGCTCACAAAATCAAGTCCAATACCGACCGGCTTGATATTCTGATCAACAACGCCGGCAAAGGCATCATGACCGCCGACATCACCTCGTATGGCGTCGATTCGCACATGGCGATTAATCACTTCGGGCATGTCATCCTGACCTCTCACCTTCTCCCAATCATGAAGAAGACGGCAGAATCGGGTGAAACCGTCCGTATCGTCAATTACGGTTCCAATGCTCATCAGTCGGCACCGAAAGATACGAAGTTCGCGAGCCTGGAAGAACTCAATCACGACAACGGGCCAACGGCACAGTACGGGCGTTCCAAGCTCGCCACCATGCTCTATGCTCGCTACCTCGCCAGCTATCTTACAGCAGACTATCCGAGAATCCTCGTCAACAGCATCCATCCGGGGTTGGTGGATACTAAGGCAACTAGACATGACATTCACGAAGCATATCCTCTTGGCGGTTATGGGATGAGCATGGTGTTGAAACCTTTCCAGAAGACACAGTTTGAGGCCGCCGTTCCGGTACTTTATGCGGCAACTGCTACGGAGCGCAGTGGAAAGTACATCTGTGCGCCAGCAAAGATTGAAGACGGTTCGGAGCTTGCAAGAAACAATGAGCTGGCTGAGCAGCTGATGCGCCTGACAGAAGATATTGTTAGAGAAAAATCCGAGGCTGTGAAGAAGGGGTGTCCTCTGAAGTTTTATTGAGTCCAAAAGCAATCATTTGATTTATATGGCATTTCTCCAACATCGCGAATATTTCTCTTCCATACCTTTGACAAAATCTATTAGTACTTCCACATACAAAGGAAACGCGTCAGCTACGAGACGTCTCGGACATAAGCTGAACAGGTTGAGACCTTTGCGTTTGTAAGAGTAGTTCTTTAACAGTAGAGCTTTTGGCCCCTCCTAACGCCAGTAACATTGAAACCTACCCGTGATGATTTACCAGCATCTATTCATCCTGGCAGAAACTCACCGCATGGAGATGTTGATATGATAGCTTACACGACCGACGTTGGATTAGATTTATTCCCATAAGGAATGAGGGCATTGGGTTGGCCTCATGTTTTTCAGCTCACACAAAATCATATTGGCTTATTAGTGCACGAAAATGTTTGATTCGTTGCTAATCTGCATGTGACCGGGCCCGGTCGATATCATCAACAATTGTAACGACCGACACTGCAGTATTTCTCATACGTTACGAGAGACTGCAAGGAACACTAAGAAAACCATGATCTCCACCTAGTCCGTGATCTTTCCCTGATCGTTGAGCCTTTAAGGTCAGCAAAATTATGATATCCTTAATAGCATACTTGAATGGTAGAAGAGGCGCTCACCAGATGTGCCTGCAAGATTCCACAAGACCTCGTGAGTCTTTGGGCTCTTTAGCACGAGCATCCGGCGTTGCTTCCAGTGCTGAAGCAGCACGTAGTACCGCCGCACAGAGCAGTCTCGACCCAGTTGCCGGTGGAGTCACACTCATAGACAGCGCCGTCCGGGCCGGGAGCGCCGTTCTGGTTGCCACAGGACCAAGTGCCGGCCGTGCAGGCCATGGTGGAGGCAGTCAGGAGACCGAGGGTGACGAGGACACGGGCGAAGTACATTTTGAAAGCGGAGGCTCGAGGCTAGGTGACACTGAAGCTTGTGCGGAAGGTGTGTGGTCTGGGTGAGGATGTGAGAAGCTGCTGTTGTTAAGTCGTTCACAAATGGAGGCCTTTGGGGAGACACACGGGGTTTAAATACTTTTTTTTCACGGTCGACTCTGAGAATTGTTCCCTTACCAACCTCATGGGCTTCCGGACTCGGACCAGACATGTCTCGTGCTTTTGACATTCCTCACCATTGCCTGGCCAGTCAGACTGCACTACCGCCATCTACCAAAGTCGAGGCCTTGGGATCTGCGAAGCTTCACCCCAAATCAGGTCTACGATGCTGGCGATAGTCTACGTCCACTAATCACATTTCACATTTCTGGTGGGGTTGGCAAGCTGTTTGATGGGGAAGGCTTCGACGATGACATGCAGTCGTGAGCATGAAAACGTCGGTCGAGAAATCAAAGTTTGCAACTATGCCTAAAAGATCTTTGTAGATCCATCTACCGGACTCTTTATTCAGGACATCTACTGCGAAGTCTTACCATGTATCTCTCCAGCAATAGGATTTAGTAATGATTCCATTCGTGGACTGGCTGACTGGATGAGATTCAATACTGTCATCCTAATAACTCGCAGTCGGTTCCGAAACAGCGAGGAACGACTATTGACTACTTGTAGCCTTGTCGTAATCATATAAAATTGAGCTGGAGTACATTGTACTTATTAATGTAGCTAGCTTTGAAGGCGGTGCCTTCTATTAGCTGTCGTCTCAAAAACTTCATTGTGCATTCTCGGTACTCGATCCGAGGACTTCTAATAGAGCACCTGAGTACCATAGTGTCACTTCGCGTCTGACATTCAATTGTGCACAACCACGAGACACACAGAAGTGTTGTGAGCTACATTCAGTTAGTGTCTGTAAGCATACGCCAATAATGCGGGAGCCGGAACCTCAACCTCTTGCAACGCCTGGACGAGAGGGTTGTGACAGCGGGGAGTATCTGACGTGAGAGGACTGCGCATGTGAATGAGGTAGAATGCGGAAGGTACACAAAAGTTCAAAAAAGTTGTTCCACCAAAACACCCGCCTCTCAGCGCTTATGTGCCTAAGACGTGCCACATTGGAATCGTGTCTGGAGGAGTGATTGGGTGAGTATCTACCAGACCATGGGAAAGCCATCACTCGATGTTGATGGCTATTGGCCAAAGTCTGTTTTAACCTTATCATGTCTATGTGTCAAACCTGCAGAAGATGTGCAGTAGCAGACAGGCGACAGTAGTATCGGAGCTGACAATATCCTGCTGCCGCCACTGGGGATTATTCACGCCCTCGGGAAGCTTCGCGGAACTCGGGAATAGTTCAAGAACGGTCGTGCGATCCTAACTACAACTGACCAAATGGGAAATGGGGATTCCAGCTCGTAAGATTCAAATCGATTTTGAGTAACGAGGATGCAGGAGTGACGTCGTGATGTGTCAACAGGAGGCTTGTCTTTTGGCCTGCGGTGGTTCGTAGTCAGCAAGAGGGTGAAGCTTTCATCGAGTCGAGGCTCCTAGACGGAGGCGAGCTTGGGAGAGGTTCCTCGGGGATGTGCGTAGAAAGCCGAGGAGGTTGGAACATGTGAGGGGCCAAAAAGTTCAACGATTAATAATTTCCCAGTGAGGCTACCTTCGAGTATAATTTTTCGAGAACACGTTCCACAATATAGCAGAGGCCACGATCTTTGAGGTGGCACAGCGATGTTTAGTGCTTCTGGAGCGTTAATTGGGCTGGCCATAGATAACCAGGCTTACATCCATACTAGATATTGTTTCACTTCCTTCTCGATAGCCGTCACGCAGGAAGAAGGCCTTGAGATTCTCGGGAATAGAGAAGGGATAGAAACTGGGCTGTCTGCTGGACGAGTGAGCCATCTTCAGTTGCGTGGCTCCAACATAGGCTGGTCATCATCTTTGAGGACAATAACGGGCACTTCGGTGTCCGTCTTCCAAAAGGAGACTGTGAGCCATTTTTAATAGTGACCTATCAGTAATGCGACCCGGGATGGCCGGTAAGACAATGCTCTCACACGAATATGCCAGTGAGGACCAAACACCGACGACCACCTTCCGCTGACAGCAGAGCATAGATTTCATAGTGGTTGAGTTCTACCACGATCTCATGCTCATTGGCGCCACTAGATGTGTCCTTGCCAACACGACCTAGCGTCTCGGTGGAGATCGATCCATTACTGCAGATACAAGTCATTACCACAGCAAGGAAGGGGGCCGCACGTCTTCGTACCGTTTCCCCGGTAAGAGTCGAGTTGATCTTTGCGTCATGTCCCGAAGACAGCCATGATGGCTTGATTGACTGGCGCGTAGACCATGATGTCGTTGTGCCCTGAGTCCTGGTCAGTCTACTATGCTCTGGGGTGTCACTGCATATTGACTCACCTCCATATGCAAACTGCTCATGCGTGATGACCACATCTCCCTCGCCCTGCCATGTGATCTTGAACGCCTTCTTCCCCCTGACATCCGTCCGCTCGTCCTTCATCTCCAAAAACCGCCTTTCGTCCATCCCTGGACCATCCGCAATACTCGCTCTCGCTACTGCCTCAAAGATCTTGACGCTTTCCACGCATGGGATGTCCCAATCGTCGGCAGCGGCCACAAGACTCAGTCTCAACCTTCCACCTCTCTTCCTCGTCTGCTCTGCCAAGGCAGAAAGCCTATCCAATGACTTCCATTTGTCCACCACAAAGCGTAGGACGCCCCTCAACAATGGCGGGACAATGCGTAGCGGTCTCAACAACGGCACGACCCCACCGAGTGAGTAATTGGCCAGCATTGTCGGGAGGCTTGAGAAGGGCGCGACAAGGACTACGCCCGCGAACTCGATGCCCTTCTCGCAAGAGAACTTCTCTGCCGTTGCTGCGGCCACAGCTGTCCCAAGGCTCTGGCCCAGGAGCAGGATGCGGGAGGGCGGGATGTTGAGGATGGTGAGCGCGAACTCTACGAGCGTAGAGGCGTCGGTGATGAGGCCTTCTTCATTGGGCGCACCACTGCTGTGGCCGAAGCCGCGGTAGTCGAGAGATATGACGTGCCACTTCGGATGCGTGTTGCTCAGCATGTGGAATTGTGGTGCGCGGGTGTTCTGGGCTATGTGACCCGCGTTTCCGTGAACTGGAAAGAAGGGAATCGCTCAGCATACTTGCTGGGCGTGGGAATGTGCATATCGAAGTAGCCGCTCGAACCACTTACACGAGAGAATCAGGCGGGCTTCTGGATCATCTCTCAGGATACGAAATGCGTCCGATGACGTGTATTTGTCCAAGGCAACTCGTGATGCCCGCAAGAAAGTAGTCTCATTCTGTGTATAGGTGGCCAAGGGTAATATGTGCCACAAGTATAGCGTCACCCCATCGCTGGTGGGCAACGTGAAGGGAGTCACCTGGTTCTCTGAAAAGGGACATCAACCAATGCTTTTCGTGCTCATCTCAGGAGCAACGACCTACTGGCGAAACCCCATTTCTCTGGGTCTTTGACATCGTTCCACCATAGGGTATGGATTTTATGAGCGTAAAGGGCCCTTTTGGGAGAGTGAGTGAGAGTTACTGACGAGTGGCTTGATGAGGAGCCACAGATACGCACTGTCTTTGAAAGAAAGGAATGCCCAGAATCCCAACAAAAATTCCATAAAGAGCGAAGGGTCCGAGGGCGGCAAAGGCCCAGTAGGCCCTGTTGGGGTCGGACGGTGAGGCAGGCGACATGTGACGAGGGCTGAATGCAAAATAAAGCGATAAGGGCTAGAGTGAAGGCACGGAAAACGCAGGAAAGGAAAAGGCGATTGCAAGATATTTTGCAGTATATACAATCGTGTATGGCGTATGAGGAAGGAGACGATCAGGATCATGGCTCCCTGCAAAGTAAAGAGATATTCGTTGCTCTACGATAACACTGACGTTGATTGAAAATGCAGGGTCTATGGCTGCAGGCATAGGGATAGTAAGCGCACGCTCTGTAAGCTAACGTGAAGGACTTGCACCGCAGCCTGAGACCAGTTGTTATGCCAAGTACTAAGTGCTATCGTTCCTGTAAGCGCATTTTTGGCAGCCCTGACTACTTACTAAGCAAGTTCTTTCTTAGATCAGTACACATCATATCTCTGGTCAATGATTTGCTTGCTGTTCTGATGCTCACCCAATGAGCCTGATGAATGTATTCACTTTCACAATTCTGATTCCTAGTGATTTTAAGCCATCCAGGTCTGCTCGAAAGATGAGGCTCAAAATGGCTGTTCGAGTCAGCTGATTTCCTCTGTAAGACAATGGATTACCCGGAGGTCCAATCATAGCTGATGAGAAGCTGATTTGAACGAATCGGCTGCCAGTCCGAGGTCCCCCTTCATCTCCGCGGTGAGGCAAACCCACCACTCCAGGTTGTTTGGACTTTGCCGAGCGGGCGAGGAAACATATCATGACAGACAATCCTTGGCCTGGTTGCTTGGAAACTTTATGTACGACAGGATTTGGCACATTTACTCATGTGAGATTGAGAGTCAGAAAGCTCCTGTGGTTTCATAATGATTTTTCCAAAATTGACTGTAAACATGTCATGTCTCAGATTACTGCACGCCACGAAGACCTTTTTTGATCAAACCGGCACGACTCTTATGAGAAAATGCATTGTTTGGTTTCTCGGCAGTTAGAGGGGGTTTTTTTCTTCTTCTCTTCTTTTTCTGTTTGCTGTTTGTAGATCCTTACCAATTTCACCTTGTGGCGATGCAATTTCTTGTGGTTGATCCGGATTAGAAGACATCAAAGGAAAAGAAAGAAAAGAACAGAATAAGAAGACAAGGAAAGAAAAAGAAGAAGACAACACATCAGCCAGCCAATAAAGCTCTCTTCTACCTGCATGAGTTACGGAGAATGTTTTGCTTCAGCGGACGAGTCCCAAGTCCACGTCGTAAGATACACTACAGGCGCTGGCTGACTGATCAGCAACGGTTAGCACTTGCACTAGAATACAGCGGGCACGCGCGCGCTCGTGCTTCCTGCACAGCAGAGGAGCCTCACCCCAGAGGCTAGAGCTCCAGGTCCCTCTCTCGACTCCACCCATCTTTTGGATCTTCATCCCTAAACAACGCCCGCTGCACAGGTTCGCCCTCGCTCTGAACCCACCACAACAACTCCCACATCCAGTACAGTACATGGCCGTTACGGTGCATGCTGGACTGCAGATCCATCCATCAATGTCTTCGTCATAGCAGCCAATTTCCAGAGCTCATTCCGCGTCTATTTTCTTTTGGGGGCACACGATAACTCCGCGTCGTGATGGAGAGGAAGAGGAAGATGCCGGCGCGTGCTGCCGCGCGTATTGAGCAGGCAGCAAAGAAAGGCAGAACAGCAACACCGCCTGCTCCTCGCTCTGCCACTCCGTCCAGTGTCGTCAACAGTACTCCAGCTGCCGAGGAAGACGGCGCCAGCGACCCTCAGGCTGAGAACCCCCCGCCACCGCCACCAACACCTCTGCCCACCTCGATTCAACCCGGGAAGCCTCTCCCTACCGTCGAGGCTGCGCAGCCTCCAAACCTGCCCACCAAGGAATATCAGTCCTTGCAAGAGAGGTAATGCGCAATCGACCATCTCTACACGACGCTTTGTGAAAAGACTCGTCACAAACGGATGGTGTTTATGTGTTTCATACTGATTACGTTTTGCTGACTGACTGTTGTCTCTTGCAGTGGCGTCCTGGCCGAGTCGCTCAATCGATCCCGACAGCGATGGATAAGCGATGGCTTGTTCGAGAGATACTGGGCCAAGCCTGTCAAGAAGAGAGGTGTTGTCCAGGAGGACCCAAAGAACCCACCCAAGGAGAGTATGACCAAGATCGGCCAGGTCACCATCTCCCTCGAGCCACACTACTTCGAGGCCACCATGTACGCAGTGAAGGATCCCAACAAGCCTGCCTCGCAGCCGCCTCCTCGACCGGTCCTACAGTATGGCCCTCCCAGTGGTGTCATGCCTCCCCCTCCCCCTCCGCCTTCGTCAAAGGCCGCGGACCCGACGACCGTGCCTGCTACGGCGAAAGCACCGACTGCTCCGCCTACACCATCGTCCACAGCTCCCCCTCCTGCTACGTCAGCGCCTCAACAGCCAACAAAACCAAGCGAACCCCCAACTGCAGGCGCTGCGCCGCAGCAAACACAAGCACAATCACCACATCCACATCCACAACCTCAACCGCAGAAACCACAATCACAACCACAACCACAACCACAGCCACAGCCACAAACGCACCCGCACCCGCAACCGCAAACACAACCACCTCCACCCTCAGCAGCATCTGTGTCTGTTCCCGCACCACCTCCATCGACAGCATCTCCAGGGCCGACTTTCCCAGCACCTGTTCTGAATCCGGCACCAGTGCCGGCGGCTGCTTTGCCAGGGCCACCGACGGTACCCGCAGGGCAATCTCCAGGCTCGAGTCGAAACTCGAACTTCCCTCCCGTCCATCGTCCTCCACCGCCTGCACCAGGGACTGATCCTATCATTGTCACTCTGGCCGAGAAGGCTAATGAAGATCACGAGTTGCGGGACTTGATGAAGCGTGTGGCCAACGGCAACGCGCCCAAGGAGGAGCTCGCCCGCTTCCAGGCCGTCATTGACCAGATCACAAACGACAGCAAGAAAAAAGGCGGCGTCAAGGGGCCACCTGCAGAGCGCTTGTTCGTTGACGGCAAAACTGTCCGATATTTCGCCGATGAAGTAGACGTTATCGTGTCTATCATCTTGAGGACGAACCCGAAACAGACATCCGCCGACCTCATGCCTCCAGCCAACAGCAATGCCTTGGTTGTGGAGTTAGTGAAGAAGGCGCTGGACGACCCCAGAACGATGGTCCGAGTGCAGCGCATCGCAAAAGGCGCACCGCAGTATACGGACGCTGTTGATTTGAAAACAACGTTAGAGAATTTGAAAACACAGTTGAGCCAACAGAGGCCTCGGTCATCGGCTTCATCGTCGAAAGCCAATGGTACCACGAATGGACAAGCACAGAGTTCAGCGGCGCAACAGTCACAGCCGCAACCAACCTCCCAGCAGGCTCTTCGCTCGAAAGGACCCCCTCCAGCCGTAAAACCTGATGTCTCGGCTGTCGTATTTGAATTTGGAGGCGGCAACGGCGATCGGTACCTGTTTCCCAAGTTCAGCATCGTGGAGCACATTCAGACATCATGGGGTCCTCAAGTGATCGCGTCGTTTCTCATTGTCCTCAAAGGAAGTGCTTCAGAGTACGGAGGCGACCCAAAGCTAGATTACTACCAACCGGTCACTATTCGGATTTCTGCTTCACAACCGAGATACCTCGATTATTTCTCCAAGGTTGTCGCTCCGGAAGACGAGGTCAGACGTTACATGGAGGATATCATGGACAACATGACACGAGCAGAATACGTCTTGCTGGCGATGAGACTGCCGAAGCCGAAAGATGAGGCCAAAGACAAGGAGGACGGCCCCAGTTCAGAGAAGGAGACGAAGCATGACGACCCGAGACACGCCACTCCCGAGGTCGATGACCGCGGCAATGACATCTATCGGAAAGGCCTCACGTGGAAGAAAGACAAAACCATGAAATATCTGGCCAGGCCGGCCCCATTGAAGAACAGTGGCAAGGTGTCCGGCGACGAGGAGTCATACCAGAGTTTTATTGCGAGTGTCAGCCACAAACAGACGGAAGACGAAGAGTAGCCCAGGTAACTGAGGCTCCATGGCTATGTTTTGGACTCTCCTCTTACGATTTTGCACCTGTGGAACATTGTTACGTATCAACATCCTCTCAGGTGTTGGAATTTAGTCTTAACCAGAGTTCCTGGTAAAATATATTTAGACAGGGATCAAAAGATACGAAATCTATGCCAGGTGTCAAGCTATTTTTGTTGTCGGTGTATGACGCTCTGAAGTTGGGCCCCATGAGACGTGCCCGTGCCTGTGCCCGAAAAAGACCAATTACTCATCAGACCAGCTGTACCTCACATTCACAATAGCAAGCCAAAGCATATGCGTATGCGGTATGTTTTCTGAATCGGGCAAACGCGCTGCAGACTAGTTGTTCACGTCTAATGCCATGCTTCTACGTACACAGTCCACGCTACATGATGGACGGCTAGCCATCTATGCAAACTTGCATTCACGGCAGTACCATGCCTCATGTTCATCCGGTATCTTCTCCAGGCCGGTACACTCGATATGGAACCATTCTTTCGTACAGTCACCGCCGTCACACCCAATCATAATGCCAGAGCTAGGACCCCCGCAATAACAATATCCGAGCCTCATCACATTAGCAACAGACTGAGACGTGTTTCTTGTCCTCCTTTGCCTTTTCGGAACTCTATAGCCTTCATCCCCAATGTCCTTCCTCTTTGTTCCAGTAATTTCAGCATCGCGGTGTTGGGGCCGTTCAATACTCTCCTCATCCTCCTTCTCCACCTCGTCGTCATCGTCGCCATCTCTCGCAACATTTCTCTTCGGATCATGTAGCGCGTTCACAACTTTCTCGATACCCATATCATCCCCCTTCTTCGTCTCGGCAATTTCAGGATCGACCCATCCCTCTGTGTAACTCCCACCAAAGTCAATAATCCACAAGTCCCCCGATGAGTCAACCACGAAATTGTCGCCCTTGGCGTCGCCCCATACAATATCATGCTCATGGAGTATGGTCTTGATCTCTTCAGCCTCTTTCGCCCATTGCTCGCGCTGAGATTGCGGAATAGCACTGTCGAATTTTTCCGTCAAGGGGATCGGGTTTTGTATGAGGGTCTGGAGGAAGCCCATGACGGATTTACGGCCGTCGTCGCTCTTGGGAGACGAATCGTGCCGGGTAACTATGCCGACGAGGTGAGGACATCGAATCCTGTCATATAAACCTTTTATTTCGAGTTGGTTGAGGAGATGAAGCTCTCGCTTTGTTGGCTGCGGATTGGTATTGTCGACGCTCTTGAAAAACAGCTTCTGCTTCTCTCCTGGACCTCCTTGAGGAGAGGGTAGCGCCAGTTCCACGATGGTTGGGTGATATGGTGGTGGTGAGCTGCTGCAGCTGAGGACTCGCAAGTCTCGAGCCGAGTACCAAGGCACGTCGATATTGCGAATATACTTGGGTATCGGTGCAAGGTTTGGATAAAGCTTCGCCAGACGCTCTTCAAGAGTTGGTTCAGGCTCCAGTTCTACTGCGTTCAGACGGACTCCCTCAACCTCCAGACTAAAGTAACGTGTGGAGGCTTTGTACCAGGCATCTAGAGTCTGGATGGTGTGATGCTTTGAATTTATAGTCTCTTCAAGTATTGACCGCAGTGGTGTAGTCAACCACTCGTACAGATCGTCTGCCGGGTCGCCGCTCTCAAGCGAGGATGTCTTGGACGGTTCTATAGGCATGGTTTCGACGTCTATGCCGCTGTCGATGGACTCGTCCGGACTGTCGCAATCTTCCATCCGATCCAGCTTCTTGATCTTGGCTAATAATCCCAGGTATTCGTCCGAAAATCTCGACTCTGCCGGTCTTGAGCCTCCTGGGGGTTTAAGCTTCGCTGCCTCTGCAATAATATGAAAGCGAACATCTTGTGCTAGGATGGTGAGAGCACAACTATCCTCATCGTCGCGGAAGAAATCGAGAACATTGTAAAGTCGTGGTGGCGGCTGAGTTGACATTTTTTGGTATGTTTCACCCCAAGAGCTGGCTTGACTAATGTGATGATGATAGCACGAAGGTCTGCAAAGAGAATAAGGTGCTGTGTACGTGTCTCTGTTGATATTGCAAAATAAGAGAACAAATTCTGCGAGCCCTCTCAACGCGTCGTCGCGTGGAGCCGTTGTAAGTGATTACGGCTAGTACTAGTTCAAGGGTCGTCTTCTCACGACGATGGACCCGAACGGGTCATGACGAATAGACTAAAATTCATTTGTCTGTGCTCTTACATGACGTCCCCGATCGCCAGGACCAACTAAAATAGCTTCCACGTTTGAACATCGGTAGAGCTCACAATCTCAAGTGAACCACTTCCATTTTATGTGTACCAGGGACGAGGCAATAGAATGTGGTCCACGGCATAGTCTATGTGGTGATCTGTGAGGTACCAATCTGGCTGTTTTAGGGAAACCAGAGAGGCGCAATATAAATCGGCCGCGTCATAAACTCTTTGGCAACGAGATTGACTACGCCTCGCGCTGGCTGATGACACGAGGTATCATCCAGTTGCTGTTGCCAAGAGAAACCCCTTTGCGGGAGTAGATATCTTGCGTCTTTCCTGGTTGGCAATCTCCGCTCATGGAGGCAAAGACCGTTGGGTAGCAGGCGTGTGGGACACCTGCTTGGGCCGTCTCGTTGATCATAAACAAAATGGTTTTCAATATCTCGTAGGTACGTAGATCGCAGGAGAAATCGTCGTCATTTTGTGCAGGATACCATAAACAATTTGGTACCATTTTTCTGAACTCAAATCGTCGTTCAGACATAATTAGCCTTTGCAATAGTTGCCAGATGAAGAGAGGGATATCGGGGACATTAATCGGGTCTGCGATAATGACATGAGCAATATATGTTATATCAGCTTGAGTGACCTGGTGGAGGATCAGCGCTTGCCAGTGGCCTTCGATGTTCACAGGCATCAATGTGTAAGAGTGATGCCTGATGGCTGCAAGGAACTCAAGCCTTGTATTTGCCACGGCTGCAACTCTTCTTGTCCGGTCAGCCTCACTAACATTGGGACCTTCATATTGCATGCCTTCAAAAAGTGCGGCTACCCTCTGGTCCTGGGACACATAGTTGATGAAATGCCTCGCATGTTTATGTAGGAAGTTCATGTGGAAGCCCATTGCCTTATCGAAGGCTTCTCGAGGGACTGGAGTGACAGAGCTTCTCTAGAGAACAAATGAGGTTAAGAAATTTTAATGAAGAGTTTCATAGGATATTGAACTTGCCTGCAGATAAGTCAGGGCGCAAATGGTCATGGAAGTCTAATGTTGAATGTCGTAAGATGCAGCGTGAACACTACCTTGGATAGTATCAACCTCCAGTAGAATTGGCTTTCTGCAATTTGGACGTTGTCAGCTGACCTGCTCTCACGGTTGAGATCTCTCGAGTCCATGGACGTCTTCCAATTGTTAACTTTTTCTCTTTCCTTTTCCCTTCCGTGATCCTTTTGGCAGTAATTCCATTAAATGAATATACTAAAAGAAGTTATGTATTATGTTGTAGCCCAAATGATTCGGTGATCTACCGCAAGTTACATCATCTGCATGGTTCAATTGCAAAGGACTCCGTATTTATTGTCTCTACTACGCTCTCAGCAGGCTATGGTAGTTGATCAGGAGGCCTTCGTCAAAATCATGATCGTGAACAAAGACATTGTAATTACTCAAGTAAAGATATAGTTTGGAATACATGATTTCTGTCATTACTTAGTCAAAGCACTATATGCAGGCTGGAAGACACATCCAAACCAATTGTATTTTATGCCGATGCATAGTGATGCATTGAGGCATCTAGATACTTGAGTTAATGTACTTGGACAACGAAATACCATGCGACTCAGAATGCTGTGAAAGAACTACCAACTATCATATGAGGGAAAGTTTGCCTGAAATAAACCCATTTGCTCATTTATACTATGCACATAGCATCTTTCTCTATATACACTGCAAATTCCTGGGCCAACATCTCTCTCCGCTTTCTTGGTGCCCGTGCCACCCCCCTCCCCTTTGAGTTCTCTCGACTCCACCGATCTTCCTCAGTTCCAAATTTTGTTGTTTTCGTTTTGCACCGATTTTTTGACGTTGTTAAAAGAACTCACTGTCACACTTGTTGCTAAGCGAGAATAACCTGACAAGAACCTAAGGGTCGGCAGGGTTCCCGACTTCACATGCAACACAGCTACGCATAATTTTGCTTTCAAAGTCAACCCTAAACCTGAGGAGATCTGGAAATCCATTGGCCATCAAGCTCAATGTCTCACAAAGCGAATTACTGTCTTACAAAAAAAAAAAAGGCAGATGAAAGGGGCGGGGAAGCAAAACTGCATATCACGTGATGCTTTGTTTAAATCGGGTGTCCCCCTCCCCCCAACGGATGAGCTGTCGTTTGTTTAATTTTCCCTCATTCCCGCAATCTCCGTCGGCTTTCGCGATCCCATCTAAATCTCATCACACGTCGTAACACGGTACATAGAGATAAAGCTTGCTGCTGCTGCTGCTGCTGCTGTTATTGTTGTTGTTGTTGCTGTTGTTGCTGTTGTTGTTGTTTTCAAGCGACTTGCCCCCGCCTGGGTTCTTGGCAATTTTCAGCATCATGGCTGGGTCTCGACTGCTCACCCTGCCAGACGAGCTCCTCAGCCACATCATAAGCTACAGCAACAGCGTGACAGCCACCATAAACATTGGTCTTACTTGCCGTCGTCTGTATGGCATCATGCAAACCTCACCGGCCTGGCGCGAACACTGCTGTCGTAACTGGGCCCGCTGGGATGATCAACATGACATCAACACCAAGTTCGAGCAGCCTGTCCTGCAGACCGACTGGTACGCTCTTTTCTGCGAGCGGAGCAAGGCCGATCGCGAGGTGCTCCGCCTGCTCGAAGAACTTCTCACGACAAAGCGGGACAGGGTCGCGCGGATGGGTGTAGTCGCCGCTCGTGGCGCTGACGTGGATGATGTTCTCCACCGTGTGGCTACTACAACGCCTGATGATGTTGACGATGTGCTCGCCAGGAAGTGGCATGCAATGGCCATGATCGAGATGAGATACCGCCGTCAGGCTGTTGACGTGTGGTGCAGAATGCACGCAGGAGAGAGTGTCGACCTGCTGCACGCAATCTCTGCCTTTGACGAATTCGTGTTGGGCCCTGGGGTCAACATGGAGTTCATTGAAGCCTCCCTGCGCAGGATCAGTCTCGAAATCGTGCAGGGAACCCAAGGTGCCTGGGAGCGGTACACGACACGTGAAAAGGCTCATGAAATCGCAGGCTTCTTGCGGGCCCAAAGATATATTGGCCTGGATCGAAGAACCTCCGTTCTCGAGTTAAGCAACAATTTTCTCGCCCCATCAGTCCTCTTTAACCCGCGCTCGGCCGCCTCTCGACCACTGCAATCGGTCGTCATTTTTTGCTCTATCGCCCAGATGCTGGGTGTGACCGCAGAGCCGATCCTCACGCCGCGCCACGTGTACGCAGTGGTATCAGCAGACGCCCAGACAACGCTTGAGGGGCAGAGCCGGGCAGGGCACGGCGAGACGGATGCCTTTGAGGATATCAGGATGTACATGGACCCTTATGACCACAGCGAGAGAGTCGAGCGCCTGGAGCTCGTCCAGCAGCTCCAGGACGTGGGCGTCTCGCCTATGAACTATGGTGCGCATCTCAGCCCTGCGAGCCCACGGAACATGGTCCTGGAAGCGGCTGGAAGCATGCTCGTCTCATTGCGGGGGAACATGGACACCGTCGAGACGACAGAGGATCTTGAGCGAGAGCCGCTGTTCGACCATGGGCGCTGTGAGTTTGCTGCCATGTGGGCTAGCTTCATCTTCAGCACCGAGAACTTTGACCGCCTCGATGCACTGCGGTCCTTGATGGGCATGGTGCACAACAAGTTCAGCCAGGACCTGGTTCAGTTCGAGGAGGTCATGCCGCGCTTGGTGCAGGACTTATATGCGCCACAGCACTGGAGGCCACTAGAGAGGCTCGGGGTATTGCGAGAGGACCATGGAAAGCCGGTCATCCCCAAGCGCCGACGAATCTGGACGGACCTGGCGTACAAAGTTGGGACACAGTTTCGGCACAGACATTTTGGCTACCGAGGAATCATCACAGGCTGGGACGAGCGATGTACGGCAAGTCCAGAATGGAAGGCACACATGAACGTGGATGGACTGTCCAAAGGCGACGACCAGCCTTTTTATCACGTTATGTACGTGGCATCAACACTGCCCTTTCTTCTTTAAACCCACTTGTCTGCCACATCAAAAGCAGCTAGTTGACTGACAGAATGCTTTGTAGAGGCGTGGATGACATCCAGCGGTATGTGGCCGAGGAGAACATCATTCCGATGTCGAGCCCACCCCCGAGGCGGATGTTGAGGATGGCGGGACGGTTCTTCAAGCGCTGGGGTGAGGTCGACCAGAGATTCGTCAGCAATGTGAGGGAGGAGTATCCTGACGATTAAAGACTCGGTGGCCGTGAAGACAAGCATTAAGCAGTGGAGGTCAGGTTCGTATATCCATGCAGGACAAACGAAGGACCTCACTCCCCCCGGCCTTTCCCCCCCCCAAAAAACTTGGCGGGACTCAAAAGGCAATGAAGAGAATCAGCGGTCTAGACTACGGTTTTTTCTTCAGACATGGTGGGCTCATAGCGGGGGTGGTGGCCATTGCTTTTTGCATGTCTTGCGTATGTTCTATTGAGTTTGATACATTATAACACAATTTGGTACTTGTACGTACCACAAACAAGCTATATCGCGGAGGAAAACTTCCGGTACTCAGCTTCGTATCCTCACATCCTAGGAGGGTCGAGAGCATGTATTACCGGGATAAAACTGCAGGGTTTAGAGTATTCCTGTTGATGTGTGTCGAGGTATGAGAAATCACACCAAATCGATGCCCTGTCAAGATCTTCAAAAGTCGATGACGGATGGTCAGTCCACAAACTGCGTTCGGTATTGGCCACATCCCGTTCAATCACGTTGAGCTGCAGGTACGGTGCATCATATTGATCATCTTCCCCCTTTTTCCCCAGAAAAGTGCTGTCACACCCACTCTCCCTGCAGACACGCGCAAAGAATGCAAGGTTGCTTTCCCCTACCGAACTGTAGAGTAGCAGAGCAGAGGAGCCGTCATCTGTGCTCTGTGCTGGTGCGTCCGCGCGACTAGTTGCAACCTCCCGAATATAGACGTCACCGACCCCACCACCGTAGAATCTTCATTCTCCGATTTCACTACCAAGACTGGGGGCTTTCTATACTGCGGTATTACACGTACTATGCATTAGTTAGTCCCCAACCGAGCGCCTGGTTGGTGTGGGAGAGGAAGGCAAGAGACCAGTGGTAATTATTCGAGCACGGCCTCTCAAGGCGACCTGCATTAAGCTAGGAATCTTGATCAAATAGTCTCTGCCACACGGCAATGTCTGCATGTTTAGCGGTCAAACAGGGGTGCTAGTGACATAATGTCGAGCTGGATGGGCATTTCCCAGATCTTCGATGCATGTCGCCATGGGCTTTTTGTCAGTCTAAGACATCCTGCGCAGCAAAGAAGTCCCGAAATTATGAGGAATTTGCCGTGTTTTCGCAACGGTACCTAGGTACGTACTCACCTAGTTCACACAATGATGCTAATATCTGGTGTGTCTTCTCTCCTTGCCCTCAGCTATAGGTGCATCGCCCCACAAGCAATGTATGGAATAACACCGTTGTCGGGATAATAATCTTTGCATGGGATATACTGTATGACCAATCCAACAGGGTGTCCAGCCTCTTCTACTCCGTTCACAGTCACACCTAATGATGGTGATGCTAGGTGGGATCCTAGTAACCATTATACATTGATCTTATCCAAGCGCCTCCCCCTCTCCCAAGTGATGAGGTCAGAATAATACAGCGTATACGTACTACCCGTGGGGCTTCGTTGAAAAGCTGATATCGTCTCTAGCTCTTTGGTGGAGCAGGAGAGGGAGAGCGATGAGGTGATGGATGTCTTGGGGGTTGGTCATATAATCAAAATTGGTATAAAAGACAGTGAAGTCGTTTCGTCTGAAATGACTGTTGGTGTGTATTTGCTTCTCCATCACCCATCCACCCATCTATCTATTCTCAGATCAAGCCAAACATGGCTGGACTCCTCCTCGCCGCTGGTGGAATCTTCGGTCTGGCCCAGCCTGCCCTGGCTGTGCCCGTCCTTGAAGGCCGTTTTGTCTCTGTTCCCGCAACCACAGTCACTTCTGCTGCAGCTATCACTGCCAGCGTCGTGCCAGTTACGGACGTGACTTCCCATGGCCCCTACACCGGGCCATCCCCTACCACAACAGGTGCTCTGTCCACGAATGTCCTGGCCGCTTCTGTGCCAGCACTGCCCGCAGAGTCAAGCAAGTATGACTACCCAGCCGATGGCAACCTCCACGCCGACGAGCCTGCCCCCTACACGCCTGCAGGAGGGCTAGGAACCAACGGTTCGGCTCCTGTTTACCGCGTGCAGTCCGACTTTGACTACCAGTCGATCCAGCTGGGTCTGTACCAGGAGTGGATCGAGCTCGACCTCTTCCACTACGGTCTGGCCACCTACTCGGCAGCCGACTTTGAGGCTGTTGGTCTCACCGCTGAAGACCGCTTCCTGCTCGAGTTCATGGCCGACCAGGAAGTGGGCCACGCCACCCTCCTGACCGACATGCTGGGCCCCAACGCGCCCAAGCAGTGCACATACAACTACCCTTCGATGAACGTGCGCGAATACATCGACTTTAGCCAGAAGCTTACGCGCTGGGGCGAGTCGGGTGTCTACGGCTTCCTCAACCACCTCGACTCGCGCGAGGTCGGCCAGCTGCTCCTCCAGTCCATCTCCACCGAGGCCAGGCAGCAGATGATCTTTCGCCAGTTTGGCGGCCAGTTCCCCATGCCCGTGTGGTTCGAAACGGGCATTCCGCAGTCATGGGCCTGGACTCTGCTCGCGCCATACATCTCGTCCTGTCCCGAGGGTACGCAGCAGATGATCTGGCAGAACTTCCCGGCGCTGCATATTCTCAACCAGCCCAACACGGCGCGTGTCGATGGTGCGGATGTCTGGAACGAGACGAGGGGTGACTACGCCAACACGCTGAGCACTGATGCTATCAGCCCCGAGGACGCATGCGTCAACGCCACGGGCGTTGGTACCAGCTGTGCACCGGGTATTACGCGCAACAGGACCGAGCCGCTGTCGTATGCTGGGCGCGAGGTGTTTTTGCAGTGGGAGGAGCCAGGGAAGCCCGTGGGGCCCAACAATAGCTATGTCACGAGCACTAGCTCAGGCACGCCGAAGTATGCGCTCTGGGTGTCGCAGCTGAACGCGACGTACTCGCCTCTGATGAACGTTAGTGGCAATTCGGCGTACACGATCCAGCCGAACGTGTCGACGTTCGAGGGCGATCCAGCTGTGAACGGGACCATGTTCCTAGCCATTACGGACGAGGAGCTGGTTGTTACGCCATTTAACCTTAGCATGGTGAACCCGCATGTCTACGCCGTGTCTCTGTACCAGGCTGGCTAGAGGCTTATACAGCAAATAATGATGTACAGTATGGAAATATTTGTAATGCGTTGGGGGCTCAACAATCGAACTTAATAAGAGAGAACATGTCCCGAAGTTGGTTGACTTACCTATTACTTATGGCAATAATCTTCAGTGTTCGCTTTCTGTTGACCTATCACTCGGTGTGTTGGACTTCTCGTATATGGTATCTGTAGGCATCTTGACAAAATTTGGATATAGTGATATACTTATAATTCAGCGCGTAACAAATTTGAACGATGGCTGAGTAAGGAGACACAAAAGCAGCGGGAAAAACAAAAGATTGCTCGAAACACAGGAAGGGTGGTTGGGTACTACTGTAATGAGAGGAAGAGAGGTGAGCATTATAAAATACTCCTTCTCTCGTTGATTACGTGTTGGTTTTTATGGGATGCTGCAATGTCGGCTTCTCGATTTCTATTTCTTGTATTGTTCCTACCTTGCCAGCTTGCCCGTAGCAAGTCATTATTTCCAATGTCAACCTGCCCTATTCAGTTAGTACGGTGATCCGAATCACATCATCGCCACAGCAACTACAGCATTTGGGAAGTCGCTGCCGGGGGTCGGCTCCGCTGAGCACGTTATCAGTGGCCCCGCAACGCCGGCAGCGACTTCCACAACCACAGCATAGCTACAGTCATTGCCTTCTCTAACACTGTCCCGACCCCTCCTCCCTCATACTCTGCTCCTGAAGGGAGTTAGGAGAACGCTTCTCGAATTTGAAGAGCATTGTAAGAGTCTGGAATCAACACGGAAACGATGGATGCTGAAAAGAACGGCCTGCCACCGTACAGTGCCGTGGCAGCTGGACCAGCTGCGACGCCTCCTCACCCGCAATGGCAACATCATCACCCACGACGACATATCAGGCGGTCCAGAGCAGTGCGTCTGGCCGTGCTCTCATTCCTGGCCTTCATCGTCTACGCCCAGTGGAAGCAGATTCCCTCAACCTCGGACCATGGTAGGGGCGGCCACGGGCACCACCCAAAGACTGTCAGTCAACATGGCCTGTCCCTGGCCAAGCTGCACGACGACCTCGCCGTGTGCTCTAAGCTTCGCACCAAGCCGCAGGATCCCATTGGTTTGGGTCGTGAGCGCAATGCGCGCTACATTGACGGCCACAAGCCCACCCTCATCCGGAACGCGACCATCTGGGTGGGCGAGCCTGTTCAGGGCACCTCACCTGAGGATGCCCGCGCCGGGAAGGGCTGGGAATGGATCACTTCTGATGTCTACGTTGAGTATGGCCTCATCAAGGAGGTGGGCAAGGACATCGTAGTGGCAGGCCTGCCCAACGATACCATCATCTGGGACGCCAAGGGCCGCCAGCTCACATCCGGCATCATTGATATGCACAGCCACTCGGGCGTCGATTCGCTGCCTGACCTGAGGGGCAATGATGACACCAATGAGATGTCGTCCGACATCACTCCCTATGTTCGCTCCATTGACGCCATCCAGCCTGGTGACCATCAGATCCAGGTCATCAAGTCCGGCGGCGTGACCACAAGTTTGGTCTTGCCGGGCTCAGGCAACAACATCGGAGGCGAGGCGTATGTGATTAAGCTTGCCGTTGGAAAGCCCGACGGCCGCGACGAGATTGGTGCAGAGGACATGCTCGCGGACCCAGACAGGAACTGGCGGTACATGAAGATGGCCTGCGGCGAGAACGCTAAGCGCATCTACGGCAAGGTTGGCGAGAGGGGCCCTGTCAGCCGGATGGGCGAGTCGTGGGAGTTCCGTCATGCTTTTGAGCAGGCTGCGAAGCTGAACGGTGAGCAGGACGATTGGTGTGATGCCGCGGATGAGTTCGGCGTGGAGAACATGCCCTCGTATCTCCCGCAGGAGCTGCAGTGGGAGTCTCTTGGTGCCGCCCTCCGCGGACAGGTGCATATCAACACGCACTGCTACACTGTGCCTGACCTTGAGGCCATGGTGGACCACACGAACGAGTTCAAATTTGCCGTGCGGGCCTTTCACCACGCCCATCAGACCTTCCTCGTGCCTGAGGTAAGTCGTATCCGTTGTCTCATGGTTATACCTGGTGGGCGAGGCTGCCGAGCATGAAAGCTGATACAAAATACGTGCTACAGATCTTGAAGCGCACCTGGGGCGGGAGGCCACCAGCCTCGGCCATCTTTGCAACCAACATGTACTACAAGGCTGAGTCTTATATCGGGTCAGAGTATGCGGGCAAGATCCTTTACGAGGAAGGACTGACGCCTGTCTATGTCTCTGACAACCCTGTCCTCAACGCCCAGCATGTCCTCTTCGAGGCCGCCAAGGGCTACAAATTTGGTCTTCCCTACCACGCTGCCCTGAGTGCCGTCACCACCGAGCCAGCCGACCTGCTGGGTCTGGGCAACCGCCTCGGCAAGATCAAGCCTGGCTACGATGCAGACATTGTTGTCTGGGACTCGGACCCGCTGAGCGTCGGGGCCACTCCTGTCCAGGTCTGGATCGACGGCACCGCGCAGTACGATAAACCTTTTGAGCTGGTGAAGCCGCTCGCCGAGCCCATGGTCCCGGATCTCACCCTGAACAGCACGCATGAGGAGATCGCACTGCTCGAGGATGTCGTGTTTAGCGGTGTGACCAAGGTGCTGCTGAGCAACGACGAGGGCTTCGAGACGGCGGCGGCAGAGGCACCCCTCAACGTTGTCGTCTCGGGCGGCAAGATCACCTGTGTTGGGCCATGCATGGTTGAGATGAGCGCAGCTACTGCAAAGGGGGCCCAGGCCATCCACCTAAGCAACGGCCATCTTACTAACTCTTTCATCGCTTTCGGTTCCACACTCGGCCTGAATGCCATCGACGCCGAGTCCAGCACCGACGACGGCGACAGCTCCAAGGTCTTCAGCCGCGCCATCGATGGCCTGGCCCTTGACACCAAGAAGCTGCACGTCGCCCACGAGTTCGCCATCACCCGTGCTATCACCGCGCCCGAGTTCGCAGGAGGATCCGACAACGCCCGACAAGGCGTGAGCGTGGGCTTCTTGACAGGAGCAAAAACGGCCCTTGACAGCGGCGCTGTGTGGGCGGACGATGTTGCTGTGCACTATACGCTCACCGCCACCGCCAAGCGGGACGACACCCCTTCCATCTCAAGCGCCGTCGGGGCCCTGCGCCGCAAGCTTCTCAAGGCTGTCGCCGCCGCCGCGTCGTCGATTGAGAAGGAGGAGGTCACCAAGGACCCTTATTCGGAGGAGGCCTACCTGGAGAAGGTTGTTGCGGGCGAGATCCCCCTGGTCGTGACTGTGCACTCCGCCGACACCATCGCCGCGATTCTTCGTGTCAAGAAGACAGTTGAGGACGAGCTCACCACCTCATCTTCCGACAAGAAGATCCGCTTGGTGATCGTCGGCGGCGCGGAATCCCACCTCGTCGCGGACGAACTTGCGGCTGCTGGCGTTGGCGTCGTGCTCGCACCCGTACAGAGCTACGCCACGAGCTGGCAGCAGCGCCGCTCCCTTTCTGGCGCCCCACTCACTAACGGCACAACCGTGGACAGCCTGGTCAGGGCTGGTGTGGTGACGGCGCTGGGGCTCGAGGAAGATTGGATCGTGCGGGACTTGGCCTTACAGGCGGGTGTGGCCTACAAGAATGGCGAGGGCAGGCTGAGCGAGCAGGATGCGCTGGATCTTGTGTCTGCTAATGTTTATAGGATTCTGGGGCTTGAGGTGCCCAAGGCTGAGGTGGACAGGCATTTTGCCGTGTTTGAGGGGAGTCCGCTGGAGATTGGATCGCGGGTGAAGGCTGTTGGGGGTGGACTGGGGAGGGTTTCTCTGTTTGAGTAGTTTGCTTGATGGTCTGACTGACAAGGACAACCCCTATATATCGTCCTGCAAGGATAGAATGATGATGTATTGGCTAGCAAATCACCAAGCCGACTCACCTCATGGCTGCGAGAATGAACCGAAAGTGAAGGCCTGTCAAGGGGATAACCAAAATTTCTTTCTCTTGTTGCTAGTAACTACCATAATTACTTAAAAAAGAGACCATGAAAATAACGGATGCCATGCTGCAGGGCTGCAGTGTATACTCGTGGTTCTCAAGCATTTAGGTAGAATACCAGTTCCATGTGAAAGCTTTGCTTATTTTTTCCCCTAAGAAGACATTTTAGAGGTGATCAGCCATACGGTGCAATGTCTCAGACGGTGAGATTCGGCCTTTGGACTGATTCCGCGCATCTGTGATGATCCTTCCTCGGTCCCGAGGATTTACACCTGTACACAGACAGGATGGATGATGGACGGGACGCACTGGACTGGGCCTGAGCATCCAATTAGGTGTTATTATATGATTACTTGTTGTTTCAGCCCCGGACACCGATCTCATCGGCATTTCGCCAAAGAGCGAGAACTTGGCCTGCTCATGCTGCCAATTGGGCCGTCTTTATATTAAAAATTACATAACTTTCCTCGGCGAATTCCTCTCCTCTCTCCTCATATTTCTTTTTTTCCTTTCTTTCTGTGATAATAAACAATCTTCTTACCAAGTCATCATCTGTAGTACCAATTAAACATTCATCAACCTACAAATTTTCGTCTTATTCCTCCCAGCCCCTCACAATGGCCCGATCCTGTCCATACACGCGCCACGGCGTGCCCCCCATCCCCCTAGTCCTTGTCCCCCTCCTCATCCAGCTCGTCCGCACGAGCTGCGACCCAGAGATGCAAACCTACCTACGAACCCTCCTAGCCAGCCCCAGAGGTGGCCCCGCGGCCCTCGCCAAAAACGCCCACCGGATCGTGCAGCGCGCCTTGTCGAGGATTCCCTCGGACGTGCTGTACTGGTTTGGGGCCAAGGTGCTGAATCTGCCGCCTGAGGTTGCCTTGCGGACGGTGGAGTTCCTCAAGTCGAGGGGTAGGCTTGAGTCTGGGGCGGGACAGCCGGGGGAGGAGGTGGAGGAGGAGGAGCTGCCGACGCGGATGCTGGAGGGAGGACAGGCGGCGGCGTTGCCGGGGGTGCAGGTGGTTCCGCTGGAGATTGAGAGGCGGCTGGAGAGGCTGGAGATGGATTATAGGTTGCTTCAGGAGAAGCATAACGAGTCAGTTCGGCTGCTGACTTTTAATGACGAGAACGATAACAACAAGCTGGAGGGTGTTCATTTGAATTTACCAGTGAGTCGACCACGTGGAGTCCAGCAAGCAAGATGAGGAATTGGTACATTTCTGACAATTTGTGTGAATCATGATATAAAAAAATAGAGAGAACTGCCGTTACCACAAGAGCCAGCAATGGTGGAAAAGGCTGAGGTGATGGTGGCTGATCAGTCCATGCAGCTGGCTGTGGCGAAGGACTTTGTGAACACTGGTGCTTCATCGTCGACCTCGAATGCGCCGGACACTCAGGTGCTATTATTACACGACGTCGGCCTTCGTAAGTCAGAATCCTCCGATCAATTGCTACATATTCTCCCCCCCTCCCCCCCCCCCGACCGGGCTCTTGAAACTGATGCATATCTTTCTTCTCCACAGGCCTCGGCAGGATTTTCCTCGAATGGGCCGGCGACACTATGAAGCAGTCCCTCGTGACTGCTGCCGCCAGATCCACAGCCAACCAGGCAATCGTCGGGGCAGGTGTTGACCTGGCCGGGAGGCTGGTGGATGCGATTGTGGCTTGAGTGCGGAGAGAGGATAGAGCGAGGTACAGAGGGAGAGAGAAAGCACCACACGCGGCATTTTACTTGTTAGGTCTGAGTGACTGAGACGGATGCACTAGATCGTGCCTGGGATATGCGACGACACTGAGTGAACCAGTTGCTTCTTCCGAGGGAGGTTAGCCTGGATTGAGTTGGAGGTGGGTGGTGATAATGGTGGCCTGCACAACGTGCTCGCTGAGCAGCATTCCATAATGCAGCAGGAATGGACATGTATAAAAGAACTAGCGAGAACATGCTGTTTTCCAAGCCTTCCAACCAAATAAAGATTGAAATTAGGTATCATGATGAGTGAGGATAGTCAAGGAGAAGAAAATCAGAAGAGAAGTGGAAGAGTACTGTACAACGTCCTTAGTATTCAATGAAGAGCGAGCGTGCTTTGAATGCGATATCATTGTCAATTCCCTCAAGCCTCTGTCTGACCACACATGTCGACAACACATCCATGGTATCTTTTTGTTGATTAGCTCAGAAGCAATTTACCTTCTCCCTTCTTCTTTTCACCCACCAGACACCCTTCCATTCGTAGATACACATGCTGCCGCCGATATTACCACACCGAAGCTATGCTGAGGTATATGGATATAAACATGAATAAATGCAACCGTGCACCAGAAGATATGATGCGAATCTCGTTCAGTCTTTCCGCATCTCCAAAAACAGCCCGCTTAAGCATGATCCTCAGACTTCCTCCCACTACTCCCACCATTCAGCCCAAAAAACTTCCCAATCCTGGAAAGCGGCCGTTGACCTTTCTTCCGGCTGTCCTTGTTAATCTGCATAGCCACCCTTGCCGTCTCCCCCAGCACCTCGAGCACGCCGTCGCCCGTCCGCGCCGAGCACTCCAAGTACCGTGATGCGCCGATATTTTCGCGGAACTGCTCGCCCTGCTCCGGGGTGACGAGGGCTTTCCCGCTGCGGCGGAGCTTTTCGACCGACCGCGCGTGGAAACGGATGTCGGCTTTGAGGCCGACGAGGAGGATCGCTGCGCCGGGGCAGTTGCGGTTGACTTCTGCTACCCACTGCAGCACACAATAAAAGCTTGGGTCAACCGAGGAGCCAATAAAAAGAGAAAATGGAAGGGGGAGGATCTCCTTAAACTTACGCGTCCGAGATGCTTCCCCTTGGAATCCGTGGAGCCGATGTTGACGCTGAAGCAAACCAGGGCCACGTGAGCATCGTTGAGCCACGTCGGGTCGTAGTCAATCCCGCGGATGTCCCAGAGGGATAGCTCCATGGGCTCCTCGTCGACTGCGATCCGGACGGTTTCGGTGATGCTACATTTGTCGGTTTTGCCCTGGAGAATGATTCACTCGTTAGCGACCAGTATCAGGACTGCACCAAAGGGTAAAGCAACATACCTTTGGATAGTGTCCTTTAGCCATCCGCCTACACATTTGAGTCAGCTCCTGTCATAGACGAGCACGAACAGCCCCCTTCACGGGGATAGAATTGGCCCTACGTGATCATGCAAGTCTTGCCGCAGCTAAAGTTCCCAACCACTACCGCCTTCTTTTTGATAAATGGTCCTGGGAATTTGGGTATATATACGATCGGCGCTTTGGGCAGTGGCTTCTGTATCACAAAATTTTGTGTGTCCATGGTCGACAGAGACTGCATTTCTGGCAAGCCATGGTTGCTGTTGCTGCTGCCGCTGTCGGTCGGCGGTGGCCGGACGCTGGAGACGAACTGGGGGTTGGATCGGGTGCTTGGCGAGGGCTGTGTGCTTGACGTAAGTGTAGATTCGGTTGTTCGATGTGAGGCGGGAAGCGACGAGGATTTATACAAAGGATGAGACTCAGACAGCGGCGGCGACGTGACGTGAGACGCAGACGAGGGTTGCGACGCGGACGGAGGCGGCAGCTTGGACACATCGACCTGCGGGAATTGCAGGGTCCCGTCGCGCAGGCTGCCCGTGTCGTTGGTGCCGTTGTTGGATGCTATGTCTTCGTAGTCTGCGTCGTCGCCCTCGGTGGTCTTGATGGTGGAGAGGGACTGGATGAAGCTGGCCTGGTCCGAACCTTCGCCCCGTGGTGAACTGTTGGTGTAGACATGTCCGACGAGGTTCACAGATAGGCGTCCCAGGACGTGCACAGGCACCTGCGCAAACGCCAGGGCCTCCTCTGAGATCTCTCCCCCTTCTTCGCAATCATCCGCAGTCACCTCCTTCTCGTTGTGTATGGCGACCTCGAGGCCTGATGTGCTGGGTCGATCTGGCCTTCGCTCTTGATGTGATGGTGATGGTGCTGGGGGGTATCCAGAATTATTGAGATTGAGAAGGTGTCCATTTACTGATGGCCGGGCCGGTCTTGGTTCGTTTTCTTCAGAGTTTCGATAGGACGGTGTCTGTCGAGAACTGGCGCTTGATCCCATCTGCCGTCTACGTGACGAGGCACTTCTGCTGAACTGTTGTGGTTCCTGACTGGCAAACTGTGTGGGCGAGATGGTAGCATTGTTGCCATGGTCCGAATTGAGGAACCCGTCCATCACGAAAAAGCCTGTCGCAGGCGCCCTCCCGTCCGTCGATGCATCCGGCTCTGGCGTTCTATTTGGCGTGAACAACATACTTGCCGGCCTGTTGGCATCGGAGGACGACGGCGGCGGCGGCCCCATGGGAAGGAGATTCTCCAAGCCCCTGTTGGGAATCGCCGCAACACCACTAGTACTATCCCCCACCGCGTCATGGTCGTAGTCGTAGCCCACCTCGCCCGAGAGGTTCCGTCTCAGTGGCGCAGGCACAGGGACAGAGCTCCGCACCTCACGTCCTATGACCAGGTCGGGTCCCGAGGAATCATGCGCCGCATCGAGCGCCTTGACGGCATCTTCCCAGACCTCTGTCCTGGCGAGCTTCTCGGCGTACGTGATAATCTGGCCGAGGTGGACCTGCAAGGCAAAGTGCTCGCGCGCCAGCGTCGCGTTGCTGTAGCTAATCCGAATGGACGACCCGAGAACCTGCAGTTCGTCCAGCACTTGTGAGATCTGCAGCTGGTCGCCACCGTCGTCCCTGAACCGCGATTTCCTCCTTGAGACCAGGACGGCGATGAGGTCTGATACGAGGCCCATCAGGCTGCGATGCACGCCCAGCGACTTTGACAGCTCGCTCACCTCGTTCCGCCCTTCCACCGTCCACCTCGGGCTGCTGGCCCCCTCGGCCTCGGCATGGCGGCGCAGCACGGCGTCAATCCTAAGAACCACCCCGATGCAATTGGTCAGGACAGGTCGCAGGTGCGTCTGCAACTCGTCGGGGATGGCAGGCCTTCTTCTGCTCCCGAGGGCGTTCTGCATGTCGTAGTCGTCCAGCAGCTGCAGCACCATCAGTAGCTCCGACAGCTCGCGCGTGACGGGCGCGAGGTCCGCCCTCGACGAGCGGCACCGCCGTACGAAATTGGTCACGTCTGCCGAAATCTTCTGCACCGTCGAGATGAGAGCCTGGCATGCCGACCCGATTATGGACACCGGCCTTGTTGCCGTCGCGCTGTTTCTGTTGCTCGGATGGGCATCGCTGCCGCCCGCAGCAGCGGCGGCGGTGTCGTCGGCTGCAGATTCCATTGTGGCCCGGATGAGAGGCGGGAGGCGGTACTTCGTGGGGAGACCATGAGGCGCCGCTTCTATAGCCTTTTCTTCATAAAGATCCTTTTCTTTTCTTTCCTTTCCCTCTTCTTGGCCTTTTTTTTTCTCCTGCTCCCGCTCCTATCTCGAGATGGGCTGGTTTGGTATGTGTATATTCACTGCGGGCGCTTTTCTTTAGCCGAATCTTGGGGGCTGGTCGCGTGTCCCTTCTTTTTTCCTAGGCTCGTGTGCACAAGACGATGACCCCCAACTTGCGGCACAAAAGGGCTCGGTGGGATGAGGCTCTCAGAATTCAGGAAGGGATAGGTTACTTTCAGCTGCATGCGGAAGACGATGATACTCTGTCGAAGAGAGGTGGAGAAGTTTGCCTCGGTGCCTCTCAGATCCAGTGTAGCAAGTCCCAAGTCCCAAGGTCAGTGAGTGGAAAGAATTTGGGCGTCAAATCCTCGTTATGCAACAGGAAATTCAGAATGACCAGGGGATGCATCCCACAGTGTCACATACACACACACCACCCCTCCCTCGTCGACAAGTCGGGTGCAGCGGGCGCTGTGGTGCTAATGTCAACTGACGAGGTGCGGAATTCATTGGGTGGACCCGCCCGGGGGGCCGGAAAGAAGGAATACCCTCCTCAAAAGGTTATTAGTATTACTGTGAGAAAGCGCAAGGGGGTTGACGGTGGCGGTTTTGTTGGTTGGGTTTGGAATCCAGCCAGCAGCAGAGAGGAGGATGACGGGTCGCTAAGTAATGGGTCCTGGGGTTGTTTTCCTGTCACAGCATGCCTGCTGCAGGAGAGAGAGGCAAGAGTGGGCGCCTGAAGAAACTGGAGCCACAAGTACTTGCCGTATGATATTGACGTGTCTGCCCTCTCCTGCTGGCTTGGTGGGGAACGACCCGTCCACACTACCATAGTACTACTACCCAAACAACCAGAATATACCGTTGTGGTAATTCCTCTGCCTGATCAAAAAGATGGGACTCCTTGAGATGAGCCGGCAGACGGACCCCATCCTCAGTGCGCCGTCTCATGCCGAGGCCGATCCCTCCCCCTCCAAACCATACTCTAGGTACTCCAGTACTTCCGGAATGGCAAAAGCCAGACCGCTTCGACGTATACGGTGGAACATGAAGAGCATGCGAAAGGGGGATGGGCGTCCCAATGAGTAGGGTAACCTGCAACCTAGTCAGGCTGTCCCTCACTGTCGCCTTTTGGACACAAGATCACTGGTTCAGTGAAATAACAAATTCATTCTTACTGATGATGATGAAGAGGCACTATAGTCATAGTAACCTGACCCTGAAAATTTCCCTCATAAGGCCTTGTAGACCTTTATTGAGATTGCTCCTTCCTGCCCACACTTTCCCAGTAACAACATGAACCAGGCAGGAAGGAGCCAGGCAGGAGCCAGGCAGGCCATTACCACTCCTTCCCATTTTCCATCAGCGAATAGCTCTTTTGGCGAGATGACAGCTGACAACTAAGTCCATGGATGAACCCTTCAAAAATGCTGTTGCTCCCCAATCCGTACTATGGTATATTCCTCCTGACCTTCCGCCCCGCCCCCCCCGCCCGTCCCCCTTGCGGCAGCCACACCCTGTCCTGTTGCACTAAATCAGTAGTGTGAAATTACCAAGTCTACACTTCGAATCCAACGGCTCCATAATCCCAATCTGGACACTCCTAGGCACTGTTCCCGTCTTACCCAAACTCCCCTGGGGGACGTGCTAGGGCTGCACCAGAGCAGCGGGACGATCTCGTTGTAAGGAAGAGTGGCGACCCTTGTAGGAGGGAAATCAAAGCCCAATCATTTCCCAGTCCTATTCTTGGAACCAAAATCTGGACCATTTTGTTGGCTCTTTTCTTCTTTCTCTCTTTTCTTTTCCCGTTGGAGGTCCCCTTAATCTAACATGTGCCGTTTGCCCGCAGCGGCTGGTTCTTAATGCGGGCCAGTCCGTGTGTGGGCCCTCGAGAGCTTCCGGGAGCGCTGGGTTTGGGAGGGAGGGGAAGGGGGTAAAGGTTGCATTGCCATGTTCTGACCCTCCTCAAGGGTTCCGCTGCCAAGATGACGCCCTGTCGCAGGTTTGGCTGCTACCTTTCTTGATGGTAGGCAGGACTCTCGACCAACCGCACCTCCGTTAGCACTTGGAAATTGGCCGGGAACCTTAAAGTACCCAATCATCCGAGTGCCGGAGAGAGAAACTATTGTTACTGTCACATGTTCAGCCACCTAGATACCGTACAGAGACACCTTTGCGAGTGGTCGTCGAGTTGTCCTCTTGTTTCACAGCCTGAGCTTGACCATACGCGCCTGCCATCTTGCGTGCCAGACGAAAAAGGTTGAAGCTGACAATAGAAGGAGAGAAAAGTCAAAGACGAAGGTCGTTTCATGCGGTTAAAACACCCTAGAATCCATTTTGAAATTTAGGCTTCAAGCCCCTTTCGCTACCCTTAATCCCAATACCGAATAACACCGTCCGACCCAGCCGATACCACCTTAGACGTCTCCTGCGGGTGCCACTTGACGCACGTGACGGGGTCCTTGGTATCAATCTTATGGTACATCTTGCATGTTTTCCAATCCCAGAACACCAGGTACCCGGCCGTGTCGCCACTGGCGAGAAACTGCCCGTCGGGGCTGATATCGATGTCAATCGCCGTGCCGGCATTGTTGTGCCCACGATAACTCTTCTTCCTGTTCTGGCGGAATTTGTCGTTCGCGTTGTACACCACGATCTGGTTGTCGCTGCTCTGGTACGCGACAGATTTACCCGAGGGGTGCATTGCGCTGCGCGTCATCGGGAACATGTACGTCTCGGCGATGTACTTGATAGGCACAGGGATGTTGTAGTCCCACGCGCGCAGCGATTTGTCGTCACTTGTCGTCATGAACCGGTCGCCAGCCTTTGTGAACGTGATGGTGTTGATGGCTGCCAGATGGTGGTCGTACTCCTGCACCGTCTCGTTGCCCCCGCGCGTGTCAAACTGGACAATCTTCTTGTCGTGCATGCCCGCCAGGAACTCATGACCATGCTCTGGTGTCGGATTGAACACGATGCAGTGCGGCGTGCTGCCCGTGCTGAACTTGCTGATGCATTTGCCCGTCTCGGTATCCCACAGCTTCATCTGTCGGTCATACGATGCCGACAGGAAGCGCGTGCCGTCGTGGTTGAAGGCGAGGTCTGCTATCGACTTGGAATGGCCCGAGTATGTCCGCAGGAGTTCCCTCTGGTGGTAGACGTCCCAGATCTTGATGGTCGTGTCCGCCGAGCCAGATAGCAGTAAATGCCCACTGTAGGGGAAGAATCGCAGCGACGTGACAGCCTTCGTGTGATGTTTCCACGTGTGCACCATCTTCTTCGGTATGTAATTCGTGACGCTGCCCACTTCCTTCCGAAGGTCGATGTCCAGATCCTGTGGGACATGCATATACGTCCTCCCCTGGTAATCGAACTCGTTCTCCCCGTGGAACGTCGTCGTCTCGTCGCCCATCTCTTCGACCTCTTTCCGTCTTGCCAGAGCCCCTGCCGGCGCAGACAGCACCGTGCCGCTCTCCACGATGTCGTCCCCCTCCTCGTCCTCGTATACCACCTCGTACTCCTCATCGCTCCCCAGCTCCGCCTCGTCATCCACCTCCTCATACTCCGCCCGCTTATACTTGGCCCAAGGTCCCTGGTACGCCCCGTCGCCGTCCGCAACGAGCGCGCTCCCTTTTCCTTCCCTCCGCCGCCTGTTCGCAGCCGCCTCGTCTTTGAGCTCCTTACCGCTCATCGCCTCCCTCTGCGGCCCGCCCCCGCGCTCCACGGCCCGGTGTTTTGCGCGGAAGGTATGCTCGCTCAGGTATGTCTCGGTCGCGAAGCCGGTGAGGACGTTCTTGCGCTTGAGGGATGACGAGCCATCCTGCTGCAAGGATGTTGTGTTGGAGTCGTCGCGGAAGGGGTTCACGGGTCCGGCCTTGGGCCGCGCGAGGTCTTCGCCTGTATATTGTACGACGGCGTGTTCGGGGGCGGCTTGTTCGCGGACGATGAGGGCGTCCTGCGGCGCCATGTTTGGCGGATAGGCGCCGAAGTCTGCCATTTTTGCAGAATCACGTATCGAGTATGATGAATGGAGAAATGACAGGCACGAGACCTCGGGGCGACACTGTTATTCTTATGCTTGAGAAGTTCGGCATGTGTTTGACTTGTTCAGAAAGTTGAAAGTGCTGGGTTGCGACAGTCGCACAGCGGCAGGCAAGTTCTATCCACTGCAAATGCAGTAGTTCGGTCCAATAGTTTGCTTATCTAAGTCAATTTTTATAACACCAGCAGCAGGCAAAAGGTAACCTCCAGGCGACTGTGTGTATGGAATTCTCAACCGTTTATAGCATCAAATCTTTTGTCACTCTCCATAGTGGTTTTTCTTTTCTTCTCTGGTTCTCCTTGATTCCCGGGATCACCATTCTACTTTCCACAACTTACTGCGCCAGGTTAGATAGAAACACTGGAAGAGCTCCTCACAATCCGCCACCTAGAAACTCGTGCCGTGCGCCAAAAGATTCATGCCTCGACAAGACTACATCCAACGCTCGCAGTTCTACACTTTCTTTCTCATTTCTAGGCGGAGAGGGTATCAAAATGAGAAATTGGGTAGAGGTATTTGCAGTAGTATGACAAGTCAAAATCGACTAGCCATCCATCAAAATCTCGCCTGCGCCTCGAGGTTTCCTTGACTCCTCTTTCCAAACCCACCAAAAACAAATCAAGAATAAGCAGGCATGATGCGTTTCCCACCGCCTCTCATAGACAATATAGGAATGATCGTAGCGACGTTGGCGGGCGTCATCCCACAATACTGAGTGCCACCTCTCCCCAGCTTGCATGTAATTTCAGCTCACGAGTATGGCCACTATGTGGCGGCTAGTCCCCCCCTCTTTTTCTCCCTCCCGTACCCCAAACACCATTTCTGTCCCTCTTCCGCCTGGCATGAGGGACTCTCGCCTATTGATTCCCGCCTGGACGATGCGAGAGAATGAGACTTCGCCTCGAGCACCAGAGTGCCCACGCGCGTTCTCTTGGACAGGCAATTATATTTCATCGCCCGCAGCAAGAATGAACGCGATAAGTATGCACGACCTGGCGCAGCTCCAAGACGACCATCTAGTTCGTCTCGTCCTTGATCAAGGCGACGATCATGCTGTAGAGGTAGAAGAAGAACATGACCAGGTGGAAGCCGAGCTTGAAAAAGGATTCCTGTGCCTCGCGTGTCAGCCTTTTTCTAGCCCTGTTTCTGAAGAAACGTTCGGTGTGGGCGTCCACTGTCTTACCTTCTTGTGCACGTTGAGCTTCCGGAAAATCTCGGTCGCGTCGAGCAGGTGTGTATTCTCAACGATCCTATCCCAGGCGCGTCAGCACTCGACTCCATTTCGTTTTTCACCTGTACCACCGGAAAGCTCAGATTGGAGACCACCATGACGTACTTCTTGACGTTCCACGCCAACAGCGGGAGGTTGAGGATCAGCGGCAGCCAGTATCCGTTGATGAGGAACAGGAAGGTCAGAAAGCCGTGTACGGCAGCCTCGGGGATGATATAGGTGTTCAGGCGGTTGCAGAGATCGATGGGGTTGATGTAGTCGCTATAGTGAATAATGCGGATCAGCTACTAGCCATGACGACACGACACAACACAGCACAAGCACCGCAGAGAGAGTAGCAGAAGCTTCTCTCAAGGCAGTCAGACACGGGGACCAGGGCGCAACATACCATTCCAGATCGCTGTACATGATGGTGAAGAAGACCTGCAGAAACAAGTTGACGGCATTTATCAACACCGCGAAGAGGAATAGCCACGCCTCTCCAGACATCTTGGCGGTTGTCTGTTGTCGCTTGACAATGCTATTCTAGCTGGCGTTTTCAAAGCTATACCCTCGACTACTCCTTCTTGGCCCGGTTGCGCCTGAAGCTTCAGCTCTCGAGACGACGATGATGATTCGTGCAGCTGTCAAGGTGCAAAGATCAGACGTAAACAGAGACTGGGGGGCCACCGAAGTTTTTTCTGGCCTCGGGTACGCGCGTGAGCTTGCAGAGGTCGGGAATAGAACAGTTTGATAGCGAGTCCTTGGTAAGGCGGTGGCAACGGGAAGTCTCGCGAGACGTGTCCTCGAAAAGCTTGGTGTAGGTGGCAGGTTTTATCTGGTGACGTTGTGTTGAGGAGGAGAAGAGCAGTGGCAGCAGTAACAACAGCTCTAGAAGGCGGGCAGGATGATGAAAGCGGCTCAGCAGCCTAAGTCTCCTCTCCCTCCGCTCGCCCCAGCGTCGACGTAGGCCAAAAGTGCTTGCTATTCCTTGCCATTCTTGATAGGCCGTATCCGCTTTGCCGCTACAGCCTTGGAACCTTGCCGAGCGGCAGCACTTTGGTATGGTGTCAGGGCCCCCACCCCTGGGACTCACACTGTACCCAATCGTAGAGCTCCGCAGGTTTTAGTAACCAGTGGCTGGCAATCGCTGTGGCGCGAGCTCCCCAGCAGCCAAGCCATTTACCAGCTTACCACTCCATGTTCTGGGCCTAACACATGACACTGCGATACAGCTACAGAAAACATCCTGAAAAATGCGTGACATCACTTCTTAGATTCGTTCATCTTGATTTTTTATCCTTCTTTCTCTTCAAGTCTTGCATACTACCACATAAGTGCGCTGAGCTGAAATTAATGCCTACCAGGCAGGCAAGAGGAATCGCTTGATTCTGTGCCACAAGATAACATTCGACCTCATGGACTCGGGACAACAATGAGTCCAAAACCCTTTCATCACACATGTCTCGTCAGTCTCATGCAGCCGCTGCTGGCTCGGGCAATGCTATAGGACCTCCAGGGGAATCTGGTTGACGTGCTGTCAAGACCTCGACGCCATCCTCAGTCACGAGCAGGGTGTGCTCTGTGAGCGCTTGTTAGTATCTTTCATCTTCTACGCAGATGTGAGACAGGGGGTGGGAGAAAGAAAGCTTACCGAACTGCGCTGTCTTCTTTCCATCCACGGTCGTGCTGGTCCAGTTGTCCGGCCATGTCACATCACGGTACTTGCCGAGCGCGATCATGGGCTCGATGGTGAAGGTCTGACCGGGCTTGCACTCGCCGACAGCCTTGTTCTTGGCGTAGTGCGGGATGTTGGGCGGGCAGTGGAAGATGGTGTTGATACCATGGCCGACATAAGTGCGGATGACGCTGCAGTTCTTGTCCTTGGCGTGCCTCTCGATCACATTGCCAAACTCGCGGTAGAGTGTACCTGGCTTGACCAGCTTGATAGCCTCCTCCAAGCACTCGCGTGCCGTCTCGACCACGCGCACCGTGTCCGGGTCTGCCTTGGCCTTGTCGCCCACATAATATGTCTCGTTCAGGTCTCCGTGGTAGCCCTTGTGATAGAGCGTGACGTCTAGGTTGACGATGTCCCCGTCCTTCAAAACGTACCGATCAGGAATACCATGGCAGATGACCTCGTTCACAGAGGTACACACTGATTTGGGGAACATGTTGTAGTTCAGCGGCGAGGGGTAGGACTAGTAGCGCGTCAGTTTGGTCTGGTCTGCTCTCCCTGCCTACTGGCTTGCCTGCCTGCAACACTCACATCGCGCTTGATACACTCCTCGTGCACAATCTTGTCGATCTCATCCGTGGTGATTCCAGGCTTCAGAGCAGCGGCCGCGATATCAAGGACCTCTCTCGCCAACCGGCAGACCTTGCGCATGGCATCCTGTGCCTTCTTGTCCAGCTGCTCGACCTTATGCCTGTTGACTATGGAACGTCCAAGCTTGGGTATGCCGTCCCGCGCATAATCTGGGTGAGGAATGGTGTCGGGAACCTTGCGTCTTTCGGAGAGGGGATAAACGGGGCGCAGGGGGCCGGTGTATGAGAAGGTCGGGAAGGGGTTGTAATCGCCGGTTTCTGGATCAGGTTTAGATACTATCTTTGGTGGGAAGAGGTCGTGAAAAATACTGTTCTCCTGCTTGTGCATTGACTTGTGGTTTCCCTGTAAGATGCCATTGTCTGTCAGTAACACACTCGGTAGCACACAGGGTCACAAAGTAATGTTGCTGGTGTCTCTAGAGCAGAGAAGGTCCATGGTGAGGATGACAGAGGCAGGGCACAGGAGGAGACACGAGGACTGACCCAGTTCTTCTTGAAACAGTCCTGGGAGCAGAAATAGCTGTCCTTGATCCCAAGCTTCAAGCATGTAGGGCATTGCAGAGACCCAGCATCATTACTGCAGTCAGCACCGAGGCACTTGCGCTTGGTAGGAGGTTCTTCAGCCATGGTCGTGGGGTTTCGGAGATTGTAAGTTTTTTTCTTGGTTGTATGAGATTCAAAGCTTCGCATAAACAAGTTGGATCAAAATAGAGCAAAGTATCTATCCGGAAGGTCCGAGTGACACAGTGATGAGGGGCCGTCTGCCTGGTCACTGAAATCATCAAGATTTTGTCTTGTCGACAATATGCGCTGATCAGGAACCAACAGGGCGTTCTACAAAAGTTGCCTGCAGGGATTTACTATGACAGACATGGCTTTGGGGGTCCGGACCCCTGATGTCTTACCTAAGCCACTGACTCTGTCTGCATGTGCCGTTCGTAGAGTGGTGCCATGTCTAGATGCATAGCCATGTCAGCAGGGTCAACCGGCTGTAGCCGACTTAGGGCCAGGCCTAATCCTTACGCTGTAACGCCACAAGTAAAAGAACGGAGGAAGACAAGAGTGCCTCTGACCAGGAAATGCCTTCAAAGCCACGGGGCATGTTTCTTATATGGATGCTGGAACCTGTATGCTCCAGAAAACACCCAAGCTGCAAAAGATCTTCTCTTTCTTTCATATGACCTGATATGAACCTTTTATCTTATCACTTTCCTAGGTTTGTTGAAGCGTCAGTTAGTCCGGTCTTGCAAGGTCACTGACCCTAGTAATCAGAGCCTCGTTCCGACTTATCAAAGTTCCGCTCTTCCGGACTTCCGCCTCATCACCACGAGATCCTAAATCGGACTTCCTTCCCATATTAATTGATTCAAGGAAAGAGCAAATCTTCATCTCTCTTCTAGAGCAATGATCTTTTCATGAACCACTAAGTAATAATAATCATGTCTTCGAGTACAAAAGTTGTCGTCGTCGGCGCTGGCCCAGTTGGGTCCTTGGCCGCTCTTTATGCTGCTCAAAGAGGTCATGACGTTGAGATTTACGAACTGCGAAATGGTACGTCGTCGTTGCTCAGCACCTGAACCACTCTCTTCATGGATATGTCTCAGGAGATTGTCCTTTACAATGGGGCTCTAACGAACACCCTACAGATCTGAGAGACCCTTCCACTGTTCCGCTCAATTTCACAAAGTCCATCAACCTGGCTCTCTCAGTACGAGGCATAACCGCTATGGAGCATGCCGAGCCAAACACGCCAGAGGGAGAGCGCAAGCTGCTTGATTATGTCCTGGCGGCCACAATACCCATGAGGGGGCGCATGATCCACGGCAGGAAAGCGGATGGAGATCTATATGAGGAGTCACAGGACTACGACGTCCATGGCCGAGTGAGTGCTCCTTAGTAAGGCATGCTCGAGGATTCCCTGCTGATTGGCACCACCAGACGATATTCGCCGTCGACCGGGGCGGGCTGAACAAACGCCTTCTTGATGTTCTCGAGGCCATGCCCAACGTCAAGTTGTTCTTCAACCACAAGCTCACGGGTGCCGATTTCCGCAGGCGCAAGGCCTGGTTTGAGAAGCGCAACGGGACAAGATCCGACGGCAGGCCCCAGGAAATCGAGATTGACTTTGACCTCATGCTCGGCGCGGACGGCGCCCACTCTGCGGTGCGCTACCACATGATGAAGTACACGCGTATGGACTATGAGCAGCGATACATCGACACACTGTGGTGCGAATTCCAGATCCAGCCCAAGGAGGGCCACCAAAACGTAGACCCCATGAGTCAGTTCAAGATCTCGCCCAACCACCTACACATCTGGCCCGGCAAGGAGTTCATGTTCATCGCCATCCCGAGCGAGGACGGTACCTTTACATGCACGCTGTTCGCCCCAGGCCAGCAGTACGCCTACCTGGAGAGCAACCCGACCAATATTCCATCCTTCTTCGACCAGCACTTCCCGGGGGTCACGGCCCTCATCCCGCCCGAGGAGCTGATCGCGTCCTTCGAGGGGAACCCACACCTGCCCCTTATTACGATCAAGTGCAAGCCACACCACTTCTCCTCCTCCGTCGTGCTCCTCGGCGACGCAGCACACGCCATGGTGCCCTTCTATGGCCAAGGCATGAACGCAGGGCTGGAAGACGTCCGCACCCTGTTCACCTTCCTCGACAGGTTTCCCGCCACAGACTGGGCCAAGGCACTGGACGAGTATACCGCCCACCGCGTGCCGGATGCGCACAGCATCAACGACCTCGCCTTACAAAACTACACCGAGATGCGCGCCAGCGTCCTGTCCCCCGCCTACAGGCTGCGAAAGTTCCTCGAGGAGAGCTTAAGCAAGTACCTGCCCAGCCTGGGCTGGCAGACGAAATACAGCCGCGTGTCCTTCAGCAATGAGCGTTACTCTGAGGTCATCGCACGGAGCGAACATCAGGGCAAGATGCTGATGAGGACATTCTTTGGCGCGGTGGGACTGCCGGCCTTGGTGGGCGCCGCTGTGGTTTGGGTTAGGTACCGGAAGGTGGCTGAGACGGGTCTGAGCGCTATATTTGAAGCCGTGGCTGGCCCTTTTCGACGGTGAGAAGAAGCTAGACCAAAGCGAGGCGACGCATGTGTGCACAGTACCTTCGAGTGAGACTCGACGCCTTCAGGCTGTCCAAAAAAAATTTAAAGTGTTTGTATTCTCAAACCCTCGTGTCTATCCTTCTCAGACGTCCACCAGTGCAGGCACCGTCTCCCCGTGACTTCTATCTAGTAATGCCCGTCTTCTCCTGTCCGCCGGATTCCGCTGCGAGACCTTACAACACAGCCTCACTGTCGCATATAAAATGACTCCCGTCACGCAACCCACGACGAAGCCCGCTCCCAATTGCACCGTCATCGGCTGCTCGCCAAGGAGACTGGTTGAATTTGAGCTCGCAGTAGTAGTGCCGTTGTTGTTCTCGTCGCCATTGCCCTTGGGGCTTGTCGTTGGGATCCCAGAGCTCATGCCTCCGTTCCCGTCTTGGTCCGTATTGTGGTCTGCTAAGACAGTGGTGAGGAAGCTGGAGAGAGCGATGAGGAGGTATAGAACGAAGAAGCGGTTGAGGGTGTGTATTGAAGGCATCGTGGCAAGCCTGTCAGTTAGCGCCGCCACTCTATCACTCGCAGCGGATTGAGGCGCTTGATACTCTCGAGATGGTTGGGGAGGTGAGGAATCTTGAAGACTATTCGAGTGTAATCTAGGTGGCGTCGCTGCTTTTTTCGTAGCACAAAAATTTGTTCAAAACCACAAAGAGATGAAGAAACTTCACTCCCATAGCCGTACTGCTGCTGATATCCCTCTTTCAAGGCTCGATTCGTTTCTCACGGGGACGGTCTTCCTGGTGCTGGTGGTTGAGATACCAAGGTTCGTAGTGTAGGTGTTTGAGCTGCTCTGAGCGACTGGTTGCCTTCTGGACAACGTAATACCGTGGCGTTTCTGCGCCGCGTATTTTGAGGCTTGTCGAACTGACGATGTTGCACCTTTGTATAAAAGGCTCCCAAATTCGTTTCGATCAAATTGCTAAGTCTCCCCAGTTTCGATGCTCGTTGGACAAAAGAAGTTTCTCTGTGAATGTAGAGAATCCGACAGAGTCCTTTTGCGTTTGGGCCCTCTTTGAACCAGAAGATCTGAAGGAAATAAGTAGAAGAAGGAAGAAGAAGAAGACAAAAGGTCTGGCGGCTAGAAGCAAGCTTCAGCGGTGGCACCTCCGCCAAACCTCGCGAATCTGTGCCACGCGATCGACAGTCCCCGATGGGCTGGGGAGACGGCCTGAGTCTAGTGTAGGTTCATTCGTGCTCGCGCTCGCAGGCCGGGTGTGACCTCTAGAAAAACACAAGAGGGAAAAATAGAAAAAAGTAGATTGCCAACAAATCGCAGGCCTGGGCCATTCGCACCAGAGATAAAGGGCGAAGTGTGGGATACTTGAGTTGTCGTGGTTCAGTCGCGGCTCCTACGCCAGGCAATCTGAGATCGCCCCCACGCCGTGAAGATAGGCGTCAAGAAAGTTCTGTCAAAGTAAAAGGAAGAAAAAAAATAAAGGGGAGGGCGGAGGGGGAAGTGGAGAGGAAGAGCCTTGCACTCGTGGTGCTCAGCTTATAGGACCTCGTCGTGACTCTAACAAGTCTTTCCGCAGTTCGAGGCTGTTGCTGCACGAACGTCGCACGAGTGTGGCACTCCAACTAAAGAGACTGGTCCCAAGAGAATGGTCAGAGCAGGCATCAACTATTAGGCATTAATTACTTTATGTAGGCTTGTCAGGCGAACCTGCGAAGGTGTGTACGGCTGACAAGTGATAAAATGCTTACTGTATGCCTGAAAACGCAATTATAGGCAAACAGAGAAAAAGGCAGCTATCAGTGGATCCGCAGCCGTATTGAATGCATAGCGCATGTAAGATGGGCGTTGAACATGCCGACTTGACTCATCATGCCGTCTGACGGTCACATTAGAGTTACACAAGCTTATGTTGGGCTAAAGAAACGCTTCCGAGGGTCTTCGTCTTGTGTCAGCTCGTTGCTTAGAGACGGAATCGCATTGAGAAAACAGGGTGGTCCATGTGATACAGCTTTTATGATGTCTGGTTCACGCTAAGTTGTCGCTGACTGATTTATCACCAACGTAAATGATAAGAGAACTGGGATACATTTGTACTCTTTCTGGACCCATCTGCCTCACAACTTTCTCGTTCTCAAGCAGGAGGGAAGCAAAATGGAAGAAGAGAGAGGGAGAGAAAGAAAGAGAAAAAAAAAGAGGCTCTGATCCAGCAATATCAACAACGAAATTATTCTACCTCACATGAGCTTCATAGTTGTACATCAATTACGTTGACAAACAGTAGACGAATTTAATAACCTATCGTAAGGACATTGGAATAACTTTGGATCCCATGAATATTCTGGCTGACATTTCTCATTCTGAACAACAATTTGCTCATTTTCATATCCAATGACAAGTTGTCATTGTCTCAGGACAGGGCATGGGTGCAAGAAGCTCATGGTTTAGGGTAATTACAGCATGAGGAAGTTGGGAAACATCACATGGCCACTCATGCGTTGTAGCTTGTAGAAATGATTCGAGCATGAACTCCTGTTCAAACTTGATTGTACACAGAAATCAGGTAGATTCGTATCCTCACACAGTTGGTTGCTTGATATGGTCCCATTAATGAATGAGTTCTTCGGAATCATCCGAGCTTATATATATGCGATGGATACCGAGAAGACAAGCCAATGAGCATGATCAAACCAGATTCGCTGCTGGGAGGGTGACTCAAACATTGTGGACGCCAACGAATCCCAATTAATCCAGACCTAGTGTATCTATTGAATACTTATGCACGCCACATAAGGCTGTACAAGGGTCGCATCCTTGGTGAGTGTGGACGCTGGGAGAGAAAGATAGTCTGGAATTGGAGTGCACACAGTAGAAGCTCGGTCTGTCGAAAAAGTAATTGCATTTTGTGGCCCAGGTCATGAGTCGTTCCAAGCCTATAAAAGGTGTGAAGAATATGGAGAAAGTGACCAATTTACTCTTGAGATGGCAGATCATATGAAAGGTCAGCAGAGATTCAAGGCGTTGAGGTCATGATTTATGGTCTATATGCAGGTGTACGATATCTAAGACACACTTCGAGCATTTTAGCGTAACCAGGACGTCGGGTTCAGTGCTAAGTATTTCATCGCCGATTCATAGATGCAAACGTTCTGACCGCTATCAAGTAGAGCCTGCTAGCCTCCATCCCATCTTCGACTCAGATCTCGCTCCAGGCCCCCATCCCGCCACATCACCCGAGTGTCGCACATCATCCGAGTGGGACATCCGGTTGTGCCTGCTTTTGCTCGTATGAATCGCCTTCGCTCTGGAGTAAACCATATTGTCCCCACGGCATTCAATTTTGGTCCCCTAGCAAATCCTGGGGATGCGGGGAACCCTGTGATGTTATGGGCCTCGGTGCCTGGGCATTTAAGCCCCGTGGGTTTTCTCTCTCCTTCGCCAGGGTTAAAAGCCTAAGAGACTTCCCGGAATATGAGACTTTGGTGTGAGCATAGTGTGGCATCTCGTGGATGCCAAGCTGAGACCCGACTAATATAGTACGTTAGTAGTACTTCGATAGGGGGCATACAGGGAACCAGTAAGTTTCTGAAAACAGCATGGTTGGGGAAGCCAAGAACATCTAATGGCTTGTCACACGGACTGACCATTGTGAACCTAGCTCGCCATGGCAACGCACCTTATATTCGAAATAAGTCTTCTAGGGAGCGGGCACAGGTGGGTGCAGCATCCGAGATCTGGTACCGGTCTATGCACGAAGGCGGGAACGACGTCCATCTGCAGTGGATGTCTGTCGGAAGGTTCTCAGCCCCCCTCTTAAATGCCGTATTTTACAAAAGGCCTGAGAGCTCCTCATTCTTTTCTCCCTCTGAATCTTGTACTCGATTCTCCATACTCTAACTTACTCAGGCGGGATAATCAACCTCAGCTGTGACACCGGTGCCATATCAGGTTCCGCTGCGCGACACTGGGCAAGTGGCACTTTGATCTGTGTCATTTTCCTGGAACATTTTGACCTACTGTATCTTTCTGTTGTGAAAAGACAATATTTGGCACATCAAATACCACCCACTCACGCAGCATGGCCTCTGAGAAGGACGAGGGTGTCAGCTACGTGCATCAGGACACGGGCACTGGACTGCATACCGCAGCTGAACGGGGACAATTTGCGACAGACAAGTAAGCTGGATATCATTATCTGCTATAACTCCCAGGCGGCTTGTACTTTTTACTCATGCTGTTCTTTAGATATGGACACTCCCTCGTGCATTTCGACCCAAAGGTTGAGTCCAAGCTGAGACTCAAGATCGACTTCATGATCGTGCCTACTGTGTCTATATTATATCTGTTCTGTTTCATCGATCGTGCCAATATTGGTGAGCTCACCTTTATACTCTTATAAAGAAAAAGCGCGGCAAGGAATCATTAACACACATCTAGGCAATGCGCGGCTGGCGGGACTCGAGAAAGACCTCGGACTAGTAAAGAACGATTACAACGCGCTCTTATCTATATTCTACATCAGCTACATTCTCTGCGAGATCCCCTCAAACATCGTATGCAAATGGATCGGGCCGGGCTGGTATCTGCCGTCGATGGCGCTCGGCTTCGGCATCTCGTCGCTGGGCACCGCCTTTGTGAAGAACCAGGCGCAGGCATCCGGCGTGCGGTTCGTCCTTGGGGTTTTCGAGGCTGGCATGATGCCGGGTATTGCGTACTATCTATCAAGATGGTATCGTCGCAGCGAGCTGGCTTTTCGCCTCTCGCTGTACATCGTGATGGCACCGCTAGCTGGCGCCTTTGGTGGCTTGCTGGCCTCGGCTATCTTGAGACTGCCTCACTTTGGCGGCCTGCACACGTGGAGGATGATATTCGGTGAGAACTCAAATGAATTATCGAATACTTGCAGACACGGTGCTAATGTAATTGTCACGCAGCAATCGAGGGGATTATCACTATAGGCTTGTCTCTCATCTCGTTTTGTAAGCCACACCAGGCCACTCTTATTATAAAGCCTTACCTGGACTTGTCAGTAGACTGACAAATTATTCCTGACCAGTCACCCTCACGGACCGACCCGAAACAGCACGCTGGCTCAACCAGGAGGAAAAAGACCTCGCCATCGCCCGCGTCAAGTCCGAGCGCGTCGGCCAGACCCGTGTCCTCGACTCGATGGACAAGAAGAAGCTCCTGCGGGGCATCCTCAACCCCATCACCCTCTCGACCGCCTTCGTCTTCCTGCTCAACAACGTGACGGTCCAGGGCCTGGCCTTCTTTGCGCCCACCATCGTCAAGACCATCTACCCGCACGCCTCGACCGTCACGCAGCAGCTCTACACGGTGCCGCCTTATGTCGTGGGCGCCTTCTTCACCGTTCTGGTTCCTCTTCTCAGCTGGAGATTCGACAGGCGGCAGGTATTTATGATTTGTTCTGGGCCGCTCGTGATGGCCGGGTACATCATGTTCCTGGCCAGCGAGAACCTGCATGTTCGTTACGGCGCGACGTTCCTGATCACGTCGGGCGCCTTCATGCTCGGTGCCCTTACGAATGCCCAGGTCAGCGCCAACGTTGTCAGTGACACGGCAAGGAGCAGTGCGATTGGCACCAACGTGATGGTGGGTAACATCGGAGGACTGATTTCGACCTGGAGCTTCCTGAGCTGGGACGGGCCCGACTACCATATTGGCAACGGCCTGAACCTCGCCACGTCCTCTTCTGTTCTGATTATTACCACTTTGACCCTCATCTGGATGAAGAGGGACAACAAGAAGCGGGATAATAGGAGTATTGAAGAAGAGCTGGCTGGTCTTTCGCCGGAAGAGGCTTCGGATCTGGACTGGAAGCATCCTGCTTTTAGGTGGCGGCCATAAGGTCTAGTATGAGGCCTCGTCAGGGATTCCAGAGAGGTTTCCTACTGAGAAACGATCAACGATTGTATTACTCCTACTCGATTCATACGTGTAGACTTTTGTGTCAGGAGTTTTGGTGGATAAAGCCAGATTATTACCTCGAGGTCACTTTGAATGATAATGCAGAATTATGAAGTTTCGTCTGACTTGCAAGCAAAAGCCTTTTGGAAAGGATGATCAGTTGTTGTATCATAAATATAGATACTTTATATCCATCATTGAACCAACTGAGAAACCCGATGCCCCTCAATCTTCAAGGGTACATCCATTCTGTTTTCTCCTTTACAATAATAATAATCTGTGGTCCACCTATTTGTTGCCCAAGACACTCGACCCAGTCTGCTCGTCATGAAGCTGGTGCGACGTCTTGGTCCCCTCTCGATGCTTCACCTTGGCCAACGACCCTCCCGTATTCGAATTCGGCCCGCCTATGACTGTGTCATTATCGATCTGGTGCTGCGCAATCTGTCTCGGTGCTGCAAAGGTACTGAAGATGGCGACGCAGCCCACGCCCAGCGCGATGATCATGGCAGCCTGGCCACCAAGACTCCTGTTTATGGTCTCGTCAGCGACAAAATCCGGGGGGAGTGAGAAGGGAATGAAGAGCCAATGTTTCTTTTCGAATATGCTCACCTGTTTGTTCTCTTCCTGTGCTCTGGGTTGGGCGCCTCTTGGCCGCCGGGTCCGCCGAGGTCATCATCCTTCTTGTCGTGGGGTGGAATTGCGTAGCCTGCTCGCTGTTGCACAGTGGTGGTGGGCGCTGATGGTACTAACCAGGGGCAGCTAGGCCTCAGTGTAGTTGATGTACAGCGCCCAAGACCCGCTGTACGAACCAGGGCCGTTCTCGTGGTAAACATATTGGAAAATTGGAAATGTCAAAGGTTGAAGCTGGTTTTCGTCGTACAAAGTATTTTGGTAAGGTTGACTGCAAGTGATGAGGCATCAAAGAAAATAAAAGGGAGCTCTCCAAATGGAAATTTTGACGTTGTATCTGGCTAAAGCGATTACATCACAACTCAGTGCTGGTCATTCAAGGGGGTTTTGGTTATGATGCGTCGACATTGCTCAATCTTCAGCACTAGTGGCGCTACGAAGACTGGCATTCCCAAACCGTTGTTTCTTCGCCCTGACATCCCAGCTGAGAGATGCCGTACAGGTATTATCCCACTATCCATGTAAAAAGACTGTCTCAGTTCTTGGATGTCACATGTATGTCTAATAAGTTAGCAGATATCTGCTAACATTGAGCCGTTGGTTGTAATTCCTCGTTAACATGAAATGTAGGTGACGCTTTGCGTGCCGAATGTACGTGCGACTTCACTTGCATACACGTATATAAACATAACAGAAGAAATCTAGGTAAGCATCTATAAATGTGCTGACAGCCTAGTTATACGCAAGACCTGCAATATACACAACGCTGAGCACGCTGAAGTCCCTTGTGTTAGTCACAGGCGATCACGTGCTTATAGGAACGAACTACAGGAATGATCTCACATGGAAGTGCAACAACCTGGAACCAACCCATGAATGCCTTTGCACAATATGTCTTTTGTTACATCCAAACCCTAGCCAAGACGGACGAGACAAATGTTTTTGTGGCCCCTCATTCTTTTTCTTTTTCTTTTTTTTTTAAAAAAAAAAAACAAAAAAAAAAAAAAAAACCTTCTGCGGATAGCTACTATCGTCGATCCCGCCACGGACGGTGCATATGCACATTCTCCCGGCATCACATGGTGCGCCTCATGTCTCACAGAGTACTGAATATACATATATCTCGGGTGAAACTATGTCCCAAGCAAGAACGCCAATTTCAATACGATGTGTAGATGCCAAAACCTTTTACGCAAGATATGATGAGGGTTTGAAGCAGCTTTAACACCGTGAAGAAGGCCGACCTCTCCTGCAGAATTAAGGGCGTAAGAGGCCTATAATGTCAGTATAGGGGTAAAATGTAGTTGGGAGTGACGACAGGACTCATGGCAGTTACATAGTATTTCATTTGATTAGATACAGCTGCAGCACCTTGTGGAGTCATGCTCCACACCAAATGTCAAGCCGCTGAGCACTTTGATTTCACAATAGTAGCGCCCTGTTACGCCTTGTGATTACCTATCTCGGCGTTTTGAAGTCAAGTTCGGGTCATACTCAATGCACTTCTCCAGTACTTGATTACTATCTCTATTCTCAAATACCCGCTTTCCCTCCCTCCACACTCCCTTTTGCATTCCATTTAAGCTGTCAATAATGTATCGACTCACAAAACGAATAGGGACCACCTGATAAATCTCGGGCATACATATATACTGCTTGTGAGCAGGTACACCACTCCACTGCTGGCCGGGCCGCGGCCGTATGTGGATCTTTCTCCGCTCCCCATTATTTTCGAAAAGTCGATCCGGCGTCGGCGTTGACTGATAATAGAATCGGGGCGGGTTGATTTGCTTTCAAATATCAATTTTCTTGCCTTCCAGCAGCGGTCTGCCAATTTTGAGTTTCTTATGCTCCCTCATCCGTCTCTTTCTCGCGCGCCAGAACGTTACTCGTTTCTTGCTCTCATAGACGAAACCCCAAGGGTCCAATAATTGCCGACAAGTCCAGGAAGTTTTACTGTGCGCCGATTACTCAACACTCAGCCGTTCTCTCCTCCTCCAACCATGGATGAGACCTCGCCGCTGCTCTCGGACGCAGCCACGGCGGTCCTAGTAGACGACAGGATTCCCAACAAAGACATTGTGGACTTCGACCCCGATGGCGACGCAGAAAACCCCATGGACTGGCCGACGGCCTATAAATGGGGCATCGTCACCCTCCTGGCCGCCATGGCCTTCACCGTGACCTTTACGTGCATATCGGTCGTCCCCATCGCCAACATCATCGTGGACGACCTCGAGGGAGGCGACTCGGACGGTTCCGGCTCCGGCTCGGCCGCCGTCCTGCTGGTGACCATCTGGGAACTCGGCGAGGCAGCCGGTCCGCTCTTCATCGCGCCTCTGTCGGAGCTGTATGGGCGGTACCCCGTCATCAACGCCGCCAACGCCCTGTTCATCGCCTTCACCGCGCTCACGGCCCTCAGCCCGAGCACAGACGTCATCATCGTGAGCCGCGCGCTGACCGGTCTCGCGGTGGCGTCCAACGTGCTGGCCCCGGCTATCGTGGGCGACATGTTCCCGTCGGAGCAGCGGGGCGCCGCCATGAGCCTCATCCAGCTGGCACCGCTCACTGGAGGTGCCATCGGGCCGGCCATTGCGGGCGCCATCTCGCAGACCGCCGGGTGGAGGGAGTGTGTCTGGATGGCGGTGGCGCTGGCGGTAGCGTGCGAGGTTGTGTTCCTGACGCTGTTCAGGGAGACGTACAAGATTCCCATCTTGCGGCGCAAGGCTGCCCGTCTGAGGAAGGAGACGGGCAATCTGGCGCTGAGGACTGTCTATGACTCCAGCGCGGCGGGGACGCACAGCTGGACGCTCATCTGGGAATCGATTATGCGGCCTACTGTCGTGCTGAGGAGCAGCTTTGTGCTGCAGATTCTTTCCTTCTACGGATCGTTTCTCTTTAGCTATTTCTACATCATGTCGACGACCTTGCCGGGCATTCTGCAGGATATCTACCACTTCACGCCAGCCGCGACTGGTGTGGCATTTATCACCTTCAGTAAGTCTCCATTTCCCCGTCGTCAAGCCGAGACCTCAAAAAGTTATCGTTTACTAATATTGGTGGAAAACTTTAGGCGTCGGGTCTGCCCTTGGCGTGGTTATCGTCAACACCTTGCTCGATAGAATCTACGTACGACTCCGCGACAGCCACAAGGGCATCGGGCAGCCAGAATACCGCCTCCCCCTCGTGATAGTGGGAAGCTTCCTGTTCCCCACCACCGTCCTCCTGTACGGCTGGTCGACCCAGCTGCGGCTGCCTGTCGTGGTCCTGCTCCTGACCGTGGCCATCATGGGCACATTTCTGATGCTCAGCTTCGTGCCCGTCATGGCCTACGTGGTGGATGCCTTTGGCGTCTACTCGGCGAGCTCGGTGACGGCCCTCATTGTCACGCGCTGCCTGATGGGTACCTTTTTGCCTCTGACTGCTCAGCCTGCGGTTGATAGGCTTGGGTATGGCTGGGGAATGACTGTTTTTGCCGCTATCAGTGTGGCCACGATACCGATTCCGCTGCTTGTGTACAAGTACGGGTATAAGTGGCGACAGACTTCGAAATATACACGGGACGAGTGATAGCTGTGTTGTGGATGAAGAACATTTTTTCGAAATTATCAGAACTTGGAGAATAATGACAACATCACAAAGGGTGGTTGCATACTCGTCCCGGGCATTTCCACAGCAGGCGTTCATCAATCGTCTTTTCTGAAATAGCGTGGTTTCATAGACTAGCATACCATTAGACCGCAAAACATTTCTATTTTGGCACCATAGGGTAGTCAAGTCGTATTTGTGCATCCCCATTGTGTCGTTCACCAGTGAGTCAGTGGCCAATACCAACGTCCTCGTAGGTGATGAAATGGACTGTGATGATTTGAAGCTCGTTGATTGCCATACGAACGCGCCGCTGGAAGCTTTGCTCCTATATCCAAACATTGGTATCTATGGCATCTTGATATATAGTGTCGAATAGGCAGCCCCCCCGTGGCCCTCGTCATGATAAAACAAATATCCCAAAACTACCGCCGACACTCTCCCCAACAAGAAGGCAGCGACAAAAAAGGAAGATGTCCACATCCAGCGTGCGGCGGCCTATGCATCTGCTCCAAGAATAAACCCACACACTGCCAGCAAAAGACATATGCCACTTTTCTTGTCTGCCCGTCGTGTACGTCTATGAACCAGTGGCTACTCTCGCCCAGAGGAGGAGAAGGAGGCTGCGTGCCAACCGTGCCAGACTTTGAGCATGCTAGTCCGCAGCTGTAACACTGAGAGGGAGAGGCGGAGCAGGTTCGTTGGGTACGGTCTTCTTCTTCGTTGTCGTCGCCACTGCATGTTTGGCGGTTGATGTGGTCGTCGCAGGCTGTGAGCTCAAGTCAACTTCCCACCTCTGATTTGCCTTCCGAAAACAAAGGGCATTGGTCGGATTCTGTTGCAATTACATACCTGCATCATCCGCAGCATTATCGACACCACCAGGCTCTTGCTCATTGCTGCGACTCCGATCCCCTTCATACACCGGCAATCGATCCAGAATAGTCGCCGGAGAACCCGGCGGCTCGTCCAGGGCAATTTGCACAAGCCTCGATTTCGGTGATAATGGTGCGGCTTCAGACAGCCGGCCGTATCTCTGCGTGCAGGCCTGGAAGGCAGTTGTGCCTCTTCCAAATGTCCACTCTCGCATCGACACCAGCGAGCCGAGTTGGAGGTGGTTGAATGTCCTGGGGGGAGACCCTAGGAAGTAGGCCATACGGTCGGTTTCGTGTCTGGTTTGAGGTGCGGGAAGGTCTCTCAAGGGCTCTATTATGGGTTGTTTATGTGCGTTTAATCAGGAAAGACTTGTTTTGGCTTCTGGCCCAAAGTAATGGTCCAAGTCTCTTGTGTTATCAGATGAAGATGGTAGCAAAGCTGTCCATTCTGGGGTCTTATTTATTAGGAGGGGAAAATATTGTTCACAAAGAATATGTAGAAACAAGATCCTCAAGAAAGTATAAGACATCCCCCGCCGCCGCCGCTAAGCCATCCTACAGTAGCTGGGCTCGCAAAGAGGTATCTTTGTAAACACCATCACACTCCATCACATATCAGATCTCACCAATTATGTACCGCTCGCTCTCTGCCGCGTACTATATAAAGAGACCTTATTTGCCTGAGGAAAGACAGAGATTCATCATGATGACAGATGCCAACAAAGAGCCGAACCGAGCCCTAGCCTCCCCCCCCCCCCCCTCTTCTCCTTCCCCCAGCCATGTGTTCAAGGGCCTTTTCATCATTCTGTCTGCTCGTTCTCCTACGACTTTATTTCACCAGGCAGCGCATCAAGTCAGCTCACCCCAAGGTAAAGCTTAATGATCACATCAGTTGTCAGAATGTTTTGCTCGTTCTAACCTCATCAATTCTGCAATTTAGATATCACAAGTTCGACATCAAATCTCCTGGTCCAGATCGCCCTACAAGTTTTTCACCGGATACTTCGTCCGCAACCACTCCCCCTTCTTCAAAATAAAGAACGGCACAGGGATCATCGCCACGGCGATAAAAGCAAGCAGGCTGTTCCCCCAGCCCAGACCCAGCTTGGCATACATCTGCAGCCCACAGAGAGGCAGGACGGCACCGGCGATGGAACGGATGACAGTGTTCGATGCGAGGGCGGAGGCAGCGTAGATTGTGAATGCGTCGACGAGATACCTGCGATGAGTGTACATCAGCTCATGTACAAGGAAGGAAAGTGTAAGGCAAAAGAAAGGGATTGCTTACATCTGCAGCGCCATGAAAATAATGATATTCCCAACTCCAATCACCGCCGTTCCGATGATGGGCGCAATCCAGTGCACACGGTACTCCGCCGTCCAGCCATAAATAAAAAACCCCACGGGAAGCAGGATTGCCCCTATGGGCAGCTGCTGTAGGCGATACTCAGGCTTCATTCCCTTCCCCTCCCTGGTCGACATCTTCTTGAGATACCTATCCGAAGTGATTGAGAATAGCGCGAGTCCACCCATGGAGCCGACGCCCAGGCCGAGGTAGACCAAACCCGCGTCCTGGGTGCTGAAGCCGTAGGAGCCCTCAAAAACCTCAGTTATGGAGGTGAACATGAGGTAGAGGTAGCCGTACACGACGGCCATGTAGACGGCGAACAGCGAGACAATCGGCGTGCGCAGGAGCAGCTTCATGGGGCGGACGATGCCGCGGCCAAAGTAATCCCTGGGGCTCAGGCCGACGTCGAGCTTAGACCGCAGCATCTCGTTGCCAGTCTCCCTGCGCAGCCTGGCGGCCCTGCGCTGCAGAATGACTGGCGCGTACGTCTCGCGCATAAACAGGAACATGAGGACCGTGACGAAGCCCGCGATGATGACAAGGACCCAGAACACCCACCGCCAGCCCTTGGCAGCTGCTAGGAAACCGCCCGCCACGGGGCCGATGATGGGGCCTAGCAGGGGGCCGACACTGAAGCCGGCCATGGCGGCGGCGCGCTTCTCCTGGCGGATCATGTCGGCAATGGACCCGCCGCCGTTGGTGAGCGGACAGGACCCGAAGATGCCGCACAGGAAGCGAAAGGCGATGAGGGCGTTCAGGCTGGGTGCGACAGCACATGCGACGAGGAAGACGGTGAAGAAGACGTTGCAGACATGGTACACAGGCGTGCGGCCGTAGATCTCGGACATGGGCGCGATGATCAGCGGGCCGAAGGCAAAGCCTAGCACGTAGACGGACACAACGAAGGCGGCAAGCTCGTCGCTGTCCGCCTTGAAGTCGGCCATGAGCTCAGGAACGCCGGGGGCGAAGATGGAGGAGGCTAGGGGTGTCACGAAGGTGAGCATGGAGATGATGACACAGTTGACCACCTTGCGCCAGGTAGGCCAGTTGTACGGGTTCGAAGGGTCGGTATCGGACTCCCACCAGACGATATTGGGATCGTCTTGTGCCTCGTCGCCCTCGGCGCCGCCTGGCGCCACCCCGCCTTTCTCAAGGTCGTCGTCGACGTCGGCGGCGGCGGCACTCTTATGAGACGCACGACTTCTACTCCTTGAGAGAGCAAGACTCCGTTGGTCGGCAATAGAGCGCTGCCTCTTCAGTTCACCCCGCTCGTCGAGGACATACCCAACATTGGACGGGATGTCTGCATCGTGGCCTTCTGCGTATGCAGTCTCGATCTTCTCCTCGAGGTCAGGGTCTGCGTTGACGCCGTCGTCGAGATGTCTGTCGGTGTCTGTCTCTGTGGTGCTCTCAGCGACCTGGTGGTCCGCCACGGTGCTGTTCTCATGGTCGTGGTGATGGTGCTGCTGCTGCTCGTCCTCGACAGCCGCCATTGAGAGCTAGGACTGCCCTCGAAACTGTGTTATTGTGGTTAGCCATCATAGCTAGTAGAGCGATGAGCAATGATTGACGACTTCAGAGTTCGTTGAAAGATTATGAGAGGTTGTCGGGCAGGTTCTTGAGAAGTAGGCAGAACTGTCGTGTGTACTTGGTAGCTTCAAGTAGACGTTGATGTGCTTACAGGTAAAAGTACTCGCTGTATTTCCACAGCCACAGGAGGCAGGTCTCTTTGAAGAACCCACCGGTGCAATTGCTACCCCCCGAGAAGTTAATTCTCAGTAGTGAGACCTTTTCTCACGGGCCTAGTGTAACCCTTGCTTTCACCGTTCGAGAACTCTGGCTGGTTTCCGTCTACAACATTCTTTTCCGCAGAAGGTTTCAAAAAGCATCTAGATTGGTTCCTCCTCCGAATTCAAAGACGCAAAGATGAACAGCAGGGCAGTTATAGTCCAAGCAACCAGGACTTTCCGTGGCAACGCGACGGGAAGGGCAAACAGACCGAAACCCGGAGCGGAGGAAGGTGCGAATACGAATGAAGAATAGCGACTCACACCACGCTGCACTACACCACATCAGCTGGTCGGCACCTGATCTGCCTGACCTTGCTTACTTATTGCGAGGCAAGCTCGTTCTTGAAGGAGTAGAGGAAAAAGGGGGGGGGGGGGAGAATTGGTGCTGACCAAGGCATCTCGTCCGCTCTTTAATTCGTCGGACCAATATAAAATTCAGAACTCGATGTTGGTAGTCATGTTGTGCTACCAGTCATTCCCAGAGCCGACGAGCAGTGCTGCGTGTCAGACAGTGACAGTACGACGGTTCCTTCACCTCGTTCTCCCCCTTACGCTAGGATTGTTATGGAAGAGGCGCCTTAATTAAGCAGCTTGTGGAGGAATGAGGGGGTTTCCCCAATCCCTGACTGCTTCTCCATCCCATCACACGCCTTCGCACTAGATGCGTCTGAGTACAGTCAGTAGTGTGCAAATAGTACCTAAGTCCTGTGGCGTTGAGATGGATAATTAATTAGCTCGAGCGACGTGAGATACGGACTCGTGCGAATATCATACGAGAAGGATATACTTCCAGCCTTTTTCTGAGTGTTATTTCAGACAAGTTTGACAGGCGTGAACTACGATATCTGACGAAGGGCCGTAGACAAAAACCAAGACAGGCAATAGACAAGCAACAGAAAAGGAAGGCCTGCATGCTTGAGGAGGGGCTGGGAAGAGAGCAAGGGCTCGAGTACATGGCTACAGACTACATTAGGTGAAGGTAGAAGGGAAATTTTCTCCCGTGTCCCCTCAATTTCATGGCAAGAAAGAAGTTTTAGCACTGTCCAAAGACCGGGAGGAAGAGACACTTGCGTCTAAATTCTATTTCGTGAGACCCAAACACTTCTCTCCACACTGAAATTCATATTGCCTAGTAGCTCTGGCGCACAGAAAGTAGGCTAGGAGGGCAGGGAGGGAGGCAGGGAACGGAGCCATGCATCCTCTTCGGGCAAAGACGGAGCGAGCCACAATCTCAGACCTAGAGAGCCGAGGTTTTCCAGAGAAAACAGAAACTTGTCCTTGTTCCCCTGCCTATTACTGAACCTCTCCCAGTAAACTCTTTTCGAGAAATGTCTACATTCTTTCATGTTCACTTTTATTTCATGTTATGAGCTTCCACACGGACTTATTTCAACTTCACCATACGCCTGACAAAATGAGGAGGGATGACGACCAAGCACTCGTGCCGAGGGACTCCTTCCCGACCCGAGGACAAGCAAGGCATTCTCTGAAGAGCATCTTTGGCTCTACTCATCAGTCTACAAAGGAAAACGCGGTGACTTTGTCAAGATTGATGCTGATTGAAATCTACAAGTTCTACCTGTCGGGGGTTGACAAAGATGTTCCATGAGGAAACACGGAGATCAAACTTCTTTTCCTTAGAAATGCAGCCATACGCATATTTCGCTCTCTTTTTACCTATCCTTGGTCGTCTACAGCACACACGTACAAGGGCTTGGGCTTAGTTGTCCAGCGAACCGATACCCAGGTGCTCGGTGTCGGCCTTGACAATGCGCAGCGTGTTGGTGTTGCCCATGCCGCCCTTCCAGCCCTGGACGACCACGACGGTGTCATTCTTGGACAGGACGTTGAGCTCCAGCGCCTTGGAGACACCCCACTTGATCCGCCGGTCCACGTCCTCCTGCCAGTTCACCTTGGAGAAGTCGGGCTTGTCCTCGGGGAAGTGGAAGGGATACACTCCACGATAAAGGTGACCATATCGCGAGGCTGAGGCATTTCGGGTCACCATGAAGATGGGGCACACGGGGCGGTACTTGGACAGCAAGCGGGCCGAGTCGCCAGAGGTGGAGAGCACGATGATGCCGCCGGCGTTCAGGTCAAGGGATGCGCGGACGGCCGACATGGCACACGACTCGACCACGCTGATGGGCCGCTGGATAAGTGTGCAGAGCTCCTCGAAGTGGGAGACGTAAGGGATGGTGTTCTCGGCCTTCAGGCAGGCTATTGTGAAGGTGTTTCGTCAGCTAACATCATCTTCTAGGTTTGGGGCCCCTTTTCTTTCTGTCCTCTCGCCAGTGCAGCAACTTACCCTCGCTCATCTCGTGGACGGCCTCGTTGGGGTAGGAGCCCTTGGCGGTCTCGCCAGACAACATGACACAGTCTGCGCCGTCAGTGACGGCGTTGCCGACGTCGCTAATCTCGGCACGGGTGGGCCTGGGGTTCTTGATCATGCTCTCGAGCATCTGGGTGGCGCAGATGACGGGCTTGCCAGCCATGTTGCACATGGCGATCATCTTCTTCTGGGCAGCGAACACCTCGGCGGCAGGGATCTCGATACCCAGGTCACCACGGGCCACCATGACACCGTCGGTCTCCTTCAGGATCTCGGGGAAGTTGTTCAGACCTTGCCGGTTCTCGATCTTGGCAATGATCTGGATATGCTTGCCGTCCTCGCCGAGGACCTCACGAATGGCCTTGATGTCCTCACCGCGGCGGATGAAGGAAGCGAAGACCATGTCCACGTTGTTCTTGACGCCAAACCTCAGGTCCTTCTTATCCTTCTCGGACAGGGCGGGAAGGTCGACGTCGGTGTTGGGCAGGTTGACACCCTTTCTCGACGAGATGAAACCATTGTTCTTGGCGCGGACGCGGATCGTCTTGTCATCAACGACGTTCAGGACCTCAAAGGCCAGGATACCGTCGTCGACGTAGATGATGCGGCCCTTCTCGATCACCTTGGTGATGTTCTTGTAGTCGACGTACATGTTCTCAGTATCACAAGCAGTCTTGTACTTCTCGTCGGTGGTGATGTTCAGCTCGGTACCGGCCGAAAGGGGGAGGTCGACATCGCCCGTGGTGTTTCCAGTGCGGATTTCCTTTTGTCACAAATTCAGCATTCTATTTTTCTCTTCTTTTTTTTCTTCTTTTTCTTTTTTCTTTCTGTTGCGGCGGGTTTACATACGGGACCCTTGGTGTCCAGGGCAATGGCAACCTGACGGCCAGCCTGGGCCTTCTCGGCGGCGCGGGCATTGTCGATAACGGACTGGTGGTATGAGTACTCGCCCTGAAGACATGCGTTAGCTGGTACAGTATCACTTCACAAGCCTCGGTATTTCGGACATACGTGGGAGAAGTTCCTGTGGGCGTCGACGGTCAGCTTTGGTGTTCCTTTCGGAAAATATAGGTCTCGGGATTACTTACATGCGGACGACGTTCAGGCCGGCATTGCGGAGCTTGTTCATGGCCTCGACAGAGTTGGTCTTGGGGCCAATTGTGCAGATCTGTCCAAATTCTTCGATCAGCTACTGGAATCTGGTGGAATTGTCCGACTCTCGTTGCAGGGCGTCTTACAATGGAGGTTCGGCGGAGGTTCTTGGTAGGCTGATAGGCAGTGTCGAGCTGGGCAAGCCAGTCAATCCTACCTCCGAGGGAGAGGTGGTCGAGAGCGGTGGCAGCCATTTCTTCGTTTCAGGGAATGAAGGTAGGTCGGAGGGTGGTACTGGTATTGGTTTTGTCAGACTAGAGGTGTCGAGAGAGAAGACAAAGAGAGCTTCGCGATCGCAGAAAAGGTATGGCTAACGCTGGAGGTCGGGGGATTTTGAGGTAGGTTCGGGGAGTTCTGGGAGGGCCAAGGCTGTGTGTGGCGCAAGACCTCTTATGTAACAAGTCAGTTGATGTTTCGGCGATAATCCGAGGGTAGTGAGAGGAGTCGCGGCGCGGACAACAGGAGAAAAAAAAAGAAGGGGTGAGTGGTGGGTTATGAGGTGTTGTTATATTCGGGCGAGAAAAAAAGCTAGAAAGGGTAGCGTTGAGATTCATCCGGTCGGGGATGCCACAGATGCGGCCACCGTCACACCACCCGATCATTCTTGCACCCTGCTATTTTTAATAGTTGCAGGATCTGCACATGCAGTCTGCACATGCAGTTTGATGTGTCTTTTTTTCCCTCTTCCGTCATCCAAAGGGGAAGCTGGTGGAGAGAAATTGACTTTCGCCTACCTGTGGAAACAATCTGGCTCTTGGCAGAATCTGATGGAGCTGCTTGGCTGTGTTGTGTGTTGTGTTGTTGAGGATCCAGACAAGGTGGGATGGGAAAAGGAAGGGGAGGAAAGGAAAAGAAGAAAAAAGTCGCTCAGATGTTACGCCTGCTGCTAGGCTGGTTCCAGGCCTTTGGGTATTGCGGCTTGCTGGTGCTGCGGTACTGCTGCTGCTGTAGGACAAGGACCAGCTTTCTCAACATTGCCCGCACCCCACGACCCCTCCTTCTCAAAAAATGCAAAGATATGCAGGGATCAGAGCCCATCCAAAAACAAGGGAAACAGGCACTCGGCTGACCTGGCCACTCGATTACCCACGCCCCTCATCTCTCGATAATGATAATAAAAAGCGTCATTAGGTAAGCGGCGGAACCCGCGCTGTGCCGGCCGCATCGCAGCGTGCCCTGCCACAGCACACCCTGAGCTCCCAAGCCTGCCAAGCACACCGGTGAGCCAGGATGCAAGCGGCTAGGTTCAACCGCGACGAGTCAAACTTGTCTCGTGCCACGCAGCAATCATTCCACAACAACCACCCACCTTAGTTGATACTCAAATACATTCCTAACGATCTGCCCTGTCTGCGTCAACGTCAACGTCCTGGGTCCTGCGTCCCGCTACTGCCTTTTTCTTTACTCCCAAGTCCCACTCGAGAAACTATCAGGATGGTGGTAAGTTGCAACTCTGCTTTGATCCCGCCTTTGAAGCCCCGACCCACATCCGACCCTCTTCTTCTCTGCTCCCCCTCGTCGCCGTCCATGCCATCGTCACATGCACATACCAGGCGTGCGTCATGGGAGGCTAAACATCTCGCTCTCCTGTCTACAGCTCCTCGATTTGCTGACATTGGGGCTGTGGTCGAAGCTCGGAAAACTCGTCCACTACACCGTTGACGCGGTTCTCAGTATGGTTTCTCCTGACCCCCCTCCCCTCCCCGGGTCCCCTCCGGCCGACGACGATAGGGAAAAGCAGCCCTGCCTAACAAGTCTTGTCCAACAGTCTCAACTATTCTCGCCGGCATGCGCCGCTCGACCGGCCTGACGTGAGTACACGACCCTCCGCAAACACACACACACACACACACTACCCAAAGAAATCCGAGATGATTTTTGGGTATCGGTTGGTGGTCTGCCAGGGAACAAGGAAAGCGTTGCTGCAGACTCTCTTGATTGCCTTGACGATCTAGCAAACTAACACCGACCCCACGCTGGGGATCTCCCAGGCCCAGCCTCAAGTCCGAGAAGATAGGCGGTGACAACACGGAAGTCCAGAAGTGGGTGGGCCGCTATCTTGGGGTTGGCGAAAGCGTTCTCGATGTGGCCATCACCACTGCCGGTGGGAGTGGATGGTTCGAGCGGACGAGGTAGGGTGACTCCTCCGATGACGATGAGTGAGCCGACGTGCTGTGGAAAGTATTGAGCATCAGGAGTGGGAAACACCCTTATCGGGGCAGTCTGCAATGCCAGACAGCGACGATGAGGAGCCTCGAAGTGTACGTTGGTCGCAACGGGCTTCACGAGGCCCACTGGGATTGGATCAGGCGAATTAGGCTGCTTTATCGGATCAGGGACGGCGTTCCGGATTGCATTATAGCAGAACTTCCACATGTTGGATGTTCTTGCAAAGCCACTTCTCATCTCGTTTGTAATGGAATTCAAGGTCATCTCGCACTGCATTACTTTGCTATGACCAAAAGTAAAACTGTACACCGGTAGGGTATATTCACACCCAAACTCCTCATAAAGTCCCCCAAATTTGGAGTGAAAGACCTGCTGCTATGCTTGAAATCCCTAATCTCATACCCTCGACGCCCACAGAATCTGATGTGTATACCCAATAGCACATCGCAAGAACACAGAGTCTGCGATAATAACTAACTCCTCATGGTGCCGGGCTGCTCCACCAGAAACTCATGCGGCACCTCATTCTCGCTGTCCTCCCTTTCAAATGACGAGCCGCGGCCAGCAGCTACGGCGCCCTGATGCTCCTCATCACGAGACTGCTCATTCACGTTGTGCTCCTCGTCGTGCGTCGCCAACAGCTCAGGTGGGACCTCGTTGTCACTTTCAACGGACTCGTCCCCGTGGTTATTCGGCAGATCAAGCAGCTGTTCGGAGGGGAGCATGGTACTCCCGCCACTGACGGTGTGAAATGAGTTGTGGCTCCCTGTGGTAGTGCCAGAATCCACCCTAGCAACGTTCCCAGCTCCCGGGACCGCACTGGGGGCCTCATCCACCGCAACACCAGCAGCCGTGAGCATCTCGCGGTTCATCCTCGCGGCCTCTCTAAACGCCTCCAGCTCGGCACCGATCGCCGCAATGAGCAGATTCCACCCTTTCTCTTCGGCGGCACCAAGCCGCTGCTCGAGGCTGACAATTACGGCGTTGATCTTATCATACTGAAGCTTCAGTCTCTCAGCGGGTGTGAGTTCGCGCTCTTTGCCCTTGCCTTGGATGTCGAGCTCCGAACCAGGGCGATCATCTCTCGGTGACATTTGCCTGCGGAGGTCGGCCTCAAAATCCAGCACGAGGTTGACGACTTCATTCCAGACCTCGCCGCCTGCCTCGAGGGCGACGCGCTCAATATCGACTTCTGCTTTGCGTTTCTCCAGGATGTCAACCTCAGCCTCCCACCATTCGCGGGCCATATCCATTGTGCGCCGTTCTGGGCGCAAGCGCATAAACTCCACACCACCCGGTGAGGAAGGCTGATCTGCAGCTTTGGTATTTTCGGCCAATGCTTCCACGTCCAGTGGCCTCACAGGAGGTCGAGTCAAGAAGCCTTTGACCGTGTCTTCTGCTTCTTTCAAAGCATTTTTGTACCCGCTCAGCCCGGCCTCTCGCCGGTTTCTCACGTCGTCTAATCTACCCTCTAGGTGCCGCCTACGGCTTTTCAGCGCGGCAAGCCTCTCTTCCAGCTCGTCAATTTCGGTGCTAACGCCTCTGTGTTCATTCTCGAGGTCTTCAATTTCCCTCCCGAGTGGCTCTTCCTCGTCCGTCTCCAGAGCATTGAGCTCGTCCGCAATCCCGTCCCTCCTCGTGGTCAGATTTCGCAACCTCGCGAGTGCCTGCTTCCGGATGGAGAGGGCAGCAAGGAGCGAGGCATCCTCTTCGGCTTTTAAGTTTGCAAGCTCGGCCATGCTGCGCGCAATGCCCTTGCGTGCGCCGGTTATTCCAAGCCTTTTCTGTCTTGGTTGTCGGACAGGAATGACCTCGCCACCAGGTCCAGCGCGGGCGACAGGCTCAAGAAACGTAACTGATCGTCCCGGGTGGCGCGATGAGACCATTGAGGCGGCGCCCATCCCTGTAGGCGTGACACTTCCTGCATCGCTGAAACTTGCAGTATCCGGGGACTTCGCACCTTGTTCCCTTGCCAGCCGATCACCATCATTGCTGGCACCCGCCAGGCTTCCCTCCTGCACCTGTAAAAACCGCTGCACTTCCGCGACAACGGCTCTCTCCCGTCTTGCCAGGCTGCGCCAGACAGAGTTGCGATCAAAGGCTACAGCCTTCTCGCCGCGATCATGTGTCGATCGATTCTCCCCCCTGTCCCACATCACGCTGCTGATTGCCCGTCTCGCAGACCCTGGGAGCCAGGACGCCGCAAGCCCGGTGGTGCTGTCTTCATCGTCCTCATATTGATCATAACCACGCTGCTGCTCTTCATCGCGAGACAGGACCCTGGATACAGCGATCGGTGGTGGTGGGCCGGAAAACAACACTCGCTCGCCAGCGGGGCGCGTCTTGGAGGCCGAGCCGAGGGATGAGTTGGAGGGGCGTCTGTTCAGCGCGCCGGTAGGCTTGCGGTTGCTAGAGAATTTCGACGAGGGAGCATTATACGGCGGGGAGTTGGGGTCGCGAAATTCGGAGGGTAGAAGACCGTCCTCGGCGCGGGGGGATAGTTCGTCTAGGTCGTACTCGCTGCTGTGGTCGTGTAGGGTCGCATACCGCGATGTATCGTTGTAGGTGGGGAGGATGGAGGAGTTGTCGTTGCCATTCTTGGCAAGGGAGAGCTGTGGGAGAAAGGAGGATCTTGTAGCCATGGTAGCTTTGCTATCGTGATACAAACGCGAGATCGAAGATGTCTGCGCGCTGCAAACACCAGAGATGTCCGTCTGGTGTTCTTGTCTGCACCTCTGGACCAGGCAGCAGGATGGGATTTGGCATAGATTTGGTGGGGGCTGGACGAGCTGGATTCATCTGCTGTGATCTTGCATCACAAAAGTCACAAGAGAGCAAGCAAGACTTTCTGATAGGCGCAGTCGTGGAGGGAGGGTTTGTCAAAGTCGAGTGTTAGTTGATGGTCACAAGTTGACTTTCTGCAAGTTGGCATGTGAGTGAGTGACGACAGGTTCCAGGGTCTGGTGTGGTGGTGGGCAGGGTCCACCTCACCAGAGCTCAGCGGGTCAGTCGACCATACAGGGGTGGCCCTTGGCCATGTGCTTGCCAATATATGTTCTATGCTGTGGTAGTACAGCATATTATAGAAAGATCAAGAGACTCACCTATCCTGGTGTAGGTGCTATAGCATCCATCCTTTGGAAGAAGAACTCCAGCAAGAATGCACTTAAAACAATACAAAAATCTAGCTATCGAAATATGACCCGTGATCATCAATATGATATTATTTGACGAGATGCTTTATGCTATGAGGGCTACTACGAAACAGTAACTGATTGACTACACCTTTAGAGAAATGTAGAGTGTCACACCGACCTTGACTACCCTGGTTCTGACAATACTTGCCAAGAATTACCACTTGTCCTGCAAATTCTGCGGAGTACTCGAGTATGCTATGGAGTGGCTGAAGTTTTCCTGGACCTTCTTTACTTCCTGTTGCTCAAGGAGCTCAAAAGAGTCCAGTCACAGGAAAACCAGGCTCCCACTCGGCATGTACAGACAAATAAGTGTATATTCTGTGAGAGAATCATAACAACCTTCATCTAGTATGTCTCGCCATCTCTACTTGTTGCCGTCTATCCCCATTGGTAGTTGTATAAAGACTTGAAACAGCTGGGAATGGCTACATCATCAAGATCTGGCCTCCATCACACCTAATATCCTCTCCTGTGATGTACACACCAGCCCTGCTGGCCAGGAGGATAACTGCGCCCATGATCTCCTCGGGCTGCCCCATACGCCCCATTGGGTGCCTGTGAAACCACTGAGATTTGTGCCAGTCCAGACCAGCTCCTTCATTGAGGATAGTATCCATATAGCCCGGGCTGATTGTGTTCACTCGGATGCCATGAACCCCCCACTCTGCCGCCAGCGAGTCCTTCATAGCCAGTACGCCCGCCTTGGACACATTGTAGCTGACCTGCGGCTGCGGCCAGTTGGGCCGGTGCGCCGAGATGCTAGCCGTCAAGATGATGCTGCCCCTGGTGCCCTGCTCGATCATCCTGCTCGCCGCCGCCCGCGCGCAGATGAACGACCCATTGAGGTTAATATCCAAAATGACGCGGAATTGTTCGGCCGTTGTGTCGATGGCGTGCATGGTGCTGACCACTCCCGCAAAGCACACCATCACGTCCACGGATCCGAGCTCCGCCGCTGCCTCCCGCACTGCTTCATTGACTCTCGCCTCGTCCGTGACGTTGACTCTCATGAAGCGCACATTGGCCTCGGGAAACCCTTCTCTCAGAAGCTGTGCCTTGGCAGCTCCCTCGGTCTCGTCGAGGTCGAAGATGGCTAGGCCGCGAGCGCCGTGCTCGAGCAGCACTTGGCAGGCTGTGAAGCCCAGGTCGCCAGTCCCGCCCGTCACTATGGCGTTGCCGGTGACGCTGAAGCGTTCCAGAACCCGGGCCTTGGGATCCGCATGCGAGAGGGGTGGTAGTGGTCCCGAGAGGCTACCTGGTGAGCCATCACCGAGTGTAATCTTAGGAATAGTCCTCGACGCGAGTTGCGAGCGTTCCGTTGTCATGATGTTAGAGTAAGTGGTTGGAATCTGTGGCAAGCGATTGACCAGAGGTGAAAGTTACGCATGTATAACAGCTTGTACGCAAGATGCTTCTCGAGTAAAGAAAGTGGGCATGTCAGAGCTCCACCAGAACCGATGATCCTAAGCCGACGTGTGTTGTTCAAAGCTGGCCCCGGTTACGGCGCTGGGCATTGCGGAGGCGGCATTAACAACCCTACGTAAATTCCTCCGCGGGGTAACTTACCTGCGTGTATAGTGGCGTGTTGAATCTACTCCAATTGTTGATAGCATGTATAGCCCGTTCATTTTCCCTGATATACCTCTTTGTTTCTCCTGCACTTTGTATTCTGGCCGTAGCTTGGCGTTATGGTGGTATAAAGATGTTGAGAGCTGCATACTTACTCCATCTTTCCGTTTTCTATAGTTTTTGATTATGATGGGCAACTGGTCTGGTCATGTAAGTGAATTCAGAGTCGTCATGTGCAGCATGGCGGCTGTTGCTCATTAGGAAGCTGTCGGTGTCTCTAGAAGTCTCTGTAGATATTTGATTTTAAAATTCATGACAAATTCAGAAATATCCTTAGATCTCATAGCTGCCCAGGTGTGATCTATCAAGCAGAAGTATAATTGTGACCATGCAGACAGACTACTTGCTGAGAGAAAGAAGGGAGTATGGCACTTGTAGAGCTAAATGTTCCGCGATCTAAGAGGAGTAAAGAGGATGAAAAGGTTGAACTCAAAGAATATATTCGAACACCATCATTAGACGTGGCCCATTATCTATCATGACTTTATCCAACTCTATCAGCTGCGTCATCAGAAACCCAATCAAACGTTGCAAACCACAAGACAGCAAGTACTAGAAAAGCAAATGGTAAGAGCAAAATACTTAAACAGAGCCAAATTTCAAACCAAAAAATCTAAGTAGTTGCACAACTTGAAACCTGAAAAAAGAAAAAGGACATCGGAGCAAAACTAGAACTGCATCGTTCAACCAGCAAAAGCAAAAGCAAAGCAAAGACCAGATCATAAGCAAAACAGAATCAGAAAGGAGCAGGCGTTGTTTTATCTAAACCGTTGTGTTGTTTGGGCCGTAGAACAGATTTGAAAATTGTTTGGAAGAGATATGTGCTGAAGTATCTCTGTTAGACTAATGCATAAAACCGCAGAGAAATGGCAAGGTAATGAAACTTACTCGGGATGGGATATGCAAGTCATCCATAGGCAAGAAATTATAGACATTATGTACTAGTTTGTAGTGTATGTCCAAGAATGATAAAGGAATGTCTGTACGACAGTAAGCATTTGCAAGAGGTGTGGCGACGTTGTACAGGTTCGAATCATTACACACCTTTGGACCAGCCATGCTCGGGAAGAAGACAGTATATGGCGATAGTGTTGTGTAAGTATCCGGTATCTGGTGAACGAAAGAGATGGGTGACGAAGCCAACAGACTACTCCATTCGTGCCAAGAACGTGACCAATGTGTGCGATACGGGGCCTTTAAAGAATGTGAACAGTTGAATGGTTGCCCTCGGGGCTGGAAGGAGAAAAGCACAAAAGGAAAAGCTGAGCCTGGCTCAGGTATCGAGGCGTGATCTGGAAGCCTGGGCCGAGACTGGTTCAAGCGAACGGTTGACGGATTGAAATGAAAGCGAAAGAACAAAGCGAGTGATGAGTGGAACGGCCTTGATCGTGTGTCTCCATATAGAGTCAAAGTCGACCACAAAGAGGTGCATTGGAAAGAGTGTGTTGGTTCGATGAGGAAGCCAGGATGCAAGAAGCGAGCGTTGAAATTATCAAAACGGGGATGAATATGAGTATTAGATGTCCGTAAAACCGGGGTGAAGTGATGTGGTTCAAAAGAAGCAGAAAGAAAAATCATCGTGATTAACGAAACGAATGGGTGTCAAGTGAGCGTGATCTATCTTCAGCAATTGAAGATGAGTGGAGTGAAACGCGACAGTGTGGTTGAAAGAACGTAGCGGCCCAAGAATAGACCCAAAGCAGGCGTAGTGAGTGTCTTGCAAAACAAACGATTGAAGCAGAGAAAGAGCGAGTTTGCACAGGCAAGTCCACTGAGAATAACTGCCGAAGGGGACTGTTCAAAGGAAAGAATGTGGAGTCAGCTACAGGCTGATTCTGTGTCGAAGACAAATGAATGGCAGAAATCTCAGAGGCTTTAGTAACGAGCGTGTATAAACGAGTGACGGAAGATTAGAAATTATGAAGAAAAAAAGAAAGGAAAAAGAAAGAGAGACAAAAGAAGGCAGAACACTGAATGTGCTTCACCTCGGATGGTGGACAAATGTTCGGAAATTTTTGTAAAGATCGTGAAGGAAAGAACGACGGTGGATTCAAACATTATCGTAAAAATGTGAGCTGGGATGGGTTTCTGTACGGGTAAACGAGTGGGTGGACTGGGTGACATGGAGTTCGAAACGATGGTTGTAATGATCGACCAAGAAATTAAATATTAAGGAAAGGTATTCGCCAAGATGGATGCAGATATAAAAAAACAGGGTCTGAAAAGAGCAATAAAATATCGCGAATTAAAGAAAGAAGAAGGGTCAGATAATTATTTTGTATGTACCATGATTGTCAACATGGTAGTTGATGAATGGCGGAGTCTTCATGGGCCACCTAGTAGCGACGAGGAGGTGGGAATGATCTCCAACCGAGAAAATGAGAGGACATGAATCAGAGATTCATTGCTTGCAGAGTCGGTGAACGAAGGCGACAGAACGAATGAACCGGAATTAGCGCCACGAGCGAGAGGATAGGATCACATTTAAGTGGTCAAAATGGGCCAGTAGTTTTTTCCAATGTGGTGTGGGAAATGAGTGACACTGGGTGGGAACCACCGTTGCTCGACTGGTGGGAAAGATAGTAGAACTAAGCGATAGACGATGTCGAGATCTACCATCATACAGAAGGTCGAAAACGAGGGACTAGCGATGCTGATATCTGCTATCGCTCCGAGAACGAGCGTGAGCAACGAAGGGTGCTTGAACCCGCCATTATGAGGAAAACGAGTGCCAGTGAGTCGTGCTGATGCTGTATCCGACCGTTGCTCCTAAACGAGAGATGGGAGCTAATTGGAAGGATCTGAGCTACTGTTGAAGGAAAGAGATGTGAGCGCTGAAGACGAGACGAAAGATGGGTACTAAGCTGCCACATGAGGGACATTATATACTAATTCAACCGACTGCAGTAGGGCAGTGTCGGTGGTGACCAACTTCAGGCGACCACGATGAGTAGCCATACCAACTCACCTGCACTGTCGCATAGCAGAGGGTTGAAACGTACGCAACCGGGTCCCCTGAAGGACTGCCTAACAAGCGTTTCTGAGCAATGGTGCAATCAGCCAGCCATGGGTGACCTTTCTAGGCTGGACAGGCATGCATTGCGCTTGAACGATCTGGGGACCAAGCTGTGAACAGCTGCGCTGGCCCGCCTGGGTCTGCACATGGTAGCGAACGCTCAGAGGCCAGAAGTCGGACCTTCATACCCTCGACGAACAGCCAGTGAGCGATGCAGAATCCGGATGCAGCCGGGGGTTTCGGTGCTCAGGTGGGCCGTCAGCCGGGCATCGGGAGACCCATTACGCGGCCGGTCGCCCCCCCCCCCGGATGGGACCCCGGTCCAGGGGCCGAAACATTTTTGGACGGTTTCAAGCCGGCAGTAAGGCCTGAACTGAGGATTACAAGCAGCATGTCTCGTCCAATGGAAGCGATACAGTCATCCAAGAGCAGCGGTCAAGCAGGATTCTTGTTGGGTTTTGCCTTGCCTCAGACTTTCCTTCAGATTCGCCCAAGGCCCATAGTCATCGTCACTCGAATGACTGACAATGCATGAGACACCATGTTGACGACTAGTATCAGTCAGCAATTGCACTATATGCTCACGATAGTTTCAGTCTCCCTGCACTCAACGGTGCTCCGACGAGGACAACAACGAGCGAGAGCGATGCCGCCTAGCGCTCTGTCTGCTCTAGGACTAGTTTGCTTTCAAAACATTATTACGAGGCTGATAGGCTCTATATAAATGTAGAACCTAACGTAGATCAAGTGCACCGCCGCCCTGAAAGCTTGATCGATTTGCAAAAATTGTTTCAAACACTATATAGCTGATCAACTCAAACTGAATCTGGGCTACTGTACGTCCTACATACCTCCTGATTATGACTTCGAGACATTTGCTGGAACTCTACAGCTGCTACTCACCGCCTCTCAGCAATGGTGTATATTACAACATTGTTTTCGGCATCGTTTTGCTTGGCGGTTTCGGGGACGATGATAGCCGAGGCAATAATTTGAGCTGCACCATGGGAAAGATTTCAAATAATTACCCAGAACCTTCAATTATTTCTCATGCTTCTGCCTCTTTGCCCCGCCCATTCTGCAAAGATCTCAAAATTCACTGCTACCTAGGTATCACCGGTGCTGACTGGCTGTTTATCTCGTACCACTTTAGCAAAAATCGATCATGAAAGTCAAGCCAGCGGCGCTTGCTAGGTTGACAAGCCAAGTGCAACGCAATCAATAATGCGGGCAAGATTTTCAACGGCGGTAATAGCTTAAGGGTTCGAGTCCATCTTATCCAACGCAAACGAACGATTGTGAAGCTATTGGGAGGCTGAATACTGTTAGACTGCTATTGATCTGTCGGTGGATGTATGAGGGTGTGTTCCAGCCCAACTGATCACTGCGTAGCACAAGCTGAACACAACATTCACAGAATGCCTCGTGAATATAAAAAGGCGAGTAGTTCTGTCTTTCACAGTATGATTGAGTAAAAATCAAGTACCACGCCATCAAATTTTTGAGAATCTCTTCAAAATGTATACCAGTTTCAATCAACTGTTGCGTGCTTTGCTGCTTGCCATCCTGGCCTTCGACTTGCCTGGATCTCTCGCGGTGCCACTCGAAAGGGAATTGATTGAAAGGGACACTTGTAAGAATTTTGTCTTCTCGTTTTCGAGACCTTTGAAAATTTCTTGCTGACCACCATATCAGGCACGGATCTGACTTCCCTTGTGCCCCTGGGCCTCGCTGTGCGGCAGACAGGTACAACAACTCCGACTACGACCATCGGTAACCTGCTGGGCCAGGACACGCCTTGCATCCCAACCACAGTCGACACCTCTTCACTCAAGGCCGTCATCTCTGCCCTGGCTGAGGCTCACCCTTCGCGTATCAAGGCTCGCAACTTCTGGGGCACCTGGGTGGGCAAGGCCCTCAAGGGTGCGTGGAGTGACATCAAGTCGGAAATCATCACCATCGCAGTTGAGGATATTGCGGAGTGGACTGGCGTCGGGGAGTGGGTAGAATTGGTGCTCCAAGGCTGGAAACTTGTCACCAGTCTAGATAAGAAAAACGTCACTGTCACAAGTCCTGACGGCACGATTACCAAGATGTATGTGATTCGGAAGCCGATAGTTGAGAAAGACCCGCCTTGTGGAGGTTACACGCACAGGATGTGCGATTGAGAACTAGCGGTTATATATAGTTCGTGGGTAAAAGGACAATATGGTTCATAGTGACGAGTTCGTCGGCGTGTAAGTAGGGGAAAGCCTAGGTCACCTGAATTCGAAACCAGTTCTCTGTGTGATACGATAGCTTATCGTGCAACTGTCTTTACGTAATTATGAATAAGAGCGAAGAGGCTAAAGAGGAATGTGACATTGAAGAAAAGAAAGGTTAAGACAACCAACAGGTGGCCAAGGATACCTAGAGTTTCATCTTGAGTATCACCGTCCAGGTCTTCTTTCGTACACCCTCTCAGCGCAAGGAAGAACGATTCATGATATGCAGTAAAATTTCTATAACACTGTTAAGATGCTTGTTATCACCAGCCACTTAAAACTTCGCAATGTGAGCAGTGACCTCTAAGAATAGAAGTATCGGGCCGTTTATCACCCTGTCTCCCTTCTTGAGGTAGAATTAAACTCCAGACGAACGGACGGAGGATTCAGATAGGTCCCTATGCTACCTATAACACCTCTGCCATGTAATGTTCCTGCAATGTCCACACACAACCGGGCGATTCCTGCCCAACAAAATGCTCCACAGTCGTCCACCCCCGCAATTTTGAGTTCCCCGCCGCCCGCGTGATAAAGTCGGTCTGGCAAAATGCTACGACGCGAGCTCTAGCGTAGCTTGAGAGAGCTGGAAGCCCTAGATCTTCTCCAGATTGCGTGTAACGGGTACTCGCGGTTGGGGGTGGACCAACATCCCGCAAAGAGGGGTCGTCTGCTAACGACCCACACAAGACGTTGGATAGGTGGCTGGCCGACTTTGCCATTGGATCATGGTATTGCAATACCAACAGGCTCTCATGCAGCGCAGCGGCAATGGAGTGCAGCTTTAACAGTTGGTGGCGGGAAATCTGTGACAAGATAGTGTGCATATAAACCTGAGGGGATGTCACCATGTTAAAAATCCCCGAGACAGGTGCAATGGCCTTGTTTCTTAATTCTGTTGACAGAAGTCTTGCAAACATGGCTGAAGCAGAGTCTCAGAAAGTTGAAAATATGGAGGAACCAGGTCTAACTGAGAAGCCAATAATAGATCATGTCGAGCCGGTGACGGCTGACTGGCGAGTTGAGGCTGCTGTCAAGACTCGTTGGCATTCTATCAGATCAAACCCTAAGATCATTGTCATAGCTCTATTCGCGTCGTAAGCATACTCATCCCCTCCCCTCTTCCCCAGGAGAGCATTATTTCCAACTGACGACGTCGAGATCAGCTTTGGAGGTTTCGAATATGGTTATCAGCAGGGCGTGTTGTCCCAATCCTTCGTTGCCACCCGTTTCACCGAGAATTTTCCCTCAGTCGTTCAATCCTCAGCATCCGAGGGTTGGTTGACATCTGTACTCCAGCTTGGTGGTATTTTGGGGTCCCTTTCCGCCGGCCTACTCGGTGAGATGTTCTCGAGAAAATATACCATGCTCAGCGCTTGTTGTTGGACGATTCTCGGTAGCTATCTCTACGTCGGAGCCCACGCCGGACACCCTCAACTACTCTACGCAGGACGATTCTTCACAGGCATCGGCGTCGGCCTATATAGCGGCGTTGGACCGCTTTACAACGCGGAAATCTCGGCTCCTGAGACAAGAGGCTTTATTGTCAGCTTCTACCAATTCACCACCATATTAGGCATCATGTTGAGTTTCTGGATTGGATATGTATGATCATTGCATTTCTTTTGCCTGTTGTGTGTCTTTGAGGATGATTCCTCTTAATGTATCACACAGAACCTTGGGTTTTGTAATGCTAATCGGATGCCTTCAGGGAAGCAACTACATCGGTGGAACTGGCGAGGGACAGTCAGATTTGGCTTGGAGGCTACCATCCATTATCCAGGGCATTCCTTCGATTCTTCTGGCCCTGGGTATCTGGTGGATGCCATTCTCTCCGCGGTGGCTTGTCAAAGTCGGAAAATACGAGAAGGCCAAGGAGACTCTAGCATGGCTCCGTAAGAGATCGATCGAGGATCCGCTCGTCGAGGCCGAGTTCCTCGAAATTAGGGCCGAGGCCTTATTCGAGCAGCGCGTGTTCGAGAAGAACTTTCCCAAATTGGCAGCCAAGGTTGGTCCTCCTCAACATTACGTCCGTCGAGAACTCGATCTGAACAATTGTACAGGAGAAGCAAAGCATATTTATCCGCGAGCTTGCCGGATATGTCCCTCTATTTCGATCGCGGGACAACCTGAAGCGAACTGCCACCGCATGGCTGGTCATGTTCTGGCAACAGTGGAGCGGTATAGACTCGAGTACGCCAAGATTGCGCACTTGCCAAAGAAACTTCTGAGCTGACGATGCTTGCAGTCATTTACTACGCGTCGAGTGTGTTTCAAAGCTATGGCTTCTCAGAAGGCACGACTGCTGAGCTGGCTACTGGTGTCACCGGCTCTGTGTTTATGGCGAGCACAATCCCAGGAATGGTATGTCCCATGGTGTTGACCGGTCTGAAATGGCGTGTCGTTTCGTACTGACGTACTCAAAGCTCCTCATCGATCGGCTCGGACGTAAAACGATGCTCCTTACTGGGTCCACCATTATGTTCGTTACTATGATCAGCGTCGGGGTGATAGTCGCCAAGTTTCGCCACGACTGGGCTAACCACACTGATGCGGGTATGTCCTTTTCACTCCAGACGAGATAGCTTCTGAGCTTTTCTGCTAACCAAAGTATCTCGGTCAGGTTGGGCCGCAATTGTACTCATCTGGATCTACGTAAGTGCACCACCTTACCGATTTAGACCGATGTCAGTATATTGACTTTGTGATGTAGACAGCTGGCTTTGGCTATGGATGGGGTCCTGCCTCATGGGTATGTCATCTTTCCACCGCACCAATGGGTGTGCAAAATTTTAGACTACTTTCTGAACTAACTCCTGGTTAGACGCTCGTATCCGAGATCTTCCCTCTGTCCATAAGAGCGCGAGGTGCCTCCATAGGGGCGTCGAGTAATTGGGTCAACAACTTCGCCATCGCTCTGTTCGTGCCTTCCATGTTCGCTTCCTGGGCGTGGGGCACATACATTTTCTTCGCAGTATTCCTTGTGGGCGGATTTGTAAGTTGTCTCTATCCTTGTTCGTTGCATTGGAAGTGATGATATCAGACACTGACGATGAAGTCAACTTCTAGCTTTGGGTCTGGCTTGTTCTGCCCGAGACCAAAAATGCTACGCTTGAAGACATGGACCGTGTTTTCAAGAGCTATACTGGTGCAGAGGATGCCGCCATGCTAGCGGAAGCGCAACGGGATGTTGGCCTCCTTGATTTCCTGAGCCGCGGTCTGAACCCAGATGAGCTTGTCGAGAAGGCTTAAATGCTTTGAGGATTCAACAATTATGATAAAATGGAGGCCTTGTGTACCGGAAAATGGTCTGGAAGAGAAACTGCGCCGGTGGTCTCTGGGACGACCAGAAGTGAGAAGCAGATATTGTGACTAGTTTCTCATCCGAAACAGAAGCAATCAGAACGAGAACCAATATTCCTTCGACCGTACCCATTTCTGTCATCTTTGAGCCCGTCTTACACCCGTTTTAAAGATTGGTGGGGCAAGGTACAAAGCTCACGTAGTATCAGTGTAGGGCTAAGTCACAATGCAGAAGACGATACTGCTAGTCAGTAAAATCACAAGCTGCTGGAATTTTTTAAGTGTCACGTTGTGGTCTTTTGCACGGTTCCTGACAATTTCGTCTCCCAATAAGACCATGTTTATATTCCAGAACGCCAACCCCTTCATCGATTAGGATACACGAAAATAACCAAATGATGAACATCAATGAGTCGTCAACAAGTGCGCATGTCCATTTTTTGCATCACCATCCTGCCAAGCCTGTTCCTAGCTCTGATCATGGCCCGGACCGAGAGTCTCAAACGAAAGCTTGAAAAACTGTACCCTCGACTTCCTAGTCAACACCGGTGCCAATCATGTAACGACTGCTACACACTGTCATCTGACATATCCGAAACTAGGTAAAGCTCAGGAGACTCTTCCGCAGTCCCCTTCTTCCCCACAAAGATCCCTGCCTTACTCGCTTCCTTCTTCGCGGCCTTTTGCGCTTTTCTCTCCGCCTTCTCAGCCTTTTTGTCGGCTCTTGACCAGGAGGACTTTGGACCAACTAGTGCTCGGCCTGGATGCATTATGGCGAGTACGAGGAAGCAGATCATCATCGGAAAGGCATCCAATACGTAGCTGTATGCTTCATGGAAAGGCACTGGGTTCGAGGAAGGTGACAAGCCACCACCAAATTCAGCAATTCGGTAGAAGATTCGAAGCTGTTTTCGTGCGTCAGAAAGTAAACCTTGCGTACAGAAAGATGGATACTTACCGAAATAAGGCTCAGAACGGCGTACAGAGCATATAGTAGGCCCTTCCAGCCCCTTTTCGGAAGGTCGGCATTGTTCTCAAGACCGTTCAGCCAGATCGATGCCGAAGATGATTCAAGTTGGCGTTCTTGGCGATGGAACATAATCATCAGGGATAGAAAACCCAGGATGAAGAGTTCCTGTAGGGCAATTCCAGCCATGTAGATATGCAGACCGGTCTGAGCCAAGCTTGAGCCTGGACTCGTCATGGTGCCTCCAACTCCCTGGACCAGAAAGGTCAAGATATCGGCCCACACAAACCACTTACTCATACCAGTAGCTCGAAAGGGGCCGATCTTCTTTGCGGGCAGGAAGTAATACACCATTCTCGCAAATGTCATGTAGACAAAGCCGTTGATCCACAGCGGCGCTAAAAGGAAGAGCAAGGTGTGAGCCAGCGCGTATCCGCTGCTCTGCTGATCGTGCGCTCCAAGGGCACCGGTAACAAAGGCAGCCGTCTCCCACAGGCCTGCCATGATGAGGACCCAGGCATAGCGCTTCTTGAAAGTGATGGCCTCGGTCACGTGTGCCAGTGTCAATAGGCCGAACAAGACCGAGAAGGCGACGGCGGCGCTGAATGAAGGATCGAAGTTGTAATTGGAATTGCAAGCAGTGATCGGAACATTGCCGTATTTGCCTGGGACTGCTGTCGTGCAGCTCGCCATAGAGGCGTCGGACGTGGACGTTGGAGTGGTTGTGGTGGCTGTAGAGGTCGCCATGCTTCCAAGTGCTGTTATGTGAATTCGTCACACCTGGGAAAGCTGTAGTCACGAGTGATTATGTAGATATTAGAAGAAACTGAAGTGATAATTCTCCGATTGTCAACGCCATGAAATGGTTTCCGAATGAGAAGTTCTGAGCTGTTTATATAGTATCAGCTAGCCTTCGAAGTCCCAGCAACACTCAGCTCGCCTGTCCCTGGGTAGTGGCTGAGGCTGAATCCTCTTGATTTATCGTGCTAATAACTAGCGAGCTAAACAATCACTTGAGGTTGCGGCTTTTGCTTATGTGACTGGGGCGCAGTCAAGGCTGACTTTGTATCTTTCACAGAATACGGTAAGAATTTGGCGAAGGAACCAATCAGCGTCAGTCTCACCGGGATCTGTTGACTATACTCTCCGAGTCCTATTGAACCACTAACACTGCATTTCTGGGGAGCGGAAAATCCTACAAAGTCGCCATCGGGTTTTTGGGGTCTAAAATTCCATACATAAGTAGTACTTCATGTAATCACCCCTCGTGAGCCGTAGCGCTGCCATTTGAAACTCGACACTCAGGCGAAGCGAATGGTTCCAAGCACGGTTTGGGCAAGACCCAGCCAATCCGCCGCTCAATGCAAACCTATGATACCTAAAGAGAAACAGGAGACAATACTTCAATACAGAATAGAGACCCGAGGCTATATGTGAGTGTTACTAGTCAAGGGAAGGATTTGGAAGTGATTGCCTCGACCCCTCGATGTCAGCATAACTACGCGGGCAAGGGGTTCACAATCGACATAATGTTCCTTCAGCTCAGTCAGTCAACCTTATCCCTCCGGACTGTTGAAGTAATGATCAGACCCTTGAGAGCATGATCTAAGGTTGATGTAAGATCCTCTCGATATGATTATTGTCTCGATCTTGTCCCGCTCGTCTCTTGTACGTTTCGGGCGGTTCTCAAAGCCATATCTTGTTGATTTGACCTCGCTTCTGTGATTTGACTGCCATTCTTCTCGTTGATTTGTTTCTCCCCCTAATATCTCGTCTACTTTACATTCGCTTCTTCACATAATCCGCTGCAGAATAAGCATCGCGCTCGCTGCACTTACTGTGAGCTCTCAAGCCCAGCAGTGGACACCGAGGTCAAACATATGGCTCTCATGCTATAAGTGGGTTCAAAATCGATGAGAACATCACAGTAAATCCCTCTTCATTTGCACTGAACAATACAAGAACGTCATCATATCTCATGCCATGAATCACATTGTAATTGATTTGCTTTGCAACTGCATTCTCAATGGCATGCATGTGCTATTTGTGGGAAAGTAAGCAATAGGTAACATCAGAGCTGCTTTCGCTTAATTCGCAATGCTTCACACTGCAGAAGTCGGTTCAAGATATCGAGGTGGTATTGACGGCACGTGGCAGTTACTATGAGTATCAGATCGCCCGGACTTGCTAGTGCTGTCCTCAAGACCTCCACATCAGGATTTCGGCCTGCCAAGGTCCGCTGCGTCTGCTTTGGTGAGGCCGCCTCTCCGTCCACGCGTCACAGGATAATTCCCTCCAATGATGCTGGTCCATCCTCACAAAGACTTTCCATTTCAGGCAAGCAGAGCGGAAAACTTTCACAAAGAGTATAGAGCTATCAACACAAAGAGATTGTAAAATGGCCTAACGTTCTTCAAGACTTGAAATTATATTTGACCCCTGTTGCAGCTTGAAAAAGTTCGTCCAATCCTTCATCTCTCCAAATTGTAATTGAATCGCTTTGAAAGTCACGGAACCTCGTCCTTGCCCTTTCAAGAGCACCTACTGGCAGGAGCAGGTTTTTTGTTCACGATGTCTCCGATCAACAATTTTCTCAAGATTGCCATCATAACGATCTCCTGTGGTCGTACCCTGGCTGATACAATTCCGACATATGGACAGTGCGGCGGCGAAGGATTCACTTCAACCGGCGATTGTGCGTCTGGCTCCTACTGCCAGTCCGAGAATGCTTATTATTGTACGCACGACTTCGAAATGAGTATGCTGTCTCCGCCTGTTGACTGTTCGATCATGTAGATCAATGCATCCCAGGAACTGCAACGACCGCTGCGTCCTCAGTGGCCACGACACCAGCATCAACTTCAGCTACCACAACACTAGCTGTAACGACTCATTCCAGTACTTCAACTTCAACACAATCTCCAACGTCGACAAGTAGTAAAGCTGCGACTTCCACCGGGGGAACACGATATCTAGTTGTATTCGGAGATTCATACTCAACGACGGAGTTTTATATCCAGGGAGGCTATCCTTCCGCATCCGACCCCATCGGCTTGCCTGCACTGCCTGGTGACACGACGAGCGGGGGTCTGAACTGGGTCGGCCTCGTCACCAGCGAGCTGAACACAAGCCTCGTATTGACCTATGACTGGGCATACTATGGTGCTGATACTTCCAACGAGATCATCAACACTGGGGTCACCACCGACTTCATTGCGCAGGTTGGAGAGTTCGAAGAATACCTGGTTCCTGCACCCTCAGAGGCGGAATGGACAGCTGACAACACTCTCGTTGCTGTTTGGATGGGTATCAACGACGTTGGCGAGTGCTTCTGGGAATCTTCTGTGTATGCAACTTGCCCTATCGATGAGGTGATGGACACGTACTTTGGCCTTCTCGAGGATCTATACAACGATGGAGTCCGCGACTTTGTTCTCTTGATGATTCCTCGTAAGTATTCCGATCTTTTTCTTTTTCTTTTCGTCTCAGCCCTGAGCTGACATCTAAAATAGCATTTTACAAAGCTCCAATATTTGCGGACTACACAACGTCTGAGTTGGAAAGTCTCATTGACAACATTCAGACGTACAATGAGGCCCTGGAGACCAACCTCGCTACCTTCAAGTCCAGCTACAGTGGTGTCACAGGACAGGTCTTCAACACTTCAGATTCTTTCTGGACGGTGATTGATGATCCCACGGCTTATGGCGCTGCGGATGCGACTTGCGAGAACACGGACGGAACGAGCTGCGTCTGGTATGATGACTACCATCCAGGGCAAGCAATTCAGAAGCTTGTTGCAGAAGCGCTCGTAGACGCTGTGGGGTCGAGCTACTTTTGATTGTACGGGTGGCGACCTGTATATATCACTGTGTAAATAGCAGTTGCTTGACGCTCGGGGGGGGGGGGGGGGACTGTGCCCTTTGCGGAGAAGCTTTTTCTAACATCTTGAAAACAATTCGTCGTTCCTTTGGAGTATATACTTTGCAATAGCATTTTCACTTGTAGATAGAAATCACTTCATGGAACATTTGATCAAATAGTCATATCTGAAATTCGGTCATCGACCTGCAAGGTTTTCCTACCTACTGGGTATTTAAGTATCTTGCAGATCTTTCATTCTTAACCTCCGTCTGAAATCTATGAAAATAAAAGAAAATAAAATAACGTCATTTCTGTCATGAAATGGTTGGCAGTAGAAGGGAAGCTCGTGTTACATTCCCGGCAAATATTCCGCGTCCAAGCAATCTGACTCGCTGTGCTATGCAAAGCAATGTGAAAAAGTCTTCCAAGTCCAGAACGCCGTGCCGATATGTCTGTTCTATAAGGATGGCATGCCGAAGGTCAAAAGATATAAGTCTGTTTCCCTATCAGGCTCAACAATCCAGGCTCTCCAGTCAAATGCCTCAAATCTGGCGGGAAGGAGGAGCGGCTTGGGCTGGACGGATACAGCGTCTTGACAGGCCTCGTCTCGTAGGTTATGACGTCCTGTGGCTTGGGTGCACCAAACATGTCCAATATATCATCTGCGGTCATTCCACCTAGTCCAAGCGACTGAAGTGTCGTGCCTGTGGTGAGATAATCCTCATCCACCATCGAAGAGGTCAACGTGATCATTGATCGCATGACTGGTAGCTCAAGACCACGTAGTCTCCCAAGACAATACCACAAGACCATTGTCTCCTTCATATCCTCATCCAGAAATCGCTGACCCTTCAGTCTGGTCGGAGCCAGTCCGTGCTTGTTGTGCGGCGCGGACCCCTGAGCAAACGACACCCAGTCTGGATAGTCCGAATTGTACCAGATGTTGGTCCATTCCAGCACAGACGGTGTCTTCTCACCATTGCTTGCGGCGATAGCCATCCTCTCTGCGTCCAGCGCCATGGTCGCCCTCGCCACGCTGGGAGTGATCCCTTCACCGTACAAGTGGAATGGGTTGCCGCTCTCAACGCGTCCGGCATTGAAAACCATTGGTGGACAATGCACAACGGGGTTCGTGCAGTTGAGCCAGATGTTGAGGATGGAATTCCGCCACTCCACACGGTCATCAAAGATATGGGATAGGACGAGACGGTCGTGCTCCTGCATTACCTTGACTGAGGCAAGTGGAAATGTCTCCTTCACGTAGAGGACCGCGACCTCGCCCGGGCCTGGACTTCGACTTGCGTACGGCAAGGTACATGATTCCAAGATGTTGCGTGCTCTCAAGCCCACTTGCCTGGCCTTCGCTGCAAAGCTGCCTCCGCCAGGAAGCGCCACGATGGTCGTCTTGCGAAGGTCGTGCTTCTGCAGTGCACAAAGGATTTCTCGGTGCGCCGTTGACAATGTGACAATAATGATGTAGTCCGTGTTGACAACAAACTCGGCGAGGTCATCGACAAGCTGAACCTTGAAGGTACCCTCCGTGGCGTGAGAGGCTTTGAGCACGCTGCCGTTGTTTTTGACATATTCGTACTCAATCCGATGACCTGGACAGCAGTAGATCAAAGGCTTGTGTCCACGCGAGGCAAGGTGAACCGCCAAGGCCTTCCCACCCTGGCCCAGGCCAATGATGCCAACTCGAGCCTGAGGCATGGCTGCCAAAAAATGAGTTCTCGGAGCGTGGCTATTGGCTGATGTCTGAGGTCGTGGCTCCTGCTTTGGCCTGTCCCAGCGACTCGTTTTCGGTTCCTAATATGAGGTCTCGACCTCGAAAGTAATTGTGTTCAAATCAAATATGAACTAAGAAAAAGTAAAGTAAGGCACCCGACACTCTTTTGAGGTAGGTCAGCGCTGGGTATAATCAATTCAGACGGCGGTTTGACAAGAGGATGGGATGGCCTGAAAGCATGTATTCTTGAGACAACTGAGCACCCTGTCTTGTTCTTTGGGGGCATGTTCGTGTTTCCAAATGTCACAGAGAGAGCACCTTCCTTACAGTCTAGAAATGCGAGGTATAAATCTCTCCAGGTGACATGGCTGACAGATGCCAGAACCCCTTGGTACATTCCGGTCCACTGTGTCTGAGAGATTTATGAGCAAGATTCGCTCAGCTATACCAAGACCAAGTGAGAGTGGGTTACAGTATGAGCAAGATCCACTCCTTGATGTGCGGGGAAAGCCCCTCCGGACCCAGACGAACGGAGGAAAATGCTCAAAACACGGTACTTGGCGTATGGAAATGACCAGGTTACAGAATCAGGATGCGATCATCTGTGCGTCCGATTTGCAGGGTGTAGACAGGTGTCGAACTCCGACGTCGCCACGTCTGTGCTCGCAGGTCAGGATCGGCGGGTTCGGGCCCAGCAGAACAATCTACATGACTTGCATCATACTACGAAGCAATTCCTGGGAAACCTTACATTTTACTGGATGAGGATCGGTTTTGGCTCCAAGGACCGCACTGCGTAGCGAGACAACAACTCCCTCGACCAGGGTCTTGAGCTATGCCCGGTGCATACAATCATGGTCCGTCAACTCATCAGCAACCTACATGACTGCGATTTTCTGGTCGGCAAAACATATTCACAACAACGATGGCTATGAGCACACTGCCCGCAGAGGGACCCGATGGAGGGTATCGGGCGTGGCTCGTCGTCTTTGGAAGTTGGTGCTGCAATGTCATCATATCTGGCTGGCTGAACGCATTGGGTGTCTTTCAGGACTATTACTCGACTGTGTTATTCCCTGGCCTGCCTGAAAGTACCGTCGCTATCATTCCGTCATTGGTGGATTTCATGATCTTCGCAGGTGTAAGTGTGGCGTGGCCCCCCAAAGCAGCCAAAAGAAAGAAAAAGGAAATAAGGTGCTAATTAATGACTCTGCCGTAAAAGGGACCAATATTCGGCCTCATTTACGATAGGTACGGTCCACGGCTTTTGCTCTGCGTAGGAGGGTGTCTGCATGTGATCGGCATTCTGGCCGCCTCAGTAGGCAGCCAGCATTTTTATGCCCTGGTTCTGTCTCAGGGACTTTGTAAGTGAGCTTTGTACACATGGATATCGAGTAATGATGCCCAGGTAGTACAAATTATGCTCAATCTCATCTCAACAAATTTCAATCACTGTTTGGTATACTGATCAAGGGTCTATCAAAGGCTCTGCACTTGGTGCAAGCATGATGCTATACCCGGCGATATCATCGATATCAACTTATTTCACCAAACGGCGCGCACTTGCCCTGGGCATCACATCAACCGGTACGTCCGATGCCTTGACTTCAAAGGTTTGACTACGAAAGCTGACGGAGGATTCTCAACAGGTGGCTCAATAGGTGGCATCATTTTCCCTCTGATGTTTGAGAGCCTCGTACCAGTGATTGGCTTCGGCTGGACCATGCGAGCGTGCGCCCTGTTCATTTTCATTTTGGCGGTACGAATCAGTGCTCCCCAGATGTCTACTTTTTCTCTTACCAGATCTTTACGTATGTTGCTACCCTTGCAGTTGTACTGAGTCGAATCCTATAGGTTGTCGCGAACCTTACCGTCTCTTCTCGAGTTCCGCCAACTCCCCGGCGTTTTCACGTCAAAGAGTACATCGAACCTTTTCAGAGCAACTCCTATCGCCTCCTCAGCTTGAGCATGCTCATGTATCTGGGTCTGTTTCTACCCCTGACGTATATAATTCTCCAAGCAAGACAGGAGGGCATGTCTGAATATTTGGCTGGCAAACTGGTGGTTGTGATCAATGCCGCAAGTTGTGAGTAGCGTTACAGCCCATTCTTTTCCTTTCTTCCCTCCTCCATTATTCTCAATGGAAGACGGAGATCCATTAAATAAGGGACCCGTGCCCTCAGATCTGCAACGCTGACAGGTCGTTCTCTTGAGTGATCGGACGATTATTGCCTGCATGGGCTGCCGATCACATTGGCCGTTTCAATACTGCGATTATCTTCAGCTTGCTCTCCACAACTATGGTTTTGGCCTTTTGGGTCCCCTTGAAGAACAATGAATCTGGTATCATTACCTTCTCTGTGTTATATGGCATATTCTCTGGGGCTGTGATCGCCCTTACCCCCGCGCTGGTTTCCCAGATCAGGTAAAGAACTTTGCCCATCCCAAGAATTCTCCATATTAGCATCGCTCCGTCTGAGAACAAACACTCTGCTGACAGATCCCGAAAAGCCACGTACATGAAATAGGGGTGCGAACTGGCATGTTGTATGGTGTGATTGGCCTAATCACTCTGACCAGCACACTGTCAGCAGGTGCAATCGTGGATGACCTAAATGGTCAATTCATTGGGCTCAAGATATTTTGTGGTGTTTCTATCGGCCTTGGAGCTTTGTTTCTGATCTGGACGAGAGTTTTCATGACAGGTTGGAGGCTGAAAGCTCGAGTATGATATAGTGGAAAAGATGATCATGAACCTGCATTTTTCTGATGCATATCTATATATGACATACCCCATGACTAAAATATTGACCCCCCCCTGCATTGGCGGTAATGTATAGTTTGTGTAGAACGTCGTATGCTGCGGACCTTGCACGCAGAAGCAGTTTCACGAAAATGATAATGTCACGCAGGAGTTGAGCACGCGCTTAACCTATCCATCGGGGGGGAAAGAAGGGGAAAAAAACACTCTGGCCTATTCACTGTGATACATTATGTTCTGGTGTAATCTGTTTACTTCTTCCTGCCCAGAACCGTTGCGGCGGGCCAGACTAATTCAAAATCGCCGCCTCTCTCCCTAACGAGTTTCTCGAATTGGCTGAACGCGTCAGTCTCCCAGAGTCTACCATCCATGACGAAAGGCTCATATCCAAGGGTCTGAAAAAACTCCTTGAGCTGCTCAATGGAGTAACCTTTCCTGCTCCACCATTCGTCTTCTTCAACAACTTCTACCTGTTCGCCTTTCAAGACTGCTAACTTGGGCTCTCCGTAATGCGCCCAAGTTGAGTCTCGCAGTGGCCACTTGCCGTCCTTGGGCAGGTTTGCCGTCCTTCGATGAACAGTTGCCCACTTGGATGGATCAAAGGGGACATAGTCCAGGCCAATGGACAAGTTCCTAAATGCTCGTGCTCGGACAGATTTCGTCACGTCCTTCTCTGCGTCGCCTTGATCCTGGAAGCGCCTGCGTTTCTCGAACACAGCTGCCAAGGCATCCGCAGCCTGCTCGTCGTCTTTGATAGTTGGTTGTGGGTAGACCACTGCGCCGAACGTGCCGCCAGGACGAAGGGTGTCGGCAATGGTGCTCATCGCCGTGTCGATCTCGGTCCAGTGAATACTGGCACAAGCGATGAGCATGTCCACCGATCCAGGGCTCAGACCTGGAAAGGCCTCCTCGGCAGGACCGCGGTGAAAGAAGAATTGAATGCCTGGGTAGCGCTCGGAAGTGAAATTCTTTTTGGCGGCGGCCAGGTTATTTTCATTTGGGTCCGAAAGATAGACGCGGTTGACCTGCTGGCCGCGGGAGCTGGCGACGGCGAGAAAACTCGCGGCCCCAATACCGCCGCCGGTGCCGACATCCATGATGCTCTCCAGAGGTCCCTGGTGGAAATCCAGCCATGTGGTCCACATAGACTCCGGGTAGGACGGCCGGTACCTGGCATAGTGGTCCCAGTCATCCGTCTTGACCGAAAAGGCAAATTTCTTGTCGTCTGCTGTCATCTTTGATAAAAAGGTCTGGTGTTGCCGGTCACAAAAGATAGTTTGATGGTCAATTGATACACTGTCTAACAAGACGACAACCTTAGTGGGCCTCGAATCGGTATTTTAGGGACAATATAACTTTTCGTCTGAAGCCCTTTAAGACACGAAACGAGCCCATACGGGAGGACTGGGATGCCAAAGAGGGAGGGGTCAAGTGGAGAACCTGAAAACGTGCTCATGGTAGGACAGTATTGCTACACAGTACGGCTGAGGTGCTCCATATGGTACTTTAAACTTGCTCACCGGCAGGTGATGTTATGGGCCCTCTCTAGGAACTTGCTCAAGTGATGTGCAACATGCGGCGGGTCTTACCCAATGCCCTAGTAGCAGCGCCCGTAGACCAGACGTTAGAATTGATACTTCAGTCGCCAGGTCTCGACAACAGAGATGGACTCCAGGATGCGAGGTCGTGGGGAAATATGGAGCCGAAACTGAGAGCTTTTCGAGCTTGAGAGAAGCAGAGATAAACTTGACATTAAATTTGGGAGATGAAAGGGAGAACAAGAAGAGTGACCGAGTACTTCAAGCTCGTAGATAGTTTATATGGCAGATAAATCCCAGTTCTAGCGTACGTGTGGTTAGTCTGACCCGCTTTTCAACAAACACATGTGCCTATAGTATCTTATTCTTGAGCTCAACCAACTTATAATTGTAAATAATCGTCCCGTAACTATTTAGCCCTCTTGATAACACCAGCTGTCGAGGTTGACGGCGAAGACAGGCATACATGATATTACATGACGGATTTTGGCGCGATTCGTTGCCAATTCACGAAGGCAAAGAAGCCATGCCAATTGCCCGTCTCCTGACGTTCAACCCTGCATCTGATAAAATAGCAACGAGAAGACTAAATAGTGCGACTATTGACCCCCCCAAAAAAGGGAAATTTTCCCCTTTGCAGGTGGAATCATTCAATTTGATGTCGTCGCCTTCGTCTGGTGCTGGACTTACGAAACTCGGGATTTACGGAGAAGGGAGATAATTGTTACTTGAAAAGTATAAAGTCCCGTCCGTTAGCTCCGCATACCTAAAGTCCAGTACGTTTGGCCGCCTTCAAGTCAAGGGAAGACTTAGGAAAGTTTGCAGTTTAATGATGTTGCTGGATCTAGAAAGGAATATAAATTGCAACATGATCTCCTTTGAAGTGAGTGTCACTTGAAAAAATATGCCACAGTATCAGACCTGTCCATTCCTCCGGCCAAAGACGGGGCATTCATCAACGGTGAACTATTCAATAAAACGCATATCCTCATCCCTTACTCTTCGCAAATATCCTAAAACTCCGGGAATCATGGCGACAAGCTCTAGATACGCTCAAGATCAGCCGCATGGGTTCTCTAATAGGATTGAGAAAGTCGCTGTCACCGGGGTGAGTACGCAGCCCTGAAGCCAGACCAGAAGCCTTTCTTTGTCTTGCTCCTAGATGCTAAACAAATATGTATCACCATAGGCAGGAGGTCGAATGGGAAGTCTGATAACCAAGGCGCTCCTTGGAACGAGCAAGCACGCTGTGACCGCCATCACACGCCCCAACAGCGACACTACCTCTTTTCCCGCGGGCGTGAACATCATTCAGGTCGACTACAGTGGCGATGATGATACAGCGCTCGTTTCTGGCCTCCGCGGGCAACAAGCACTGATCATAACTGCAGCCGTCACAGCACCTCGAGACATGATCCCCAAGCTCATTAGGGCGGCGGCCAAGGCAGGCGTTAAATATGTCCTCCCCAACTGGTACGGCCAAGATGCCGCCAACCAGTCGCTGTGCGACGACTCGTTGCTCACGCCGATGCGTGACAGCATCCTCGCCGAGTTCGCGGCTCTGGAACCGAACTCTACGGCGTACTTCCTGCTGTACTGTAACTTTTGGTACGAGTTCAGTCTCGGCGGTGGACCGGACCGATTTGGTTTCGACTTCCAGAAGCGGTCCCTCATCCTCTTCGATAAAGGAGATGTGGCCATCAACGTGACAACATGGCCTCAGGTATGTAAAGTATTTGATTTTATGTTGGTGAATCTAGTAATATTCGGTCACTAACTTTCTCATTGTATTAGTGCGCCCGTGCCGTGGCAAACCTGCTCAGTCTGAAGGAACTCCCAGACGACGCCACAGACAAATCACCCACAATCTCCCAGTTCGCCAACAAGGGAGTCTATGTCTCCAGTTTTCTTCTGACGCAGAAGGAAATGTTCGAAAGTGTCAAGCGCGTCACGAACACTTCAGACAATGACTGGGCCATCAGTACTGAGTCCTCTGAGCAGCGCTGGCGGGAGAGTCGTGATGCCGTCCACCAAGGCAACATTGAACCTTTCGCCAAATTGCTGTACAGCCGGAACTTCTTCCCTAACGGCGGCGGCGACTATGAGTCCCAGCTGCAGCTTCAGAATGACGTGTTGAGCTTGCCAAAAGAGGATCTTGACGAGGCCACAGCTGAAGCTGTTCGTATAGGTGTCAGGGGCGATGTGGTAAAGGCGCATAAGGCTAGGGTCAAGGAATGGACTTCTTCTTGATGATGAGAATGACCTTTTTCGGTTCTTCTTCAGATGTAGTTCCTACCTCTAGGGATTGGGACCCTACTGCTCTTACAGTCTTACAATGATGATGGTCTCAGATTTGTGGTAGCATTTTCTCTTGAGCAACCGATGATTCGTTCATGTCAACATCAACTTGTCGGATAATTATCTCTTCACCAGATAGCAATCAGTTATTCAATTGCAATTCTCATGATTTGATTCTTGTGCATTGTGTCCTTGGGGACCATGGACAACTAGTATCGGTGTTCATGTACCAGTCTATCCTTCCCCTGTAACACAGTGCGAAAGTGTGACATATCTGTAGCGGTCTGCGGACTGCGTATCGATGAGCCGGGCTCTCTGACCATCTACCTCAATCTTCAAGAGGCGGGTAGGCCTACCCTCTGCCACCTTCGGAAGGGTGGTGTACTTTTTGTGGGTGTCAATACAGTCCTGGACCCATTGCTTTGCGAGATCTAAACATGGAAATCTTTTTCATTCTTTTTGAACAAAATCAGAGGGCGTCACGAGTTGGATTCACTAGACCCAGGTCTTTTAGTTATAGAGAGCCAATGGGTGTGGTATGGGTTCCGGGATGTTGAAATCCTCATCAAGGCACATACCAGCATCACAACTGACATAGAACTGTATGTCTCCTTTGTGATAATTAGATTTCACATTATCTAGTGGATACTTGGCAAGCAATTACATTTTATAAATGCTCGCATATTTTTTATTTTGTTTGCACAAGGACAAATAGCATTTGACCTTACACTACACCGGATCCTGATGAAGTGTCGAGATTCTATAGTTATATGTATGAAGAAAAATCATGCCTCCTTTCCTGCAGTCTGCGCTATAGTGTCTTTGCCCCTTTCGCTTTTCTCAATTTTCCTGAGATCTTGCCACCCCATTCCCCAGAGGACGATTCCGCCGACAGAAGCCATAGCAGCAACCAGGTAAAAGACCTGATCGATACTGTTGGCATAAGCCACCAAGACTCCTGGCAGGTCAGCAGGTTGCACGATGGCCCGGAACCCCGTAGCCCCCGCCTGGATGATGGCATCCGCATCAGCGTGCGGTGACTCCCGGGGGAGCTGGGCCCTGAGACTGGCGTCAAAGAGGACGTTACACAGGGCCAGCGCTATGGCCGGACCTAGGGCCTGGGCAAATACTAGGAAGGCCATTGCCGTGGCGAGTTCTCGCTCGGACACGGCTGCCTGCACCGCAATGATGGCCTAGGCCACAAAAACAAGCACAACGTCTCTCCTCGTCAGTATGAATGCGTACTTAGACCAGCATGACCCATGCAGGGAAATGTTGATCGATTTAAGGGAGGAGAGAGGAGGAAGGACAGACCAGTTGCATACTGGCACCTGTGCCGATTCCTGCCATGAGTTGGAACCCGATCCACATGCCGCTGGCTGTGCCAGGCTGCAGCAGTGAATATAACCCACTGCTGACGGAGAGAAGAACGGTAGAGAAGATAGCAATGGGAATGACTAATCCAATTCTTGTCACTTTTAGAATGGATGATCAGCAAGAAGCAACCGCAATGTCGGATGAACCATTTACAGGGGGCTTACACAAGATGCCTGCTAGGACTGGCATGACAAGCTGCGGTAGTATGGTCGGCAGCAGGTACACCCCGCTCAGCATCGCCGTAGCATTATTGATAGCCTGGAAGTAGATTGGGAGAAAGTAGGCGCCCCCATACATGGCAGCGAAACGGGAAGCTTGGTAGAGACCTGCCGACCAAACTATCCTCCGTCCGACCAAGGAGCCTGGAAGTAAGGCTTCGTCTCCCTTATGACGGTTCCAAAAGAACCAGACAGTGAGGGTGGCACCGGAGCCGCAGAAGAGGCCAATCACCTGTGAGGAGCCCCATGGGTGCTCGTTCCCGCCGTACTGGAGTGCGAGGAGGAACTGTAACACTGCAGGGGCAAACAACGCAAAACCAATCAAGTCCAGATAGTGGTGTAGCTTCGGGAGGACGACCAAGGCCCTTGGCTTGGTCGTTTGCTCTGGTATTCTAAGCATACCAAGGCCAAGGGCCGCCACAGCTCCGATCGGAAGGTTGACGTAAAAGCCTAAATGCATGTAAATTTATTGTGTTAACCTTGTTGATTGACGAGGCGGCGGATATGAGGGAGGCCAACAAGACCCAGTTCACAAAGTACGAGAGAACGAACGAATATATTGTACTTACACCATCGCCATGTGCTGTACGAGGTGAAGACGCCTCCGAGAAGAGGCCCAACAACTAGGCCAAGAGAGTTTACTATTATTGTTTCATCCATCCCCAAGGTAAGCATGAACGTCCATTTAGCGTGTAAGCAGGTTTGCTCATTACTAAGAAGGTAATTGCTCACAACCAATACTTAGACCAATGAGAGCTGTCGGCAAAAAGAAAGAAAAAATAATTGTCAGTTGTCAATCCTCGGGTTACCGTACCCATCGTCCCCACAACGGGTGGGTTGCTGAACGTCAACGCTGGGACTCACCTGGGCGCCTCGCCATGGGAGCACAAGCGGATATAATGGTAATGGAACCGTTGATGAGGCCTGCGGCCCCGATCCCAGCAACAGCACGGCCGACGATGAGCATGTTTGACGACACAGCGGCCCCGCACAACACCGAGCCCAGCTCAAAGACGCCGAAGAAAAACAGAAATGACCACTATGTACCCATACGGTCAGTAAACAATAGCAGGACAATACTGATAGCATGGTTTCCAAGAAATTATACACAAGTACGTACCTTCAGATTGAAGTGCGTATATATCTTTCCTGTGAGCGGCTGAGGGGCAGCGCTACGGCGGATCGAATTAGGCCGGCATTCTCCTCAAAACTATATAGCCAGGTAGGCAAATGAAAGAGGAAAAATAAAATGAGAGGCGAGAAATAAGAAGAGAAAGGTAAAAACACACCTGCCGAGTTGATAAGCACTGGCATACCAACCAACATCAGGCAGAGAGTTGAAGGTATCTGTGATGCGTGGGATAGCCTATGAAAGCGTCAACAGGTTTCGTCCTTGATGCATGGTTGGTCATCAACAAAAACAATAATATATATGTATATAAAATGATATGTGCAGCTGAAGTTCCGCGGACACTTACCGTACTGATAATCATGGTGTCCACCAGCATCAAGAAACAAGCGAGAGATACGCTGCCTATAATGACTGCCAGTCTCACGCCCGTAACATACCCTTCTTCTGTATCATCTATAAGTACCACCGGGGAGCTTGTCGCGTTGTCATCGGCGCTGCTTTCTGGTGGTGTTGCCGGCTTCCTTGTCTCCGGGACTGTGGACATTGTCTCCATGGGACCGAGGGTGGCGGTCTCCCTATCCTCATCTGGGCCATTGTCGTTACTGGGATGGAATTAGAATATAATGATACGACGGAATCTGCAGCCTCTGAGGTGCATAATACTCGCCTCATCTCTGCTGCGGGATCAATATGCATGCTCCTAAAATACGTCCGTGGGCACACACACATAGGGCACAGTTCCGCACACCAAACAGACGTTGTTGAGCGAGTATGTATGAGTCAGTTATTAAAGAAAAATGGAACAAAGAAGCCCCTATAGTCACGCTCTGATGGAGCAAGTGATTCGTATTGTCTGTCATGGGGAAGCGGCTCCAAGGTCGATGGGTCAGACTCCGAGTTATGTTGGCAACCTACACACCACTTCGCAACCCGACGCAATATGGATTGGACCGATGTACCATAGAACGGAGGTCATACTGGCCTTGCTCCATGCATGTATACCACTCTTGATAGACACACACCCCGTTCTTCAAGTTCTTGGGCTCACTTGGCTCTTCGGCCTTTCGCATTGTCACCGGCCAAAGAGGCAGGTCGACCGCGGACGATAGCACTTCAGGTGCTTACCATGATCTTGAAATGAACTCTCACAGACTTGGAAATGCCAAAATGAAGGATTCGGCTCAGTATCGAGACAATAGCTCACAGAGCCTTGTGACTGATGACTGGGCTGCAGTCAGAGATTCTGGCACAAAGTAGCCAAAGGGCCGGTAAGAATTGCAGAGTGATCAAGACCTCGGAACTTAGTCATAGCCAATGTATTCCTGTATGGCCTTTAGAACGGCAGTGGAGTAGGGAGGAGCAGAGCTTGGGTATCATACATAGTTACAGCAGTATTTCAAATCGATCTGTGGTTGGCATTGCAGTGGTTCTGAGATTTTACTAAGCTTTCCCAGGGACAAGTGATGTTCAGACTTTATTAAATATGTGTAGGGAACTATTACCTAGCCATTTTACCCTCGATTTCAGTTCCAAGAGGGTGTCTCCTGTGAGACCGAGTCGCTGTGGGCATGCCGACAGGCACTCAGCAGTTATCCATGGCAGCGGCAGTGTGGTCGAAGCACTGCAGGAAGCCGTTCGAGTCCTGGATGATTGTGCCCTCGTCTGATTACGCCACAATTGTTAGCGACTTCCCAAGATGAATCTATAATCAACTATCAAGTTATGGGTCTCCTCGACTTACTGAGATCGATCTCGACCTCGCCGTAGATCAGCTTTCCATTGTCCTCGTAAGCAACACAGGTACAGTACTTGACCGTAGGGTCAGGAGAGTTGGTCGCGCCGCAATCTGTACAGTAGCGGCCGAAATTGCCACTGGTGTAGATGTCATTAGTAGGTGCTCATATGGACGATTTCTTGCTCTCTAAAGGGGTATAAAGTGATTTTCTTACCCGTTACTTCCGACAGCGATAGATGGATTATCCACAGAGCTGCCCAGCTGGAGTCGGTAGCACAGGTTGAGATTGAGCTCGCTACACTGGGTGGCTGTGTTCTCTCGGTTCTGACACTTGGCAGTCAGAAAGATGGGCGAGCCAGCACCATCGAACTTCACCTCCAGGTCGGTGCAAGTGTGGTCGATGGCAGCAGTGGTGAGGTGCGCCAGCAAGCCACAGGCGAGGTAGGTTTGGGTGAGAATGTACTTCATCTTGACTTTGCTCGGGTTGTGTGTAGCTTTGGTGTCCACTACTTGGTTCTGAATTCGTTGATGTTCAAGCAATCTTTTCTGAGAAGGTTTTTGCAGAGAAACTTCCGCATATATATATAGAGGATATGAGCAGCAAAATTGCAGGAAGCATGTGACATTCGTTGTTGTGGCTGTCTCTATGCACTGACCAGCTGCCTTCACCAGATTCACATGGCAGGACAAATACTTCAAGGTCTGAAAGTCACAAGCCAATTGACTTAGTCCTTTCACATTTGTTAGTAATAAGTCAGGGAAATTAGAGTCATACATCAAAATGATATTCACACATAACACTGAGTTTATCTGAGACCTCATGCGTCTTCAATTGCTCATTACCTTATGATGAAGCACGTCTCCCTGTTGAAATATAGCACCATGAATAAAAAATGTACATGCTTTTGATCATGGTCAGCTCATTCTATCACTCCTTGATCGAGGGAAGTTGAGTCCATACTCTCAATAGAGTATCAGAATGATGTTTGCCCAGTATGTCACAGCAGCTCACCGATCTTCATTTTCGAAACTCAACCTCATGCATGCCCTCGAGACCATTTACCTGTATGGACCTTGACATGATATGCTTGCCGTATCATTCATCACACGGCAGTGACTTCAGTGGCATTTTGCTGCCGACCTGCTCTCCATTCCATCAAAATCTTCCTTCGCGCCTCCTCTCCAGCCAATCCCATCTTGACCTCCACATGGGTCGTCTCAAGATCGTTATGGCGGATGAGCAGGCCAAACAAAATTCCCACGGCAGCGAAACACACCGCAACAACCCAGATGTTCCTGATAGCCATCCAATACACCTGGCGCACGATGCTTCTCTGCGAGCTACTCAGGGTCCCAATCTTCAGGACGTTGGCTTGCGCGCTCGCGCCGGAGAAGAGCTGGGCGGTCGACGCCCCCAGCAGCTTGACGAGCGTTCCCTGCTGGGCGTCCATCTTGTTTGCAAAGGTGGCCGAGCCGATGACGACCCCAATGGCGTTCGCAACTGCTCGGACGAGGAAGAAGGAGGACGTTGCCGTGGCATTATCCTGGGCGGAGAGGTTGCCCTGCAGTGCAATCAGGGGAGGCTGGAAAAGACACCCGATACCGAGGCCGGTGATGAGCTGGTAGATGATAATCTTGGGCCACATTCTTGAGTCAGGGAGGTTATAGAACAGCCCAAGGCCAAGTATCATAACAGAGAAGCCGAAATAAATGCAATCGAGGTAGCGGCCTTTCTTCTTAACGTAGTTGTTGGCAGCCACCTGGCCCGTAGACATGGTTAAGGCGAATGGCAGTATGAGTACACCGGAGAGGAGCGGTGAGGCACCGAGGACGGACTGGCAGTAGAGTGGCAAGAAATAAGTATTTTCTGTCACAACCGCGCCATGAACGAGGCCAATAACGAGGATGGCCAGGTTGTGCACGTTGGCGTACAGGTGGGCCGGGACGATAGGGTTCCGAGCAAAGTGCCACTCGATGGTAATAAATGCTGCGAGGACGGCTAAGCCAAAGACCAACAAGCAGATGACGGTCGCTGACGACCAAGGGTGGCTGGTTCCGCCGAACTCGAGTCCTAAAAGGAACATTAAAAGGCCCCCGACGAGCGTGATGGTGCCAGCCCAGTCGATGGCCTTGAGGCCGGAGATCATCGGGGTGTGTGGAGTCTCCAACTTCAGCATATAAGCAATCACAATGAAAGTCGCTCCAGAGATGGGGACTGACGGTGGTTCAAGTCAGTCATGGAGTCCAAAGGGGAGAATTGTCTAGTCCATATTAAGCAATTCAAGATAGACTCACGATTGATATAGAAACACCACCTCCATGATGCGCCTTCAGTCAAACCACCACCTATCAGTGGCCCGAGTGTGTTTGCAATACTCCAAACAACACCCGTGATGGCATAGTATTTGCCCCGTTCCCTTGTAGTAAGCCATGTCAGCCTCAACCCGTGTTTGACAGTGTGTAACTACTACATTCAGGTGCTGACTCACCTTGGAGAGAAGAGGTCTCCAACAACGATGTTGACCAAAGAAACAATACCTCCAGCGGGCACACCCTGTGTTACTCTGCCGATCAAAAGCATCGGGAGACTCACGGCAGTTGCGCATAACGTACTGCCCAAAAAGAAAATGGCGACGGCAACGAGAAGAATAGACTTTCGACCCCAAATATCACTCAATTTGGCCCAAATCGGAGCTACAACAGCCCCTGACAACATGAAGGCTGAGCCCACCCAGGTAAAGGCTGATGTGGATTGGAAGTGGTCTGCAATTGTTGGTAGCGCTGTGGTCACAATGGTTATATCGAGGGCAGCCAGGAAAACGGCCATCTATCAAGACAAATTTTAGGGTTTTTCGCAAGGATGAGAGTGCAGGGAAACTTACGCAAAGTGTGGTTATCATAATAACCATCTCAAGACGTGACCGATCTTTCCTAGCTTCATTTTGCTCACTCATGTTGGGATCATCACTGCCAGCCACGAGTTCGAGCGCGTTGGGGCCAGGTTCAGCATAGGTTAAGGCTGCCAGGGTCGGAGGATTTTCGGACGAATTATTCGACATCGAGCCCATAATGGCTATTCAGGAATTGTTCGTTTGGTGCAGGCTTGACGACACTGGTCTGGAGATTGACTTTGTGGCACATGGGTACAACCTCCTCATATAGGGTAAAAGTTTTTGTGGAGGGGCCAGAATGGGGTTCGTAAGTCGAAATGGCGCAACCCACCCATGATTGCTTGCGAGTCTCACAGCCGGTTACCGCAGCGGGCCCACGGCATCTGCCATGGGGTTGTCGGTAACCTATGCAGCGGTATGCGGCGGTCGGATAAATCTGTCATCCTCGGAGTGGATGTGGACTTGGTTCCACAACGGTGTCGCGCTCTTTGGCAGTAAGCATGGTCACATTTGTTATGCCCTAGACATCCATACCACTCTGATCATTTATAATGCGAAGCGTGATACTGTCTCGCGATTTGCTGCACTTCGGTTCCGCTCCTCATTAACCTTGGCTTTATGTTCGAGTTGCGACGGTAGTCTTGCGTCTTGACTTCTTCTTTCTGTTGGACATCAACTTCGAAAAGTACGGGTTATATGAATACTTAACTAGTTACCCAACTGCTCTGACGCACTAGAATCAACGACCCGGCCTGTGTATTGGGTTTACCTTTTTGGAACTCATGCAAGGGCCGTGTTACTCGGCCCTGCAATGATAGCTATGATAGATTTCACTACTGTGTCACTCCAATGACTCGACGAGGTTGCCCTGATGGCGACAGATTATAGCGCGTGCTTATTTACAGGATGACTGGTAGGTAGCCTGCGTGGGTTCAGGTTGGACAGTGACCGTCGGGCAAAGGGGCAACTCTATGCTTCATATGCTGAAGACAGCCATTAGCACCGCCCACTGTAGCAAGCGATAACCTAGTGCTGGTGGAACAAGTAGCTGAAGCACCTGCTGGTGGAGATAATCAGCTGGCTGGAGCCGAGCTGACAGAAAGGTTGCATATCAGCCTGTTGGAAGCAGCATGTCTTGCGAGAACCCATGCCTGATTCGTCGATTTAACGTGTAGGATCTTACGTCGCATAAGATTGAATAAGATGAGGCAAAAGAATACGTTGAAAACTGTCCGTATGCTGCATAAGCATAGTAGCCATAGCTCGGTGCTCGGACATCATCACTTCCACTGTAAGCACTTACAGCAGACGTATCAGAATAGGTAAATTAATCGTTATCCTAAATAAGTTTCATATCTGTCTCTGTTTTGCAACAAGCTGAAGCAGCTGCAACATCCACTCAACCTGGGAGCAGCAATCACACCATGACCACCAAGCCGTCAAACGCCCCATGGGCCGATGAGCCCTTTCACCTCATTACGCTGCCGTCTAAGCGACCTGAGCTCGTAGTATGTACTGTACGAGAAATATGTGAGCTGAGATGAAACAATAGCTAATCATCGGCTACCATCCCAGGATGAGAAGCACGCATATATACATGCATCATCTGAGATGGTCCATGTGCACAATGTGGTCATCCGCGGCCTGAATACCATCCTGCAGCAAGCACCATACGTCAAGACAAGCACCGACACTGCTTACAGCCAGAAGGATGTCCAGGATCTACTCTTCTACATCACGTCCTGGGTCAAGATGGTCGAACACCACCACGACGTCGAAGAGTCCTTCATCTTCCCCGAGATTGAGAAACTCGCCGACAGGCCTGGTCTGATGGACGACCCCAAACACCAACACGAGCTGTTCCACGGCGGCATGGTACGGTTGCTTGAATATACACAGTCAACACGGCCGCAGGATTACCGGTGGGCTGGGTCCGGCGGTATGAAGGAGATTGTGGACTCGTTCAGCAAGGAACTGACGGATCATTTGTATGCGGAAATAGAGGTCTTTTTATCTTTGAAAGACCTAGATAGTGCTAGGTTGAGGAAGATCTGGGATGATGGTGAGGCGATTGCCAAAAAGAGCACCACTCTGAGCAACCTGGTAAGAAGAGCTTCCCCCCCCCCCCCCTTCCGAACCTGGCGACGAAGAAAGAGCAGGAGAATGGCCCCAATGTACGTGCCGCATCACTAACGTGGAACAGGCCAATGTCTTCCCCTGCGTACTTGGATGCGCCGACAAGACTTACGAGGGTGGAAATAACTTCCCTCCTCTTCCTTCGTTTCTGCCTTATCTCTTCAAGTATGGCTTTGCTGCTGGCAATGGCGCGTGGCGTTTTAACCCTTGCGATTTCTGGGGCCAACCTCGACCGCTGGCCTTTGGACCAGGCCAACAGGGTTGAAGGCAGGAAAGAGGTGTGGAAGTAATCTGAATACTTATTATGCGCAGGATACTGTGAAGGAAGGTGCTCGGCCGTAGACGTGAAATGATAGAATTAATACATGGCTCTGAGAACAACTCAAACTTCAAAATCCAGTACAACAACGTCCCGCTTGCCGTCGGGTCCGCCAGCATCTTTCCTGATGAACAGCGACAGAACTTTATCCGTGGCTAGCCTAGGATTGTCGATAAGCGGCTCGCCTGTGAGTCCTTTCCCGACCCAGACTTTTTGGTAGCTTCCATAAGAGTCGCTTTTCAGCGCTCGGAGGATCGTCACGGTGGGGATTGTCGTCTCTGGCAGAATGAGAAGCAGGTCATTGTCTCTGGTGATGCCTAGCCTGCCTCGTCGTGGTCCATCAATGGGTCGGATAGCTCTCGAGGTCCATTGCCCTTTTTGTCAAATCCAAGTCAGCCACGGCATGATCTCGCGAGCCGCACATGACATGAAAAAGCCAGAGAGAATTACGTACCTGTCGGAGAACGGTAGTAATGTTTCCAAATATGAGTCCCCTCCAATATCTCCCTGTTCAAGACATGCACGCCCCCGTCGTAATCAACCACCTGCGACTCTTGGTTCATCAGCCCGCTCCCCTTGGGGATCTCAAAGGCCACGATACCCTCCGCGTCGTTCTTGATAGTCTGGCCTTGCTTCAGGTCTGCAATAACATCCCCCTTCCCATTTCGCCAGGTGTAACCCAAGTCCTCAGAGTAGGCATAGCAGATGTTGTGATTATTCTCGGCCCCGTTTGGCCCGGCCTGCTGCTTGTGCTTCGTGTCGGCCAGGTCATCCCATCCTTCGTACCAGACGAAACCGCGGTACACCCATGTGACGTGCAGCTTGCCGTCTCGAAAGTCCCAGCCGTGCACGTACGGGTTACTGTCGACACCCGTCAGCGGTGTGCCGACAAATTCCCAGAATCCCTTGTCCGAGCGGTACAGGTAGAGGTGGTCGGAGCCGAGTCCGGCTTTGCCGTCGCGGAGGGACATGAACAGTACGCCTGGACCTAGGTTGCCGAGGCGTGGGTATGTCACATAGCTGAAGTGTTTGTGGCTGCTGGGGAGGCCTGGAAGGTAGTCCAACGTCGGCATGAAGAGAGAGGCATTCCATTCGTAAGCTGTAGGGTTTTGGGCCAGTCCTCGGACTGAGTGTCGATATCGGAGACTTTGATTTGGTTAGAATGGCAGAGGACGAGGCGTATAAATACGCTCTTAGGCTCTGCTTACACATCACAATGATGGTCATATGAGAGATGAATAGTCCCATCCTCATGACATATGCCTATCTGTACTGTGTTGTGGCCGTCGTCCGTCTTTTGCGGGTAATCCTCAAACACAATGGATTCCCACGGCCCATCGGGTAGACATCTTCTAGAAAGATGAATAAAGAGTGGCTCAGGCGTCTCTGGTCCTGTACTGCTGTAGAACACAGCATACTGCCAGCCATTGAAGGAAGTAAGGGCATCCTGCTGAAATGCATAACCATTTATGGCATGTGTCCGATGTGCTGGATCTGGGCCCAGGATCGTAACGGTAGGCTCGTTTAGCATGGTGTCTGCCTCTGTGCTTGGTAATTAGATGCTGGTAGTCGAGGATGCAGTACAGGCTGAAAAAACTTCCGAAAGGAGTGTGCAAGGAACACTTCGCATCACCTTTTAGATTGCAGGGGTCTTATGATTGATCCGAGGACGAGAGCCTCATGTGTTGTCTGTGAAGGTGCCTTTCCTACGGGTTAAGCTGCGGGGGGCCGAGAGAAGTTGCAAGGCGCTGTTTTCATTCGTGGAGAAACCGATGGCTAGCCTGAGTACCGTTCTTCAGTTCTTCTTGTTCATCCGCCATCATATACTGATATTGTCCATGAGCACAAGCGTCCTACAATGATTATTATAGCTGCACAACTTTAAGATGACCAGTATTTACTCGATATACTAAGCGATCTTTCAAGAAAACGCCTTGGGGCTGTAGAGTGAGGAGCAAATCATCAAACGCATCCCCGGCAGGCCCAGGAAAAAGGAGTGGGAACACACTCGGTCCGCAACGGCCCGATGAATCGTCAAAGGAGCGAGCTGTTGACAGGACGAAGCAGTTCAAGTACAATATGACAAATAGTAGTAAGAAAAGGTGCGTAGGGTCTTTGGGTCGTGTGTTTCCCGCTGCCAAGCTTCCCCGCAGAACAATCGGCCTGTTATTTCAGTAGCTAATGGGGAAATTCCTCCGCTTCACCAGATTCGATCCAAGGGTCCAGGGGTCAAAAACTAGACTCATCGAACCTTTGGAAGGGGTCGGTTCGCCTAATCAAATTCGTAACTCAAGGAGAGAGGCTATATTGAGAGTTGCGCTACAGAGGGAAGAGACGAAGGAAGGAAGGCCAGCCAGGTGGCCGAGGCTACCAGGTGAGCACACGACAGTGAGTCAGTGGCCCTCGCACAGAAAATGTTGGGAGCAACATTCGTATAGTAGGGTCTTAAAGCAGCAGAACCGCACGAGTATCTAGACGACGTCTCAACCTCATGTCTCTTGAAATGAAGGGCTTGAAGTCTATGACATAAGGCTGACAAAACAGACATTTCGCAATTTAGGGTTCTGATATGCTGGGACCAGGAGGGGCTGCAAATCAAGCCCTCAAGTAAACTCGGCCTGCTATGTGCGTCTGCAGTCTCATCACACCCTACCAAAGACTAAAGTACAGCCGTGCCCATCACCATACACGATGCAGGCGATCCAAAGCAGCATTCAGGACGCTCAACGCCGTCGTGGTTCCAGGGTCTTCGCACCAAGACGCGCAACAACCAAGTCCATCTCGGGAAAGTTCATGCAGATGGTGGCGCTTGCAGGTGTAGTTGAGGTTGGCATCGTGGGGACGAAGCCATTTCGGTGCAAGCCGCTAGCATGCCAGGCTTCCTGCCTCCGTTTAAGGAATGGATGAAGTCTTCTCTTGTTTGCGGCGCACGGGACTCTTCGGTGATCGGAGGCGTGATCACGCTTACGCTTTTCATCGACGCCTACCACCTCGGTACGCCAAACTCTCTTGTGGAGCAGAACCTCTCGGCCAATATCATATCCACCTTGCAGGCTGTCTGCTTTGTCGGCGCCCTCGCTGCCTCGCCGCTCACGGACCGCTGCGGTCGCAAGTGGTTGCTGGTTGCCAGCACCATTCTGATCATAATCGGCGTCATCCTACAGGCTGCGGCGTCAGGGAGTCTAGCAACCATGTACGTTGGCCGCTTCATTGGCGGCATGGGTGTCGGGGCCGCGAGTGCAATCAACCCTCTGGTCGCAATGTAAGTTTCTTTCCCGCCACTGTCTTTTTTTTTTTTTTTTTTTTTTGTTCATCGAAGTGGAGCAGGATCTGACGATAGAACACGGGTTCTTCCAGTTTGAATGGGGTCCGGCTTGCTGGATTTACGCTTCCGAGATTCCCACCGCCCGGCTCAGATCGATGAATCTCTCGTACGCTGCTGCAACCCAATGATTGTTCAACTTCGTTGTAAGCACGGCCGTGCCCACAATGCTGAAAACCGTGGGTGCTCATGGCTATGGGTGGGTTTCATTAGCATTGTCAAATTGTTGAAACATCCGCTGATATCAAGCAAAGAACGTACTTCGTATTCGGAAGCTTTTGCTTCACCGCGTTCTTCTTCGTTTGGTTCCTGGTCCCGGAAACGAAAGGTCTGTCTCTCGAGGCCATGGAAAAGCTGTTTGGATGTCACGGAATATGACAAACCCGACCTGGTCGCAGAGCCTGAGTGGTGGAGGCCAAGAAGCAAGTAGAAGCAGCAGAGATTGAGGTCCGTTAGGGCCGTCAGAGAAACGGTGTGCAGATGCCAGCAGGGCAGTCCAACTTCAATTTTGTCAGGCTCAGCCGTGCCATGAGACCACTTAACGAGTGTCCAGGAACCACCTCGAAGAGGTAGCCTTGGTGACTCAAAGTATCTGCTTCGAATGAGCATGAGTAGCTCGAGTGATTCTTATCGGAAAACCGCGGTATTATCTCGTCTCCGCATCCTCGCCCACAGTATAGCCCTTAGCGATACCACCTCTCCCTTCCTCTATCGTAGCGGCCCGTTCATCATCAAAGTCGCTTCCGAGACCTTGCCATGTCCTTTGCGAACGCAGATACTGGGCTCCAGGGCTCAAGACACCGTTGATTGTCGCCAGCTCCGCTTTCGGGCGCAGAGCTAGAGCCCCCGACTCGCTGCGTGTATTCTGGCTCGCATCTTGCTCCTCCAGCTGGGCAGCCTTACGCATCGGCCGAGCGGAAGAGACGAGCTTGCCAGTTCGCAAATCAAATACCGGCACGTCCGACTCGTCCTCTTCAACCTCGACGCCACTGTCTCCAGTGGCAGCTTCGTCTGGCTTCTTCCCGCTTCCTGCACTTGGCTCTCCTTCCTCGACAGCCTTGACGCTCTCAATCCCGCCCCACCAACTCAGGCCCCAAATCCGCTCCTCGTCAGGCATGAGGGCGACTTCCAGCTCAAATGGTGTCAGGACGGGCTGGAAGAAACCAGCATCTTCTTCCACCAGACTGCTCTCCCAGCAGCCGACTATGACCCATCCTTCGATCTCGGAGAAGTTTGCCAGCTTAGCCGGGTTCAGTTTTCCTACAACGACAGTATAGCTCTTCTTCCCGGCTGCGGCGATCTGCTTCCGAATGGACTCGATAGATGACAAATAGTTGGCTACTGACAAGGTGTTGACCAGAATGCCTATTATGCCAGCCGATGTCAGGTTCAGAAGCTTAGCATACCGGCGACCCAAGAGGCCTCGTGTCGTACGCGTCGGAGAGTAGTAAGGAGCGGATTCCGAGTCTGCCGTCGCGAAGATATGAAGAGAGGCAACCCGAGAAGAAAGGGCGAGTAGGAGCGCTGCCGGTGGTGACGAGACATGGAACACACTATATTCCTTCAAATCGATGCCTTCTTCCTCTTCGGTAGCCATTTCCTGCTCTTCTGGGTTTATGATGGTTCTGTTCGGTATGCTTCCGAGCGGATTGTGTTTTATCCTCGTCGACAACAGTTCTGTGTATCCCCTCTCCCGAATGCGCCGGTATAGCTCGTCCACATGGTCTTGATATGCAACGTCGGCCATCAGCACCACCTTGGCTTCTTCTTCGGGAAATTCTGCCTCGAACGACTGTACCGCCGCATCCATGTCGAGATTGTGTCTGGTGAAAACGTAGATGACGGGGAGTCTTGAGGTGGGAGACAGACATGACCGGCCATAGTGCACCACAACGTCGGCGTCGACATGTTCGGCAGCAATCTCGTCGACACAGCAAGCGCTGTAAGAAGTGTCTGCAAGTATCCATATCCTCTCCTCCGAGGGTGGTGTGCCCTCCGCCTTCTGGCCTACTCTTGCTCCATCAAGTTCTTTTCGTAACAACTCGACAACCTTGGGTGCATCTCCGAGCATATGGTCGGGGAACTGCAGGGCAATCCTCTTCTTGCCCTCCTCTCGACATTCTTTAGCGGTCCGTTCGACCTCGTAGATGTCTCGAAGCTCGTCGTCCGACCGCGCGTTGACCGAGGTCGTGTCTGGCTTCTGGTATTCGAATAAGTGGTCCTCTGGTGTTGAGAGCACGGGCGCCGCCGTGAGCTCCTCTGCCATATTGTGTTTTCAGGAGAGAGTGGAAGGGGGTAGGGTATCGATCTTGGAAGCTCTCTGTTGCGGTAAGTCGTGTGTATAATGTCGATCCAGAAGTTTGGAAGTTGGAGTTCATGGCGGGGGCGGGGCAGGAAATTTTCAGCGGATCAGATCTCGAATCGGCGCCGTCATCATTGGTAGACATGACCTGACAGGGGACGTGGAACCGCTAATCTCAGGGTCTAGGCACCCCGAAAGCTTATAATCAGCCCTACAACTATTTATGTATGTACAGAACTATGGTACTCATCTGCTCTCTCGTAATAGTGCATGCTCCTCTGCGCAGTCCCACAGAATATTGCAATCACTACATCCAAGAACAAGTTGGTAACAATGACTACGAAGACGATACTACAACCTAATGTTTTGTTTGTTTGATTGACGCTTGTTGTAACCAGTGTGGCGTCAACTATGTCGTGATCCCTGCTCCTTGGGTGTTTACCGATTGGGCCAACGAATCATGTCGTGGAATATTGTTGACTTTGGAGGTTGAGGCTTCTCAACGACTTTCCGTTGCACCACCTCACCTCACCTCGTCTTGCCTCGCGTCTCTGTCCCTTGTAGATTACTACTCCCAAGCCTAAACGTCGACACCCGATACTTGAATTCTACCTTCAAATCTCTTTACATGGAACCCACCAACAGTTCGAGGCCTTCGTTGCCTCCGTCCCACATCTCCGTCTCAAGCACCGTGTCGCCAGTATCCTCTCAACCAGAAGACACCATGTCTCGACATTCGACTTCTTCAGGCCCTCCGTCACCTTTACTCCAGCAGCCTAGTCAACCCATGGGAAACCTTGACCTCCAAGGCGTATCCTCAAATGCCATTTCCTCTCCGGCGCACAACACAGACCACCTCGCAGAAGATGAAAAGACCAGCAGCCGCACGTCCCGTTTTGTCGGCAACATGCTTGTCTCTCGTATAGGCCGCGCCTCCTGGCAGAGTCTAGAGTCCACTGCCCGCCTCCCCTTCTACCTCTCGCCCTGGGGCGACAACCATCCCTTCACCCTGCCCAACCTACGGAAGCGCGACCTCGCCCTCGCAGGCGTCGCACACTTCGGGCTCGACGCGCTGGGCGCCAGCGCAGTCACCGTTGTCGAGAGCGCTATGGCACACGCCGTGTCCGCTACTGTCGAGCAGACGGCCGACGAGGGGCTCTCGAAAGTGACGGGCAAGATGAGCAAGGGCCATTTGGTCCAGCGCCGGGTCGGTATGAACAGCCTGACGCTGCGAATCAGGCACAAGCTGATCGGCGAGGCCGCCGAGCTGGTCTTCCAGGGCGTGCGAGACACGGATGACCGCATGGCGTGCGCCAAGGGGTGGTTCTGTCCCTACTTGTACGCCTCGGGCCGCGAGCCTGAGATCGCACGAGCCAAGGATTTTGCCATGGCCCAGCTCTTGACACCGAGGCTGGCGGCGGATGCGAGCATTGCGCCGACGCTGCTCTCGTCATTGGTGGAATCGGACACGCCTGTTGTGTCGCCTTTCGGGTGCTCGTGGGAGGATGCGTCGTTCAAACCTGGCTTCTCGTTTCCCAAGTTCAAGAGGATGGCCATCTTCTTGACGGGCATCTCACCGTACCGTTACATCACTACGCAGTCAGCGTGGTCCCACTCGAGAATACCGAATGAGGCGCGCATTACTTTTCACTTGTTCACGCATGTGCCGGCCATCGTGCTGCCGGTTAGGGACCAGTCGCCGATCATGGCGTGGAGTCCGTGGACGGTAGCGCAGATGTTGGAGAAGAAGTCTCGTTATGACATTCGAAAGCATGTGGGCGAGCTGCTCGACTTTATCGGCACAGTCATCGACGAAGACGCGGCACAGAGCAGTCTCGGATCTTCTGAACATGGATGGCGCGACATCATGGAGGGTTGTCTACATTCCATGCTTAGCGCTGTCCTCAATGTTCCAGATGCCATCCGTGAAACTGCCAAAGAGTGCTGTGAGCTGGAAAGGACAGGTGTCGTCGCTTTCAGATATTAGTCCTCAGGTAGTATCGTCATCTTCAACTAATAAACCCTCAACCGTGCTTTGAGATACCCGTGTATCACTTGAAGAAATTGCTTGCAAATGCACCTGAGGCATTTCCCGTGAACATATGCGAATCGTTCCTGGCTTCTTGGGTCCCAACGCTGACCGCAAGTGCATCGCCGTGAAAATCAACGTTTCCCGTGAGCATCTTCGCTCTATCAAAAGCACGCGCGTATTTTCCTGTTGTTCCTGCGTGTCTGCTTGCTTCCCTGACGGCAGGCTCGTACACTTCCAAGCGCGCTTTAAGCATTTTATCCTGCTCTTTCAACGCATCAAGTAAGTCGTTCACGTCCTCATTGACAGCTCTCGGAGCAGACACTGATAATGCCTCCATAGATAGCTCCAAGCCGCGTATCTGACTACTGATGTCGCTGAGGGAGGAGGCGTAGGTCGAAGCAAAAGTATCGAGGGCATCACGGGTCTGATTCGCGGTTCGCCTGCAATGCAGTACGATGTCAGCTCACCGTCGAGTCATCCTTTTTCATGCCAAAGAAGCCCCTCACAGATTGGCAAACCCCAAGGCATCACTCAGGGTCCGCTGGCATTGCGCCAAATTCTCTTTGAGGAGGCGGATCTCGCTGTCATTGAAGTTGAGCCGAAGCCGATCCCGCCAGGCCATGTGATTCTCGTCAGAGTGTGAGGTGAGCTCAGAAACTCTCTTCGTAAATTTGTTACAGATGTCCCTGCAGTAGAGCATCACAGGCTCCAGCGCCCTCAGATTGGCCAGCTGGTCCGGCGAGAGAGCCGCGTCTTCACGGTTAACGAGATCTTCTTCGAAGGGTTTGATCACTTTCTGGAATGCATCGAGCGACGTTTCGAGATCCTTTAGTTTGCTCGGCGCGCGCTTGATTCCCTTGATCGTGTCGTTGAGGGTTTTACAGCTGTCGAATGTGAGACGAGTGATGCCAATCACACTTGCTGTGATACTAAGAGGCTCGATCGGCATAGTTCCAAGTTGTTGGCCCCTTGGATGTTTTATAGCTTCCCAAAGTCTTCTCTAGTCTAATGGTACAAACAGACTTTGATACTATAGATAAAGTGCTGTCTGCCAGGCCTGGACCGCTTCCAAGATTGTCAAGCCATTTTACTATGGTGCCATGCGTGATGTGGCTCGCTGCAAGATGACATGCTTTAAAGGTTTATTCGGTCTCCAAATACCCATTCAGCTTTCAAACACCGTTATAATGAGCGAGCTATAGCACGCAGGTGTGGTAGAGCCAATCGCATGGTTGAATAATCCATCAAATGGCTACGCAGAGCCTTATTGAACCCAAACAGGCACACTATTGAAGCTTCACTGCAACCCCTTCCTTCCTTCCAAGAAATTCTAGTATGTAAGCACCTCTTCATTGGCCATGTCCCGTAAGTCACGCGCATGTATCTGCAGAGAGGGGGCATAGCATCAGGCTAAGGTGCCTACCTTCTAACTGATCACTCGTGGGCAGCGGAGGCCGTCTCGCTACACCCTTCTCATCACCTCCATAGTCATACCAGAGAGGTATCTACCGTCTTCGTCTGCGGGGTGGGAGGGGCGGGACCCAGCCTCGAAAGACTACGAACACGCCGTTGATGGACTGTCGAAAGTCCCTGGTGTACCAGCCGATTATACCAATATACGCATGCAATCCTCTACTGGTTGCACAACCAGCATGGAGAACTGTTCTTCGAGAAAGCAGCAACGAAACGTCGACAACCCGGGTCCCTCTACTTTCAACACTCAGCGGTATGCGACGCGAGCACGACTGGATCCCGAAGCACCACAAGTTCACGTCGACCGCGCAGAAGCATACGGCAATGCTCGGACACTGAATGGGCATGTCCACGGCCACGTGGTCCACGGAGACGTCAGTTATCACAATTGCTAGCAACTCCCGAGGCCCCATGCGAACGATGGAGTCCCCGCCGCCAGCAATCTCATGAAACAAACAACAGACAATTCAAACGGACTGTCCCCGCAGGAAAAGGAGAATCGCGATAAGCTGATCGAGCTTCTGCATTTCCCGCAACTGGATGTCCGCCTTAATACCCTGAAGCCTGCACAGCGGAGGACGTACGAATGGTTGGCACAACGACAAGACTATATTCGATGGATGGATTCCGATTCTGAACATCTCGAGGAGAGTGATGGCTTCTTCTGGATCCGGGGAAATCCGGGAACTGGGAAATCGATTGCCATGAAGTTTCTGTACCGAAAGTTGGAAAGTACGATCAAGAGACGTCAAATCGAGGATACGTTGATCATATCCTTTTTCTTCAACGCTCGCGGCAGCAACTTGGAGAAATCGACTCTGGGCCTCTATCGTTCCCTTCTATACACGGTGTTTTCCTTGGATCCAAGTTTGAAAGAGACTTTCAACCACTACCGAAGCAACAGTTATGATGGTATTCTTCAACAAGGGGAATGGACAAATGAACATGAGCAAATGCTCCTGGAAATATTTGAGGAAGCACTAGGCCTGCTTGGTAACAAAGGGCATCGTCTATATTGCTACATGGATGCCCTGGATGAATGTCCTGAAAGGGAAGTTAGAGAGATGATCTCAAACTTTGAAGACCTCATCGGCAGGACGGAGACTCAGAACTTCCGTGTCTGCTTTTCAAGCCGACACTACCCTCAGATCCGTATAAGAACAAGGTTAGTAAATCACGCATTTGTAGTCAAGGATCACTGCTGATAAATTCTACAGCCTTACCGTCACGCTTGAGAGGGAGCACAGCCATGAGAACGACATCAAGACTTTCATCGATCAGAGGTTGGAGTTGGCTGATGATATCGACCAAGATACTGTGGCCAAATTGGAGGCTGATATACTGGCCAAGTCGAGTGGAATCTTTCTCTGGGTCAACTTGGTTGTTTACGAGCTAAACGAGGTGAACCGGAGCGGCGGCACCATCGACGAGGTATGGGGCCGCCTGAGAGAGATACCCAAAGCAGCCAAGGAGACGGAGCCACCCAACGGAGCCAAGCCCCTCTACACACTCTTCCGAGACATCATCAAGAGAAACAACAAAAGTGTCCCGGAGCTCGTTCGACTAGTCCAGCTTGTTTACTGTGCGACACGACCATTATCTCCCAGAGAACTCTATGTTGCTCTGCAACAAACCCACCACCATCCCTTCAATTCTCAGCAGGTCACATACAATGTCTTGAAGAAGCGGATTCTGGATGCATCGAAAGGCCTTGCGGAAATCACAAAGTCCGAAGAGCCAACCGTACAATTCATTCACGAAACTGTGCGAGAGTTTCTCGAGGATGGAGGATTGAAGGCCGTGTCTAACGAGTTGGTCGACGTTCATGGGCACGAGATGATCAAGACAAGCTGCATGCACCAAATCTGTGCGCCAATGGAAGAACATCTCCCATTGCTTACGGCCTATCGTGAGATATTGAACAGTAATAAAGGCTATCGCGCCTCCAAGAACATCGCCGAAGATGACCGAAAAGTATTTCTGCAGCAGAGCCGAGAGAAGTTCCCCTTTTTGAAGTACGCGGTGGAGAACGTCTTGTTCCATGCGAACCAGTCCAAGGCATTAGGAAACAACCAAGCCAGCTTTCTTGAATCCTGTGCCGCCTCACCCTGGGTTGCTTTGCACAACCTATTCAAGTATCGAACAAGCAGCTTCTACTCAGCCAATACTCCGATACTATACATTCTCTCTCGTTACGGATGCGATCACTTGATCGATGAGCCAACAGTTTCGAAAGCAGAATACGCTCGTGAATGGCCAATGGAGGAGTTTTCATCACCTTTCGTTTGTGCCATGTACAACAACCATCCGGATACGGCACGGGCTTTGGCCGGCCTAGGTCCCAAGAAGGATTATCGAAACAGCACAGGTCTCTCATGGGCAAACTATGAGCCATCAGAACCCTTGTGCCTGTCAATTCTAAGAATGGGAGACTAGCAACTACTAGAAAAAGTGATCAAAGATGGACATTGCAACGATCGGGGTATTCACTGGTCAATTTTCCAGTGGGCGCCATTACAGACGGTTGACGTACTTGTGGGGTACTTGAAGGTCCCTACATTTCCTCAGCTGGCTTCGAGTGGCAGCCCCGATGCCGAAAAAGCACACCAACAGTATGATGCAATACGCTTCACTCGTCACGCTTTAACTCTGGATCCCAGCCTGTTGACGAAAAAGTTCTGGTATTCAGGATACAGAGCTCAAACGGAGTCGATGCTGGACTATGCCATAGTCAGAGGGTTTCCATTGCTGGTGAAGCTTTTTTTGGACTGTTCTGCTTTCAGCCAAGCCTCTCTTGATCACTATCTCCATCGAGCAGCAGCGAGAGGAAGAACAGAAATGATCGGAGATGCGCTACGTCGAGGTGCGGATATAAATTCTCGGGATGTATTGGGAACAAGGAGGCCTCTATATCACTGACTCTCGAATCGCAACAGCTGCATAGCAGGCCAGTCTATTCTGGAGATATATGAAAGAGGAAAGATGAAGAGAGAAGAGGGTAGAGGAGAGAAGGCTAGCTAGCGGTAGCTATATGTGTGAGGCCCTAATAGTAGTCCGCTTATGTAAGATAAGTGGGGACGCATCTGAGGTTCCATCAGGATGAGAGTGGGAGAACTGGATCCATCGAGAAGGATCAAGAGATTTCAGAACTGAGAACCACAATGGGTGAACTGCACTGGCAGTGGGATGTCACTCGAGAAAAACAAATTCCCTGAGACTCTTCATCAATATTGGAGCCGATCCCAACACAATGGTGCAGTGTACAGACGCGCTCTGTAACGAGAGCAAGCATCAGTTACCACTCATCGGCGCTGTTGTAGCAGAAAGATGATTCAGGGAGATCAATGTCTTGGTCTCCCCCGGGGGCTGCGACTTGAATGCCCGCGACAGTTGCGGACGGACCCCTTTAGCGTAGTGCTTTGTCTGTCTACATGAGAAACGTGCAACATACATTCGCTCTGGGTTCGAGGCTCTTCTACGAGACCAAAACACGGATCTCAATTCGAGGGACAATTCCGGCTGCACCATCTTAGAACATCTCATCTTAAACGCACTTTCTATGGAAAGAGAAGCGTGGGATCTCGTTCAGGAGTTCTTGGGATCCGAACGACTTGACCCGAACCTAGAGACTAGCACTGGGCAGCCACCGCTAGAGCGGATCATCTCACTATACGATACAATGGCCAATGGAGCTTCGCGATTGCAAGGGAGTACGGATATCTGACGAGGACTATTCCCAAGCTCACCGACCACCCAGCGAAAGACAGTGGCGGCAATGGTCCTCTGATCATCTGGTTACGGTGACGAGAACACTTCTGGCAACGGGCCGGGTCGATCGCTCTCTACAGAAACAGTGCTTGTCAAGAGCTCCACCAGCGCTTGAGAACTTGATACGTGAGTCCCTGAACGAGGGCCTGAAGAGAATTTTGCGCGCGCACCTTGCCTCGTCACCCTTGGCAGGTGCAGAATCAAGCTTCTTCTATGCATCACGTTCGCGAAGTTAACCATGCAAGGTAAGTATGCAACCAGCTTCAGAAGCAGCTATTTCATTTATCTCTCACCACTGCATGAAAACCATCTCTTGAACTCCTTATTCGCCTCATCTAATAATAATAATAAGCTTATGTAGTTGGACCAGTATACGACACATCCAGCAAAACAGCTGCATCCCGGTACACCCTCACCCAAAAACCTTCATCGCCTCCAAAAACGCTCCCATCTCCGCCGCAACCTCCTCCTCATTCGTCTCCAGCGCAAAATGCCCAGCATCCAACCACCTCACCACCAGCCTCTCCGCAGGCACATCCCGCGCAAACGCCTCCGCCCCGGCCGGCACAAAGATCTCATCATTGCGCCCCCAGACCGCCAGCACCGGCACGCCCGACTCCCGCAGGTACCGCTGGAACGCCGGGTACATCTCGACGTTGGTGCGGTAGTCATAGAACAAGTCAAGCTGAGCCTCGGCACCGCTGGCGCCGCTGCCCGCGTCAAGCAGCGCCTGGTCGAGCGTCCAGGCCTCGGGCGGCAGCTGGGCCGGGTTCGGGTGGCCGTCGACGTACTGGGCGCGCGTGGCGGGCAGCGTGAGGGCGGCGCGCAGGGCCTCGCGGTCGGCCGTGGAGCCGGACGCCCAGTACCTCTGCAGTGGGGCCCAGAAGACCTTGCCCAGTCCCTCGGCATAGGCGTTGCCGTTCTGCGTGACGAGGGCGGCGACGAGGTCTGGGCGGCGCAGAGCCAGGCGCAGGCCTGCTGGGGCGCCGTAGTCGAAGATGTAGACGGCGAGGCGCTGGAGGCCTAGGGTGTCGACAAAGGCCTCGACGGTGGTGGCGAGGCTGGCAAAGGTGTAGGTGTAGCTGCGCTCGCGGGGCACGCGCGTGAAGCCGAAGCCTGGGAGGTCTGGGGCGATGACGCGGTAGCCGCGGGCGGCGAGGAGGGGGATGAGGTTGCGGAACATGTGGCTGCTGGAGGGGAAGCCGTGCAGGAGGAGAATGGTGGGCGTGGTGGGCAGTGAGGGGCCCGCGTGACGGTAGAAGATGTCTACGCCGTCTGCAGTGATGGTGGAGATCTTTGTGGTGGCCATTGTGAGGGGAGTGGGTGTTTGGCGCTGTGTCGATGAGATTAGAGAGTAGGATATTTGATAATTGGTGTTCTGGCTGTGCAATGTTAGCTTGGGATGTCATATTGTTTCATTTCGTAGGACAGAAGAAGCTCGTGTTCATATATACTCGACATGAGGACTCGACACCATCGTCTCTCTGTGCTAACTGAAGAGAAATAAATGAGATAATCAGCATATAATTATTGGCTAAGCCAGAAAAGAGACTGTATCAGTAAGTGACACATCAGATTGTAATCACACAAGCCCTTTACAAGCCCATTGCATATCCGACGATGCAGGCAGAATAATCAAGTTTTCCGCATTGGTGTCTTGCGGGCACTGCGCCCTTCAAGCCTTCAAGGTGAATGAGTAAGCACAGGCGGAAAAGGGCAAAACGTGCAGCCCAACGCTAAAGTAAATAAAACATTGAGACTAATGCAAGGTCGACATTCTTTCAAGAGATGGCAAGCGCGCCCTGCGGGAACAAGCCCTGCGGCCCATCCGCCCCGCAGTGGAGTCCATTCCTGTTGACAAAACACACCTCACAAGTCACAAAATTCTATGACGTGAGTAGAAACATAGAAGATTTCCAGATTGTTCAGTCGAGATAATCAAGGTTAGTCAAGAAAAAAGATATCAAAATGAACACCACCCAGTCATCAGCCTGTCCTAGGTTTTCCCAGGGCGCAGACCGTGAACTTAAGACGCCGTGCCCAAGCCCCCCGTACCATTGATAATTAATACACAGGAGCTTTGCTGGACCTCCTTTCACCATATTCCAACACGCATAAAGTAAGATCAAATCATCGTGGGCAAATCTTTCCTCCTTCTCTGACAAAAGAAAAATAATTACTTCCGCCTCAGGCTGCCCAGGCGCCTCTTCAGCCCCTCGGCCAAGTTGCTTCCACTTCTGGGCCGCGACGTGCTGCTGCTGCTGGCGATGACGGCGCTCGCGCTCGAGCTCCTCTGACGCACCAGCGCGGGGTTTTTGCCGTCTCGCATCGGGCGCTGTGGCACCATCTCGTAGTCGCCGCGCCTCTCCCTGTCGCGGGTCGATCTCGACCGTCCAACATCGGCAGCCTCGAGCCTCTTGCGCTCGTTGTCAATAGTGAACCCGGGCTCGCCCTTGCCCTTGAGGTCGTTAGGGTTGTATTGCTGTGAGAGACAGTTAGCATCATGATGTGTGCATCGTCGGTCTCGAAGATGCCAAAGAAAAGGGACAAGCACGTACCAGATCAGGCCAGCGCTTGTAGGCGCCGCCGCCAGGGTTCATCTCTCTCATGAGGTCCTCGCCCTCCTCATAATCCATCTTCTGGCCGTTCAAGGCTCTCTCGCCTGGTGGGACGATTCCGACGCCGTCGAGTGGGCGGCCCTTGAGGATAGCATCCAGCTGCAGCTCACGGGGAGTGGCTTCCCAAGCGGCCTTGTTGCCCTCCTTGGTGGCGGCAAGCGGGGAGAGCTTCCGGTTCCTGTTAAAGGACGGCCTTGTGGCGTCATAGGGCCCGCCGTGGTGGTAGTGGCCGCCGAAGGATGTGTCGTCCAACCTGTCGATGGTGTCTGGGATGAAAATCTTTTGCTTAGGGCGGCGCGGGTGGCCGACTGATTTGCTGCGGCGGACCGAGTTCTCGTAGGGTGGTGGAGCCGATAGGACAGACATGTTGTCTTTTTATTCAAAAAGAGATGTGAAATGTAGGTTGAGATATGTTGTAGCTGTCAGAGGATGAGCCTTCTGGTTTGATGATGCGTAAAGGTAGTCGAGCACCAAAAGGTCGCGAGGTGACACAAAAAGGCTCAGTCAGGCAAAACGAAATAAGTCTGTCGTATGATGTCGAAAGCGGTGATGCTTGAGTTTTTGTCACAGTAACTGAGTGTGTTTGACTCGTCACGTAAATCGAGAAGGTTGATTTGGTGTTGCTAATTTGTAAGACACTACCTGCAGAGCAGAAACGAGGTCGACGTTGTAAAGATAGCGAGAAAGAAAGGGAACAGCATCGTCACCTGGGCGGCAAACCGTCTGGAGGGGCGGGATATAAAGGTAATTTGTCTAGCACAATGGTGGTGGTGGCATCGACGGTGGTGGTATGGCGTAAGTGGTCCAAGTCCTGTCTGGCAGGTCTGGATGGGCCAATTCCGGTGACGCAACAAATCGTTTGTGCTGTGGGCATACCCAGGTACCATGGTACTACGGTAGCATGGCACTATTCCATAACAAGGCGGTGCACGCTAGTAGTAGTACTATATGTGCCTCGCTCCTAACATCCGACTCAGCCGTGGTCTCCCGCGCTGCCAGGCCATACTACAAAGCCTCTTCCTAGCGCCCGACTCGAGCCTGAGCCATCCCTACAGATAGGAATCCCCTGGTTCCAACATTACGTCTTGGACACCACGTGCCTACGCGTCCTTCAGTGCGCCACAGAGAACGGCTGACAGGATAAGAGAGAAATACTTTGTAGATGGACGCGGGGTGGGCCTAGGAACCTTTGAGAAATGATGTTCTACGTCGTCAAGGAACGCAGGCGAGATACGAAACCGGAAAGAGGAAGCATGCTATCCCTGTTCGTTCACTGAGGCTGTACAGAACCTCGACTCGACAAAGGATGAACGCAGAATTCTTCTGTAGTGCTATGGTATCATGAGGACAACTAAAAAAAATACACACTAGCACTCTGTCCCGTGTCCACCGCATTCTCTCCAGTCTTCTGGTCCGACTCATTCTCCATGGCGGTGGACCAGCACAAAAACCACCTCCTGGAGCACCGAATGCTAGAGATAAATGCCTATCTGACCTTGACGAGGCTGAATCCACTCGGGCATCAACATATGCTGTGTACACCTCAGAACTGTACAATATTGAAGATCTTGGTGGGACCAATGACGGAGAGCCCCAGAACCAATTTCCAAAAAATTTGAAAGGTATCGTCGGACACTCGCAGAAAGCGTACTAAGCCAGCCCGCTTCCTGCCGTTGAACCCGTCGGGATGGCTGGGCCTGGGCCTAGGCCTATATCTGTGCCTTGTCTCTTTGGTGTCTTGTCAGACTCAGTAGGAAAGGCCCGACGTCATTCCGCCAGGAACTGACCCGGGCCTGTGGGATCAGCAACCCCAACACCTTCTTCAGGGTCCAGTGATCTGCACTGCGTATTACTAGGCTAGGACGTCATTAGGTAGTAGACAATTCCGTGTCTTTATTATTACCATGAAGTGTGTGCAGAGTGTTATTATCGCCTTGTGCGCGCAAAAACCTGAACACGTTGAACTCTTTAGACTGGACAGGAACGAGATGGGCCAGACCCTAGTATCGTGGCGGTACTGTGGTACGTACTAGGCACTACTTCGCCCTATGCAGCTCCAGGTCCTCCTTACCAGACCAGGCCACGAGGGCCCATAGTACAACGTTCACAGCCCCCTGTTCGCCAAGTGCTCCAGAGCTCTATGAGGAACCCTACCTTACTTTCATCCCAACCTCTTGGAATCATTTCCATGACAGGACCTTGGGATCAGCCCGCCAGTCCTCCTGCATGCGACTACGGGATACTAGATTCCTCGTCGCTTGCATCAACGGTTCGGATATGCAGCCACAGATGGGATGAACTGTGGACAAGATGGGCCTGGTCGATTGCTATGCATCGTCTTCCTCCTCCTCCTGCAGCAGCAATGACTCGGAACCCACAAACCACGACGATGTGCATCATCGCCCACCTACAAAGAAGAGGAAGACTTCACCAGGCCCAACGACGCCCAGCAACACCATCGCCAGCATAACAGCAGCAACAACAACAACGAAAGACACAAATCCATCACGAACAAGAGCAGGTGTTAAGCACTCGATCACCAAAGATGAGAACACCACCTCCCTCTCCCTGTCCTCCTCATCCTCATCCCCTCTCCCTCCCCTCCCACCATCCTTCCACAACCTTTACGCCACCACTGTCCGCCCCGCCGCTGCCGACCTCCCAAGCCTCCACCAAGGCCGCAAGCGCGTAATCCCACACGTCCCCGGCAACTGGCCCTCTCACCTCTACGCCGAGTGGCACCCCGATCCAATCCACCACGCTGCCCTCACCTCCCTGCTAGACGCCCTGACCACCACCACCACCAACAACAACAACGCCGGCCTGGAGCTCACCACCTTCCTCACCTCGGACCTCGGCGCCCCGCTGCCCCTGCACGTAAGCCTCTCTCGACCCTTTGTCTTGCGCACGAGCGAGAGGGAGCCATTTCTGGCTACTCTGGAGCGCGACATAGCGGCGAGCGGGGTACGGGCCTTTGTGCTTGTTCCCGATGGCCTGGCGTGGTTCCGCAGCGCGGAGGGCGGACGGAGCTTCCTTGTCTTGAGAGTCCGTTCGGCAACGACATCGGCTGAGACGGGACAGCGGCGTGGTGGTCGTGGTGGCGGCGACAGCGAGAGGAGAACGAAGAAGAATTACCAGCTGTCGACGCTGCTGGGCAAGTGTAATGACCTGGTCGCGGCGTACGGGCAGCCAAGGTTATATGCCCGGTCCGGGAACGATGATGACGACGGCACCACGGCAGCGTCAAGGGAGGGAGGCGGTGTGCAGGCTGTAGGTGGTGGTGAAGAAGATGATGCGGCGGGCTCGGTAGATGATGCCTTCCACGTCTCCATCGCGTGGTCCTTCGCCGTGCCTACGGCCGATATCCGTGAGCAGACAGCCGCCGTGTTTGCGCGGAAGGAGTTCCAAGAGGGGATCATGAGGGCCATCAGGATACCCGTCAACGGCGTCAAGGTCAAGATCGGGAACGTGGTCACAGACATCGCGCTGCCGGCAGCAACAGAGAGGAAGAGCAGCACCAGCGGAAAGGGATTGTTTGGGATATGAGGTGAACTAGGCCAGCTTCGTCCTCGAGATCAGAATCGGACCACGCTCTCCGTTAGAATATGTGCCCTTACTGGTATTCGCCATGTCCCCATTTATGACAAATGTACTCTCAACTTCTGGTTTTCTATGTTATGCCTGTATTGCTGAGGGGCCAGACCAAACTCCACAAAACCTGGCCGCGATCCAGTATGCCTTGAGCCATGAACGCCAAAACGATGCAGAAGAACAAAATCACTAGACTACAGCTCATCGCGAGGATTCCGCCACACGAGTTTCCACTCTCTCGGTTTGACGGGGAGACCAATGTAGCCCTTCCACAGACGGCTGATTTCCTGCGAGACGATCGTATATCTGTATTGTTTTTGGAGTGTCAGCGTTCTGTCTCAAGACGGCAGAAGGTCGGGTTCTCGAGAGGTGGTGGAATACTCACATCAGTCCGGGCATTTCAATCCAGCTCCTCCACACCGCCTTGAAGGCTACTATGACATTGTGCAATTCCTCATCCCATATCTCCTTGAGGCTGGGCTCCGGCCTGCTCGAGGGCTTCTCGTCCGGGATGACATGATGTGGCTTGCGCGCTCGATCTGACAGCTTGTTGATGGACTCGCCCTTCTTCAGAAGCTGCTCCTCCTGTCTCTCCTTCTCGGCCGCCATCTCCCTGAACCGCTGGATATTGTCCAGCGACGTGCTCAGCCGCGCGTACGTGTTGAACAGCGCGACCAGCTCCGTCCGCTTCAGGACGGGGATCTCGTTGCTGTCGTTATCAAACTCGAACAGCACCTTCAGCGCCGTGCCGTAGCCCGCCGTCTGCAGCTTGCCCCACAGCCGGCACTTGTCGCACCCCACGCAGTCCATGAGCCGGCTGACGTTGCGGAAACGGTTCTTGAAGTCCTCCTTCAGCGAAGGGCCCTCGCCGTTCTTGAACATCGGGCCCTCGTCAAAGATCTGCGGTACGCTGGCCGCGTTCTGTGTGACGGCCAGCACCTTGGCCTTGGTCGCAGCGTCCTGGTCCTGGTCACCCGTGCAGAATGTGTAGTCCTGCAGGTGTGGGCCAAGCTTGGCGATGGCGCGGGTCAGCAGGGCATAGTTGAAGTACAGGTTGCTGATGCGCTCCGGGTGCGTGTGCAGCCTGTGCATGTAACAGGGCAGGTTTGGCTGCCACTGGCCGGTCGTCTGGTTCATCCAGTCGTAGCACAGGTGCGTGCTGATGCTGGTGTGCATGCCAGAAACCACCCTGTAGAACACACGCTTCTCGATACACTCGTCCTCGGCCTCGAGGCCTGTGTGAGCCACAAAGGGCGTGTTGGGGCTCTGTTCGCGCGACTGCTCCAACATCTGCTGGCGACCGGCGGCCTCGATGACCTGCTTGAAGTCGAGAGCCGCGGCGCCCTGGTCCGGTGGGGTCTGGCCTAGCGCAGCATAGTGTGGGAATGAGCTCTTCTGGAAGCAGTTCTCCCGGTAGATGGCGTTCCAGACCTGCTGCGCGCCCTCGCCCGCGTATCCGGTGAACCGCTCGGGGTTCTGGAGCAGAGAGACGTAGTCGCCTTTTGCGGTGGAAGACTCGTCGTCAGGCACGCAGTAGTCCCGGTCGTCGCACTCGTCGTCATACTCGAAGACGCAGCTCTCGCCCACGTCCTCGCCCAGCTTTCCTTGTAACGGCCGCTCAGGCCGCTTCTTCTGTACGTCTCGTCCCGGGTGTTTCACCGTAGGACCCTCCAGTTTGCCCAGCTCGCTCGCCCGCCAAACCTCGGGGATGTCTTCCTCGTTATCTAGCGTCTGCACGGCACAGGCGATGTTGCCGCACATGCCATTCTCGTCGTTCCAGAAGGGACATCTCTTGTTGAAGAGGTTGAGCCTGTAGTGGGAGAAGAAGTCGGTCGACAGCGTCAGGTCCTCAACGGCGGGTTTGACCTTGCGGTTCAGGTCCTCGAGGGTGGAATAGGAGGCGCAGGCGTCGGATACTATGGCCTTTGGAGAAATCTGGTAGTAGTTTTGCGAAGTGTTAGAGATGACAAGTCGGTAAGAGAGAGACGGCGAGGCCGCTGTGAACAGCCAGCAGGCCTGCAGGAGAAGAAACGAGAGAATAGAAGCATACTGCGCAAGAGTCATCCTGGCCATCTTGGTTCTGGCACCGGGCTTGCGGTGACCAGAGAGCAAAGAGGGACAGGTAGAAGAGGTTGGCCGCGGACTTCATGATGTGCGGATTATTGTACACGTGCCGCCAGGTCAAGAGACAAAGTTGGCTCTGTGCAGCTGGCTCTGACAAATGTTTCGAGTATCGTTCCCTAGGAGGCTCTTCTGAAACCCTACTCGGGTCTCATGTCTGGCGGCCAACAGACCGTGAGTTAAAAACGGGGGGGTTGCTCCGAACGACGCAGGAAGAAGAAAAAAGTCGTTTTCCTTGGGGAAATTGAAAGCCCGAGAGTACAGTACTTCCTTGTGTCTAAGAGGAGGCAAATGTCCAAAGGCGAAGAAAAAGTAGTTGGAGGCTAAGTCCCGAAAGTTGCGTCGCTTGTCTCACAAATGCGTAGTTGAATAAAGTGGATAAGCTGATAAAGAGAGCGTGGTCTTTTTTAACCGCCGGTACAAAGATTGGCAGTGGTGGTGGGTGAAAATGTTCTCGTCAATGCAAGGAAAAAGACGGAGAGTGAGAGACGGCGTAGAAGATTTCTCTTTTCCTTTCTTGTTTTCGTCTTCTTCCATAAATCATTCGTCAATGGGGCGAGAAAAGGCCAAAGTGTAGGCCTCGAAAGGAAGTGCCAGGTGTCCTGATGAAGATGGAAGAAAGTCGAATGATTGTCATCAAGTAAAAGGCACCCTGACGGGCGACGCCGAAGTGCCTTGGCGCCGCCTGGAACGATCGACATCCTAGGTACAGTGGTACGTACTTACCCCCCATGGTAGGTGCAGATGTCATGTCCCCGGCACTAGTAGCATTACCATAGCCACAGTACGCAGTACCGTACCATAGTAGCACGGCAAGTGCTTCAGTACCCTACCACACCCACTACCTATTTCACTTAGTAAGTTCTGCAGCGCTTTGGTGCATGTTCGCCAATACCTCGATTCTGAATCTATTAAGGTTAAGTAGGGCTCCTGCTGTGGACTACAATACATTGCCCTCTTGTTATTTCCGCCCTTTACGGTTCTCGCTTCTCTTCGACTTCCTTATCTGCTAATTTCACGAGAGCCCATAGCTCTGGCGGATATACTTTTTGAAGCGCAAACCACGCTTCCTCAGAGGCTGCCTGACGTCGGAATTCCCGCTCCTCAAGAGTCCCAGCAAAGACGAACTCGCGCTCTTCGTCTTGTGAGTACTCGACAATGGGGCTGTTGTACATGGTCTTCCAGTCGTAGATGTCAAAATATAGGGACGTCGACGTGCGCTTCCGCATCTCATCTGACAGGAACTTCCCGACGGTAGGACACTTGCAGATGAAGGCTATATCGATGGGCATCTTCCCATGATTGTCCTTGCGTGCGATGTCGACCCCAGGCAGCCCTGCCAGGAACTCGACAATCTCCACACAGTCGATCGTCGCCGCCCAGTGTACGAGGTTACGGCCCTCGAAGTCTTTCTGGTTCGGATCCGCCCGCCGGCTCCTCAGCAAGGTCATCAGGGTGTCCTTGAACCCGGCGTCGGCGGCAGCTTGCGGTGCAGTCCTGCCCAGGCGATCCTGCAGCTTCATGCTCGCCCCGTGCCTCACCAACACCTCGCAGCTGGCTGTGTTTCCCAGCGTAGCGGCGATGTGCAGCGCGCTTTCTCCATGGTGATCAATGTGGTTGACGTTGGCATCTCCTCGTCGGAGACAGCGCTCGAGAAGGTCGGTCCAGTTATTGGCCGCCAGGTGGTGTAGGACTCCCTTGCCAGAGTGGTCCACCTGGAACTTGATATTCTGGTATTGGGAAGTCTCCAATAGCTTGCGGCACAGTTCCATGTCGCCATGTTTGGCCGCCAACACCAATGGACCCAAGTTTTCTCTGTCAGGTACCGGCATGGCATCAGACCGCTCGATGAGAGCATAGGCGACTTGTTTATGGTCCCAGTACGCCGCCAGGGCTAGGGGAGTCCGGCCTTGCACGTCAGTCAGATCCAGACGGGTGCCTGGTATCCGCAGAAGGGTTCTGACTGTGTCCAGCATCTGGTATGTGACAGCCAGATGGAGTGCCGTGGACCCGCTCTTGTCCTGCGCATTGATCTCTATTGTGCCCCCCTCGACTAATTCCGGAATCATGTCCGACGGAGCATGCGATACAAGATGGTGTATCGTAGCTCGGCCTCGCTCGTCCGGTGCGTTCGGGTCGAACAGCTTGTTGCGCAACAAAGCATGGTAGACATCCCAGTTACCCTCGAGGATGACTGAAGCAATGTTGGAACGAGGTGCTTCACGAGGCAGATTCGGATCCGCTCCCAGAGCCAACAGGAGCAGCACTGTCCTCTTCACATCGCCGTTACCGCGAAATTGTGGAGCGTCTTGATACAGGATCCGGCAGCAAGAATGGAGTGCACCGCCTTGGCGATCGCTTCTCAGCCACGTTTCGTTGATGTCGTACCCGTGTTGGACGAACTCCCGCAGTAGCGTCTCTCGGTGTGGCATAGCAACCTCTGATATGACAACCTGCAGAGGCGTCTCCCAAAAAGCCCACCGCTTCGAGAACTCGGGCAGGGTGTAGAGGCTTCCCGGCCCGCCAGCGTCTGCATATACAAGCCACAGATAATCTGTGTATGGAAGCGATAGAATATGACGCTTGTGAAAATCACCAGCGTATGATAGGAAAGGGTATCGGCTTGTCAAGTCTATGCGCTCGTGTTAGCCATACTTCTGTCGTCTAGATGCAAAACTTCTGCCTGCTATGTTCAATTTGAAACTTGCCTTCACGAGATGCTCCGTCAAAGGCATCATGCAGCATATCCTGCAGCTTGAGATATTTCAAGCAGGCACGAGTGATCATCCGTCCAGCTCTGGTCATATGGCTGGCTTTTTCCTTTGCCCACGACTCCAGAAGGTACTCTTTGAACGACAGATGGACAAATGTCACTGTATCGTCATCAAGTCGAGCTATCAGTTCAGGAATGTGTTTCTCTATGAGATCGCTCACGCTCCGGTCGATAGGAATGTCATCAGCGTTGCGAATCGGCGTGTCGGTCTGGGAAAACCCCAGAATTATTCCGATCTCAACAGTACTGAGCGGACGGGCTGCAGCTGCGAGGATAGCCAGTATGTCTCTGACTTGATCACGCACTGACGAGTCGATCTGGTAAATTATATCGTAAAAGTCAGACACCTTGTGTGGCGCAGAGCCGAACTTTCTCAACTTCCTCGTGATGGTGTCTTCATCCCATTCTGGAGAATTCCTGAAGTCTCCCCAAACCATGGCGGCGATCAGGAACGAGCCATCTGCTCTTTCACATAGCTCGTTGACAATCTCTATGCGCTTTTTCGAACTGGTCACTGTCGCAAATTCGGGTCTGTCTGCAGCAAATTGTTCAAGAGAGCCCTGCAGGAACCTCTTGATTCCTGGTCGCGTGTCAGACTTCACTATCCGTAGCTCGACGAGCCATGGAAAAGATCGGGGTTTGGGTCGGCTAGACACCAAAATCCGAACTCGGTGGGCTGGCGTAACGGTGTTGATGTAGCGGAGGGTATAATTCAGCATCTCGAGTATGTTGTTAGCTGTCGAGTCACCAAGCTCCTCGATCGCATCTATGATGATGAAGGTGTACTTCATTGTGTCCATGGCCAGAACTTCGCGCATTGCCTTCCATAATAGATCGGCTGCCAAGCTTATCTTCAGGCCCTGCAACGAGCGCTGCTCGAGGACGTTCTTGACGATTGCTTGTGATGCAGGATTTTTCTGGATGATTTGATGTAGAATTGATCGCGCCACGGCGTCTCGCGGATACGATGCCTCATCCCAGGAGGAACAGAAGAAGGTGACGACAAGATAGTCTTGAGTGATCTCGAGACTGTTGCCACCAGACAGAACGGTTTCTGCCACGTGTCGAGTGAGAACACTCTTACCAGATCCAGCTGGTGCAGTCAGAAGAAGCATTGATGATCTCGGTGACCTCGACCATGATTGGTACTTGGAATGCTCAAAGATCCAATTGCAAGTCTGGGGGTGGGGGCGTTGTGGACGAAGTGCTGCCACTTTATAATCGACGCAGAATAATTTGTCAAGAAGGGCCTGGCCACCCGAGGCAGGACCAAGTCGTGATGCTGTCTCTCAGTCAGTATGAAATCTTGTACTAGTGATCAGGTACTGTCGGCTGACCTTCTATTAATTGTTGAATGGTGGCCCACACCGGCTTGTATCTTTGCGTATGACGAGGCGAGACCTTGGCGATATCCCTGTGATCAGCATTGATGGGAATACTCCGCTCGTTTGGGAGCCCGAGAATGGCTGAAGGAGGATCGACAATCTGTATTATATGAACCAAAAGTGTGAGCATTGAATCTGCCACACGCGACCCAAGTCCCGCATCTTGTCTGTAATGGACTCACCAATGAAAATCCTGTGAGCGGTTTCTGTTCATAGAAAGAGACGATATTAATCTTTTTCAAAAGTTCCTTTGCGTCCCTGGAGATTTCTTCGAGTTCTTGAGATGATATCTCTAGTGTCTTGAGAAGCGACTTTCTTACACCCAAGCCCAAAGTCACGGCGTTGATGATGTTGGCCAGATGCTTAGCTTGTGTAGCACTTCTGGAACCCCGGTGGGGAGTACCCATGAAGACGACTCCAGAGATACTGTCCAAGATCCCCGGGTAGTCCTTGGCTTCTAGCGACGAAAGGACAATGGCCTGTTTGAAAACAATTCCCCCGAGGCTGTGGCAGACGAAAAATAAGGGTCTGGAGGTCTCGAGCGCATCACGACGTTCGATGCACAGGCGTGTCAAGAGGTCCTTTGCGAAATCATTGATGCCCATCAAAGAGTTGCTGAACACATAGGAGGAATCATAGCCATAGGTCATGACGCGAGCCTCGGGGATGTAGGACGGAAGGGAATCTCTAAGCCACAGGTGATGATGTTCGCTCTTATGGTCCGTCCATGTGTCGAACGCGGATCCACCCAGCCCGTGTATCGCAACAATGCTGTTAAGTACCTGGTCAACTCAGAGCCTTTGTGAACGCTCGAGGTCAGCCAACTCACTCGACGCTGCAGCTATCAGGGCGATAACGCTTTGGATGCAGCCGAAACAACCCATGCTTCTCGCCATTCTTGGGCGAGTTCTCATACTGACTCATTCTTTGTCGACTTTAAGGATGTTGGCCGACAACCGTAAGAGATGCCTGGCTCAAGCGGATTTTTGGTTTCTGGTTTTTTTTTTTTTTTGGGGGGGGGGGGGCGGTCAGGCCGAGTAGCTTAGGTCATGAGGAGGGGAGAGATCATGCGCGCTTACAGGCTGCTGTGATAACCCTTAAGTATTACACTGCTTTTATCGGCGAAGCCTCAGCTGAGCCTCATGCATGTGTGCGGCTGACTCTTGGCAGTTCGGGACGCTGATGGTCTAAATAGGCATAAGCTGCCAAGAAAACAAATGCATAAATATGGCATGGCTTGCCTTTTAGAAACATGTTGCCAACAAGAAATATTTAAATGGCTGCTAGACAAGTAGGACGGGGTTGAACTACGGTCGATTCCAATGTTCTCAACCAAGGGGCTTTCTCGTCTCTTCAAATTGAGTTTTGCAGGTGACTATATCGAACAAGAATCCCTTATGGGAAATATTCAAACTCCCCGAGTAGCTTGGAGCTGCTACAATAGTCATGTCTTCGAAAGAAACAAACATGAGTTGATATGTATGAATGACAAGTTAAATAGTGTGCAACACAAAATGTGCATTGACATGTTGCTGTGAAGCTGAGAGATTTGAGGTACAGCCAGTGTCTGGATGAAGATTTTGCTCTTTCCACAGCTGCTTAGGAGAACTTGAATACCTTCATCCTTGGTAGGAAAGTGTGGGGATGATTATGGCCACCCATCTTCCCATATTTTTAGGTGATGGAGACATTAACAGGACTCTATCTAGTGTTTGCAAATTGTATACTTTCTTGTTGGCGAGTCTTACAATTGATGATAGGGGCATGGAATCTTAGTGGTTGGCCACCTCGAGGGTGTCTAGGTTGCTATTACTTCGCGCAGTTCTCCCTTTTCTCTTTCTTTTTCTTCCTTTCTTAGCCATGTTACACCTCAACCATGGTCTATTGTATTATTCATGTGCTTAATTCTATGTATCACCAGTAGTATGTAACAGAGGGTGTTGGAGGGGGGGGGGTTTCGTGGTTTTTTCTTCCTCCTTCCAAAATCGTAAATATTGAGCGGACAAGCTTGTCCAACAAGGCCATAAGTTCTCTGGCGAAACTTGCTCCAATATCGAAATCTTTAAAGAGTCTATTCATTCGAATAACAAATGATGGTCTAGACATCGCCGAGAGCGTGAGCGTCATCAATCTCGAGCTATAGCGCAGTAACTCGCGGACGATTTCGTGTCACCATGTTCATCATCATCACGAAGCAATGACAAAAATGCAGCCAAACCAGCCTCAATGCCAAGGATAAATAAATGCATCCCGTGCACAATTAAGAGATTAGAGCACGCCCGTTCTGCATAACTTGTAGCTCGATCAGAACGGGCCGAGGCTCAGGTCCACCGTCTAGTCAAGTCATGATCCACCGTTCGACATTGACTAGTTGAGGCGTAGCCAAGGAAACACGCGCTCTTTTGCCATAGAGCTCTCGTCTCAAAAGTAATACCGACGCCTTCTCCGGATTTTTGTTGCATATAAGGGAAGCTCCACCACCAAGACGGTCGCGGTCCACTCCAACGTCACCAGTCTCCCTTCGTTTAGCAAGAAATTTTCTAAGAAACCCTCAGGCGTGAATGTTGGCTGTCGTTCTTCCATCCACAACTTCCCTCTTTTGCTCCTGGCGTCCATACACCTCTCACACTGTTACCTGTTTGCGTCCACGATGCCTTCCCAGCCGCGCATACTCATTGCCGGAGCCGGCATCGGCGGACTGAGCACTGCCCTGGCTCTACACGCCGCAGGCCACACAGACATCCACATCTTCGAAGCCTCCTCGACCCTCACGACCCTGGGTGTTGGTATCAACGTCCAACCCTCGGCAGTCCTCATCTTGCGGAACCTAGGACTGCTCCCGGCGCTGGAGAAGACGGGCGTGGCGACCCAGGAACTCAACTACTACAACCGGCACGGCGACAGCATCGTGAGCGAGCCGCGCGGAGAATATGCCGGCTACGCGGTCCCGCAGTTCAGCATTCACCGCGGGGAATTCCAGATGCTTCTTCTGGACGTGGTCAAGGAGCGGCTGGGCGCGGAAAGGGTGCACGTCGGTCACGCGCTGAGTACCTGGGAGCAGAAGGAGGATGGAGGAGACTCGATCACAGCGCACTTTGTCAGGCGCAGCAGCGGGCGGACGAATGGCGCAGTGAGGGCTGAGGCGGAGGAGGAGGAGGAGGAGGAGGCAAGACTGGAGTGCCCAAGCATGACGGGCGCCGTGCTCATCGCTGCGGATGGCATCAATAGCACGGCGCGGAAGGTGCTGTACGCGAACGAGGGGCCGCCACGCTTCTCAGGGCGGATCTTGTGGCGCGGGTGTACGGTGCGAGACGAGTATCTAACGGGAGCGTCGATGATCTGGGCGGGCCACGCGGACCAAAAGTTCATTGCCTACCCAATAGGCAGGCGCCCTGGGGACAAGTCGCTCGTGAACTGGATCGCTGAGCTTCGGGTCCGAAAGGAGGGCGACCCTGACCTGACGCCGCCTCCCACAGACTGGACGAGGCCCGTTGAGAAGAGCGTGTTCCAGGGACCGTTTGCAGGATGGACCTGTGGTGGCCTGAAGATGATGGAGGACCTGATCGAGCCTACCGAAAAGGTGTTCGAGTTCCCCATGTGCGATCGTGACCCAGTAGACAGGTGGACTTTTGGCCGCATGACGCTGCTTGGTGATGCGGCGCATGCCATGTACCCAATTGGCTCCAACGGCGCCACTCAGGCCATCATCGATGCCGAGACGCTGGCACTCTGCATCTCTGAGAGTCTCGAGGATCTGCCTGCGGCTCTGACAAAGTATGAGAAGACGAGGCTTCCGCCGACGGCCAAGATTGTGATGGCAAATCGGGCAAACGGCCCGGATCACGTCTTACAACTTGCGGAAGAGAGGGCCCCAGATGGATTCAAAAATGTCTATGATGTGATTCCCAAGGATGAGCTCGAGAGCATTGGTGCAACGTACAAAACCATTGCTGGTTTTGAGATGGATAACGTCAATAAAAAGGCAAAGGAGACAGAGGGGTTGGCCGCTAGATGGAGTTAATATCGATGGCACATAATCCTGTGAACTTGGTGCTCTCTGGCTCACAACAACAAGACGCTCGGCAGGCTCTTTGACGTATTGGTGGGAGGCAGGTGGTCCCTTTGAGTGCTGATTCTCATCAAGTGAGACGCTTCTGGACAATGCAGCACAGGTCGGAGGGACAAAGTGGTCTACGTATTAAATACCCATCTATGCAGGTCCATACTCTACTCCTCTTGCCTTTTCGGTCTGCATCGGCTCTCTGCCGGGTTCTAGCCGGATACCAGGCATGGCGTGCTCGTCGGAGCACAATTGCTCAGCCCACCCACCGCCCCCGCGACACGACCCTGGGGATAGTTAGCACTTGATCACTACCGTGCTTTTCGCCTCGCCTTTCGTAAACAGAAGCAATCCACAAGTCCGTTTTGAAGACTCTTGGGTTTTGGTTGTGCAATGACTATGATCACCCGTCCCGCCTTCCCAGCCCCGCAGAGCGACTTGAAGACTGTTGTCGAGAGTCGGAACCGCGAGTGGCACTTCCACATTTACTTCCTGCTTCAGTCGCCCACGGAGAAGGCCGCAGCCTTGGCTATTCGTGATGCTGTCTTGAGGCTTCGCCGTGATGGTCAGTCTTGACATACGAGTCTCGCAAAAAGAATGGATGGCCCTTAATGAGGATAGCCTAGTTGGCTGATCATTTCTCTCAGGTGCATTTGTTGCCGTCCCGCTACAGACGGTCAATGAGTATCCAAGAGGACCACACCCAGCAGGAAGCTATGAGAGTAAGTGATCAGAACTCAACCGGACTGTAAAAACACTTTGTATGACCTTTCGAACTGGTGGCTAAAAAAGCATAAATACAGTTTGGGTGCCGGACTCATCGTTCAGCGACGTCTTTTTCTATCTAGCGTCCAACAGGGGTAATCTCAGGTACGTTTTTGTCATTTACCTAGAGCTGGGCCCAACAAATGTTGCTACAGGAGTCCATGGTGGCTCTCAAGTTTTCATTCACAAGCTGGAGCAAAGAACAGTCGCCGTTGGTAACACTTAGAGATGAGAGTTCTGTCATCTGATCTTGCATCCAGTGTTCTGGTACACCCTCTGACAGCAGACCAACGCCGCGACCACGAGTTCCGCCACGGCTGGATGGGCACCCCTTGGCCTCTTTTCCTGGACAGCCTGCCGAGCGACGGTGATATTCCCCTCCAATATCCCGAGCTAAGCCTCGGGTGGTCCACAGAGCCGGACAAGGAGATCTCGCTTGACGAGAGGCGCAAGAGAGGCGCTGAAGTGGAGGCGCTGCTAGCTGACGATCCGGAGGCTGCTCCTGCGCCTGACAACTAGGTGCTATCGTGCAGCGCTTCATTAGCAGGACGTGGTTCGAAGCGGTTTGAACGTGTTGTAGTATGTACTGATGAATTGACGGTTGAAGTGTCTCTGTGGCTCACAGTAATGTGGTGGGGAAAGTCAAGAGTTGATATGGAGTTACGGAATGCCATCTACGCAAAACGCCATTCCCAGCAAGCCCAGCAATTTACCTGATATTCCCATTTAATTTGACCCCTGGCAGGTAGCCAAGGTCCCGTGGCATAGAACCTACCCCGTGTAATCCATATGAAATACATTCCGGAGCGTCGGCCAACCGCTTGCGCCAATTTTCGCCATTCTTGGTCCGCCGACTTGATCAGGATTGCCGTCCAGATCCAGTAGTACTTGTGTCGAAAGATGTTGGACAGACCTACACCAGAAACCTCAAGAAGAGCAGACCCGAATATAGTGCACCGCCCAGTAGAGACTCCTGTCTCTCCATCCCAGAAAACCTTGATTTCCGCCCTCTATCAGTCCAATCACTCCAATCCGCGGTCGAGTCGATAATCGCAAGACAGAAAGGTCAGAGTTTACGCCAATGGTGGCTGCCTTAAACGATTGCTGCTGATGTCGTTGACCAAAGATGGTGGGTTGATGTTGATGTGAATTGTGAGTTCATCAGGGCATGGGACCCTGACGAGGCCGTCGCTATGCAGTCGTAGAATGCAGGAAAACACGAAAGATATACAAATGGTGTCAGAATCGCAGCCCGCTAGATGCATGCTGCTGTTCATTGGGCAGGGGGTTGGTAGTTGAGTGGACGCCTGGAATCTTGGTGAGCTTGTCTTGTGCATAAGACGGGAACAAAGGAGTCGGGCGGTACGTACTTGAAAAGCAGAATGTGCGGTTCAGGTTCATGAACTTCGTAGTGCTCCCAACCAAGACTCTGACAGTGATCATTAGCAACCCGTCCAATGTTCTCGGCGCGTGCCCCACTATTCTAGGTGATTATATCGCGTTGGACGCGTTCGTACCTGGGTGATGCCCATTGACCGCCACTCGTCCTCCCATAGCAGTTTCAGAGTGCCTTTGGACGAGTCGAAGTATTCCTTGGGTATGACCTTGAGCATGGCTTTGGGCAACTGGACGTGTCGGTATTCGAACTCGTTGTCGGAGTAACTGCGCAAGAGGATATGTGAGTAACGAGTGCGGGGTGTAGGCGCATCGGGGGATCGAGTAATCTACCACGCGACATACCGAGAAGAGTAGTGAATGGCATCGAGAAACTCCTCGAGACGGGCGCGCTCGCTATCGGTCAGGGCGCGAGGCTTCGCGTTGCGACGCGACGTGTCGATACCCATCTCGTAGCCTGGCGAAGACATTATGAGTCGGCAGTCTGGTTTGTTGCTCTGCAAATGCGCTCGCGTCTGTCTGAAACGGAACAGGAGTCCTGTGTGTCCTGTTTAAACAAAGAGACAATTAATTTTCTTCTGTGGCGTAGAACCAAAGGGCCAGGGTCAAGGCTGACGAAATATCAGAAAAAGAAAGTAAAGGCCTGTGGTTGGTGGTGGTGGACGTCGGTGTGATGACGAGGGCAGGCTTGGGTCGAGAATTGTTTACGACAACAAATAAAGTTGGGTTGAGCACAGGCAGGGGGACGGAACTTGCAGTGACCTCTACTGTCGAGCAGAAGAGGTGGGGTTAAGACTAGCCCTTTTCTCTACAGGCGGGTTTTTTTTTTAATCTTCCTTTGGGGGCGGCGGGGATGGTTCGGCGGGGGTGATTTGTATGCAATTGAACCTTCACCAGGCTCTTCGAACTGAGTAAACCAGCTGATCTATGACTTTCTACATTGTGTGGATGTCTCGGGCGCTTCTTCAGATATCAAGTTATAGCCAACTATTATTGAGAAGGTCAAGCCCAGTTCTCTTGTCAATTGATGCGATCCGACAACTCGATTACACTACAATAGTGCAGAGCAGGTGGGCGCAAGGCTGCTGGGCCAAGCCCGAACTTGGTGACCCCTGGGCAACGAATCGATCTCACTGCAAACCAGTGACAGCACCCTGCTAGGCCGTCACTGCTGCACCTCCACCCACCACTGCTCACTGCAGTATTCCCGCGATTCGGCTCCCCAACCGCAAAGTCCAAAAGTCGCGTCGCATTATTCGCACCACCGTCAGGTCAGGACCACAAACACGAGGCTTCACCTGTTTCTAAACCTGCGGCCCGTGCAATTTGACAGCTGGCCAGCCGGATCACTGCGCAGATCTCGACAGCCTGCCTGTCTACCGACCATGGATCACAAGCGCAAGGCCAGCTCCTCCTCGAGGGGAGGGGGGCCCGTCGTAGATGGTGACAATCCTCCTGCAAAGAGGAGAAAGCTGCCGTCGGTAAGTTGTGCCCGTTGTGTTTTCGCGCTGCTGCAACAATTTCAGCTTGTCTCCCGGGGACGGTGGAGCCACCGGTTGTTGTCAAGTTCAGGTTCGAGCTGAGTTGGCGCGGCGCGCATGGGCGGGAGAAAAGATGCAGTATGATTGCAGGCATGACTCCGGAAGCACCCAATGCAAGCTCGCCCAGCGCGTCCCCAGCGCGAGCTCCATTACTCCCTCTGTCGAGTCTAGGCAGGGCATAGCACAGCTTCGAAACTGCGCCGATGTCATCTGCGTCCCGCCCGTCCTCGTCCTGCATTCCCGCCGATCATGACTGGCCTCGTCACAAAACGAACTTAAGGTCCATAAACAAACGGGACCGGCTAAAATTCGAAGCCGAGCACTGCTGCAGCTTGGAGGCTGACCGACATGACCTTCGAAACAGGACTTCCCCGACCTGATGAAGGGTGAAAGCCCCGAATCGACCTCTGCACACGGCCTGCACTTCCTCGATGCAATACGACGAACATCTGACAAGCAGTATGTTATCCTCTCATCTTCCCGTAGTACGCCATGGACACGGGGCCCAAGTGCCGCTCTTGACAGTGCGCTCCATCCGCTTGCGTCGTCATGACTCGATTCCTAAACCACATTGTCTTCCACCTCCGCATTTGAACCCCCCTCCGCGGGCCATCCCTTTTTTGCTAACCACGGCTTTGTTTCTTGAACAGTGGGCGTGTCGTTGCCGGCTATTTCGAACACCTACTACCAAGGGAGGGCAACGAGGACTACTACAGCAAGATCTCCATGCCCATCTCCTTCCGGGTCATCGAGCGCAAACTACACCGAGAAGAGTTTGAGAACTTGTCGGAGCTGGAGTGTTGGCTGAAGCGCATGGTCACGAATGCGAAAGAATACTATCCCAAGAACTCCACTACTTTCGATGACGCAGAGCGGATCAGAAAGGCGACGAGTAACTGGATGGTTAAGTTCAACCCGGCCTACAAGAAAATCCCCAACTACGCCGCAACGCCGATACCCATACCCTCCGACTACGACGTCGACGCTGAACTCGCCGCGGAAGATATGCCGACTGACGTGGCTGCTGCCGGGATGCCGGAGCGCCCACCACGGCGCCAACGCCCGACAGTGGAAGCAATTGGAGATGATGCTGAGGGCGAAAGTGAGGACGAGGATATGCCCGACGCGGATGCCGATGACGATGCGGATGCCGAACCCGAACCCGAAGCCGACGAGAACGACGAGGATGATGATGCTGCTGCTGACGAGACTGAAGACGCCGAAGCAGATACAGGCCGGGCCGCTGGTCCTCGGATCGTGCTGAAGCGACGGGGAGCGCGCTCTCAAGAGGCCGAGAACACGCCTTCGACTGGCGAGGAGAAAGCAGATAACCAGTACTCTCAGGTACCGTATCAGGGCTTGAGTTTCCAGGAGGCGCAAGAAAAGATAATCGATACCTTGATGGGACGTCAAGACGAGGAGTATGTGTGACTGGTCGGCCCACTACCGACCCCTGCCTCAAAGAAAGATTGACTGACAAGGCAACAGTGACGAGTGGCCATACTTTGAGCCTTTCATCAACCTACCTGACAAGTCTTTGAAAGACTACTACCAACTCATTGAAGACCCGATGTCTCTAAAAAAGCTGTGGCGCGCTGTCAAAGGCATGCAGGGCCGAGGGGGTGCCACAGGAATAAGTCATTTCAAGAGCTGGGCCGCCATGGAAGAAAGGGCTAGTTTGCTCTGGAACAATGCCTTCTACTACAATGAAGAGGGCAGCGAGATTTCGGAATTGGCGAAGGAGCTCAAGGTAAGCCACGATCCCCTTGGACCTCAGGACCTGTCCTCTCTAACATCTACCAGGATGCGTTCTACGAGCAATTAAACGAAGCGAAGGCATGTGTAGAGGAACCTCCTCAGCCGAAGATCAAACTACGCGCACCTTCCACCCAGACTCCGACCACCGGTCCCGGAAGGCCAAAGCGCATTACAATACATGTTGGCGGCGGCAGAGAGGACTCTCAGGGCTCACCAGCATCACAAGCGGGCCCATCTGGTGACACCGCGGTGGCGCAGCCAGCTGTGAATGGTGGCATCGCAATACCACCTCCCACCGCCACCTCCTTGCCCACTCCTGGTCCAGCTGCTGGTGCACCTCCAACACCGACCGCGGCTGTAAAGCGTGAGGACTCAGCTCGCCAATCTCCTGCCATTCCTCCTCAGGTCAGCAACGGCTACAGCTCAAGCGCCTTCCGACCTGTCATGACACCAGTCAACGGTCAAAGCCAGCCCCAACATGCGGGCATGCCAAATGGCCATGCACCACCCGTAGTGCAACACCCTCCCAGGCCACTGTACGAAATGAAATACCGCGGCCCGGGCACAAGTAAGTCGACGCTCATCACAATTTACCATGATTTTTTGCTGACTTTGTCGCAGACGTTAGAGATGCCATCCTGACCAACTTCTGCATCCGTACGCCGCTGGATGAAGATGACGAGAGGCGCTTCTCCTTTAATATTCCTCCCCACCCCAAGCTTCTCCAGCAGTCTCTCACAGTCACCCTGGGCCCAACGCAGTGGAAGCTACAGCTCTTGCCCCGTATCTCGCCAGCACTCGAGGAGCAGCAGCGGGCCTATAAGATGTACATTCTGGTCAACGGCCAGGTACTCGCGCGTGGAGTCCCCAATCCCCGGGACCCGCCTCAGCATGGAGAAGCGGTGTACAATGCAAACCTGCATGCGGGAGTCAACACTGTTACGGTGTATATGATCGCAGCTCTGCCCAAGGGTCAGACTCTGCCGAACGGCTCGGATGCTGTGATGGAGAAAATCACGATCTTGGCGAACGTGACAACGCAGTAGAACTGCGACATTCGGTCTAAGGGGGAATGCACCCGTTATCGTAACTTCGTGACGCATTATTTCGAGCTTCGTGGAGAGTGAGGTGAGCTCAAGACGACTTTTTTGTTGGAAAAACCCTCCAGAGGTCATTCTGGCTAGTCACTTCATGCCATTTGATAATGTATCGGAACGGTTGGTGGGGTTGGCCGTGATAACGATGAACCCACGGAGGGGTGGGTACTTTGTTCACGGTGCTTAATGGCTGGAGTTCCAGGTACAGGATTCTCGGATGTGGACTTGACGGTATTGGACATTACACTGCAAAGAAGAAAAAATCTTACTTTCTTGGTAAGCGCAGGAGAATAGCTATATGGCAGATAGTGTTGGCCATGCGGCCTCACTGGTGTACACAGTCCAATATGTTCCATCGTGAGACGGCGCCCCAACGGAGAACTCAATCGCCGGGCAGACCAATATCAGCGAAGCAGTGTCATTGAAATCTCTACCCACGCCATGTGAATCACGAGTTTGGCTGTTGCGAGGGCGAAAGTCTCTGTTGTCAAGATGTTTGCGCTCTGAGGAACCGCTGGCAGGGAAGGGCGCCATCCACTGCCTCCTCCCTTCCTTCATACTAAACTATACCAGAGTACTTTAAGTAGGTAGTAGTACTATGTATGGTATGTACTGTACCCATTGCTGATGGGAGGGTCCTGATAAGATAAGCAGTAGCCAGGATTGGACGGACTACCCTGATGCCCGTGCACGGCGAGTTCAAAAAAATCTGCTCCCAGCCGTTTGAGTTGCCCCACGTTTTTTTTCGAGCGACTCAAAATCCCATCGGCGGCCAGCCTTTAAGAAAAAAAAAACCCCCTTCAAACTGTCGCAGCCCTTCCTCTCCTCCTTCCTGCCGTCAACCCCCAATCACCTTTCCATTCCCTTATTCTCCCAGATTCCATTCAGACCACATTCAAAATGGCCGAGGAAGTCTACGACGGTGCCATTGGCATTGATCTGGGTACGTTCTGACATGGTTTCCGCGTCGTCGTCGTCGCGGCGTCTTCTTGTTGTCCGACGAGAAAAGCTGTCGTCGTCCTCGCGCTACAGGACTTGCATAGGATATAATCGCTGACTTGTACTCTCTCTCTCACACAACAGGAACCACCTACTCCTGCGTGGCCACCTACGAGGGCAACAATGTCGAGATCATCGCCAACGAGCAGGGCTCTTTCACCACCCCTTCGTTCGTCTCTTTCACCGAGCAGGAGCGATTAATCGGTGAGGCTGCCAAGAACCAGGCTGCCATGAACCCCGTCAACACCGTCTTCGATGTCAAGTAGGTTGCTCTCGGGCACTGCATAGCCCTAACGTCAATAAGGAGTACAGTTTCTGATAACAGCATCTTGCAGGCGTCTGATCGGTCGCCGCTTCGATGACCCCACCGTCAAGAAGGACATGGAGTCCTGGCCCTTCAAGGTCGTCGATGACGAGGGCAACCCCAAGGTTCAGGTCGAGTACCTGGGCGAGACCAAGCAGTTCTCCCCCCAGGAGATCTCTGCCATGGTTCTTGTCAAGGTAAGATCCCCTGCTTCTGTAACGATTACTACAGAGACAGGCGCTAATGATTTTCCCCCGCCAAACAGATGAAGGAGATTGCCGAGACCAAGCTGGGCAAGAAGGTCGAGAAGGCCGTCATCACCGTCCCCGCCTACTTCAACGACAACCAGCGTCAGGCCACCAAGGATGCTGGATCCATCTCTGGTCTTAACGTCCTCCGTATCATCAACGAGCCCACTGCTGCTGCCATTGCCTACGGTCTTGGCTCCAATAAGTCCAACAAGGAGCGTAACGTCCTGATCTACGATCTGGGCGGTGGTACCTTCGATGTCTCCCTGCTTAACATCCAGGGTGGCGTGTTCACCGTCAAGGCTACTGCTGGTGACACCCACTTGGGTGGTCAGGACTTCGACACCAACCTGCTGGACCACTGCAAGAAGGAATTCACTCGCAAGTTCAAGAAGGACCTGTCGGGCGATGCCCGTGCCCTCCGTCGTCTCCGCACTGCTTGCGAGCGTGCCAAGCGTACCCTGTCCAGCGGTGCCCAGGCCACCATTGAGATCGACTCCCTCTTCGATGGCGAGGATTTCAACATGCAGATTACCCGTGCCCGTTTTGAGGACCTCAACGCCAAGGCTTTCACCGGCACTCTCGACCCCGTGACCCAGGTCCTCAAGGATGCCAACATCGAGAAGTCTGGCGTTGACGAGATTGTTCTTGTCGGTGGCTCCACCCGTATTCCCAAGATCCAGAAGCTTCTGAGCGACTACTTCGACGGCAAGAAGCTCGAGAAGTCCATCAACCCCGATGAGGCTGTTGCCTACGGTGCTGCCGTCCAGGCCGGTATCCTCTCTGGCAAGGCCACTTCTGCTGATACCGCCGACCTCCTCCTGCTTGACGTCGTCCCTCTGTCCCTCGGTGTCGCCATGGAGGGTAACATCTTTGCTCCTGTCGTTCCTCGCGGCAACACAGTTCCTACTCTCAAGAAGTTCGTGATCCTATCCCTCTGGTGTTGAGAGAAGACGTTACTAACATGCCATGACTAGGGTTCGTATTAACCGATTTTTTTCAAGTCTCGGCTTCCCCTTTCCTACATTTTTCAGTTTTCCCATTTGCCCCTTCCCTCCGCCAATACCCAGCCAAAACATGGGCGACTTTTTGTTGAGCCCATGTTTTGGCTGGGTTCCGGACTGTCTACTTTCTCTACTCTTCATCCCCCCCCCCCCCTTTCTCTACTCTTCATCCCCCCTTGGTAAAGACGACTCTGCAACTCTGGAACCATGGATCTCCTCTCTCTCTCTTGATCGCCATGGTCTAGCGCTGCCTGTCCATCGCCGTCGAGAAGAATCCTCTCTTCGACCTGGTCTTCTTTGATGAGGATATTCTCCGGGAGATCACCACTGCTGCCAGCCTATCCTTCTGTCCCGGTCTGATGGACGTCCTCCAAGCTGCCTCACCACCTCCGGTCAGCTTCTTCAAACTTCTCCCTACTGCTCACCTCAACCGCTGGGGTATCTACGCTCTCGTCCTGGAGAAAATTGAGGATTCTACGCTCGTTTACATTGGCTCAGCTACAAATGCTCGCGGAGGAGTAAAAGAACGCTGGACGCTCTACGACCGGTGTAACCGTCGCAGGCCTCATGTTACCGCCAAATCATGCCCAAGCAATGTCAAGGAGGCTCTCAACAATGGCTACCGGATAGTTTCCAAAGGTCTCCTTGCGTGGTGTCCTATCCCTTCAGCTAAGGATGTTCCACGGAGGCGTGTGCTATCCTACGCTTTTGAAGCCATGTTTAGCTATCTCTTCTGGGCCCTGCAAAGCAAAACCATGGATTCCGAGATAATGTCCTGCTGTCCTTGGTCGCCCCAATCCTTCACCTACCGCGGTGCTTGCAGCCACAACGCTCTGAAAGACCTGATCAAGGGCCATTTCGACTTGACCGCCGAGCAGCTCGAGATGCTCGCCCAACAAAGCGCCAAGAGCATCAAATCCTCCAAGCAGCGCTACAAGGCTCAGCGTAAAGCTGAAGATCCAGACGGCGTCCATCAGGCGAGCGCAGATGATTATGCCCGCATTAAAGCTAAGGATCCTGAGGGCCACCGGCAGTACTATCAAGACAAATATCAGCGTACCAAGACGGAGTCGCCCGAGCTGATCAAGAAATGGTCTGCTGATCGTCGAGCGCGCGTCATGGTCGATCCTGTGCTCTATGCTCGTGAGAGGGCTGCCGATAAGAAGCGCTACAAGATCAGCCGGTCCGCGATGCTGAAAGCCAAGGCATTCTACTGCGAAACATGTCAAAGAGCCTGTGCAAAGCAATCTGAGTTCGACCGTCTCAACGCCTCGAAAAGACACGTCAAGAAAGTCAAGGACAAGGCTGCTGGCACAGTCTTCGAGTATCAGTGTCAATTCTGTCCCTATGGTACATCCACCTGGCGCAACTATCGCGAGCACCGAAAAACCCACGGTCTCGGGGATTCGAACATGGACGAAGTCTCGACGTAGATCATCGTGATCTCAATATCATTACCCAGGACTTTTGGACCACGACACCAGCTTCAGCTTCTCAGGACTACACTTCTCACTTTTTCCTTCTCACTTTTTCCTTTCTCACTTTTTCCTTTCTCACTTTTTCCTTTCTCACTTTTTCCTTTCTCACTTTTTCCTTTCTCACTTTTTCCTTTCTCACTTTTTCCTTTCTCACTTTTTCCTTTCTCACTTTTTCCTTTCTCACTTTTTCCTTCAACACAGCTCTAATACAACTTGCTAATTCATCTTGGAACCACACATCTAGCGTACCTTCACTACTGTGGCCGACAACCAGCAGACTGTTCAATTCCCTGTGGTGCAGGGTGAGAGAACCAATTGCGAGGACAACACCTCTCTGGGTGAATTTACCCTGGCTCCTATCCCGCCTATGAAGGCTGGTGAGCCCGTCCTTGAGGTCGTCTTCGAGGTCGACGTCAACGGTATCCTGAAGGTCACGGCTACCGAGAAGACCTCCGGCCGCAGTGCCAACATCACCATCTCCAACTCTGTCGGCAAGCTGTCCAGCGCTGAGATCGAGAACATGATCAGCGACGCTGAGAAGTTCAAGTCCAACGACGAGGCCTTCAGCAAGCGCTTCGAGGCCAAGCAGCAGCTCGAGTCCTACATTACCCGTGTCGAGGATATCATCTCCGACCCTACCCTGTCCCTGAAGCTGAAGCGCGGCCAGAAGGAGAAGATCGAGCAGACCCTGAGCGAGGCCATGTCTCAGCTCGAGCTCGAGGACTCCAGCGCCGACGATCTGAAGAAGAAGGAGCTGGCCCTGAAGAGGCTCGTGACCAAGGCCATGTCCTCCCGATAAGCGTCTCGTAGCCACGCTCCGCTCTCGCTCTTTTCGTACCAAGACACATCATCATCTTGGTCACTGTATGACACCTCACGATACCATGACGGAGAGTGAAAAGAGGGGAGAGCTGGGTTATCTCTCAGGTGAAAAGCAAGTTACGAGACCGTTGACACCTTGCACTTTTGAGGATGGTCTCCGGGGAAGGTAGTTGATAACGGAAGGTCTTGCATGGGTTGACAAGGCAATTCTTGCACATCTTTTTCCTCGTCGTGTCCTTGTCTAGGAGATGCAGTCTCTTTACCCAGCAGGCTGAGAGGGTAATGACGCTGATCAATCTGTGGTCGAAGGTGTGAGGTACTGCAATAGTTGCTTCCACCTTATCTCCTTTTTTTTTTTTTTTTCCCTGGGAGGGAGTGCAATAGGCACTCGCTCTTTATAACAACGACGTTGCATGGCGCAACAACTGCGAGTAGATTTGGGTTGAAAAGGCTACTAAAATTGAATGGTACACTGATTAGAATATTTCTTGAGAAGCTCATTGCATCTGTGAAATGTGAAGAGTTTTGCACTCGGTTGATAAGAATCATGTGTCCTCCATTGTCAATGTGCATGCCTGTGATAAATCATGTCATACCACTTGACACCAGTACCTAGTACCTGGCGCTTGTAAAAAGGAGAGTGAGACCTCAAGAGAACAAAGAAAATAACACAATACAGAGAAGAAGCCAAGGTCAGTAATAAGAACATATCCAACTCTGCAAGTGACATTCTCAGTTCAAATTATAGAACAAGCTCCTGGCTTAAATAAGATTCAAAATGGTTTTCACAATGTTGTCAAAGTACTGCCAGTTTACTTAGTCAGCCAACAGCGTATAAGTGTACGTCAATGTTCGGCTTGCTGAGGAACCCGCAATCTCCACCTCATCTCAACCACCAACTTCCTCCCATGAGAGCTCTCGGGACAGAAAACCGCCTCTTCAAAACAGCTAACAGTCTGCAAAAGACTGCAAAATGACTGCGCTTCAGACTTTTGACTACTTCTTTGACCTTCCGGGAGAGCTGCGTGAACAGATCCTCAGCTACCTCCTCGTCAGAAGCCATGGCGTCGGGCTCGGCTCAATGCCTGGCATAGTCCCCTCTAAAGCAGATGACATAGAGACTGGTGACTTCTACGACTGTCCCAAGCAGAATGGGGCACCTGCGTATCCGTTGAACTACTTCCTTGTCAGCCAGACCTTCCACGACGAGGCCACGTCAGTTTACTTCCGCGAGAATTCCTTCCACATCGTCGCCACCGGGCGAAAGTACCTGCCGACACAGAGTGGTCTGGTTCGTGTACCAGATCAAGTCCTCGAAGAGCGAACCAGGAGGGCCTTCCTCCCATCCCCAGGTGAGGCTCTGCTCAACAGGCCCGACTGGGCCCACGTGCGACAGCGGATCCGGAAGGTCGTGCTGTACCTTCAGCGGCCGCGCGGGTTCCTCGAGAAAGAAATCTTTGAGCCGCTCCTGGATATGATCCTCGCGGGTGGACTCAAGTCTCTTGACGTCAGGATCTGCTGGTTCGGCTCGCGGGGGCAGAAGCTGCTCTCGTGCCCTCCTCTGAAGTCGCTGTATCGTGTGCTGGGCGATCCGGACCTGGATGACGTGAGGCTGCGAGTGGCTGCGAGAGCACACGAGCAAGTGTGGTGTCCCTTCCATGACGGGGGTGGTGATGGGTATAAGCGTTGCAGAGCGGAGAAGGTCGAGAAGCATGGCAAGATTGGCGGGTGGGTTGATATTGATGTCAATAGGCTGATCCAGGCACACGGTGAAGTGGAAGATCAGGCGAGGATCTTCAAAGTCGGTGACCAAGGACCCTTTTGGGGCCAGCCTCTACGACATAGACTGGCAGCTTCTTCCCAAAACCCCCCAATAGTCTGACCTTCTGACTGGCGATCATGGCCTCCGCCGCCCCAGTACACCAATAACGGCATTATTGAGAAGCGTTTTTCGATCGAGGCTAGCTGTGAGTGGCCAAGAGAAACGACTGAGCTGGTCATTACGAGCCACAGTCCTTGCCACCACCGGATCACACCAAGCCATGTTTTCTACATCAAATGACCATGTTCGTCATCCCTTTTGAAAGTAATACCATTGATCAAGTGAAGGGGCTGACTTGCTCAAGAAACACAAATTAGCTTGGCAGACCCCGATTGGCTGACCATAAGTCACTGGTTATGTCATCCTTTGCGCTGACTGAACATTAAGTATTCAACTAAGGTTTGACACAGAAGATGCGATTGGCACAAGATGGCTCGGTTGGTAGGGCATTGAAGCAAATTATAGGCTTCCAGTAGCTGACAGTTGGGGATCTCCTTCTCAGTCCGCCTTGTGGTTTTATGGCGTGGCCTGGATATCTTCCAAGACAGCTGCTATCATATGGGACAACTGTAGATAAACATGGACAGTCAGTGTGTCTTCATCATATACTATTCCACTTCATCTGTGACTGCATGTTGTATGGCCTTCACAAGTCTCTTCTTGCTAACGACTTGTTGCTTTTGACGCCTCAGCACTTCTAATGCACCAGCTTCAGACGCCCACAGCTGCTGCTGAAAGTGACTGCTGTACTGCGGCCATTCAGAGTTATCCTCTTGTCTCTCTTAACATCTTATTCATCTACAACATCATCTCTATCTGTTTCTACTATAAATACAGCCCCAAGCTCTACCAACCTTCTCCTAAACTTGCTTCTCGACACCATCATCGTATCCTCCCACCGACAATAAGACAGCAAAGGGGCTAATAAGGGCTAATTCTCGGAAGGAGGCGGCTCGAGGGCGGCCCGCCTCGAAGCTTCTCTCTTGTGGTCTCCTCTTCGGATCTGAGCACCACATTGTGGCCTCACTCGACCTTGGGTATCTGTCGACAGGGCACTGGGACTTCTAAATCGTCAGCATGATCATCGATTACGATGCCTCTCGGGATCCTCACCTCAAGAGCTATATCTCGAATGACCGAGAAGGACCTCGCTATATCTCGAGCGGGTTGATTCCTAGTATGTCTCGGCCTGGTCGGTTCACAGTATTCTCCAGCCATGGAGCCTGTCTATCCTTAGGCTCACCTGCGATGCGGCGATTCTCTCGAACAGTCTTATAATGTAGCTATATGCGCGGATTATTATGTCTTGCACCGGCTACCTATCTCTTCGACCGTCGGGTGCTCGGTATCGTAGCGGGTGGTGTTCTGTGTCTCCGCAGGACAAGTATGACAAATCCTCTGCTCTTCGGGCTTCTCGCAATCTGAGGAGCTCTGCAAGAAGTAAGATGCTGTCCGTGTGACATCCTATCATCCTCTTCCAACGATTGGTCTTTCAAAATGGCCATTCAGCAGAGACAGAAACAGCCCATGTCAAGATGGTCGATCAGCGGGTCGATAATACACAAGAAGCTGGAGACGACGCGATACATTACACGACCTGGGATTATATCGACAGAGCCTTAGGTCCTCGTCTTCCTTCTATGCCCACATCGGAGCGTCAATACAAAGCGCCGGGCTCACTCCAATGAAGCGCTAGCTGTATCGATCTTGACACATTCAGCCGCATGTCCCTGGAGTATCAGACCGGCAACACCTAGGAGGTCTTCCGCAAGCTCTAGACGAATGGTCTCATCATAGGGAACGAGGAATTTCAGTCCCGACGTCCAGTATATGAAGCGCATCAAGCTTTGCCTGGCCGTCCCCTCCAGCAGTTGATGCCTTCTTCAGGTTCCGATATGGAATGCTCCAAATCCGGCGTGCTGCTATGATATCGACAGTGCTGCCGAGCTTCTTCTTCTGCTACTTTTGTGGGGGTCAGCAATCAAGTACGTGTCCAGGAGAACGACGATGCAAGGACTCTCCTCTCAGTTACCACTATATGGCAGAGGCCAAGGTTACATTATGCTGGTTGCTGCCTTCTTTATCACCACTGTAGCCCCAGGAATATTGCGGCATTCATGAAGCCTCCGTGACCTTGCAAATTCCCAAAGTCGGATATTCTCAAGACAACTCTGATGGAGCAGCTGTTCTAATGCCTATAATTCTGGTTGCGGACTTCGCTGCACAACAGAACAACAGCGCCGAGTCAGAGAGGCTACGATACAGACTATATATCTGGACATTCATTAAGTCCGGACCTGTCTTCGATGTTTGAGCTCGTGGTCCATTCAGCTCCGCCTGATGGCAGTTCAGTTAGGCAGACAAGCTTCCGAAGACGACCATGGATATCACCGCAGCCCTCCGCGTCCTTAGGATCTCTGAACACCAACAGCAGAAAGAACTTTATCAGCTCCAACAGCCTGTTGGTCTCCCCTGCTCATATTGATGGTCTCGCGACGCATAATGTTGTCATTAGGCATAAGATCACAGATTTTCTCGGACAAACGTTCCATCGAACGTTGCCCAGAAGCAATCAGTCAGAATTGTCTTTTCTTTGGTTTGGGGGGGGGGGGGGGTAGTGCTTTTTATCACACTGCCTTCAAGGTTCATCGGTCACTCTTCTGGTTATGTTTCTGTTGCCGAAGCTATTGGTTCTTTGAGCCACAGGGAAAGTCCGGATACTTTTCGGGATGCTCATGAATTGAACCAGGGTGTGAGGGCCCAGAGCTTTAGGGGACCAACACATTCTGCTTCTGACAGCCCATATTCATACCTTCACCATCTTCTAGACTATGACTAGGATCAGCCTGAAGCTCGACGTATACCTTGCGGGGGCGGATTCAATAAGACCTTGCCCGTCCCTCCTCCTTCTGAGCTCCGGATAGTGGTGGCAACTTGCGCACCACCATCATTGACCACGGCAAAGAGTATCTCGGTATGTTCCTCAGTCTTGCTTACAAAGTTTCTGTAACCATGCTAACACAATAAAAGGATCCTGCCCTTGCTATGCACCAGTCAACTCTAACCTGGAGTTTTTTGCGTTGGACCCGGTATTCAGAGCGGGAGCCAGCTTCTCCAGGTCCTCGAGGTCAAAGACCTGGATCGATGCTCCCTCGATGTCACTGCCGAATGCTGCACAAGTGGATAATGTGCACAGATCGCGACCACTCTCGCCTGCACTGTACAATGAGCCCACGAGCGTACAAGAGCATGTAATTACGGAGAGGGTGTTGTTTCTGGAGGCTGCTATCCCCTGTCTGCTGGTGAATCTTTGAGAAGGGAAGATATAATTACGGAGATGGATAATTTGGCTACGAGAGTCAACCACTGGGCGCAGCCCACTCTAATACGAAGAGGAGGAGGAGGAGGAGGATGATGTCGCTGCCGCCGCCGCCGCCGACATTCTCAGCAATGAAATCCAAAACTAGCAATCAAATGGAATGTCCAATTCCAATTCTTATCCACATAGATACGGCCTTTTGATGGCTTTTCTAACCCAAATACTCAACGATACCTCACTGATCCTGCTCCCCGTGATTTTGCAGAAACTCGTCTTGTATTCCGTCTCCCCTTGCGAATTTCCTCTATATCTTCTCCGACCCAGATCTTGAAGTGTGGGTTAGTACTGTGATCTCGTCGTCCAAGGCTGAAGGACTGCTCCCTATGACAATAGTCTAGAAAGATGACCGGTCTCTTCAGTAATGACCATGACCGAGATAATGACAAGACATAATCCAGTATAGATTCCTGCAAGGCCATGCACGACTACATGTTCTGATTTCGTGGCCGTCAGCGCGTGACACCATACACACGGAGGACTCCTTGGGCTAGGGCTAGGATAGGAGACCAAAGTGTATTTGCGCGCCAGGAACTGGCAATGGCAGCAGGAAAGCGGCGGCTGAAGGATGAGTCGCACGTTTACATGACTGGCCCTAAAGAAAAGACTCATACACCAAGCAAGTAAGAAGATAACGTCCCATGACACTATAGTCCAAGTGCGACGACGGACAGCCGCGTGGAGAGCCTCCTTCGTATGCTTTGTTCCTCAGCTCCATGTACAACCAAGCCCGATTCTGCCTAACACATAAGTGCTACTCATACCGATCGACACATGTACAATGAGACTAATAATTCGACTAGAAGCTTGTGCACAAAGAAATGAAGTCTCCCCAGAAGGATAATTTACAGTGACAAAAAGCACACATCCCAAAAAGGCTAATTAATTAAGTCCAACCCCTCCAGTCGCCCGAGCACCGCGGAGCGGTCCGAGACAGCCCGGCAGCCAAGCCCCCCCTGTGAAAATGCCCCGCCTGCAGGCGACAGCGTCTTCTTGGCGGACGGGTGATCCCCATCTCATGTTTTGTTACTGGCTCGGAGCATATTATTCTTGGAAGTAGAAGAGAAGGGAGAAGAAGGTGGGGAGGGGGGGGAGGGGCGGGGGCAAGCCAAGAAGTCTGACGAGAACTCAACGCTGCCCTCGTATCAAGAAGAGAAACGGGATGCTGCAAAACGAACAGGGCCAGTGTCGGACGATCACTCACATGTCTCGCTCGGGCTCTCTTTTCTCTCACCCTCGCATCATGGCGTGCTTGGCCGCGACGCCTCGGTCCAACGGCCAATGTTTTGAAGCGCAGGCGGCGAGTTGTGTTTTTTCCTTCTGTTTCTTCTCTGGTTTCCCTGGACGCCCGCCGCCCGCGCGGAGGGGAATCTGTCCTCGGCGCCGGGCGGTCATCTCGTACATCCGCCCGCTCGGCGCCGAGGACAAACTGCAATGGTAAGCAGCCACCTGCAGCAAGCAAATATACATGGTACATTAGACCGTGTATCAAGAAACAACACCCCTGTCCCCCTCGGACGGCGACCTCCGCAGCACCTGAGGACCACACGCGTGATCCAGATGCCCTCCTCTCGCCTCACTATCACCCAACCTTGGTGTTTCTCTCTCTCTCTCTCTCTCTCTCTCTCTCTCTCTCTCTCTCTCTCTCTCTCTCTCTCTCACACACACACACATTTTATTTCAGAGCCTAGCCTATGGGGATATGCAGACAGGAGCTTACAAAGATAAGGATGGCGGCTTACTAGGCTCGCACGACAACACACCGCACCCCTGGTAGGAATACAAGGCTTATGGGTGGGTGTTGGACAAGACCTGTGTGTGGGACAACATGATGGTCATCGCTCCTTGGCACGACGTGACCTTCTAGATTAAAGAAAGAGTTTGAGGCGAGAACCAAGTGGCGGCCGTGCGAGCCAAGAAGTGTCTTGGCCATACTCCTATTGATGGAGGAGGGGGAAAAAGGGGGCGATGTGCAGCTCTGGTCTCACAGGCCGAGACCTTGGCAGGAGAAAGAAGAGGTTTCCCTCGTTTCGTTGAGCAAGATCTGCCTCCTGCTGTTGTGCGAGAGTTGTGGTAGCCTTGGGAGAAGGAGCGTTATCGCTACTGTCTGGCGTGGCTTGCCGCGGAGAGAAATATGGGATGCAACCATCTCATCTGCATCCACATGCACATGCATGCATCGTGACCTCGCGCGCTCGAGCGGTAAGCTTTTTTCTGTGGACAGAGTGTGCTCCTAGGATGGATAGATAGATCAGAATTCAAGTTGCTGGCTGCTGATGCCTGTGGTGTCTTTTCTTCTGTCGTATCTTGCGCTGGCACGAGTAGTATGACTTCCATCACCCAGTATATTTCTAGAACATTTGGGAGCAAGATGATGAAGATAGGCTTCATTTCCTAACTTAAGAACTAACTATGACAAGATGCCAGTAGTAAGTAAGTCATGACGGAAAGAGAGAGAAGACAAATTGCCCCTCAAGATCCAGGCCCGCTATTTCCTTTCTCTTTTCTTCGTTTTTTTCCTTTTCGTTCTCTTTCGAGTTTTCACATTGCTTGACAAATGGAAACCGTGATAGACCATTCACCACCCGACACCCGAGATTCCGTCAAGGGAAAACTTCAACCAAACAAAGAAAGAAAAAAAAAAGGAAATTGCCGCGGCGCTGGGGTCAGACCCATTTTATTGAGGTCGGTCGTGCATCGTGCTGATGCACGACCGACGGGACCGGATGAATGGGTGGATTGATTGAAGGATTGATTCTGAATCCCAATCCATCAGAGATAGTAGTCGTCCTTTGCGTGCGTGCATGCGTTGCGGAGAGTTTCACTCGACAGCGACCTCAACCTCGTGCCAGTCGTCCTTGTGGTCGCCGGCGTGCTCACCAAAGTGGACAGGGGCGACCTTCAGGACGCGGTAGCCGGAGGACTTGCCGTCGCTGCTGAGGGACGAGCTGCGCCGCTTGTGCTCGGCGGCGGATTGGGCAGCAGCAGCAGCAGTAGCGGGCTCAGCGGGTTTGGTCTGCTGGGCTTTGGGAAAGGAGGCCGAGGTGACGGGGCCCAGGGGGAGGAAGTTGAGGAGGGGGGTGCGGCTGGCAGACATCTTGCTGATCTTCTGTCCTGGCGATGTAGAGAATAGAGTAGGATAATGAGTGATATGTCGTCCTTCCTGTCCTAGGCAAGAATGAAAGGCAGACCCTTGATATATATATATATATATATATATTTATATCAAGAGGACTGAAGTGGGACGGAGTTGACTGGAATGTTGCGAAGCGGGAGCGGAAAGAGAGAGTAGAGTTTGGCTGACGTTTGCGGTGACGTCTCGTTGTGCTGAACGCGGGAGTGGGAATGTCTTGGAAACTGGTTTTGCTGAGGGAATGGGAAGATGGATAACAACGCGTGCCGCTTGAGACTGGAGGGGAGAGGGACCCAACCTTTATATGAACGAAGAGGTGTACGGCTCGAGTAGCCCAAACCAGTAAACCCAAGCGACTTCCTCCAAACCGGATAGCACGGACTGCTTTTGGGCCGCGCAGCCAAGCTTGCTTGTTTAAACTTGTGATACCGAGCCTAGCCAGCCAGCAGCGTCAATAGCCAAGAAATGTACATAGAGTACAAACATTACGGGTCGGAGGGGCGCGCCTGGCGCGGGGCAGGGTGGAGGGACAGGTGCATGGCCTGGTGGGATCTTTTGACAGGGGATCCAGCTTTGCGCAATGACTGCATACTGATCTGATCCTTCAGTTCCTTTCGTCCTCCATGACCGACCAGACCCGACACGACAAAGAACAGGTCTTGTCGTCTGTCAGTCTGCCCCGTGGCGCTCTGGAACTGAACAGACCAAAGAGATGGCTTCTCGATATCAATTGTCCATATCCTCGTGATGGCGCACACTGTCCACTTCTTGCGTGTGCTGGCAGGGAACTTGCAGGGGAACTTGCAGGGGAACTGGTAGTATGCCGTCATGGGAAATCGTGGGGACCACCATGCTTATCTCTAACCCTGCCACGTCCATGTTTCCATGAACGGAAGAGTCTCACCCTCTGCTCTATGCTCCAGCGTGTCAGAGGGTCTTGCCCCCCCGTCTGACCTACCAGAGTACACATAGCATCCAGGGTCTCTGCATTCCACTCCTGTGGAAAGAACGTGGTCATGCCATTGGCCATGGACGAAAGGAAGTAGGGTGGAAAGAAAAGGGAAATGAGCCTTTGTTATCCGAGGTAGAAAAGTGGGGTACGGGACGCTCTCTCTGTTCAGAGGGAGGGCAGGGGGGGTGGTCGGCAGAGGGTTCGTCGGCCATGCGCGTGAAGTCTTCGCATCTCCTGATCCAGATACAACCACGATACAAAAGATGGACTGACTGATATCAGAAGGGAGGATGTCAGAGGTGGAGAATACGCTTGCGGCTCCGCGAGGAGTCGGCAACGAGACCTCTCGGAATTGGAATCCGGGGTAGATCTGGGGTCAGAGGCACGTCTTCGGGGCCAGCATGGGCCGTGATTGGTCCGCCTGGGTATGTCAAGAGGATTTCCCGGAACGTCTGCTGCGACCTCAGCTCCTCGGTCGTTGTGAGCCCTACGCCAGCCGCCCAGAACCAAGCTTTGCTGCTTTGGCGGGGATGGTCGCCGGCACCCCCTGCTGGTTGCTGTCCTCTGCTCGTGCCTGCTTTGCTTCCCAACTGTTCAGGACGGGCGAGCGAAAGCCCAGGCACCTTATTGTGGCTTGAAACATCGCTGTTGGTCTGCTGCGCCGCATGTGCTCGTGGCTTGATGCCGCGCCCTGGGTTTCCGGCCGTAGCAGCAACATTCTGCCTGGTCATGTGCCGTTGTTGGCGACGCAGCAATGGGAGTAGCCGACTGGAGAGGATGGCGGGAGGACGCTGATGTGGTAAAGCCTCCCCATGGTGTTGACAAGCCCACCAACGCTGGACGGCTCTGTCAACCTTAGCGTTATAATAAGCTCACAGGACAGTTAGGAGTCGGCCTGCGTGGTCTGGTGCTGTCGGCCAACATCTGTTGGCTACTCGGTCAACGACGTTGGATCCGGCTCAACAAGACGCCTGAAGCTGTGATTATGCGCAAATCTTGAGAGAGGCGACACTGATCGTTTACTCGGTCACGAAGGCGACGACGTCCACCTGACGACTAAGGGGTGGCGAGGTTCTGTCTGCAGGTGCCCTACGGTGTAGGTGGCCACACCTATTCGTTGAGACGTGGTCTCGCGTTACATCGAGACATCAAGTACCTCAAAGTACTTCAGAGTCCCTCGCCGGTACCTGCTCTTGTCTCGACGTACTCCAGATGTCCTCGCCCGTCACTCGACTATCTCGAGGCTGTCTGCAATGGGGTCGTTGGCATCAGGGCTTCTTGGTCGCGACTAAGGGCCGGTGTGAGGGTTACGTGCTCGGACGCTCTTGGAAGGTGAATTCGTCTTCACAGCATGAGGAGAGTGCGTTGGTGATGGCGAACAAGTGTGGGGAACGTGATGATGGGCGACAACTTGCATAGTCCCACGAGCTCGTCAGCGGTGCCGTCGCCGAAATTGCCCCGACATAGCCTGGGCTATGTGCTGAAGCAACCATTTGGCTTCGCAAAGTTTGCCATGAGGGGCCCCTATCGTCATGCGCGGTCAGTCCTGTTGGTGATGGGAGCCCATGGACCGAGCTTGGTAGCAAGCTGTGTGCCTCCGCGGCGCAGGTTTGCCGGGTAGGCATGGCAAGGGATCACATACCCAGCTCCAAAGGGGTCAGTCGATAATTGACGAGGTCCTGATCGTGTTGAAGGAGAACCAACAGCAGCGCTGAAATCCAGACGATGTCCCCTCTCCTTGCAAGATTTGGGTCGTCGGTGTGCTCTCTGAGCCTGGTTTGTACGTTACATTTCCTGTGATAGTCCTGGTCTGGGCTCGCCCGGGGTGCGAGCAACTCACCAACAGCCCATGCGTCATGATCTTCCCTCCGTGCCTGATCAGGCTGCTTGCATCTGAATGTGCGTAGGACGCCTGATCACGGGGGCGGTCCAACGGCTGCAGAGGGAGGTGGAATGCTACGCTGGCGACGGCGTGGCCAACTGCAAAGGGTCTCGAGATGCGGACGCGGTGTGCCTATCACGGCCCCTGGGTGGCATCCACAGTTGGTGCACACACAGTACTCGTCATCTGTACGGCAGCGGCGATATCACGCCGTACACTCACGCTTATCCCAGGTCCATGACAGGTCCAGGTCAGCAGGCATCTCGTCAGCAGGATGTCTCTACTACATGGGCTCCGTATGACTCTCGCACACAGACGTGGAAAATCATGGCGCGGACCAGCATCCTCCTCCCATGGGAACAGGGAGGGTGTCTTCGGACAGAAAGTGAACCAACATTGTCCTTCTTGGGCAGGTGTGAGAAGGGGGCCAGACGGGCATCAGCGCCCAGACCTGACACATCACGTCCTCATGAGGTGTAGCTTGCCTCGGAAGGAGCTGGGCTGAGAAATAGTCCGCCTAATATTAGACACGTAAGTAAAGCTCGACCAACACCCGCAGGTCAAATGCATATTGTTCCACCGACAGAAGGAGGAGGGAGAGGAAGAAGAGGTGGTGGTGGTGGCCGTACGCCTGCATGAGATAAGGAAGGGGGGGGGGATGGGGGAACAACAGAGTCTGAGACTCCATGAGGCTTACTAGTCAAATCTTTGCCCTCACACTATTGCTGTCCGGCCTTCCCATCCATTTCTGAGCTTCCTTTATGATTTCAACAGCTTGCAGATTACGACGGTAGTCTTGTCCAGAGCCAATGGCTTCCAGAAAGAGGCGACTCGGGTCGATGGCGAGGCGGCTCCGACAGTTTGGGTCCGCGCCTATCTTCCGCGCGTGAAAGCATGTTGAACGCTGATGTTGCAACTCAAGATCCAATGAGGTTTCCGTCAACAGACCAACAGCGCGCACTAGAGGCGTTGTTGTATCTGTCTTTTGATCAACATAACGTTCTCCAACACGACCTATCGGGTGTTACGTCGGGCGCTTCGGTTGGTGCGTGGTGCGTGAGGCTCGCACGGCTCGTTTGTTGTTAGCTCCTGTAGACGCGCCAACAACGCAAGATTTCACAGGTGCGGCAATTATCTGAGAAGAAGGCCATTTGAGAGCATGAATGTGTCAGCAATTCAGGGCCATGACATTGCGAGAGAGAGTTTTCTAGTTCCTCCCTACTCAACAACGTTTCTATGCTTGATGGTAATTTCTTCAGCAACACGACACGGCAGCTGCAAATGAGGAGGATGCCTGCGTCGCTCCTGCCAAGCTTCAACGCATAAGGACATAGACTGGAATAGCTCTCATGCCAAGTAAAAACCTTGCCCAAGGGAAGTATTGTGATCTCTGGCTTCCGGCTATCGACGCACCTTCCCAACAATGCGAGTTGGTGCAGCCTCCCACACCCCGCTTGTTGGTGGTGAATTTCAAAGCAATGCGTCAGGTGATCTGCAGATTCCCAATGGGTTGGCAGGCAGTTGGTAGCCGTACTTCCACCGTAACTTAACATGGGATTCGGCTCTGCGGCAGTGTACCCCGTGAGAACGGTCTCCAGTTGACTGAAGAGATCTTGATCAGCGATCGTAACCACCTGCTCTGAGCGGGTTAAAAGAGCTCTTCACATCTTCTGCTGCTTTGTCTCTGACCAATACACTCGTACCACAGTATGGTTAGCAAGTGGGAACTTCCAAGATCCTCAAAAGGGTTGGTGCTGAGGGAAAAATAGTGTAGAGCCAAGGCTGAAAAAGCCCCTATGATTGATCACTTGAGAAGGTCCCAAGCGGCCCAGTCCAAAAGCTTGCATAATTTGTCTCATCTTTCAAAATGAGGACACGCATCTTTGAGAATACCATGACTTGCGATCCAGCAGACGCGAACGGGACCTGTAGTCAGTGAGAATATCGGGGCAGCATTGGGGCACCAGCTTGCAGGGGAGGGATATAGGCCATTCTCATCTCGACACGTACCCCCCTAGGTCTCAGCAGCCTTGACTGCAATCTAAGAGGAAAGCGATTGGGCAAGGGAAGATACAAAGGAGACGGGGGGGACTCCAATAGTTACTGGCGACGCGGTGGGCGTCGTACCAATGTACCAACTCAATCAAGGTCTAGGCTCATACAGATGTCGACCTTTACTTGCGTGAAAGAGTGTACGGCGTCACATGTAAGTTCGACTATCTCTATACGCCAGCGACATTGACGCATGTTGTTGTGATGAAGAAATGAGAGGCGCCTCAGGCTTGATGCTGATTGGTCCTGGAGCGCCTGCTGAGGCGAGGCTCTTGACGCCAACAAGCGCCGAACCGAGTGTGACAGTGGTGCAATGAAACGCTCCAACAGTGCATGCAGCATGCAGCATGCGATGCCCCTTGCATCGCATGAGATGCATGCAGTTAGTTTGTAAAGAAAATGCGGCTCAATGGCTACCGCGCCAGCCATTCAAGCATAATAGATGATGCAACCCCTCAGGGGCCGGTGAGAGGACTATTATCACCTTGCAAGAATGCTTAGCGCACCAACTGCAAGTTCAACTAGTAATCGCATCGGGAGAATGCGTGCCTCCTCATTGATCCAATGCACCGCAAAGCCGCACCGCGGATATGGAATCGGTGGGGGCCAATTTGAGTATGTGGCTGTTGCTGCTTGCTGGATCCGCAGAGACGCCCCGAGGGAGGGTATAGCAGGTAGTCGTCCGCACCGTCCGGTGTTTCTTCAGGTAAATCCTATTCAAAGAGTAATTAGCACATATCTATGACGATATCCCAGGGTGAGCATGATGTATAAGAAGAAGACAGTAGGTGAGGCCGGGCGACGAAGAGGGTGGATTTAGACCTCACCAGTGCAGGTGCAGGTGCAGGGCATGAAATTAAATCTACCATGGACTTCACATGAGCATGTACAGAAGTACTGCATCCACGTTCCATACTTTGGATCGTTCAGGTGACTTCACCGCGCAGCAAATAAGCAAAAAAAAACCACACATTTTACCAGGGACAGTAGGTCATCCCTGGGCCATGCAGTACACCAGGCCAGCAAGTTACAATATGCCAAACGGGACAGGAATACCAAGGGCAACTCCAGTCCGTGGTCTCAAAAACGCGTAATAGTACACAGTAGTAACGATGATCGACCTCGCCTGTGGGGGCTTGACTGACATTAAAAGGGATCCTGCGCGACTGATGTCTACCCGGTTTCTGCAGGCAAGGTGCGCTATGAAATGTCGATACGGGTAGGCGGCATGCTGCGACTGGCGAGACTAACGAGATGAAGTACTGAAGACCGGATTCTAGCGAATCGCTGGTGAAGCAGCCTGGCTCAAGCAGGAAGACAAGTCCGAGCTGGCTCCAGCGGGAGCGCGAGTTCGGAGGAAAGGATTCCCGTACCTACGTACGTACGTATGTAGTAATGTCAGGTCACGCTAGGCCAGTCCAACATGAACGCAGACGACATCACGATCGGAGAGTAGAAATAAGGTGGCCACTGATGAGCAGAGCACATCGGATTTGACAGTTGACGCAACGTAGTTTAGCTGCGCAAGCCAGGTGAGGGTCCCGCTGTATTGAGGATGGACAAGGTGAAAGGTCTGATAAATGAGCATGGCTGTGGAGATGAGCCGGGGTTTTGTTTTCACAATCATGAAGAGGAGGTCCAAAGTTTATGTAATGAGGCAAGTGCTTCTTGCACAGACCCACCCAGACAACACCAACCAATCAATCTGACAGGGTCTCCCCAAGCTGACAGACAGGGGTGCCCACGTTCGATATCCCTGGACAGAACGAAGCTCCAGTCAAGCTTAGTCCATCAACCACTTGAATCTCAATAATACACACACACTCTCTCTCTCTCTCTCCGGTGGACTCACAATTGGCAATGATGAAGGTCAAAGGACTTCTGCACTGTCAGTGCTTCGTTTCCGCTTATCATCACCCATCATCAGGTTCCGTGCAGATATCCCGACCATCAAGGCCCCGCCATGGTGATGGCTTCCCGGATAACCTTCCTCCTCAGTCATGCCTAGACGTTGTTCCGATATGCTGAGCCTGGGGGATATGGCATAGTCTGCCGGCCTGCGTGCCTCAAAGGGACCGAGGTGCCGTCAGCTGGTCAGCCATTGCTCGCTCTGAAATGCTAGTACACTGCACGGATACTAGGAACCACCCCCCCCCCCCTTTTCGCCCTCACTTACGAGGATCGACCTCGTTGGTTCGGGTCGGATTCCGCTGAGCAAGGCACCATGGAGAGCAACTTGTCGATTTGGTCTCAACCGACCGCCTTCACCTCTCTGACTGAGCAAACCTGGTGCCACATTCCGGGCTAGGGTTATTCACCCACCTGCTGGACCAACGGGGTGTCCAGGCGCCGCAGCTCCATCACCGGATGGCAAGCAGCGCATGAAATTCGCGTTACAAAAATACGGATGGCATGTTCCACAACGTCACGGATGTATGCTGCACTGCATATACCGAGCACCAGTGCGGCCTGCACAAGCTAACATCTCCCAGCGGCAGATTGGCCACTCAACCACCTCACTTGGTTTAAGAGAAGCATACATTCGCCTTGTGCCACCTCTTGTGCTTCTATCCTGTGCAGGGCCCAAGAAAACGTGTTCACTTGCCATGACTAGCCCTTAGTCTTGCCGACTCGGCCAATTAAGACGACATCAAATGCCTCTTGTCAGAGGATCACTCCTCATTTGGAATTTGCGGGTCTTGTGTGGCAGCAAAAGGAACCGTCATAATCCTGGCTGATAAGACGTCCTCACGCTCTATCCACTCGG